TTAAGATGTACCCTACCTCCTAAGAACATATCAATTGCGATGAAGAGTCTCCTCTTACTGTGCAGACCTCAAAATGAAGCTCCCTAAAAGATGTGCCCTACCTCCATCCAACTTATCTTTGTTTGGTGACAAATGTCAGAGATTTACAAAATTATTATTTTTACACTCCATCGAGTGATAGCCATCGAAGAAGATTTGTCAACTCACTTTATTCATTTTTAAATTTCAAAAGAAAATCTAAAGATTATTCACGTTGTCCTTGTTCAAGAAAAGCCCTTGAGGTTGTAGATATTATACAATAATCTTTATGAATGCTCAAGATTCTGACACATCACCATTATGACACTAAAACTCTATTTTATTATTTTTAACTAATTGAATTTTCACCACCATTTTTTAAACTTCAAAAGGAGATAAATAGAATGCCTATGTCATCCATGTTCAAGTAGAACCATTGAGGTTGTCGACATCACACAATAATTATTTTAAACACATAAAATTATGACAATAAATTTAATTTTTATTTAATTTAGTGATATGTCGTGTGATTTAAGTTTTGAAAACTTTCTCCATTCAATTACAATTCTTCTAGATCTTAATTTGACCAATTAAATCATTTGTAGTCGCTTATGTAAGAATCATCGAGTGGAACTTTATTTTTGCCTAATTCATGTTTGTTGAGGCACTAAAATCATCTTGACATTGCACCCTTATTCTCTTTTTTATGAATTTTAAATATATTTAATTTGTATTACTTTGTCTACAAATTATAAAAAATTATATTCTTTGTTAAAATTCTAAAGTATTACTTGATATTATATTACATCTTTATAATTGACTTAAAAAATTTCAACTATTTGTGAAACTTTTATGAAAATATAATTGATATATTTGTTCAAAAACACTTCTAAATATTTGAAAATTAATATTTTTTTAGTTTTATAAATTTTAAATATATGTGATTTATTATAAAAAGATTAAGTCACGTCAATTAATAATGTATGATTCAACATACATAAATATCATGTAATCAAGAATCACTAGTTGAATAGTGGCAACAAGTTAAAATAATTTTTCTTGAGTTTTCTAATAGGTCACACTTATTGCCTCTACAACATCAATGAACCAACAAGTCAATTGATGCTTTGGAGCTTGCAGTTGGACACAAATGGGAGCAAGCATCATTTGGTGAAAAAGTCCTTGTACCCAAGGGGGAGCACAATAGAAGATTTGTTAACCTGTTGTCAATTTATTTTGATGTTGAAAAAAAGGGGGAAGAGAAGCTGAAAAGATCATCTTGATAAAAAGAGAGAAGTGCTGAAGATGAAAAAGATAAAGGAGAATATCAACTATTTTCTATTTTAAGACAAAGTGAGAAGGACTATTGAGATTGGGGTAGTAGAAAGTCTAGAGAGAAGTGGGTGAGTTGCCTCTAAATCCCATAAGAACCTTGGAGTTGTCCTCGGGCTTGAGAAGTTAAGATCTTCCCATAGTAAGACTACTCACATTAAGATCCTTCTCTTGCTACTAATAAGACTTTAGTATCAATTATTGTTAAAGATTAACTACACCAGCTACTATTAAATATGTTGCACACAAACTTTGTCAATGTGCTATGAGGCATATTAGCTCCATCAAAGTGCCACAAGGCACTCCAACTCCATCAAAGTGTGCTAGACGAAGGATGGATAACCACCTAAGCTGTTGGACACTCACTAAGTTAAAAGTGCGCCCAAGGTCAAAGTAGATATCAAGATGGGCCCACTTGGGATAAGAAGCAGGCTGCAAAACCTTAATGGGCAGAGTACCTGCCTAGAATAGTACTTGGATGGAACAAACCTCCTAAGAAGGAGCTAGGCCTTAGTTATATGAAAAAAAAGTTTAAAAGAGAGGGGGAGAAAAACAATGAATAAAAATGCTAACTTGCTGCTCCACTTAATTATATTTCTGATTTTTTAATAGTGACTAGTGCATTCCCAACTACACTAATAAAATATAAACTGTAGTTAATTTTTTTATGCTAAATTTGAAATATAAGAGAAATGTTTGAACACCTATAATAATCTGAATTCTAAATGAATTTGAATTTAAATAATATGTGCACACTTCATCCAAACATTAGTCCTCAATGAAAAATAATTTATTTGAAATAGTTACATTCCCCTTGAACCAATATAAATACTTTGTGCACAATTGCTTTGAAATTGTAAAATATATGAAAATTAAAATTTTAAAGCTAAACATAGAATTCTTAACTCTGATACAATCTTTCAGAAATCAAAAACAAACAAATGCTTCAAACGAATACCCATTTTCAAATTTAGGGAAGAGACATACCTTTTAGAACTATATAAAATCAGAGATATACACCTATTTAAAAACTCTCATCAACTAATGTAATTTAAGTTAGAAGAAAGTTTGATATTCAGGGAGAGATCTAGATCTAACCACAAATAAAAATATAAACATTTTTTTTAGCTGAGTTATATATTTCTGAAACTTATATTCACTAAATACCTAACTCAACTAATCTTGAAAACCAAAATCATACTTTGTTAAAATAGATGATCATAGTATTTTAAGCTTTGACAAAAAAATCATTGAAGTTAGAAAGTATAATTTAATATAAAATCTGTTTTTATCATATTAGACATTATAAACCTGGATGAATGATAAAGGACTTCAAACTTCTGAATTTATTTTATCCCATGAAATTTTAAAATCTGATATTAGACTTTGAAATAAATAGTACTCAATTTTAGAAGATTTTTTTTCAGCCCATATAGATGTCATGAAATGTTTAGATGATAAAGTGATTAGAAAAGCATTTATTCCTCCAATAATTAAGGTTATGATACTTACAATTGATATGATAAAAATTTAAAATATTTCATAAATTAAAAATATATATCATGATATTTACCATAGAAATTATGGAATTATAACTATTTGAACTTAATTTATCTTACTTAAGTTGATGCCCAAGATGTGGTGTGGTTCGATATGTAACAAGTTGTTGAGGCCCAGGCACAATTGTCCCAATCATAAAATGAAAGTTTCGAGGAGTTTGTTGATCCATTCTCAAGATCTTGGGTCGCCCCCTCCAACTCACTCCCGATGCCATTAGGCATTACCTCAATGTTGGAACAATTATTTCTGAGGAGTTATTTGTATGATTACCATATGCATGGAAAGATATTTTAGTAAATTCATAGGTGGTACAATTATTTATTTTACACTGATTTCTGAGTATTTAGGAAGGTTTGCCAACTTGAAGTGAAATAAGCTAAGTCACTTTTTTATACTTGAATCCATTAAGAATAGTTTCACTTAAGGGTCATAATGATCATTATTTTTTGTATGATATTTAATAATATAATTCTCCCTATAGTTTTTTGTGCCCATTGAAAATATAGATAGAAGAGAAATTTAATTCAATAAATTAAACATGAAAAATTTAAGACATTGAATTTTTTGGAATTTAAAATATCAATGAACCTTTCTAGAGATTGTTAGATGACTATTAAGGAGTGTGAGGAGAGGCCTAATCTTGAAAATCAATAGTGGCCCAATAAGTGCTCCATATATTTAGAGGGCCTTATTCACATTTGTTTGAGTGTTACAAGAAGAATGAGAGAGATATTCTACTAAGAATCTAGATGATCTTCAATGCCCATTTTCCTCTAAGTCTACACCAACCTATTAGAACTTCAGCATTTGATAGTGTCATCAATTTGTTTATGGTCAAGATCACATAGACTCCTTCACAAAAGTTTCTCTAACTATATATCAAGGTGTACAAACCACCAAGAAGTATTAGGTTGAACTCCTAAAATGATAAACCATTTTTGCCTACTTAGAGTGCATTCTGACTCATGACTGATCTAGAGAATTAATACATAGGAGAGCAGCTTCAACTAATCTTGTTTGGCACCTAGAGCCATAAATCTAAAAGAGGGCCAATCTCTCTTGTTTGACCACCTAAAATTCTGATTTTAGAAGAAATTAGTAGGTTCTCCTCTTATTTCTTCTCTTAAACATGTTGATTTATGATGTAGCCTATAACATAAGTTGAAGAGAGGTCTAAAAATACTAATTATGTGTTATGGTCATCATCAAAATATGCAAGTCATCTATGTAAATCATAACTCGAAGTTGAGTTCTTAGAGTATTAATAGACTTCACCTCTCTTTTTTAAGGGTCATTAAAATTTGCCTTCCAAGTTTAAATATATTTTCATAAGAAAACCCATTTACTTAAAGTATTTAAATTCAACCCCATGAGTTTTTTCTGTTACTCTTTAATTTCTAGTCCAAGAGTAAACCCGTTTATTCATATATAAAGTGAATTATATCAAGATAAATAACAATCAAATCTGCCAAACTACTATATTTAGTAAATAATAATCAAATCTAAAAACCCAGATTTTGTAATCCTTGTAGATTATTTGGGAAATACTTGAGATCAACTCATGCGTTTTCATATTCATGGAGATATCTAAACCATTTTTTATCTGCTATGATCATCACAAAAAACACATAAATCATCGTGGTGGCAATAATTCACTAGAAATGTACTTCCTACGGCAATAGACTTCACCTCTCCTTCTCAAGGGTGACTGAAATTCGCCTTCAAGTTTTGCTATCTATTTTACTTGTAGATTCTGACCCAAGTTTACATTCCCCAGGTGGGTTGACTTTGTGTCATGCAGATTCAACGTGGCTAAAAAAAAAAAAATTGGTGAAAAATGAGCTTAATTTTGACTTTTGGGCCACTCCATAATAGTGGGAATTGGCTCGGTGTTGTGTTTGGCGGCGCGGGGTTGTCGGTTGACCCTGAGCCTGGACCCCCGACCCTACCAGCAGAGTTCGAAATCCCACCCCTCCCCAGAGCCGACTCGTGCCGACCGCAACGGCGCCGCTCTTAGTGGCTTTCGGTGGGGAGGGGGAGGGGGAGGGACGGGGGTTGACTGCGTGGAGCTCCCTTCGGCGCAGCCAATGATGGCCGCGAAGCCGCCGCAGCAGCAGGTGCAGAAACCACATCAGCAGATGGGAGGTAGCGGAGGGGAGAGCCTCGCGGCCCAGATTGCCGGGATGTCCAAGAACCAGCTTTACGAGATCATGTGTCAAATGAAGGTAAGAGTAACACGTTTCTGTGATTCTTCTCTCCCCCTCCCTTTTCTGTCTCCGTCGTCGAGCTAGTTTTCCAGTTTGCCTTTGTATTTCTGGTTTTTCATCGGGAGAATTGGTACTCGGAAGTAGAGGACAATCCGCTGAACGTCTGATCTTTTTTTCTCATTTGAGACAGAATCTGATCGAGCAGAATCCTCAGCAGGCCCGACAGATTCTCATCGACAACCCTAAACTCACCAAGGCTCTCTTTCAGGTAAATCTTTCAACCTATACCCTTCCCTCCTGCAAACCTTGCGGCACGCGACCTCTTGCTTGCTTCTCTCTAAAGATGAAAATCCTTGTTAAAGCTGGGTGTATTCACTCGCTTTCGCATAAACAACTGCATCAACGCCAAGCTCTCATTCAAATGTAGAGGATATCAGATACGCATCCTCAGTCGGGTTTGGTTCGTTCTATTGTATTACAGTATGTTGAGATCTGTTTTTGATCTGTCCCAATCTTTCTGCGTCCGTGGTGGTACCCTATGCGTTATGGATGATTGTTGTTCTTACAAGAGAGCAAACGTATATCCTGCATCTACGTTTATCTCAGGTTTTTGGATGCAGCGAGATATTCTGGAATAAATGGGAACTATTTTGAGGCATTTCGGAATGGAGGAGCATTTCTAAGTGTTCTGATGGAAGTTTGGCTCAATGGGGTGTGCTCATTTCTACTTGCATCCATTAAAGGAACCGTCGAATTCACTAGTTTCCAGGAATCTAGGCTCCTAGTCAGATACTGAGGCCCATGGGGCTGAAGCTAGCTAAGATAGTACTAGTCGCAGAAACTAAGGATCTTTCATTAAAACGTTGGAATGAGGAGTTTCGTTATGATTTTGATGAAAAATGGCACGTTGACCGCATGTAAACCATTAGAAACTTTCCTTTTCCTTACATCGTTAGTTTATGCTAATAGTAGTGGTGTGGAGGGGGATCGGCATTCCCTGGTTACCAATGGAATGGTAGCTCGAAAAATTATGAGGTTATTGGGTAAGTTGCACAAACTAATGACAGATATGCGATTAACTTTGGTCTGACGCTTCAATCCGCATTTAGTCAATAAGGCAGACTTTGAATGTGCTTGGTAGAAAATTTCGAGTTGATTTTGTCAGTAGAGAACGGTTCCTTAGTAGGAGATCAGGGATAGATGTAGTTGCCAATTCAAGGGTGGCTCAGTTTTTATGGTATTGCTTTTTGCAGTGTGATGTCTTCTTCAGGATTACGTAGTTAAAAATCACATGTACAGAGCTATCCCTCAAAGATTAGGAATATCATCTAACCAGGAGATCACATGATTAACTAGAATGGATTCTAGGGAAGAAAGTAAAATACTGGTTTTAGATTAACCAAGATTCTCCTCAGTCTACTCGCAAAAAGATCAGCATCATTGGAGATGCTCGAATTGAGGAAAAAGTTCTTATTTCAGCTTGCTAATATATCATCTCCGACGGAGGTGGCAGACACCACAGAGCTTCCTCCCTAATATGTCATTTGACATTCTTGTTGAGCATGATGATCTTGAGGGCAGGAGGTCACACAAGTGAGGAACAATGCTTGGATCTCTTTTTCCCTATCTATAGAGGAGTCAGACGATCATTTTTTATTTTTTTTTTGTGTTTGCGTGGAGACTTGTCTGATGTTAGTGCACAAAATGGCCATACAAGAAAATATACCATTTTCTTCTGAATGTTTTATACAGGGGATTATTTACATTGAGAAAAAACGTCAGCCAAAGCCCTTTTCTTGATTCAAGTGATAACACTGCAAGAACCATGACAAGTAATAACAATGCAAGAAAAAATGTTAATGAGTCTTAATCAACCTACTATGATTTGCTTATTCTAAAATTTTGATAAGTTTTATTTAGATATGGTAGAGACTAGCACTGATAGATCATATCGTCAACTAATTCCTTCAGAGAAAGGAGAACAAGTGTTGCCTGTTTGTGCTGTAGACTCTTAACTAATCAGAAGAAAATCACTAGGAAAACAGGAAGATAACGATAACTAGATATTATCTGACCAAGATGTAATCCCTAGGAGTCTCTAGTACTCATTGTGAAGAAGGCAGATGTAAGTTACTCCTTGGACTTAATTAGAGAGCCACGAAGGAGAAATATATTTTAATCTTGTTCGACAAGCCTAATTTGTGGTTGGATTATCTCCATCTTTGTGTTTTGAGATGTGAACACTCGGGACCATTTTTTCTTGTTATGCCCTTTAGGGTGACAAGTGCACCATCTAGTTTAAAATAGCTTATCGCTGATACCTTCAATCCACCATTAAAAGCTTGTTTTTAGGAATTTTTGATTATATCCTGGCTTACAGTGGAGAATTTACTGTTATTTGAGGCATTTCAGTTGGCTCTTCGAAATGTGCTGTCTGATTAACCACATATTTGGCTTCCAAATACATGTTTGGGGTTTATGATGGAATAACTGGATTATCTAATTTTTTAGTGAGTTGTTTCATCAACAGAGCTGGCAAAAAGGTTAGTGTAATTTTGAGTTGGTTAATAATTATAATCAAAACCTTGAAAAGAATCTCAGATTTGCTATGCTAGATATCATTGGAAGCTTACAAAGTACTTCTGACTGGTTGCTGAGCGGCTCAACAAATTCTGGAATTTGTTTTTGTCCTCTTCGGATCATATAGCTTAAAAGTCATTGACATTTTTAGGAAGTTAGTGACCTTTTTTCTTCTTTTCACAAGACCTAGTTATTGAATGTGAATGCCAGCTCACTTGGAATGATGTAATTCTTTCTAGTTCTTTTTTTTTTTCCAGAAAAGACGAATTTTGATTCGATAAGAAGGGAATAGGGGTTGTTAAGCTTGTATTGAATAAATGGGGATCATATTGTTAAGCAAGAAGTTTATTATTACAAGGGACAATTAGTAACCAAATAGGTATATCGATCTTAATCAGAAACCTGATGCACTGATTATTACCCTCATCAGAGAACAAGCAATTTCCATTTTCAAGCTGTAATGGTTTCCTGAGTAGCATTTGGCCGAACAAAACGTTCCAACATTCGTTTAGTAAATGCAATGGATTGCTCTTTCAAGATGTGTACGCTTTTTAAAAAAGTTGTTCTTTACTAGTAGGGAGCTACTTTTATATTCAGATACTTCCATTAGTCAATTGGTTTGATATGCTTTCATCATCGTACATGTGGAGGCCATGTTGGGAAACATTGCATTGGATTCTGTAAGACGCAATCAGGATGTCAAATTTGTAAAAGAAATGTTTAAGAAATGACATATTATAAATATTGTCCCACTTGACCTCTGTTTCTTGCAGATCAATGCATTGATTACCTCGAGTAAGGTCCCTTTTATGATAAAAGTGCTGATGGCTGACCCTGTAGATCTCCAACACCGGATGGAAAGGTTATGCAGATGGTGTGGGGGCGGGACCCAGTATGCACGTGGTGCAGTATGGAGCACTCATAATGGACAATCACTTGGAGCACATGAAGGTTACATATCAGGGGCATAGGATATGGACGATAAACTGCTTGGCGCCCACATGCCATGGGTTTATAGGCATGGAATGTAGAGATTGCACACCATCGCGCTCATGCTGCAGAGCAATTTATGTAAAAGGGGAGGCTGGGGTTGGGATGGGTATTCTGATTACTCCAGTTTTCCAAAGCTAGTGTTCTTTTCTATAGCTAGAGGAAAGACATTTCTATCAGTGAAATCCTTCATTATTTATTAGGTGGAAGTACATTGCTCGGCTATAGCACAGTGCACTAGGGCTGTCTTAATGGAAGTACTACGATAGGTTTCTCATGAAACTTGGGCTGAATGATTGTATGAGGGGATGGTAGACTATTTATATCCTGCCTTGGTTACTTCCATCTGCTCAATATACTTTTGAGAGATGTGCTGTTGCTGGGCTTCAAATTTTTTTTGAAGAATTGCCAGACTGAAATTTAATGCGCATCTTACCTAGTTTAGTCATCCAATGAATTTAATGTGGTGTACCACTGTATTAGATGGCAGTCATATTTTATTTATGGCTATGAACCACCCAAAATTACACTTTCAAACTCAAATCTCTGTGACTTTTGTAAAGATGACATCTTAGTTTTTGCCCTGAGATGTTATTGGCTAAATTCTGTATCATAGAAATTAAGTTGTGTGAACTTTTTACCAAAAAATCATTGACTTACGTTCTCCATTAGTGATGCAAGTTTTAACTCATGAATCTCATTTACAACGTGCTATTGAATCTTCAGGCACAAATCATGCTAGGAATGGTTCAACCTCCTAAAGTGGTACCTTCTACACCAACTTGAGCTTAATGAGTTGAATTTTCTGAGCTTTGAAGAAACTAAACTTTCTGGTACCTGTGACAGATGCCCAGCATTCAACAGGCTTCATCCCAACATTCTCAACAGTCATCACAGCTCGGACAACCAAATATCCAAGCTCCACAGTCATTAACCGTTCAGGCTGGAAGTCAGAGTGAATATGTTTCTCAGGCTCAGATTCCAGTTAGACAGCAGCCGCAGATCCAACCGTCCATTAGTCTGCCATCTGTTTCAGTTCCTCCGTTGGCTTTTCAGTCACAGTCCATGGCACCTGTGCAAGCTAAAGGAACATTGAATGCTCACGTGTCCCCTGCCATACCTTCTCATCATAACTTGCCTCCTCCCCCTCCTATTCCACAGCATTCAATTCTTCAGAGTCATATACCTATGGTCTCTAGCCAGTCACAACAATCTTTGCAAACCTCTGGAATTTTGCTTCAACCTCTACAGTCGCCTATGCCCCAACAACAGAGGCCACCTTCCATTCCGTCTTTTCCACAATCCCTGCACCCACAAATGCCTCCTGGCCTTGGTTTCCAGCTTGCAAGCGCGCAACAGCATGTTCTGCCACAGTCTATGTTCCATGTGAGCCGCCGGCATAAATTTTTAGGCTTATCGCAGGATTTGTAACACACTTGTTATATGGCTGAACGTGAATTGACAGTTGACTTCATCGTTTTCAGCCGGGTGTAACGGGTTCCTTTCCACTTGGGCAGCCTGCACTGCCTAATCAACCTTCGCATCAGCAGCTTTATCAGGTTTGCTATATCTGCATCTAAACAATTTATTGGTGGATCAAATATGCTTATTTGCTTCAAAGTATTATAAAGTGATTTCTCTTGATTGAATCATCTAAGTTTTTCAAAATCAAGTTTACCAAGCAAGCTTATTCAAGTCATTCCTTCTGTATCAGCTGTACACGTCAGTCCAGTTAACCCTGCAATGATGAAACCACGTTAACCACTTACTTTATATACACTGGGAAGAGAATCAGGATGGGTTTGTGTAGTTTTGGCTGGTTAACATAGGGCACTTGGATCAGGCGCTTGATCCAAAAACTTGAAAATCGAGTCGAATTAAATGAACTTGGTCTTATTCATGTTTCTCACACGACCACTGTCATTTGAGGAAGAAGAAGATGATGAGAGTGGGTGAGTAGTTCTTATTGACTCTCTGCTTCAGGCTACCTTTTCTTTTTCGTTTGATGGCAACAGTGTAAGCTGGTGCTGCAAAATGTGGAAACCGACAATGAGGAAGTGCTTGGGTTGGGTTGATCTTGGGGCCATATTTTGTGGCAATAGTGAATTGTTTCTTTATGGATGTTCTTGGTCATCTAGTAGTGTGTTTGGCCAACATAACGACTTACACCAATGGTTTGCAGGACCAGATGATACCGCGTCATCTAATTGCGCCTGGCATCTGTAGCGGTCAACCCAAAAATCGGGTGGAATGACTGGAATCAATGAGAATGGTGGTTGATTTAGTTAGAATTATTCAACCGTGGCGAATTGTCATATTCCCAAGTCTTCACTTGATATCTGGTCAATAAAAATTAATTCATTCAATCCTGAATCAGGCTCTTGGTTCCAGCCCTCGGATTGTTTGAAGTATGAACACTTAATTTCGTAATCTTTTTCCCGCACCTTCACCCTTGATTGCTCTTCTTACATTGGCTCTATAGTTTCCATTTCTATCAACTCCATCCGTTGGCTACTAACTTAGGGCATACCAAGGATAATATGAGAAGTACCCACCCCCCCTCTCTTGCTCTCCAAAAATCAGACTGTGGCAGACCCTTGGGGATTCTTGGACATTTAACGATCGATTTGGACTATTTGTGATGCTCACGATTACAATTCATCCAATCTTTTTTCCGAATGGAACCCTAGATTTACAAGAAACCAGACAGCTGCATTCGGGAAGTAGACAGAGAAAAAGCTAGCTGTTTTCTCAGAGGGCGGGGGCGGGGGGCGGGACCCTCCCGGTAGAAATCCACCATCAAAGTCTTGATTCTCATGGAAAACTCTTCTCATGTGTCCGAGCGACCATCGGAGAGGGACGGATAGGAATCCTTGTTGAGTCGCTCTTGTATGGGAACTCACCCATCTTTGGAGGATCCCCCTCAAGAACATAATGATTTCCAGAAACTATGGCAATGGTTATAGGAACATATTCTTTGGGACATATCTTCTTCTAGTGACTGCCCGTCCTCTTAATGCTGTATTTGCTTTTTTATCCCAGGGGGCATCAGTCATGGCGTCGGAATTCAGCGGCCAAGTTGGGTCGTCCGGCCAAGTAGAGAGAGCCCCATCATGGGCGACCACTGAAAGGGGAGCTGGCGGAAGCCTGCTGCCCGGGCCGCCGCCGCCACCGACGATGGGCGGCCAGCCTCTCCGGCCTCCACAGGTAACCAGCCCCGTCTCTGAGAAAGAGCTCTGGTTTTATGGGCTCTGATTGTATGGGGTCTTTTGTTGATGATTCTCTCTCTCTCTCTCTCTCTCTTTCTCTCTCTGGTGGCTACGCCATGTTTCAGCTGACAGCGGAGATGGAGCAGGCGCTGCTGCAGCAGGTCATGAGCCTTACGCCGGAGCAGATCAGCCAGCTTCCCCCTGAACACCGGAAACATGTCCTTCAGATCCAGCAGATGTACCGGAGATAGTTTTAGTGTCTTAATTGAGCAGTGATATTCTGCCTCTGTATGTCTTCTGGAGATGAGAATCTCTGCATTTAGGGCGTCCGTTAGAGTTGTATTCCTTCTCCGTGTTTTCTTCTCCAGGGCAGTCCCTTTCTAGAATTTCCTATCTACCCTAAACCCTATGTTAAATGAAAAGTGCAGATGAAGACCTGAGCTGGTGGCAGCTTTGACATTTACTGTGGATGCTTTCCTGATTTGTCTCCCAATTTTGTCCTGCTTTTTAGTGTTATACTCGGCCGTACTGTCATCTGTAGTTTGTTGGTTTTCTCTCTCTATCTCTCTCTCTCTCTCTCTCTCTCTCTAAAACGTAATCCTAAATTCAGATAGAAGACGATAGCTGACAGTTCTTCTAGTTGAGTGTGTGGAGGCTGGGCTGGACCAGATCTCCAGAATTTGGGAACCGACATCAAAGCTCAGAGATGAAAATAGATCGATGTCTGCCCTGTCCCATAATTCTTGTAGGTCGGGTGGTATAACCCATGTACTAGTTCCCTTCGCAAACTAATTTTGACATGAACATCTCTCTCTCTCTCTCTAGGTCTCCTCGAAGGCGGTGTGTAGTGTGATGGAGCATTTCACTGGCTGGGTGTGAGCCTAGTCTGGAGATAATGTGAAGAGTTTCTCTACAGATTGTGTGGTCCAAAGCAAGAACCAGCCAACTGAGACGGCTAAATATTTTGAAAACTTTTTTTCTGTAGAAAAGGTCTTCTTTTTATCGTCCTTATATCTCTCAAGAAATCCAAACCACCTTTATTTTATTTATTTATTTTATTAATATGGAATGATCTTGGCGCGTACTTCGCGACGTACGTAAAGGCTATCTGATTTAGTATCATGATAAGATACGTATCATTTCAGCTCAAAATGAATGGACAATAATTGAAGAAAACTCATCTGTGTAATCGCGTCAGGTATTTTTTTCTTTTTAATGTCTGGTTTTTCTAGCACCCTCCTCACATGAAATCATGCTTTTGGACAACAGAAATCGCACCATGAACAACCAAGGAAATCACATGAAACCAACTTGAATTGTTAGACATTGAAACTCAGACCCAAAGGGAAAGTTAGTGCAATGCTCACATCGATCAAATCATAGAGAGAGTAATATTTCTAATTTCAGAAGCGCTGAAACATCAATTTATCATGAGGATCATAGAAAAGGGGTAGGAACAGCTCAGAAACAGCATCCGAAATTGACATCTTTCCTTAAGTTATTCGATCATCGAACCGAAAGTTCCTTCGGCGGACTGTTTGGGCTTGAACAAGCGTGGGGTTTTGTTCCTTAACAAGCTCGCGCTTGTTACTCTGAGGAAAGTCCGTGCACAAGGAACCCGAAGATCATGGAAATATTAACACCCTATTAGATCCGGAAGATTGAAAGTCGATGGGTCTCTCGTTAGTCTTCGTCTTCAGTGAAAACTGTGGTATTCATGAAAGAAAAAGGTTAATCTCCAACCTTTTGGAATGGTGGGATAAGAGTCTTCTCTTCTCTGGGCAAACCCTCAACTCCCTTCAGTCTCTCCAGTGTCTCTTGGGGGTCGTCTTGATCCAATTTCTGTTCTCAAATCCCCCATTTTCGCTTAAACAAACACCTCTCGTGTAAATGAGAGTAGGATTAGGAGATGGATCTTATGAGAAGTATTATCCGGGCTGAGAAGCGCCCACCTTCAATCTACATAGCCCAGATGTTCCTTTCAAAGCACTTCCCTTCTAGGCCTCCCCTCTCGCTCCCCTTCCGTCGGCATGTCCACAGACCAACATAATATGTACCGTATGTATGCAGAGGAGGCAGGGCGAGCATGCATTAGCGAGAGAGAGAGAGAGAGAGGGGATTGGCAACTTTGTTAGGGCTGTGCAGAGGAGTTTTCTAATCTTCTTTACGTGTTCTTATACATGAATATACTAGATAGCAAGTTGTAAATATACTCCTCGAGCTTTGCGCCTCAGCGCTCACACGTGGATACTAATCCACGCGTGCACAGAAGTACGTGGTTGACCAATCAAATTTGCGTTGACACGGGTCAAACAGTACCATGCAGTCCGCTCTGTCTGATTACTGTTCATTACTTTCCTGCATCGCGTCTCAGTCCATCAGTGTGTTTGAAGGGAGAGAGAGAAGAGAAAAGTATAGAAAGGAGTGGGGGGATGGAAACAGGGCGGAGGAGTCTTCAGGTTGGTGTCGAAGTCAAATGAAGGCGTATACCAGCTTCTCATAGTCGGAGCGGTCCTTTCACATCTCTTCAAACCATCTCCGTCAATACTCCGTGCTTCACACTTCCGTGCTCTTTCCGGCCCTCGGAAACATTCGAACCGAGGAGATAACAGCTGGACGAAGAGAGAGAAAGCAGCCAGGCTTGTCGAGAAGGCAGCAGCAGTTGCTCTCCACTGCTCTTCATTCATTACACAGAGTACGAAATCCGAGCTCCACGCACCCGTCTCTCTCTCTCTCCATCTTCTCCTGATCTTTTCTTCTCGACCAGGCAGCCTGCAACCCAGTCTCTGCTTCATACGCTGAGCCATATTTCTCAGCAGCCTTCTTCCCCAACCTCCGGCTTCCTCTATCTCTGTCTATCGGTCTACGCTCTTTCAACTCTCTCTATCTGTCTAAAAAGATATAAATGTAAAAATACGATCTTTCTGTCAAGTGAGCAGTGAGGATCTACGGCTTATCGAGGGATCTTGGATTGTACGAGTAGCACGGGTTTCATGGGTCACCATCATCTCTGAGTCTGTGTGTTGGTGTGCACAATTTGGGCATCCTTTAACGTGTGTCTGGCCTTCCATAAAGCGCCCCCTGCCTGCACAATAGAGGCAATAGGCCTAGGAAAGCCCTAGCTTTGGGGCTACCCTTCGCTTCTGCAGTGAGGGGTTGTAGCAGGTGTACTTCCCCTATGCCCTAACCCTTAGCTTAGAGAGAGAAAGGAGAAAGACGAGGGAGAGAGCTGGGCGTAGCTGTAACATAGGGTCAGAGCTCTAGATGCTACTCCTTGAGATTGGTGAACACACGCTGCCCATATGAGACGAGATGTTCATGCGCCGATCCCGGGGCTGCCCCGACGTAGGGCCGCCCTCCTATGTCCCCATTCTCTCTCTACCGTCTTCTCTGTCCCTGTCTCCCTACCCTCTGTACACGAGAGTATTTTTAGTATATATATCTTTGATTGAGAGAAGTCACCTGGGTCTGGGAGATTACAAGGGTTTTGCACTGTGGATAAAGGGGGGAGACATTCACGAGGGACCACTGCGGATTCATGGTGGGGGCTTCCTTTTGGCGTCCTGGGAGCAGGTGGTGGTGCATCAAGAAGTGACGGATGGGGGACCGCCGGAGCTAGGGACTTGTTCCTCCTGGAAGCGTCCGTCTCCACCCTCTGCTTGGAACATGGCCAGTATCAGTTCGAACGTAGAGTTGAGTTCTTGTGGGGGCACCGACGATGACACAGAGACAGAGTCAATGAGTTGATCTCAGTTCCTGCGTGAGATCCTCCACAGAGAGAGAGAGAGAGAGAGAGAGAGAGAGAGAGAGAGGGAGAGTTAATTTCGTCCAGAACTTCAGATGAGAGAGAAAAAGATAGAGAGAGAGAGAGAGAGAAAGAGAGTTAATTTCGTCCGGAAGTTCAGTTGAAAGACAGTGAGACAGTTTCATCCATACCTTCGGACGGGAGAGGGAGAGAGGGTGAGAAGATTTCATCGAGAAGTTCGGACAAGAGTGAGAGAGAGAGAGAGAGGGTGAGATAATTTCATCCAGACCTTCGGACGAGAGAGTGGGAGGGAGGAGAGAGAGAGAGAGAGAGAAAGGGTGAGGAAATCTCATCCAGAAGTTCGGAATCTAGTTTCCTCCAGAATTTCAGATGAGAGAGACTTAAATAATTTTATATCAATAACTTCCGATATGAGAGAGAGAAGGACGAAGTGTAGCCTAATTGCATCCAGAAGTTTACCAGTGAGAAGGAGAGATTAAGGGGGGAGGAGGGGGGGAAGGGGGAGAGAGAGGGAGAGAGAGTTTTAATTTCATCTAGAGCTTAGAGTTACTCCGCCGGACAAAAGTTTAAAGAGTCCCCCTTGGCCTATGTCAACTGACGAACGTTCTTTCAACTGGTGAGGATTCCCCACTCTTCGTCATGTAAATCTAGTCAACATGTTTAGGGGGTCATTCTCTATTTTCCAAACGATTACACCTAATGAAATATATATTTTGCGAGAAACAAATAACCAATAACCGGTCAGCGGACGAAACGAAATGATAAGCAGTATTCCATGCTTTAGAAATCGTCGAACTTTTTCCACGAGTGTCCATCAAACGCGGGTTAAGTGTGATGAACTCTCTCTCTCTCTCTCTCTCTCTCTCCCTCCTCACTAGAAATCTCTCTAGACTAGTATACTCCTAGGCCCGAGCCCAGCCGTGCTTGGATTTTCTCCTCATTTGATTCCACCTCCCCGCCGAATTTTCCTATTATTATTATTTTCTGAAGTTGGTCACCCTATTTTTTCTTCACCTGTTAAGGCCTCGTCGCTGAATTCAGAATCAGAGAGCTCTCTCTTTCCGTCTCTCTCAAAGAACATTTTCAAAGCAGTAAATGTCTGTAGTATTGCCTCGCCAAATACATGGGCTACTCTTAAGTTGGCCATACTCCCCAAGGCCTCGGATCATCTGACTAAAGAGTCTATGATGAAACCATGCTATCTAAAATTTATTAGCACCACTGGTCCGAGTGTTTTGGACAGTCGATTTTATGCATCAAGTTTAATTAAATGTGTCATTTGAGATCTTACCAATTTAGGAAGGGAGCCCAATAGAAAGGTCTTGTAAGGGATCAAACTGATTATTCGGCCGATAAAAAGTTTGAACTTGGCCTCAATTAAAGTAAAAAAGAGAGATTTTGGTGGTTACTTCAAGAATCAACCTAATTGGTCACTTTATGCCTCCAATTTCAAGTACGTTTAATTTGTTACTTATTGGACCCATTTGGAGTGTCATATCTTCATGCTGAGAATTTGGTTCAAGAACTAGCGTAATTGGTCGATTTTTTGTTCTTTTATAATTTCATATCGTTCATTTAATGTTGCATTAAGCCCACGAAGAGTTTCAAATTTTATTTTTTAAATTGGGGTGTGCTTGTTGACACTTGAAACCTCAAAAGGAGAAGAATTTGTTTGATTTAAGTTGTTGAATCAATCATGGTTCAATATTCAATCGTGCTTCCACACATCATGAATTTAAGAATTCCAATTACATCTGAAAGAGGGCACTAAGATCAAATCCTAGTCTCCGTCGTTGTTTCTCTAGCGACAGTTCTCTATCCTCTAGGGAATGACACTAATTGAGATCAGCCGGCCCCAAACAAGATTTACTGCTGTGTATGTATGACAATGGAATCGTCGAGTTGACTTCAGAGGGTAAATAGGCCTTTTAGGCTAGTTATCATCATAAAGCGCGAGAACTTGTTGCACGCAATCTGACTGAAGTATTTTTTAGTCAAAGCATTCTTCATGCAGGCTAATGAATACCGGTAATAGCACCGTTAGGCACAACCATCAGAGAGAGAGAGAGAGAGAGGGGGGGAGGGAGGGGGCGAGGAAGAGATGAAGCAGGGGAGATGGAGTGGGGGAGAGGGGGTGTTAAAGAAAGCTGAGGAAGAGGAAGAACTAGTGAGAGAGAGAGAGAGAGAGAGAGAGAGAGAGGGATACTCTTGGGAGTGCAGTCGTAGCCCAACTATTGAAAACCACCCTCCCGACACAGCACATCAAGTTGTGTTGTAGACTGACCGGCCGCCCGCCTCGACCAGACCTGTCTAGCGCAGGGTGCGTATTCCAATACAGACGATAACACGTGAGAAGTTCCCGTTGGATCTCCTGTCGGATTTCCCCATCCTCACACGTGGTGACTCCAATGAATGCTCAAGCCTACAGGAGTTCCCTCTCCCCTCTTCGTACCTCTTTTTTAATCTCTATCCTTCTCATTTGTCCATCTCACTCTCCGTGTGTCACTTTGTCACTCTTGGCCCGTCCCCATGCTCTCCGTGTATCTATCTTTTGGTTCTGAACTTCTCTCCTTTCTGTGGTCCGTGTGAATTCTCTCTCTATTCCCCCCGCCCCACCCAGTCTCTCTCTTTCTCTCTCTCTCTCTCTCTGTCTCTCTCTGTCTCTCTCTCAGAGTTCTACCTTAAAAAAGGACGTCTACATCGCTAAAGCCGCAAATGTGCTTATCCCACAAATGTGATACTATTTCCCATGACCTTTCATTTCGGCGAAAAATCACTTAAGGAATTAAGAGCTAAACGGAGAAGTCCTCTTTTTACTCTTTTTGGCCCCCTCCGGTTTCTTTCCATCCTCTCTCTCTCTCTGTCTCTCTAGCTTCATTGTATCCCAAACGTTATTATTATTTTTCCTTCCTCCCCTCTTCCACGAAGCCCCAACGCAAGGGAAAAACGATGCGATGCAGAGTTGGGCTCGGGAGATCTACATGATCCCCACAGTACGGCTGAAGAGATACGAGCTTTGAAATACCCAAAAGGTCTTCTTCAAGATTCATGAAGACAGTTCATACTCTTCATTGATCTCTCTTCCCTCCTCTTGTTATTCGTTTCTCCTCTCTCTCCCTCTCTCTGTCGTCATGGACAAGACCGCTTATCCTCTCCATCGAGCTCTCTTCCTCTTGTTCTCCATCCCACTCTCTCTGCTCTATGAAGAATCTATAGTCAAAGGCGAGATATACACGAGGATGCATTGGTTTCTGAAGACAGTTCTTCCATGACAGTCTTGGCTCATCCTCCGATGTGGTCTTCGACGTGGGATTACCTTCACTGAGCAAGAGGCTACACGACGTTTCGCAAAGATGACTACATGAGCAATACCCACATCAGATTCGAAATTCTCCGACTTTTGGATCGTCGGAATAAAGGGTTTATGAACTTTCATTGATTTTGCCCAAGTAACCAATAAAAACGAGAATTATTCACTAGTTCTGGTTTTCTGTTGAGGAGTGGTGCATATGATTGTGGGGTGAAGAACTTCAATATGAAGTAATCAACTTGTTCTTGAGATATTTTGCTGATGCATGTGCTGTGAAGAAGAAGGAAAAGGATACAATATTTCTTCGGCATAATCAGAATCCTCTTCTTTTCAATTTGATGATAGACTACCACGATGTTTCTCATAAAATGCTCACAAAATACGGAGAATATTCGCAGTTGACTTCTCTCAGTAAGAAATTCCATAAACGTCACTTCAAAGCGGGGAAAACTCATACGATATTGTAAAGTATTTCCATTGACTTCTAACTAGAAGTCAGCCTTCAACAGCCTCATGAAATTAAGAACGTACCTCGTCTACACTCGCTAGTTATCTTGTCTACTCTTGCCCCCGTGCTCCACACCTCTTGTACCGTCTCTTACAAGTTTCCTAATATATTATTATTACTATTATTATTTTATTATCACTTAAATTTTATCAGATGATTCTTACCTTGCACTACTGATGACATATAATTATGGTATTAGGACCAAATTTTGGTAATACACTCTCCCCAAGCTAATGGCCGGGATTTCCTAGACAAGAGAGGGGAGAGAGAGAGAGAGCAAGAGAGAGCATTAACTACCCCATACAGTAAAGAGCATTAGCTTCCCTCGCCTCCATCATGGAGAATTCTTGACCATTTCACTCATCCAAGGCCTCCCGCTGTACGTTCATAAGGAACCTAAAGCTCAAGAGCATCTGACTCAAACTGAGAAATATCTTCAATGAAATTCATCATCCTCAACTGTGCTTATCTGGTTTCCTGACATATCTTAAATTAGTTTATCCCTTGTAATATTCTGTGATCGTCATCTTCCTCTCCCCCCCCTTTTCGTCTCTCTCACTCTCTCTTCCTCCCCTCCTTTGAAGATGAATGGGGGATACTTATAAATATTCTTCCTCCCCTCATGTGACCATTTCGATCGGACTTTTGGTGGAAAAGTATTCCAGTAAGAGAAAGAAAGACGTCTCCTTCAGTCTCCTGGGAAAGGCTAGCTAAGATGGTTATGTATTGATGCAGTTAGGTCATATAGATGGGGTACCTATGTATACAAACGTGAGTGAATATTCAAATGGTTCGGGAAGATGATTCAGAGATGCCCATTCATATGGTCAGGTTCTCCACTAACTAAATACTAACCTACGGGAAGAAGAGAGAGAAAGTGGTAGATAGAGGAAGGCTGCCAAGCGAAAGCTAGGATGAGCCGCAGAACTTACGTACACAAGTCTTCAGAAGCTGGAGCTTTAATCCCTGGGCTATTAATGGCCATAACTTGGGGCCCTGGGGACCAGAGGCCCCTCGAAGCTCGACGTGTAAGCTTCAGAACTCTTCCCGCCCCTCTCATTCTCTAGGCCCTTTCTCCTATTGCACTAGCACGGTGGGAACAGGCTGCTGTTGTAGAGTACAAGGCACCCATTTATAGAGAGAGAGAGAGAGGTGTGGCTTGGAGACTGGTTTGAGACAGGGTAACAAGGACGAGGTAAAGACAAGGAAAAGTGGCCGAAAGAATCTTTGTCATACATAGTGGAGTCCGATGGTTAAGCAGGGTTAGGATCTCCCAGTCGATCTGGAATACCCCCGGGGACCACCTGCCAAACGCAGTCGTCAGTCATCCCCTCCACTCCCCTCAGACCAGAGACAAAGCTACTACTGCGTCGCCCGACTATCCTATCTGATGAAAAGGAAAGGAAAGAAAGAGACAGGAAGAAAAACAGAAACAGAAGGAGATAGACGGAGGTAGAGAGCGAGAGAGAGAGAGTGCATATAGAGAAAATAAGGGGGAAAAAAGCGTTCTTTACTCTCATTTCATTGAGTTTCCGGTTGGATTTTGCTCTGCAGATTCCCCATCCACAGTCTTACACCCCTCCTCCCCCCCCCCACTCCTCTAACGCTTGCTTTGCTTCTCAAGAAGGGAGAGGGTTCTGTCCATTTACTCCTGAACGGGATCATGTGAAGTGGGTGGGATATAATGTGAAAAGGTGATGGCATTCCCTCTCTCTCTGTGGACATGATCAAAAAGGATCAGTGGGAGGGTCGGAACTGCGAAGGCCATAACCATGGTTTCCAATGGCGCTCTCCCTGCTCGTCGGAGGCCGGCCACTCTCCATAACTACGTGATTGAGGGAAGCGCCTAAACGGACTCGATTCGCCTCAGCAGCGCCGCCAAAGCTTTGGGGTTGCGAGTGAGGGCTGCCAGCGAGGACGCGTCCCAGGAAGTAATCACCAGTGGGCGGCGGTGGCGGTGGCGGCGGCGGCGGCAGCTGAAAGGGAGCCTGGTAGGGGAGAGCGCGGGGAGAAGCCTGAGGCGGGTACGCGTACTGCTGGAGGTGCGTAGGCGGTGGCGGTGGCGGCGGCTGCGGCCTTGTCGGGAGCATGGGGTACACTGGTCTGAAATGCAGGCATGTGTCTCCCACCCCTCCCCCACGTGGGAATGATGCCACGGCCTGCCCGCTCCCTCCGAAACTCAGATCTCTCAGCCTGTGAATTCCATGACGAACGAACGATTAGCTTCGTCTAGCCTCTTTCTACCTATCTACTACATCTATACATTACCACAGCCAGTACAGTACAAGATGATGAAAACGAATGCAATTATCCAACCACAGCACAAAAAGGAGCGTAGAAGGGCCTTCAACGAGTAGGTGGTGTAGCTGGTGGGCTACGAGAGTATATTCTATGCTAGAGAGCGAAAGAGATAGATAGATAGATAGATAGATAGATAGATGGTGAGAGAGAGAGAGAGAGAGAGAGAGAGGAGGAAATGGAGTCGCGACACGTACCCCATGTGGGCGCCGACGGTAGCAAAGCCGTCGTTGCTGAAGACGAGCTGGCGAGCCCGGTTGAGGGTCTCCGTCTCCCTCTCTGAGTCGTCAAGAGCACAACCGAATTTAGACAGTCGGAAGAGGGAAAGATCAGTTGATCTGTGATGCGTATGTGAATGCAGTTGAAGGAGATCTACGAAAGATGTGATTTTTTTTGGATACTTGATATGGGTTTGTGGGTTTGTGGAGTTGATCATCTTCTTGCCTTGGCGATGACGATTCATGTGGCCGCCGAGGGCTTGGGACTTGCAGAACTTGAGGGAGCAGAACCTGCACTCGTATACGTTGCCGCCCTCCTCCTTCCCTTCCTTCCCACACTTCTTCTTCTTGAACCCTGCATTGAAACCTCAGCATGAAGGTCCCTTCTCCTTGGTGTAATAATAGAACAAAACCCTACAGAAACCAGACCAAAGTCACCGCCTCGCCCCAATGGCGCACGATCAAAATGCAAACCCCATCTCTCTCTCTCTCGCTCTCTCTCTCTCGCTCTCTCTCTCTCTCTCTCTCTCTCTCTCTCTCTCTCTCTCTCTCTCTCTCTCTCTCTCTCTCTCTCTCTCTCTCTCTCTCTCTCTCTCTCTCTCTCTCTCTCTCTCTCTCTCTCTTTCTCTCGCTCTCTCTCAGTCGCTTTCTCTCTCGCTCTCTCTCAGTCGCTTTCTCTCTCGCTCTCTCTCACTCGCTCTCTCTCTCTCAATCTATCTATGTGCTCTCTCCCTGTCGCGGGTGTGTGTGCGAGTGTAAGGGGGGACGGGGGGAGGGGAGAGGACATCTTACTGGTGCTGTTGGCAGAAGTTGCAGTGGTGGTAGAGCTCTCCTCCATGGTCTGCTTCCCATATTCTTCTGGCAGGTTGTTGAGGTCCAAGGGGCTCCCTTCAGATCTCCTGATGAAGACCGCCATGAAACAGATGATTAGAGACTCCCGCAGGAGGGAACGGAAAAGGAGATGGGAGAAAGGAGGGCCGAATGGGGACTCTTACATCGCCTTGAGTGGTAAAACAGGGGGAACTTCGGCTCGAGGGTGCGGAAAAGAAAACTTAGAGACAAAGGACTGCTGTTCGAGACAGCGCCATAACAGACCGACTGTGACAGTGGGTGAGGGAGAGAGAGAGAGAGAGAGAGAGAGACGGGCGAGGGTTTGGAAGTTCTCTTCCCGTTCTCTCAGCCCAGCCGTCACAGCATGAAACCCTTTTTTTCATCTCTCCCTTAGTTCGTCTCCTTTTAAATAATTTATATTTCTTATTGCTCATGGCCGTGTAAGATTAGAAGATGCATTGGTTTCTGTGACTGCCGGACGACGGAGGTGCTCGAGTCTTTAATAGAGATAGAGATAGATACAGAGAGAAAGTGAGAGAGAGGACGAGGTCTTAGAAACTGGCTGGCTTCCTACAAACCCTAGCCTATCTACCCGTCCCTCGGCTGTCCCTGGTGCAGAGGTCATTGTATGTCCAAGTGATAGAACTGATGAACGCATGAGGCCTCCCGAGGGAATGAAGAACCCATGAAAGCCTCCCACAGAGCCAAAGCAGACCGGCTGCACCCCGGCCGTCAGATAGAGCTCTTCCCAAGGCCTCCTCTCAACGCCTTCCACAGCCTCCTCCCCCTCTCTGCCGCCGACTTGTCGAAAATGAGGCGGCGGTGATTAGGGTTCTGCGGAGGATCCGGCAGTGCCTTAATCATGAAAAAAGATTTGCCCATGGAGATGGCGATCTCCGTGTCCTTTTGGCTTGTTCTAGCGCCGTGTGAACGAAGGGAAAAGATGGAGAGAGGAGAGGGGGTGTGAGCTCAATAATACAACAAGAGCAGGAGGGGCAGAGAGCAGCGTGCTGCAGCAGAAACAACAACAACAACAACACGGCCCTTGAAGGCAATAAAGACAAGGGCACCCCTTACAAAGCCCTGCTGCGGATATTTAGTTAGGAAAGGTGGAAGCTTGCCCGGCCCTACTCTAGAAGACCTAATTCACAAGTGGCCCCAGCTTGTTCTGGCTAGAGAGAGAGAGGGCGAGAGAGAGACGTAGGGATAGAGAGGGCGAGAGAGAGACGTAGGGATAGAGAGGGCGAGAGAAAGACGTAGAGATAGAGAGAGAGAATCTAATCAGCAATCTCTGTCTGAACTCCTGTGAGACACATGCACCCTTGGACCCTCCACCTCTTCTGATGCTATCAAACACATTTTATCTCCGTTATAATCAACATCATTCATCCTCCTCAACTCCATAACCATCCCGTTACTGCCGTTTCTCTTGAAGCTCCTTCCTAAGTTCTACCCTAACTACTCTATCTTCATCGTCGTCGTCATAAGTTTAATACGTTTATTGCTACTTTCTCCTTGTGTCCATCCACTCTTTGGACATGGTTTTTCTTTCGTAGGGTGCAACTGTGGTGAGCTCTCCATTCCTCCTCTGAGCCGGCCGCCTTCAATCATCTCTCATGGAGTCTGCCCATCTGTCTGCTCCTCATCAAGAGCCCAACTACTTCTCTCATTGAAGGTTCCCTTCAACTTCCTACTGTCTGATGGGGCTCCAGGAATCTCCGACCCGTTCAATCCGACCAATGAACAGTCAATCCCAGCCCAGCAGATGATAGAACGACGATGGGGAATTGCAATATCTGACAGTGAACATCCCCGATAGTTCTTCATTTGGGAATAAATTCACCAACTAGGGCACTGGCACTGAACGGTACATATGCTTTGAGAAAGACCCAAAATGGAAAACATCGTCTTTGATCAATTATTAAACAAGCAGGAGATTCTAAGGGGCATTATAGGGGGGAAGGTTGGCTGATGTTACCCAGCATGGAGTGGCTTGGCTTATCGAGGCATGAGCTGTCTACTATCGCTGCGAAGTTTTCCATGTTTAGAAAATAAAATAAAAAATAGACGGAACTCATTTAAGGATTTGCAGGTAGCTGATGATCCTCTCTTGAGCAGACTTGCACATCTGAGGTTTTCTAATAAGTAATCACGAATAACCAACTTGAAGGTCTCTAGAAGATAGGGATCTTGTCCAGTGATGTCCATATAGAAATGAAACGATTAAATGTGGGGGTGAAAAAAATGTTATTAAGCGAAATACTTCATGTAGTTTGGCTTGCACCGTTGGATTTGACTTCTAAATGGAGAGAGAGAGAGAGAGAGAGAGAGAGAGAGAGAGAGAGAGAGTTATATTGGTCCTGATTTTCTTCATCGCGCAGCCTTAGACGAGGGGTTACTGGGATTCGGTGGGATATTGTTGAAATCCAAATCCGAAGTTTGCGTCACGACGTTTGCATAACAAATTGGATTTTTTTAGAAATAGAGATCGATAGATATATAGAGAACGAGCAAGAGAGAGAGAGAGAGTAATAGTAATTCATCACTTCATAGATATGATCCTCATATTTTCGAAGGGCTTGTTTCCACCTTCAGTTTAGGACGATTATTTCATATCCTCAAAGCATAAAACCATTATACGATCGACAAAGATACATTTTTAAGGATTAAATTTTTGGAGAAGTCATTGAAGGGATATGAAGAAATTATATGGGATAACTAGGAGGAAGGTACTAGTCTTGATGTCTTTCAGCTACTAAAAATTATGATTAGAGAGTTTAGTGATGACGACCAAGCTAGAGCATTGTATAGGCTAGTTCATTGGTGGTTGATTATACATTTGTATTTGTTGTAGAGTCCTTAGAGTTTCACAATATTAGAAGCAGTCAACTTAGAAATGAAAATATTATTGTGTCATATATGTAGTTGATTTAGTATTAAAGATCATGATTTGTCCCTTTTCCTCAGACTTAACAATATTCTACACTATGATTTGTCATTCCAATGTGTATATTTATTTCCTGATCTTTCTTTGGCTATTTTAATTTTACCACCATAGGTAATTAAGGCTGAGTTTTCTCCTACTTCAAGCTCAAGGAACTTAGGAGTGTTATTCATCACTTGTCTTCTCCCTTCTTCACTCAATACTTTATAACACATTTATTCAGTTATCAGAATAGGATCCATTTTTAAGATTTGGCTCCTCAATAGTTACTATTCATTACTTAGGCCAACAAGTAATTTAAACTCTTTATCTTCTTGAAGGTGCCTCATGTCTTTTTTTGATCATCTAGACAAGACCAGCCCCTCATACATGGAATGAATCTAACTCATCCCACAAGCTTAATAAAGTTACAAAATAATTGACTAACATTGACCCTTGTTTGGGCTTGTGAATATTAAAGGTCAATTGATAACATCTCATTACCCTCTCAATGACCAACATTTCCTCAAACGTTTTCCACATGTCATATATCCTTTGCTTGTGTACGATCGTTTGCCAGATTTTTGAACTTCTGAGTTTGAGATCCATGACACAACTAAGCTATTCTCACGAAACCAAACCTCATATTCTAGATCTATTTTATGTTTGGTTCCTTGCCTAAACAAAGTATGTGTGAAATTTAATATCCAGCTCCGATATATAATTTTGCAGTAGCAGTCCACGTGGCATAATTATATTTCATCATATTTATGCAAGTAATTTTTAGATTTTATCCTAAAATTGAAGAGTGAACCATTGTATTCGTGTGAAATTATTGGTTGGAATTTCCACAGAAATATCTAATGACAAGATACCATTAATCTTGTCTTGTGTCACTGCTCTTTCTCCTAGATTTAATAGCTTCAGCACACTGATCAGGTGTCTAGAGTGTTCAATTACTCAGATTGAAAGTGTGGAATTAAATCAGGGGTCAACCATTCCCGAATTGATCAAACAAATAAGGAATACAACTATGACCAATAACAAAAGTTACGTGATGAATCTTGTATTTTAGTAGCGGATATCTTCAAAACACATTATATTGCAATCTTCTTAAATAAGATGATTGATAGTCATAAAACCAATTTCAAGGGACTTGAGGAATTTTTCCACACACTTGATACCATATGATTGACCTTCACATACTCGATGATACCTATTTTGAGGAGAGGACAAGATCAAACTGAGCTGGAATATGCCCTACTCCAATACATTTTAAAAGGCAATAGAAGGAGACTAGTCAGCAAGAACAATAGTACAAGGAGATCAATCAGCAGGACACCAATGTGATAAAGCAGGCTGGAAGCCTAGAGAGACCAAGAGAAAGAGAGGAATGAGAAAGGCAAGAGAAAACTTTTCTTTTTCTATTACAATAGTTGCCCTAGGTTAAAGAGTGAGCTCCCTCAATTATAAAAGTTGAAAAAGACAAAAAAACGAGACCCATTACCGGAAATCTCTCCATGAGGATGAAAATGTCATCAATGATATATTTCAAATTAGTTTGGACACATCTAATTTGGTACCATTATAGTGTTATGATATGCCTACTTGTATTTGAGTAGTCAACTACAATATATGAAGCCAGATACTGCCTTTGCACCCATCAATTAGAGAGAGAGAGAGATACATGGATTGGGGTGTGCGAGAAGAAAATGTCTCACATTTAAATAAATATCTTCTAAAAAGTTACCTCAAAATTAAATTATGTATCAGATTCATTAGTGATATTGAGCAAATAACAAGTTAGTTGCTTATTTCATTGGAGTGTGCTTCCACCTATAACAAAACAAGGTTGTTGCATAGTCATTTAAGGTAACTTCGCAACACTTAAGAAAGGTCTGGGTCTGTGGCAACTATTTTCAATTTTCTATGTCTAGTTCATGCCATTTAGTTAAAAAGTAAAAATCTCAAATGATGGGTAAAATCATCAAGCTTTTTTTCCACCAACATTATTCTAAGTTCAAAGTTTCTGCAACTTGATAATTTCTTTACTTTTGGACTCTTATTTGGGGGAGGGGTTGATGAGTTAGTCATATAATAAAAAACTAATAACTGAATGGGCATAGTACTGAATCTAGTAGTAGGAGCTCGAGGTATTGGTTTAGATAATACAATCAAATGACAAGATTTACCTGTAATGTGTCAAAATATGGGATAAGTGTGTCTATTTCATTGATATTCTACCAAACTTTCTAATACAACCAACAAGTGAAGCAAATGATTGACAAAGTAATCTAAATCCAATGAAAATGCCTGATTCATCAAAAGATTGAAACTGGTAGATACGATTTGAGTGTTAGCTCATCTCCTCTGTCTGCACCACGTCAAAGCTTGTAAACCCAATATCAACCAGTAGTTTGAGCCAGCTATCATATATTTGGTTTAGAAAGGTTATGACTTTGGTAACATTGTCAGTGAGAAGTTGATCATGATATGCAACCCTTTATCTGTCCAAAATTGTTCTTTAGCTTACCATATTTGTCCATCTCCTACTCACATGCTGGTAATTAGGAGCATCCCACATCAGTGATAATCTGAAATAGCGAGAGATTTCATTCACATAAAAACCCAGACCAACATTCCAACTTAGGAATATTCAATAAAAGTTTGTAAAATCCTTGCCTTGAGGTGAAGCCTGTGTCCACTCGTTTGAGATTTAGAATATGTCAATACAAATCATCAGAGCTTCTAACAAGGTATTTCCAAAAGCACATGCGCAGGCATCAAGAGGAGCTTGATATCATTCAATTGGCCATAAAAATTGAAGTTAAGAGTATGATTCAAACCAAAGTTAATGTCTAGATATGTATACACATACTAATCCAATCAGTTAGATTATATAAATTTATATCAACCTGTAGCCACAGGTGAACAACGAGTTAATAATCCATATCCAAACTAGAATGTAGGAGGCTTGCTTGTAAGGATGATGCTGACACATGGACATAAGAGGACAATTTCCGCAGTAAAGTATTCCTCTGCAATGTTAAAAATCAAGATGAATGCAATCGCATTGCACAAGAGTATATCAGAAAGGATTTCTATTAATGGGAAAAAAAATATGCATGGCCAACAGTATCACCGGTAACACATTACAAGAGAAACAAGACTAATATGACTTCAGTGAAAGACATCCAAACCAGGCCATTTTTGCCAACTCAAGCACCTGAACACAGCAGTAGAGACATTTTATTGTGCCTGATAAGGTGGGAGGGGAAAGCTACATTCTATTACAAGACCTTGTAGAACTATTAGGACCGTGAGAAGGCAGTCACCCTTCTGTATCAAGATAAGCAGGGCAATCCAACAAGAGGGCATTGGCCAAAATAGAAGAAAGGCATAACCGGAGACGAAGGTGTTTAAGAGGCAACTGTGAGTCAACGGCCCAGCTTTCTATATTCCTCTTCCGATGCATGCAATCAAATAGATATGGAGAATGCATGAACAATTTAACCTTATAGAATTCTTCATGAACAAATTCCTGCGTACGACTTACAGATGTTGAAAGATTTTTTTTTTTGAGGTATTTCCGTTAAATTGATAGATCATCAAGTATGTATATCTGAAGTATAGTGCCTGAACAGCCAGAGATCCTATAAGTACCCATAATCCAATTGTAGCAGCTTCAGATATCTCAGACACAACTGGACAAAAGCACTACCCACAAGCCGTCTTCAAAAGCCCATCTACGGTTTTCAAAGGGACGTTCAATAGTTAAAGAATCATTTAAATATGAAAGGAACTTCACCACCGGAGAAAATAATAACAGCAGTTATTGGTTCAACAAAGGGTCAATACATGAGCCAAAGCCATCTCAAAAACAGGATACAAGAAACGAGTGCCTCTGCATTCAAATTTCACGTAATGAAGACCTGTAATCCGATACTTTGCTGGTATTCATACAAATACGTTATGTGCAGGATTACATTCACTGTACATATGAAAAATTTGAATCAAGGGGAAAAATATTGACAATATCAAATAAAACTACCAAAAAAACTGATGTTTTATCATCAGTGTTCCAAAGAAGTAACAGGAATTTGACAGCTTGCAAAATAAACAAATAAAAAAATCAAATTGAACAGTTGATTTTGTTCTTTGACAGTTTGCGTTTTCCTTTATGCTTCTTCTTGCCCTTTGCCATAAAAAGCTGCTCGCCCTCCAATTGAGCCTCCTCGTGCATTTTTCCCCAAAGTTCATCAAATAGGTGCTGAAACTCCTCTTTAAACCAGCAATGAATTTCAGACCGAAGCAATTGAGGATTCTTCCTCCAGACCTCACATAAGATCGCCCGCCTGTCGATTATCACATTCCCCAGCTTCATCTTCTTAAGCAAATTGAAGACCCTGCTCTGACCCATGGACTCAGGCCTCAAGATGATCGTCGGTGAAGCAACAAGATATCTCTGGATAGATCTCAAGCAGGGCAACACTCCTCCCTCCAACAAGGCACATGCAAAGATGGAAATACGAACCATTTCATTTTCTGCTGGTATACCATGCAAAGGAAGCTGCCAAAGATGCGGACCGAAAATTGGGCTGACCCAGCACAAGACCTGGTCTTTCAGAGAATCATAGCAAGGCCTTGGTTCCAAAAGAGGTGCAGAGAAGTTGCAAAGGGCACTAGCATACTTGACGAGCCACTCTGGCTTCACTGCAGTTACACCGTGCAGATATGGTCTCTTGGTACAGAGCAGCTCAGTGTACACTAAAAATTCTGGTGGAGTATGAGAAACAGAAGAACCAGGGTGAAGAAAAACAGTTTCTCCCAGGGCACAGGACTGATATCTAGCGGCTCTGACTTTATAGTCCTTATCGGAAGACTTTGGATATGCATGGATACGTTTTGCCACCATGTCTGCCCATCCAGCGCATATAGCTTGCCCCACGAGTTCTTCCTCCTTCATAAGAAGGGGTTGGTTGCCTGGAGCATACCAAGCAGATTCCACATCCTCTGCGCTTCCATAACACCATGAAAATTCCTCATCAGAACCACCCAGATGGAAAATCAACTCGAGTAATTGCTTTCTCAACTTAGACATTTCATCCATAGTTTTGAAATGCAACATGTTCTTCCTACAGAATTCCACCTTTTTCACTTTTGTTCCTGCTATATCATGCAACTGTAACAAATATGATACACTCAGTGCATCACTGTTATGATTTCTAAATCTAGCATGGTTCTGTTTGCCTGCTGCTTCTGGTTTTCCCAGCCTTTGTTTCTTGCCATCTCTCTCTCTATCTCTATCCAACTCAATTGTATCTTCATTATTATTACCCTCAGAGGGAATAATAAAAGGATTGTGAAAGCTTAATGCAGCTGCAGCAGCAATTGCATACCCAAAGACCAAGTTAGCTCTAGAGTAACCTTGTTGCAGTCTCATAATTCGTACGAATGATAAAAGCATGCGAGAATGACGGGGACTCATTGGATACCGTGACATCGCCCTTCCAACATGTGTCAGACATCCTTCACTATCAAGTGCCTCCAGAGCTTTTAGGCAACGATCAGCTTCTGAAAGAGCAGTAGGCAGAGGTGGAGTTGGGAAAGGAAAATTCGCAACCTGGAAAACATGAAATTATGTGTTAAGGAGAAAAAGTGAAAAGTGTCTGCAGAAAACAAAGCACAACAAAAAAAATAAACATCCTTAATTACCTTATTAATACCCATAGACTTCATGAGGAGAACAACACCGGCGACGGGTACTTTGGTAATTTCAGGAGAGGAGAAATCAGCAAAAACATTACTAAAAATTGCAGATGAATACAAGCGGTAACAGTGTCCAGGCCCTGTCCTACCAGCTCTTCCAGCTCGTTGAGCTGCAGATGCTTTACTTATCCACTTAACTTCATATGCTGCCATTCCATTCCGGTAGTTATAATTCTTCACCTTTTCTCTGCCTGTGTCAACAACATACTTTATACCTGGAATGGTTAAAGAGGTCTCAGCCACATTGGTAGCAACCACTACAAGCCTCTGACCTTCGGGCGCATCTTTAAAGACACGAAGTTGCTCATCAGCTGGTAGCATTGCATAAAGAGGCAAAACATATAGACCACTATACATGTCACGAGATTTTGCAGCCGATTCCCTATCACAATTATCCTCAGACCTTAGATTGCTTCCCCCATCCGCAATGGCCTCGAAATGAGCCTTGAGTGATGCAAGACTCCGGGGCTCACTAAGCAAATCCAATACAGAGTTGGATTCCTCTATAACTTCTTCTTCATCAGACTCCGAAGAACAAGAATAGTCATCATCTTCCTCATTTTGAGAGATAAACTCATCAAGCATTAAGTCATGTGAGTTTCCACCGATTCTAAATCCATCAGTAATCCCTTCCTCATTCTCCTCAAGGATTTCAGTGATACCATTATTCGCCCTAATGTCCGTGTTGCTTGTTTTGTGTAATCCTTGTGATTCTTTGCGTAGCTTTTGGCACAAGTATTCAGCTTCGCTCTTCCCAGTCACAAAGACAAGTATTCCACCAACCGGAAGAGTCCGATGAATCTGCATCACCTTCTTTGAAGCAAGTCTAATATAATCCCCATAATCCCCCTTTTTTGAGAAGTGAATGGTCACAGGGAATTGCCTTGTTGGAACCTCTAGAACAACCGGTGGGTCATGAAATAATCTTCCATCTGAAATGAAGTCTTCAACACGCAGTGTAGCACTCATGAGAACAAGCTTCAATTGAGTTGTGACATTTTCAGAGCTTGTTTCTAACCCTTTGTGCATCTTCTCTTGCTGCTCCATAAATAATTTCTGCATCCAACGCATACAGCATACACAAAAAAAGTTATGAGGCAATAATTTTTGTGGGAAATTGAAACTTTTACAAGAAAATTCTTACTTGACGCAGCCATACAACTCGAGAAAGCATTCCAATAAGGATATCCGTGTTCAAACTTCTCTCATGAGCCTCATCTAGAATGATGATGGAGTATTGCCTCAATAATAAATCACTCTGCATGATGTGAATTAACGCAATTAATTGAAAATGAGTGGAAAAGGGCAATCATTTTCATGGAATGCTAACAGAAAAATGACGATAGCCATCAGCTTGAGAATGCTATATAGAATAAAAGAATTTAAGCAGAAAGTAGGCATTAAAAGGACTAGAAACATTCTCTCTTAGTTCAAATCCATTAATGTTATCGGAAATATATTGTCAAATAAAATAACATTTATTATTTACTTCCTGTTTAGTTGCTACATCCCGAGTTTCAAGCAGATGGCAAGCAACTTAAGAGATGCCAGTATATCATGTTGTGCGGCAATTTAATTTCCTAGCAAGTTCTCGAAATAATATTAAAAAATTACAGCAGACGTCAAACAGACACGTACCCATAAAGACTCATGAACAGGGGTCACAGTGAAATTGAACACAAGCTACTGGAGCATCCTGATAGGACGCCACTCAGTCCTTTTATACAAGCTCATGCATTGAATACGAGGTTATCAGAATAAATAGAAGCCCCTATGTAGAGCCCCCAGACTAACAAGCTTATAAAATTAAATGACAAAATACCAAGTGGCTCAAAATGGAATTAAATAGGATGATCGCCTAGAAGTGCTAAGGACCAAAGCGAATTTAGTGGGCACTGGAAGAACAATGTAGATGCAAAAAAGGAAGCACATCAAAAAGATAAAGTTTGGAATTTGATGTTCACATATAAAAAATAATAATATATCAAACATTTAACACAAAAAATACTTTGACCAAATAAACATCCTACAAACCATATATATCTGTGAAACACTTCGCCTTAAAGAGAGAAAAACTAGATAGAGCTTATGAACACATCTGTCAAATTTTCAATAGCTTTTTGATTGACAGAAGAAAATCGTAAAACATGCATTAAATAATGACACAAATAACAAAACTGTATCCCTGTGTAAATTAGCAATTCAGACAAAAGAGACAATTTAAGACTTTTGCTTGAATATTATACATGAGAAACTATCACACTGCAGGTCATAGTTCACGCAGACTGTGGAGATTAGCAGAGCGCACCAGTATTCATGTGAGACAATAAATTTGAAGAATGCTCTAATATTTTATTCAACGCAGGATAAAAAGTATAAATACAAATTGGGAAACATATCAAAGTTTTAACCAGGTTGGAAAAAAGTTGTTCAACTGCCAATCTTAGAAAATAATCCAGTAGATGATTAGCATGATTGTCTGACGCCACAAAGAATAAACAGCTCTTTCAAACAATAGAGATCAAAACTTAGGATGATCACAATGCATACTTTCCTTACATTCTTTCTCTAATTATTTAAAAGGGAAAAATGAAAAACCTGCAATTCGCGCAGTAAAATTCCATCTGTCATAAACTTGATAGAGCAGTTCTCTCCTATCTTTTTCTCATGCCTTACTTGATACCCAACATCTTTCCCAAGAGGAAGATTAAGTTCATGAGAAACTCTTTTCGCAGTAGCAAGCACAGCAACACGCCGGGGAAGAGTAATGCCTATTTTTCCCTTTCGGTTACTACTGCCTCTTGATCCATACCCAGATTCATAAAGGAACTGCTTGTTTATGTTTGAACCAAAAACAGAAAGTAGGAACGCAAGATTAGCATGACCATGTATTGACATACGAGAAAAGGGCACAAAAAGTCAGTGGTTTGAGAATACCTGTGGAACTTGAGTTGTTTTCCCACATCCTGTTTCCCCACAGATGATAACAATAGAATTTCCATTTATAGCTTCCATTATCTCCTGCTCCATCATTACGATGGGCAGGCCTCTCCTTTCCTCCTCAATACTGCTGGACCTTAACACGTGAACAACACTTGGAGCCTCAACAGTTTTGTTGAAAGAAAGGTCTGGGTGAACAACAGTCTTCACATGATTGACATCTGAGCCAACTTTTTCAAGACACTTCACAAATATAAGAAACGCAGTGATTATGTCAGCTATTGGGCATATCAATGTTAAGCACAAAGGGAAGAAAGTAAATTGTCAAAGTTCCATGCAATTTTATCAACATAAAATTGATTCTTCTCTAATAACTAGTACAAGAATGATAATTAAATGCTTATCATCATCATCTCAACATGTCCATGCTCAAAGTCCATGAACCTCGGATACCCAAGTAGAGAACATATGAAAGACGGACTGCCTGGATCGCTAAATGGCCACACACTAGAAGTTGAGACCTGCCCTTGCCCCAACGTGAAATTCAGGAAACTATGCATCAAAAACAAGACTTTTCACCCCAGATCATTAGCCACCGATTAGACTACATCCTTTTGTCATAATTGAAAGATGAAAAGCCCAAGAAGCTGTAATTTATGGAGATGTGCATCATAAAAAGTATGAATGCATAATTCGTGTTTGAATTGTTTCACATGGGTATGACAGTATGGTTGGCATCTGTGTCTAGCTTGGTTATGGACGTAGCTAACCTGGAGCGTCGGCCAAACCAGTCCTTTTGCGGGTGAATTGGATAAATGCATAAGTATTCATGAACTGAATAACTGGACACCAAAACAAGAGTAAGAATGAACCTGAGAATCAGCAAATTTTGGTCTTCTGTTGCATGAGGGAAGAATAGGACCGTTCCTTTGTGTATCTACAGTCCCAGTATCATTGTTGTCAACCTCTGGAGTAGGTGGTAATATAGGTGATCTCCGATCTTGAAAGCTTTTACACGTCATGTTTCCATCATTATCTAAAACGTGAGTACTTTCCTTCTGTTGCAAGCGAATATCAGCAGATGATTTCTCCAAGAACTTCTGCTTTGGGAAATGTTCCATGGAATATTCACTCTCACAATCTGTCACCGGCTTGCAAGCGTTCTTAGAAGACTTAAGGTCCTCAGACACCTTCAAACCCGCTTTAGAGAAATTCGCAGCTCTTAAACATCTTTTCTTTCTGGACTCAACCTAAGAAGCATAAGTGGAAAGAAAGTTTTAGAAGAATTTTTTCATACATCATTCAATAAATCTGTTGAAGCTACATACCTGACCAATGGTACCTGATGAATATAAAAGAGCATATGCATTGTCGCATATCTCGTGCTTCCTGAGGAAAAATATATGATCAATTAATAAGACCATCAAAGGAAATATTATAAACATAAAAAGTATAAAAAAGCTACGATTGATACATACTAAAAGCAGCATGCATGCTGAAAACTAGTCATATACTTAGTCACCACACCCTAAGACAACATGCATGGCTAAATCAAGACCAACAGAAATAATCATACTTTAGTAGCTTGATGCTTTCAGATTCCAAGGCCATTCTCTTTTTCTTTTCCTGGAAACAAGTCCAAAAGGAGGAATAAATAGAACGAATTCGTGGTTACATTAATCACAGTAGCCATAAAAAAAATACAAACCTGCAGCTGCTTCAATTTTCTGTCTTCACTTTTACTTATGTCTGGCTTAGGTCTCACAGAACCTTCCTGATGCACAATGGACATATCTCATTTCAGGAAGGTTCAATAATAAAAAGAGGGTTACAAAGAGCGCTACTGTTAGGGAACCATAATGAATGATATTGTTGAAATAGTAGCCAAAGAATATTTCTTCTCTTCTCTGATACCTTGCTAACAACTTTTCTCTTCTTCTTTTTGGTCCCAGGCAAGAGGATCATATTAGTATCGTCTCCCAATGAACTACATAATTTGCAACATAGTAATGTGTGAGTGCTCATAAGGTCACCCCAACATAGTCTTGGGTGAAAATTCAAAAAGATGAAATCCTCAAAATCTTCTTACAATAATAGACTGTAATATATCATCCAACGAAAAAAAAATAAGACCACAGAACAATCAATTACAAGTTTTCATTTCTGAAATATCCCAGAGCAGGGTAATTTTATAGGAGATCTCAATTTTATGAGGAAATCAGTCCATACGCATCCTGTAATGGGTATCATATATTTAGCACTTGCATCAAAGTTATTTCTTGCTTTATTCTCCAATGAAACTGGAGGGTATGATTTAATCCAGCATGTGTAATGCTGAAAAAATAATGCACAATGAAATTATTACTCTACTCGGTGCGTTTTTGTTTCCTAACAAATAGTCGAATGATGGGGAAATTTGAAAGCAGGAAAGTTAGACTTCACCAGATGATTCTTCTGGGGACAGTGTGACGATTACCCGTTTTAGCATATTCAGGGAAATGTGGCAAACCCAGCAGTGAAGGAACAGGAATGCCAGATGGATGGAGGACTCACAGATTCAGCGGAATTTGCTCCTCCATCACGCACGCTTTCTGCGACCGCGTGAGTTGGGAGTGAACGAATGCCGGACGGCAAGTGGATGGAGTAAAAAAGTAGCGCCTTTTACAACGCTAGAGCGCCGTTGGAACCTTTGAGCCAAAACCCGGTAAATGGTCGAGGGGTTTCACCCCGCCGCGAAGAGAGGTGCCGGCAAGGGGAACGAGAGAGAGAGAGAGAGAGAGAGAGAAGAGAGAGGCGCTGGCTGGGGAACCAGCAGGAGAGAGAGAGAGCATTAAACCCTGGAATAGAATCCAATTTCGGTTCTGGGAGGATTTCGGGTCATCTAATCCGTTATGGGCATGTCCATTACCGGATCATTATCGGATTCGCGTAACATCGACGCGAACAAAATCCCGCGCAGGGCCCCCCTCCCTCTCTCTCTCTCTCTCCCTCTCTCTCGCCAAGTGTTGTGTTTTCTCTCGCTTTCGCTGAGGATCGCCGTGTTGCAGAGGAGCGGCAAGAAGGGAAGACGAGCTAGCGGCGCGGAAATGGTATCGTCTTCCTTCTTTGCCGTCATCTCTCTCTGGTCTCTCTCTTTCTCCCTGTATTATCCTGATTGAGAAATCGGTGAGGAATCCGCGAGTACGGGGTGATCAATTACTGATTTCAGTGAGTTCTGATCAGCGGGTCGCCCAAGGATATGTTGCTCTCTTTATGGAAATTACGCGGCTATGTTGTCCTCTGTTTCCGCTGTGCTACTGTCGGGGAACCTGCGTAAATACGGCGGGAGAGGTGACGAGTTTTGGTTATGTTTTACTCAGAACCTTTTGCTGGCACTATCGCGTTAGATTCCTTGATTTGAATTCTTCTCGTCCAAGGGTTTCCGAATGGAGTAGAATCAGAATCCGTCGTGTGGGGCACAGGCTAGATTCCGATCCTTTGGGAGTTTCATGGCTTGGGCCTCTTCATCTTCTCGCCATCTTTCTCTTGTTTTACTTCCTTTCCCCCATCAAACTCGTGATGATTTTGATGAGAATTTTTTAATCCGCCTGCTCTTTACCCTATGTTTTTATCTGACGTTGAATTTGGCTCTTCGCTTTTTTTGTTCTGAGGTAAAAGAACCCGAGAGGTTGATAGGGAGTACATGGGGTATGGAACTATGATTCAGCCTAAGTTATCGTATTTATTGTCCGTCTATTTATCGACTCTTTATCGAAAAGTGGGTTGTTGGATTGGACTAGGTTCGGAGAATTTCACTAATGTGTGATGATTTTACATCTGTTCGGGTACTTATGCGATCAGATATCTCCTTATTGGGCGCTCCCAGTTCATGGCTCTTGGTTGTGGAGCACATTTTCGGATGAGGACTTTCCAATGAATGTCATAAAGCAAACTAGCCCCGGGAACGAAGGTTGGGAAGATATTTAGTTAGGCTCGACTGGTGACGAAATCTTCCCTCGGCTGAATGAAACGTATTTCTCTAAAGAACTAGCTATACATATATACTTTTTTAGAAGAAGATTTTCCGAACTTCAAATTCAGGGAAAAGCATGAAATCAGGATTTTCCCTGTGCTTTGAAGGCACAGAACCGTTTTTGGATTTCGATCTGCTTCCCTTTATCATTGCACCAAGTGGCATGAACACCATGAGTGCCGTAGATTCCTTTTCTTGTTAAGTTGCAATGGGCAGATTGAGTGGTAGAGATTGGCGTTAGAATTTCAACAATGAAGGGCAACAACAAAGGCGAAATGTGTAATTTCTTGTATTTTAATGTGTAATCATGTTCACAGTCCCAAATTGTGTAGCCATGACTTATGTCTCATTATCTCTTTTTAGGATGATCCTGAATTAGAAGCTATTCGGCAGAGAAGAATGCAGGAACTGATGGCACAGCAGGGTGTTGTAAGTGATGTGCTTCTTTATTTACCGAATTATGTCAACTCTATCTCATTCTTCTGTATGCTTGTCATAAATCACCTCTGATTTATCAGTCTACGTCACTAGGGAAATCAACAAAATGTAGGGCAACAGAAAGCTCAGGACGATGCCAAGAGGTGATTTTCTCTTTTATTTTTTGGAAACAACTAAACATCAAGGTTTTATACGCGGTGATTGAAAGATATCCAGTCTCTGTGCTTCAGATAATGTGCTTTGAAGTGTAGCCATCTGTGTTGGTGTTTTCTGCAGTTCATCAAAATAATTATTTTTGCCAATAAAATTTTCAGGGAAGCAGATGAGCGGAGACAGCTAATGCTTAGTCAGATATTGTCAAGCCAGGCACGAGAAAGACGTAAGTTATCAATTACTAGAAGAACATGTGTTTGACACCTCTTTTCTTCTTCTAAAGTACCTTCTTGGCACGGTACAGCATTACTCTTGAAATCCGTACTTAGTCCTAGTGAGCAGTTTAAGATAGAAGAAGATGATGCCGGTACATCAGAAAACTCCTCCACAGGGTCGTACTTTTGATCATATATTCACGATGAAAAATGAAAAGGTCCATACACCACCCTTGAGAATTGCATGTCCTAAAAATATATCACGATTTCCATGGGATTTTCTTCTTGTACTTCAAACCCACATTTAATCAAAGTGGATCAATATCATTTTCCCCATTTTACCCTCCTATTTCTCTGATAAATACATAGTTATTGTTCATTTAGAAAATAAAAGAACTCCACACCAGAACATGTTTTTTATAGCTTGATATCCCTATGTCAGACCCATACGATGGTCATTTCCTTCCTGTCCCTTTGAATATTTCATTTCCTCTACTTCCCTGATTTGCTCATCTCCCATTCAATTTCGAGTCTCTGGGTGCCCCAATTTAGAATGGCGGGAGTCACCCTAATGAATATTCATTCCTGGGATGCCATACTAATACTGTTAGATGGCATAATCCATTTTTTGGTATTCCTTCAGTTTTTTCGAGTGGTTGGTGATAATATTGTTGTTAGGCAATCTCGGGACGTTACTAGTATTAAATTAATAAGGATATTACTTTTGTCACCATTAGTTACACAGCATTTGTGGTGATCAATGTGTCAGATTTTTCTAAAGTTGGAGTTTGGCATATGAAATTGCTAGGAAATACTGTGGATCTCATGCAGTCCTTTTATTGTTAAGGAAGAGTAATTGCAAATCACGGCATAATAAAGTTGAGTCTGACGTAAATATTACTTCTCCTGATGTACTCTGCATCATCCCTCCTCCTATCCCCTCTGTAGCACTACTAGGTTTCTCTGGTGGGAAGCCAAACTTCTCCTCTTTCTAGTCTTAAGGTAAGAGAAAAATCCTTTTCAGTCATTCCTTTCTTCTCATCTTTCCCAGCTATGTCTTCCTACCTGTCCTAGTGAATGGGATGTTTACGTTATTGCTTCCCCATTGAGCTATATTTTTTTTTTTGTGTTTCTCGTTAAAGGAATCATTAATGGGTTACTTCTGATAAGTTTTAGCATCATGTTAAGCGTCACCACCTGTAAAAGTGTCACGCATCATTTGGTTGCCTGTCCATCTACTCAAGGCCCATTTTATTCACCATTTATACGGAAAGGCCCATGGTTTTTTTTTCTAGTCATTGCGAGGATATTTTTAGCACTGTACTATTCCTCCCACTTTACTGCTTCATCCGCCACAATGGTTTTCGCCTAACACGAGAGTAATTGACGGAGAAGTTGTCTATGATCCTAGTTGTTAATGCGAATTTGTGTCGTTATATTATTCACTTCTCCTGCTTACACAACTTTGGTGCAATACAAGCGAACCTTCACCAGTATTTCTCGTCCATTAGCTAATGAACTTAAAAGGAATTCGTAAAATGGAATGAATCTAAGTCAATTGCAGCTTTTGCTCCAGCTCCTGGGTTATCCCTATCAGCAACCGATTTTTGTATATTAACATAACAATTGTGCATTCGTTTGAAAAATGTAGAAAAGGCCTTGGTATGTTTCAGTTCTTGACTGTTTTGACGTGTTTAGTTTACTCTGTGTTGAACTCTCTAGGATTGTTTTTCCTTTCTATCTGTTTCTTTTCACTGTATTTTCGTCCTCTGTCATTCCCTATGTTAAGTGGATCCATTAGACTGTTAACGGATCCACTTAAAGACTGATGTAATGGGCCTGGCCCATTAACTCATGTAACCTGTACTTAAGCGGGAAACCAAGATAATTGAGTTAATATTTTTGGGATTGCGGAAATTCTGCTCCAAGAAGTGGTGGTGACTGATTCATCTTCCTGGAAGAGGAGGATCGTGAAGATCGAATCCTTTCATTCTCCAAGTTGCAAGAATCTCAATCAAGATCAATTCTCAACAATCTGTATTATTAAAGACCAAAAGTAGCTAACAAGAAGAGTTTTCCATCGTGATGAATGCTATTCGTGAATTGACAATGCTGAGGATCTTTCAACTTCACGGGATAACTGTTAGTTTTTTTTTTTTTTCTTCAACAAACTCTGCAGTGTTGCAACAGGGTTTAAGTTGTTTGTTCTAGACATGAGAATTTTTCGCATTATCCGCCCTCTGGTACTCCAGTATTATATGATGTTTGATCATGCCCAAAATTGTCATTTCTATTGTTGCTAGTTGCTCGGATCGCTCTTGTGAAACCTGATAAGGCAAGGGGAGTTGAAGATCTCGTCCTCAGAGCTGCTCAGATGGGGCAGATTACAGAGAAGGTTGGAGGATAAGGAAATTTTCAGTTGATGCATTTTTCTACTCCCGTCTGTTCATTCGACTGATCTCCCTGAATTTGTCTCATTTTCACCCCATCCATAGGTATCTGAAGAGAGGCTGATATCTTTGCTTGAGCAGATCAACACCCAAACGAGTAAACAGACTAAAGTTACAGTAAGTTCTCGATAAATGAGACATTCAACGCCATACAATTAGCATGCCTGCCCTGTTTATTGAACTTGTAGTATATCATCGATTATGACAGACTTGAAAATTTTGTTCCTCAGATTCAGAGGCGTCGAAGTGTGCTTGAAGATGATGATTAGGAGGAAGTAAGGCGTTGTTATCTACATATCACTTGTGAAACTGAGCGGAAATCGGGGGTATTCAGCCTTCTATTTCATGATCTGTGGTCACCCAAGGTCGATTTTTTTTTAATGCATGGTTTGTGTTGTGAAACCATAAATGATGGATTTATCTTATGCAGTAGCAGCATGTCTTCGTTCAGTTTCATCTTAAAAATCTTATGTGTTCTTATTTTTTGGCATGCTTTCTTCGGTGTATCTTTTCTCAGAGGTTGAAGGGTTCCTGAGATTGTCTCGAGAACAGAAGGTAGATTATTTTTTGAATGTTCAGGGGACATTGAATGAGGAGATGACCAATAAATATCCCTGGCCCCGGCTTCTGGCTCTTTTAATTGATCAGTTATTTTGCATAAAATTAGAATTGGGAATTTCTTTGAGCCTTACTAAAAAAAATAGGGCTATATGTATATATATATATATATATATATCTCTCTCTTCCGAATCCCCTTTATTTTACTCTTTTTGGCGGGTCTTTATTAATCTATTTTAGTCATTATTCAGTACTTAGAGTCAGAAAATGATTTTTGCCATCCTCAGTAGTCAAAATGCCTCTTCTATCCCTCTCCTTGAGCAGCTTGCAGTTCGTCAACTCCCTAATAAATGACGCAAACTCTGGTGCAATTATTTATTTCGTCTAAACTTTAGATACCCATATTAGAGTAATGTTGCCCTGAGACTGGATAGATCCAGAAGACTTTGATATGGGTTATGATTTCTGAGGGGTCTCCACGGGAATTATTTAATCCCCATTGGAACATGCTAGGAGTAATTCAAGGTGAGATCTTTTTATTTTGCTCGATTAAAACCTTACAGTCGTCAAGATCTCTCAATAACTTGCGTCAATCTTATTCAATATCTTTACATTAAATAATAAGATGAAGCAATCTGTCAGAGATTTAAAACTATATTTTCAATCTATTTTATTAATTTCCCCTGTGAATCATGTAAAATTCCAAATGTGGCATGGAAGTGTAGTACTTGGACAGATTCTCTGGTCTAATGTTTTTTCTAACTTTAGCTCGAGAGAAAAAAAAAGAAAAAAGAAAACTTGGGCCCGTTGACTATCTGGGCCACTATTGACCTTACTACCTCCACAGATTTCGGAGCCTCAGCTGGTTTACCAATGGCTAAACTCCCCCCCTTAACCCCCATTAGAAAATCCCCTCTCTGTGTCTGAAGAATTAAGAGCTTTCTTGGTCTCCAGTCCCCAGAATCATCAACGAGCCTCTCTGCTTGTTTACCATCATCTCTAGTAAAAAGCTCCCCGAGAAATAAAAGAACCCTAAAAATAATTATACCCAAGTATGAGAGATATATGGCCTGAAGCATTAGCCCTTGGTGAAACTGATCGAACCATACAGATTATGATACATGTAGAAGGGATTATTGGCTATTGCTTGCTTGCAACTAGTAGAAGCTTCGCCATTACAGCAGTAAACGCCCAAGGACAAGGTGACAGCTTCAGGCTCCTCTTAGTTCACCAACTGAAGTGGAGATGGCGACGATGAGGAAGGCCGGACATGGCTTCTGGCTTCTGGCTTCTGGCTTCTGGGGAAGGGGAAGGGGAATCAGACAGAGAGAGTGGGGAGAGGGCTCTGCTTGTCTGTGAGCTGGCTGCGGAGGAACTCGAGAATGGAATTCCTCTGTGAACACGAGCAATATAGAAGCCTAAGTTAATACAAGTGTAGAGAGAGAGAAAGGGATGTATGTATAGAGAGATGATAGAGGCATGCCGCCCATTACCCGTTGCTCCAAGTGGGCTTCGCTAGGGTTCAGCTTCAATGGTTCGAGGCATTCAATCGCTTCCTTGAACCCATCGATTGCGGCATCTTCGTTCCCGAGATTTCGATCCGTGTCGGCAATCTTGGCAAGGGAAATCGCTACATCCAAAACCTGGGTTTAAAAAAAAACCATAAATAAAACCATAAGTAAACCAACATAAGGATTATTTAGTAAAGTTTTTATCTTGGGTGATGAGAGGATTGATTTAATAAGCGTTTCCAAGATCATGGGCTTTCAATCCGAGATGATCAATTCGAAAAGAAGAAGAGGAGGAAAACCATGAAACAGCTATTGATGGTTATTATGATCGATCGCTTGATGAGGATTGTCATAAGTAGAATGGCATTTCAAATTCCTGACCACAAATCAAGAACAGGGAAGAAGAAGAAGTAACAGGATATCAACGTCAGAATCTATTTGAATTTTGGCAGGCTTTTCTAAAAAGATCTGGTTTTAGTCGAAACTTTGAAGGAGATCAATGAGAACATGGAAGTGATGCACGAGGTGCCTAAATTTAACGAAATATAGTCTTCAACAAGTTTATGATTTTAAAAAAATCATCTTGAATTGTAATTTGCATTTCAAATTATCTACTCCAATGAAAATTCTCAATCCGCATACTAGGGCAAGGTTTTGTCCAGAAAACTATGGTTTTAATTGAAATTTTTTTTCCACCTTGGCCTAGAAACCAGATGACTGAAAAGCAACGAACATCAACATTCCATTCCTAAAAGAGAACAGCTTCCAGCATCATCAAGCAATTTCTTGCAACAAACGATATGTTCATAATTCGTAAAAAAAAAAAAGTAAAAAAAAAAAATTAAAGATTGCGGAATTTCATGCCCTATACTATGTTTACAATCCAAGCCATGAAGGAACCCTCTTTCATCAACCCAGATTTCAAGAGCATAACCCTAAATGCATAACTATTGTGCACCGTCACAAAAATAAATCCATCTTTACCATGCAAGATTAATATGATGGGTACAACAGCGACCCTTCCATGAACAAAGATATTCGGTAGGTTTCCCATCAGATTGAAAGTCTCATCACACACTTCTTCTTCAGCTTTTCACTCTCACTTTACATCAAACCGAAGCAAAAGACTGGTAAAATAGTAGTTTAGTCATATTTCTGTTTGGGGGTGTGGTACAGTGCAATTTGTGGAATTTGAGAAAGTAAAAGGTGAGTGTGAAATAAGGAAATCTACAGACTTGAAAGAAGAAAGAACATCCATTTTAAGATGGATACAATAGAGAGGAAAGTAATGACAACTAACTTCCTGACCTGCGACAGGACATTGGGATGCTGCTTGACTGCACTACGCCGGAGATCCAAGGATTGTGAATAGGAAGCTCTTGCAGCTTGCAGGTCGGCATCATAATATTTGAGATCTCCAATTTTGTTAAGTGAGACAGAAAGCGTATGCACCACCTGTAAAAGGCCGCAGTCACCATACAAAAATCAGCAAGACCGCTATTGCCATAAGATGGATGTACCGATATCTATGCGAAAGTAAGCAAGAAGGGGAAAGTGAGGGGAGAGAGAATAGAATAAAATCATTATAGCTTGTCCTTTTCCCCTTGGAGTCGTTTGAGGTGACAAGCTTCTACAGGTTCATGCTCGTGCGTTTTCTTTGAAAGAATGTTCCAGAGAAAGCGTTTCAGCATCCCCCCATCCAGTTATGGTACAGAAACTAGAGGGATGATCTAAACCATAGGCGAGAGAATGGCAGACTGCATTAACCTCGAGATCTTTAGAAGGCAGCTTCGAAAGAAACTTGACACTTTCTTCAAAATAAGAAACCGCGGAGCTGGAATCTCCCATTGCCCGACTGCAAGATACCACATATGAGACAATATATTTGTCAGCACATGATTTTAAAGCTTTTTATGAAATTTATAAACCAATATATAGAATTAATGAAGAATACATAGAAGAATGATAGATTTTACTCAGAATGTATGCGTCAAAGAATCTGACACGAAACAGCATGACCTTTCACGAACCTTCAGGTTGACAAAACACTAAAGGGAAAGGGAAGGAGAACATAAAGCACAGCATGTCGCGTATACAACGATTAACTAAGTAAATAAGCCAAGTGAAAAAGCTTTAACATAAAAAACTACCTGCCCTAAACATCAGTAAATTGGGCAATCAGTTACGATCTTTAAAATATATAACATTAAAGGTCAAGATTAACCATGACAAGAAGGAATCCATTTGCTGGCTCATCAAACAAGGCTTTCAGGGCCATTGCATTACCAGAAATTTGTGGCCTGTAGTCCGAATGATATTTGGCCACATCAAAAGGCTGTGAATCTAAGATAAACACAAGTATTATAAAAACAAAAAAATAGACGCAATACCAGCAATCTCCGAGCATCCCGAGAACAGCCCCAAGTTGTGAGCATAGCTCTGCAGTGCTCCCCAACCTATCCAACTGCTCATTGATGTCATCTGCACAAAGAGTAAGCCTGGCTTTTGCACTTTCGAAATTTCGGGCACGGAATGCCTGCATGAGTCATAACAGTAATCATATTTTTTTAATTTCTAAAATATGAAAAAAATCATTAATAGTGTCATATATCTAGGATTAAGTCTTCCTCAGAACTCACCCTCATTGCATGTTGTACCAAGAAAGAACCCCTCTCTAGTGAAATGTCCTCATAAATCACTTTTTTTTGTTCATCTCCAACTATGCTTGTATCTTCGTCAACCTGGGACCTCTTGATTCTAGCATGACCTTCGATAAAGCAGTCAACAATAGACTGCAGTTCTGAGTCAGGCTCGATTCTCTCGATGTCAGCACCACATAATGGGCAATCGTTAAAGCGAGAGATGCATGCTCTGCACAGAAACCATTAATAAGTTTTCACTCAATTAAGAGACATATAAGGGATAACCATCGCCAATACTCACTTGCAAAATTTATGAGAACAAGGAATGCACTTGCTGCTCTCAAACAGAAGGGCTTGGCATATCACGCAGCTGAGAGGACCCAACTTAAATGTATGGGAATCATAGCCAAATGGACATTTTGGGGAAATAACACCCTTTTTATCACCATATTCTGCCTCATGTTTGTCTTGCTTTTCCTCTATTTTCCTAGGACAATGCTCACCAGCGCGGGCTACATTAGCAAAAGGACAGAGAGAACTCATCTTCTTTGAAAGTCCCTGAATATATAAACAAAAGATGGTTAATTATGTACAGATTAGAGCCAGTTTTCAGGTATGAAGAAAAACTAGGAAAAATGATACGATGTTCACACCCACAGAGAACTTTTGACAGTTGGAAAGCATTGCTAATGGGACCAAAATCAAATTCTCGCAAACTTATTTGTGGCTTCAACATCAATCATGGAAACAGAGTAAATACTTTTAAAGATATCAGAATGGGGAACAGGATTCTCGGTAATGGAGTCTTTTTACCTCCTCCTAGCCCCATCCTAGTCAAGTATCATGTTCTGTTCATCTATATCCGCGTTCAAGTTTGGCTTTATAGCCTGATGATCCACACCACCATCAAGGTAACCACAGCTGTCCCCACCACTGCAGTAATTCCTCTTGACTCTGGCTGGTCATCTGCCTTCGATTTGGATGCATTTATTTCTAATCACGTCCAGAATTCAAGGTAGAAATGTCTCGTCTTTATGAACAAATATGCCCCCATGAAACACTGTCTAAGTATACTCTAATGCACAGAGATTTCTCCATGATAGATCGAGCAATCGTGTCTCTTCCTTCGAGGAACATTACGTGGTTGAATGGAATCTGATAATACCATTATTTAATGATAGGTTTTGTACAAGATTTGATCTAGACTGTAATCTTCACTTGGATACTGCAAAGCCTACCTTACGAACTGGAGACTATACTTATGCTAATGAAAGTTTTCTTTCCCACAGCTGGTTGGGGTTTGAAGCGCCTAAATTTATAGAAGTCTAGATGATAACTATCTTAAGTTGCATTCTGGGGCCATTGATGAAGCAAGACCAATTAGTATTGCCACTTGGAACCTTATGCCACCAACAGTCAGACGTTGGATTTTCCAAATCACCTTTGGCAGAATCTACCAGGAAAAATGGCATCATTTGACTTCATATCCCTTTGGTTGTCATAGCATCCTCTGGGAAAGGCCAGGATGAAACAGCAGATAACATATAATCAAGATAATGTCCTTTTCAACCATCTAATCAGATGCCATCATCAATATCTACCAAATCTCAAATGATAAGATTAAGTGATCCCTTTCATGCCAATTCAGTCCTTCAATACAGCTTTTACAAACGCACCTAATTTCGCATATTCATTTAAATGATTTAAGCATTATTTGGGGGCTCTAATCAAGGTAATGTTGATTTAACAGAGAAGGTAATCACTTTCATATAATTTTTTTAGATATGATATCTATAATTTCCTGCGCATCTATCTAAATATCATCCTGTAGCCATCCTTATCTTCCTACCATACAAACAAGCTTCACCAAAATGAAGGCCAATTTCTCATAATATAATAAATTTTAAGCATAATTAAGGAATATTGAGATACTCTGTCAATTTAAAATAAAACGTATTGGGTCAATCCAATGGAATCGTTAAACTATAAGGCTGCAATAGGACTATCAGGTAAGAAGCTTTTAGACTGTACTAGAGCAGCCATGGGTTTTAGTTATTTTATTTTCCTATTTAAAGTATAAATGAGATTGTTGCTCATGCATTAAAGTTCAACGAATGCACGCACCTCAAAAAGAGCTCTAAAAAGTACGTAAAAACACAAAAATATTAAAAATTTAATGATTTATAAACACAAAAAATGGTGAAAACGACCGAAAATTGCATGAGAGAAAGCGCCACAACCATCAAAGGGGCGTAAGGAAATCAAATGTACAAGATAACACGAGAGCCAACACCTATCCCCATTGATTCCAGGGAAACATTCAATTCACTAGTCCAGAAATATGATTCACTTCTTTTCAGAAAAGATAACCACTTCTCAGCGCTCCTTTCCAGTTCAAACGTACGAAGAGCAACGAATCCGTTAAAACGGGGCCCCCACGGAATTCTCCCCTGTTCCGGAAATTCCGCCGCCATCACCATCCTCAACATTCCCCAGCCCCAAAAACATCTTCCTTACCCTCCAGCGACGAGATCACAGGTCATAACACAGAGACCTACAACCTTACCCATCTCTCCTCCGTTCACCGACAAACAAGCTACAAAGAAGCGGCGGATAGAAAACCTTCAATCCGATCATAGAAACCCATCGAGATGGCCGGAGCATACCTTTCTCCGGAGACGAGCGGCGGTGGGATCCTCTCCCTCCGACCCCTCCTGCGTTCCCCCTTCGCCTATCAATCCCCCCCCTCCACACGGTCCCTTCTTCTTCTCTGCACCTCATGTCGCCTGAAACGCAAGGATCTGTTACACATATACACCTCTATTAATGGATAAATTACATAAAAGCTTCCTTAAGATAGATTTTGTGTACATTGAGTCACCCACCTGCCACAGAAAGGCGGCTAGTTCAAATATTTGGATATATACACAAATACTGTTTCGTAGGTCTTATTTAAGATATATTATCTAAATATAGGCGTCCTGAGCGACAAGTGGAGCGCTTTCTTGATGGAGGGTCATCCTCACAACAAAATCGGCGGCCCAAATCCAATGATCTGTTACAAATATATATCTCTATTTTCTAATAAAGTACAAGAAAACCTACTTAATATGGATTTTGTGTACATATCCTCGCCTACGTCCCGTAGAAAGGCACCTAATTCAAATACCTGGGGGTCTATACACAAATATTTTTTCATTGATCTCATTTTTCAAATATTATTTAAATAAAGGGGTCTCAACGCCGCAGTTTCTTGGGGAGTCATCCTCATAGCAGATTCGGAGGCCCAAATCCAATGATCTTTACACGTATATCTCCATTTTCGAATAAAGTACAAGAAGGCCTCCTTAATATGGATTTTGTGTGCATAACCTCGCCTATACGCCGAAGAAAGGCGCCTAGTTCAAATACCCAGGGGTACATACACAAGTATCTGATCATGGGTCGTCTTTTAAAATATGATTTAAATAAAGGGGTCCCAACGCCGCGATTTCTTGGGGGGTCATCCTCGTAGCAGAATCAGAAGGCAAACGGATTCCGGCCTTGCTGAGGCCCAATTTCATTGGCATTTGATCCATTATGAGGCCAAACTTTGCATAATACGATTTGGGCCAAATGCGCCTGTTCGCCTGGGCCCATATTCGTGGGCAGACAGGACTTTCCGTACTTAAGAAAATTGACACACAAAGGAAGCCCAGACCAAGATCTAAATCGAGGAATCAGACCCAAACGGGATGAGATTCCATTGTAGTACCGGGGAAATTTTATGAGAAAAATATTAATTATAATTTATTTTCTATTTAAGAGAAATACTTTTATGTGATATCGGAAACACTTTCCAATATTTTATATTAAAATAAGAAATAAATAATAATAATTTGGTAGTCAGAAATCTCCGGGTTCTCTGGAAGACTCAGTAATTATCATTTATATCAGTTATCAAGAACACAAAAATTACTAACAAAAAATCCTATTTTTAATCAAAGGGAAAAAAAAAAAAAAGTACCCACCGAAACCCTGGACATGATCCTAGAAAACCGGTTAAAAACTGTTTGGGGGAAGGCTGATGATCAAGGATGAGCAGCTTGGATTGTTGCAGAATCACTTACACTTTCTAAGATGAACTCTTTAATGGTGGGAGAATATTTACTAGAGACTGTGGAGAGAGAGTCAACCATCGGCAGGTATTAGAAATGAATTGGTTTCAGGAAAATATGGGATTACTTGAGGGATAATCTATGAAAATAATCTCAGGTTTCGTTGGTAGGATTTATTGGAGCCTCTGTTGGTCTGCTGATGGGCTGTCGATCTGACTGATCCGGTTTGGAATCCTCTGGTTTGGCCTCGATGATGCTTGCGATTCTGCAAGATGGTGGTATTTACATGAGAAATTCAGGGCTTTTGTATGAGAAATGAAGCAAACAGAAATCATGTACAGAAATCAGGCAGAGAGATACTACTGAAACGAGAGGGTATGTGGTCAAGAAGGTCCAACCTCTCTCTCTCTTCTCTCTCTCTCTCTCTCTCTCTCTCTCTCTCTCCTTCGACACTCATGGTTTGAGGTTACTGTCTAATGGGTACTTTATGAAATCAGATAGAAAGAACAAGGTAAAGCCTCAAGAAGAATCAACTGACCTCCTCCGGGTTCTGGAAATGTCCCCAAGAATCAGTGATGCCTGCTGGACCCTGGAACTCCTCTGCTCTTGCTCATTTTCCATCAACAAAGTCGACGATTTTAAGAGCAAGGTGAGATCAGTTTCAGCTTCCCTGAGATGCCCATCAACATGCCACAGAAAATCATCGAAACAGGCTATTTCCCTCAAGAAATTCCCTTTTTCATCGCCGTCCATTGAACTGCTTCTTCCAGTTTCCTCATCAAGATGCTGTAGATTCTCCCGGGCTGCATCTATCTCATCGTCAAGGCGTGAATTAATTTTAATTTGCCCACCCATTTTTGAATCCTCCTCAGCAGCATCACCAGGAGAGATTGGATTAATAAGTTCACTCGCATTTGCATCTTCCCCAACAGATTCACTGGGAGAGCTTGAATTAATAAGAACACTCCCATCTGAATCTTCCCCGACCTCATCACTTGGGGAGATGATGTGAACTGGTTGCTGAGCATCATCTATGCTAAATTTCATGTGGGTGAGGTTTCCAATTAATTGCTCCTCCTTCAGAGATATTGCCTGAACATGAATTACGGACTTGATACATCAAAAGGAGAGCCCAAGAACTAATAAAATCTTCTGTTTATGGTAGAGTGAAAGAGAGGGCTGAAGAACCCTTCTCAATTTTGACCCAAAAACTAAAAAAAATTCAGTTTATGGCAGAGTACATAATTAAAGATGAAGAATGCAGGTTAATAACGGCAAATGCAGGTTAATAACATGTGGGGCAATTCTCAAGGAAAAAGATGAAGAAATGGAGAGGCTAAAAATTTAACATTTGGATCCTTTAGATCCAGATATGAAATTTCAGGACATGCTCGGTTGGTTCAGGTGTTCTGGATGGTCAGATGCGGTGGAGCCTACCATGATTTCCGTATATCAGTATGTTTTACAGGAAAGTTAATCATAAAAAGAAAAATAAAACCATGGATGAAGGTTAAGTGGAATGCAGCAGCAGCTGGAATATTTTCATTTTTATTAATATTTGATGATCAGGTATTTTTGATGATTCGATCAAAGAAAAAAAAAAAAACTGTGACTTGGAAACATTCAGATTTAAAGAAGGCGATCATCTGGGTACAAGCCAAAATAAAGAAAATAGCCAAACAGTAATCACTATGAGACGAACAAAATTAGCTCATGAATTCCTGGGTAGTTAAATTTGATTTTAATTTAAATTTTAGTTTTAATTCAACGAATGCATCAACTTGAAGAAAACCGAGAAATATCTCCAGATGCACAAATTTAGCTCATGAATTCCTGGGTAGTTAAATTTGATTTTAATTTTAATTTAAGTTCTAATTCTGTGAATGCATCAACTTCAAGAAAACCTAGATTATTTTCACCACTGGATTGAAAAGTAAGTGTATGGGATTCAAGATACGAGTAGAATCTAATGGGAAGCATTGAAAAGAACAACGTAAGGAAGCCCTAGTTTTATAGGTCAGATATGAGGGTTCAGAATCACAGCAAGTTCTGTACCTCATTAAGCTTTGAAGAAAGTTCGTCAAGCAACTCGATGCGGTTCTTCGACCTATCCAAAGCTTGCATCACCTTCTTCTTCTGTAGGAGCAGTTCTCTAGCTTCATTTTCTTTGCCATTCTGAATATCGACTGCCGCTCGTCTACGGAGCTTCTCAGCCGCCTCAGACAACCGCAGGAGCCTGAGCCTCGCGCTGTTGGCTGAACAGAGGAGAACATCACAGAACATGAGGGGAAATCCACCCTATCAACCAACAAGATCACAGTGAATGCGCGAAGAGAATCTGTAGTTTCTATGCTAAGATACAATTATCGAAGAATTTTATGTTTGTTGTGCATTCAAAGAGGGAAATCGACCAGCCGTCACGATTGCAGATGGTTCATGCGAACATCGTGAACGAGAAGAGAAGCGAAGAAGAAGCGAAAACCAACCTTTCGACCTCGTCAGCTCGGCTTCCTCTCGAAGCAGGTCGAGTTGGGTTCTCAGCTTCTCTGTCCCGCTGCTGCTACTTCCGCTCGCCGGAGCTCCAACTCCCGCTATCACTAGGAATGGCGTCGTTCCCCTCCTCTTCCGCCCTCCGCTGCCCCACCCAGACGGGAAGATGCCACCTGTCTTCACCCATCCGAAGCTCGAAATCATCTCTCCCTCTCGCTCTCTCTCGCTAACTCCCTCGCCAAATAGCATGACATGAAAATATCTTCTTGGACGATACAATTCCAAAAGCTCCTACGGCGCTTGGATTTTCTCCAGACCCAATAGCTCACCCCCCCCCAGATTATCGGATCCTATCCAAAACGGATCCGAACCGTAAGCACAACGCTAGGCAATGGCGTGTGCGGGCGACACAACGCGCAAACGGCAGGCTCGCACAAGTGGCTCGACAAGTGCAGGCTGCACGGCACTCCCAGGTGGTACGGCGGCATGGGCACAGGTCACTCGGCAGGTGCATGCAGCACAGCAGGCGCACACAGTGCAAAGTGCGTGTGCTACGGCCGTCCGCATGCGTAGGCGGTAGGGAGCGCGCAAGCGGCTCGGCGCGAGCAGGCGACACAGCGCGCACAGACATTCCCGCAGAATGGCGGAAATGGGCGTGCACGAAGGCCCTGTTCCTGTGCGATGGCAAGAACGTATATCCGCTCGTGGCATCTCAAACCCTAGAAGACTTGCAATGCCAACAATGGGAGATACAAAAGCTTCAGAGTCAATTCGGAACGACCGTTACAGCCATGTTTCCCCCTTTCCCATGTGCCCACGTATCAACAGGAACATGATTATCGTAGAGACCACTCAGTGGATAACATTCAAAGCTCTCATGGCTATTTAGCAACTCCATAAGAAGAAGAGGGGTAGATAGAAGCCTAGAGTGAGAGTATGCTCCCAAATCTAACAAACCTCCGTCGACAGCTACTGGAGCACTTTGGTTCATCTTCTGAAGGGAATATGCACGAGCAACTATTTAACCTACAACGGCAACATTCAGTGTCAGAATATTAGCATGATTTTTATCAAAGGCTTGTAACCCGATTTCTGAGCAGAAGTTCAACTCGTTAATCTCATCGGTCTTCATGCAATCATGAAAGTGACACAATGCGCCGAAGAATGGAACCTTACTCTCCAACAAAAATCTTCGTGTCCATTCACCTCTAGGAGCAAGACTAATAATACCTAAACAGTCACCAGCATGCAGCTAATTGACCCTCCTCACTACCACCTAATTGACTCTAAATATACGAGCAATGAAGGCTGAATGCAGGCATGAAACTGACATTGTGACATGACGGCTGCAAAGTAGCATTACAGAAAGCACAAGCACACGAATGCAGTAGCTACAGGGAGTGGAACACGGAATGGTGCTGTGCAAGTGGCACATACACGTGTCCGTAGTTACATGAGACATGGTGTTAGTGTGTAAGGGCAGTGACACGATGCACACATGCGAGGGGTATGGTAAGATGTGAGAGCATAGTGGCGCACAGTGATGCATAGTGACATGTGGCACAACATGCACAAGATGATGTTTAGGCATGTGACAAAGGGCATGAACATAGACAAGGACACAGTGCAGCATAGATGTCACAAGGCGCTTAGTGACACACAGCAACGTGTTTTATGTCCGAATATAGCGATGCATGGCACGGCACGACACAAAATGATGTTAGCATCCGACAGCGGCGTCCAACACACGAAGAGCAAGCATTGCAAATTGATAAAACAAGTGGAGAGCAAACGAGTGCGAGGACGCATTGAGAGCACCAAGGGGGAAATGTACATGGAGCGCCAAGTGACGGGCGCGGCAAGCTCACATAGCACCAACACGCATAAGTGTGCAGAGCACCAACGAGAGAGGGCAAGTGAAAGGCCTGCGAGTGTGCTATTGCATAAGCAAAGAAGGAAAATGGGCAGACCATCTTAAGGCCAAGCGTCGTGTGACCTAACCCCACTCTCCCCCTAGTAAATAGAGATGTTTTGTAGTTCTCAAGATAATGATTGACTCACAAGTTGTTCCCACCTCTAGTATGGTCGATCCTATTAGTGTGAAGTATGAAAGGCTTCTCCCCTTTGAGTGTTTGTTCTTCTATGAGGTCCCTTACACGCAGTCAGAGGTTGCTTGGCGTCAGGAAGACAACCAAGGTTGCGCTCGGTCAAACAATGACTCCATTCCTTTCACCAATGCATGCCCTAGTCAGCGACCCTTCAAGCCCTTCAACCCTCATCCCCCATGACCATTATTTCTCAAGGATTAGTCAAATCTCTTCACTAGTAATGCCACAACCTGCCTTAGGCCTAGCACGTGCCGCACCTGTGCGGTCTATGCATGCGCTCACACCACATTGTGTTACACCGTGCTGATGCCTCCGCACCACGTCGGCGCACTATTGCGAACAAATGCCTTTCTTTTTCTCGCATGATGCTGTGCCACTACCTTACTGATAGTTCACGTGAAGCCACTGTCGTCCCATGCAAGCCGAACGTAGTTGACATCCCATATTCCACACACTCCGCACAAGTCATGCTCCACCACCATACGCTCCCACACACGCAACGCTGTCTCGCGCATGCCATGCCAAGCCACACCGTGTGCTAACGCACCCACACACTCTCAAGCACACAGACGGGACTGGGAAGCCCACGAAGTGCCACAGCTGCCACCCGTTAGCCAATGGGGCAAGCCCACCGCTATGCTGGTGCAGCCTGTGTAGAGCTTGGAACCCTAGGTAATAAAGTAGAGTTTCATACCGTGGTTGTGAACCATTACAACCAACGGCCATTGCTGATTTAAAGCAAGCGCCAAGACATCATTTGGAACACAGAATAAAACTGTATAAACTCAGACTGGTGCATGCAAGATAAATTTACTATTTTCAGATAATTTTGTTTGGCTGGTGCTGCAGCACAGTTGATTTCTCAGCTTAACATCGGACTCAAGCATGCCCAGACGAGCCCCGGATGAGAAAACCCCAATTGAGGAACGAAATAATCCAGTCAAGATTAACCAGTATTCTAGCTGCATCGTTTATCATCTTATGACCCCCAGCCCGGCCGAGATTTTTTGGGTGAAGAAGGCCCCCCAAGGCTATGGAAGATTGAAAAAATAAACAGGCTGTATTGGATAGAGCAAGAAAAAGGGCTGAAATCCCTGGAGAGGAGCTTAAACCAAGAGCGTATATGCTGGCTGGATCGACAGAAGAGAGTAAAGACTGCATTTTGTTTTAAAGAGGAGGTTAACCCTATAAGGAAGTGGAAGAAGAGAGAGAGGGTTGGCTAAGGCTGACTCTGCTTGGTAGAGGAGTCTGGTGGGTGGGAGCGGAGTTGAGTCATTGGGCCGTCCTTCCGCCCAGTGAGGATCATGGAGATCTGGAGGCCCCTGCTGAAGGCCTGATTGAAGAGAAGGCGGGACTGGAACTCGGAGACGAAGGGGAACCACGACAGGATGGCGATCGGCGTGAAGATAATCAGCCCCATCACGTATTCGTATGTGCGGGCAAGCTCCTTGATTGACTCCCAGAAGCCCACCTTCATCAAGAACGGCCTGCAAACTTGCCCGATCTTCCGTTGGCAGCAGCAGGAAAGCTTTTCTCAGTGAACCGACTTCTCTGGGCGTGAATTATGATGGGGATGGATTCAGAGCTCACCAGCAGTATCGCCCAGCCGGTGGGCATGAAGCCAAGGATGCCGGCAAAGAGGTCAGAGATTGTGAGGCCGCAGACGACGAAGAGGACAGCCATGACGGAGAGGAAGCCGAGGAAGAGGAGGCCCTTGAGGATCCGGAACATGAGCTGGAAGTCTATCCCGAATTTCCGCCGCCCCATGGAGACCATCTGAAGAGGAACCGAATGCAGATTCAGACTTTTTTTCCCATACTAGTGAAAAAGGAAGAAGAATCTCCTCTGGCAGTTCTTACTACTTTGCATTACTGTACACAAGGAAGAAAAACTTAAGCATGCCACCAAAAAAAAAATTGCTGGAGAAATTAATAGGCAGATTCAGAGTCTTCTTCCATATTTCCGTGGGCAGTAGGTGTAAAAGGAAAAAGAATCTCCTTGGGCAGTTCTTACTACTTTCCATTAATGGGTTATGAGGAACCCGTTTAGGGTGAGGCTGTTGTTTTTCTAAAAACTAGAATCAGTAAAAATCATACTCTCTTTGCTCATATTTTGTCAAATCGATGCAGCCACAAATCGCACTCACATGGGCACAAGACAGATTAGACACTGATTGCGTCTGATGAATTAATGGAGATAATCTAGCGGGATACATCCCCAAAGATCGTTTCCATTTTTGGGCGTGGGTATTTTTTTCCTTAAAAAGTAACATGTAAAACTCGTATATCGTCATGTTATCATTACGTGGGTAGGAGAAAGATAGGATTTTGCATCAAATATATCATGGGGGAACATGTATATATTCAAAATAAGGATGGCCAATCATACCTTCAGAACGAGAAGAACAATCACCATCACCAGCCACGACAACCCATAAACCTGCAGGATGGCAAGCAGTCTCAGGTACCGGTGCAACAGAGGAAATACCCAGAAAGAAAAACAGAAAAGGAAGTATTTTTGAGACAGACCACAACACTTTTGCTGTGATGGGCTATGTTCAGGTGGTACACAATCCCATACTGGTAGAGCAGGAATCTAAGAGCAAGGAGGATCTCCAGCACCCTTCCCCGGATGCCGGTGCACCTCAGGTGGTCCTGCTCCATGTCCCACCATGATTCCCAGCTCCTCTCGGGGGCGATCCCAATGCCGCCAAGGTTACCGACCCACCTGTTCCAGTCTGTCCAGTCATCGACGGTCTTCTGCCACTCGAAGCCCGAAGGATTGAACACGAAGGGGGCAAAAAGCCAGGAGGCCACCAGAAACCACATGGAGAAGGTCACAAAGAGGTAGATGCCCGAACTGTGCCCCGTGCCGTAGACCAGGTAGACCACCAGGAGGATGACCAGCTCCAGACCCTTGACAAAGTGGCTGCGGGAGTACATGCGGTAGTTGTCGGCGAACTTGGCGTGGAACACCACAAAGCCTCGCCCCGTGGCTCTGTACTTGGCGCCACCGTGGAGGATCGTCCTCCCATAGTAGTGGGCTTTGGTGCCGAGCTGGAAGGTGAAGAACACGGAGGCCAGTTGCAGCTGCATGATTATGAATTTGCCGAGAGCGGTGCGGAAGCCCTTCTCCAGGCCGATCTCCATCACCATCGGCAGGACAAGGAGCAGCCCGAGTTGGAAGACGGATTGGGAGGCCAGTGCAGCTTCGAGAGATCTATTCTGCTGGATGACCGGATCGTCCAAGATGGCCCTTTCCAGGCCGCTCATCACCATGTATAATCGCCCATATAAGAATGTGTATACGGTGAGGACTGTCACCTGGAAGCAAAACAATGGGCATTGAATCTACAGAGAGAAAACCAACTCGGGTATAACCAGAGAAATCCACGGTCTTTTGTTCCACGCATTTAATCAACACCAGACGCAAGAGCCAAGTAGAGAGAAAGAATTGAAACGAACAGAAGATCCGATCTTTCATACCATGCTGCTGAAGTAGAACCCGACGGTGGTGAAGTAGAATGACAGCATTCTATAGAAGTCGAACCGGTGTCCCAGACGATAGACATCTCGGCTGATCGTCTGCTCTCCATTGCCATTAGCAACCTTCGCTTCAAAAGATGAAATCTGGTTCAATCCCACATCACGCCCTTTTCCAACTTGAATATATTCATGGTGAGTGACATTTCCTCCACGTAGAGTTGAGTTGTACCCTGCAAGCAGAGATCGTCAACCATAGAATAATACCCGAAAATAATCTATCAATAAAATAATACCTGAAAATATGTCCTCGCTTAGATTGATGGTTTTGGATGCTTTACTGATGCCGCCTCTTGTAATGTGAAATATTCGATCAAATATATCAGGATGCCCATAGTGGAAACGAACCCTGAAAGTCAACCAGTTTTTCAGCCGTCCGATCAACCTACCTTTTCTTTTGAAAATAATCAACATAGAAATACGCCAAAACATATATATGTATATATATATATATATATATATTAAAACCCAGACAGGAAATGGGAAGAAATTTAGAACATGGTTGTCGGCTTAAAGACAGCCCAGCAGAAAATGACCTCGTCAGAGACAAAAGGATAAAAATCTGAAAGAAGGTAACAAATTGACCGAGAGTTTAAAAGACAGATAAGGAAAGGTAACTCTTTCATGCATAAAGATTGAACTGAATGGTAATTTCTACGCTAAGATAAAGCCAGATCATCCAACATCGAATAGAGCTACAAGATAATCAGGTCTCTAACAGCAATACTTGATGGGTTGGGATCATGCCTTTAAAATCATAAATTAAACTGACTGGTAAACATATATCATCACACTAATGTTGAATTTTCAGGAAATTCGTCATGACATTAATCCTTTGAACATAGAAATAAACAAGGGAAGACTATATTTGAAATAAGCATGAGATGAGACGATTTTTTAAAATGAACACAAAAAAAAGGAAAAAGGTTAGAAGTAGGAGCGGTAAATAATGATATTATTGACCAACCAAAAGCAATAGACAAGACATACACGTGGCAAGGTTGACCAAGAGGAATTCAATCAAGAAAATAGAGTACTCAGAATTTTGCTTAGTGCATCCTGGTAACCCAAATGAAAAGTCCCTTGGACCATCTTCAGAGCTACTCAACGGCCATGGGCAGTTTGTAAAATGATAACAGAAATCATGAAGCTGTCAATGCGCACAACACAAATCCAAATGAATATGAAGATTTTCTTCACATTTATAATGTTTATCAGCTAATGAAAAATGATTCATGCTGGCAAAGACACCAGAAATGATTAAAAGGCAGAAAGAACGAAGAATGTGACTATCACAGAGGAAAAGGAAGGAAGAGATCTGCTTACTTGAGAGGGTTTGCCAGAATTCGTTGCCCAATAGTCACAAAACTAGTCTCTTGGTTGGACATGAACCAAGCAAGAGAAGAAACACTGGTAGAGGAGGGAAAAAATATTTAGATGCTACACACTGACAGTCAGTAAGTTCAGCGAGAAGGGGAGGTAATAACATGACTGAAATCTACGAAAATAAGCATAAACTCTAGCTTACGTACAACCTTCCAGTGAAAATATGCTCACGAAGCCCTAATATTGTTGGTTTATGTTGTCTACGACGGGATTTTGTAAGCTCCTCCAAAACATTTCTCATTTTAAAAGCTTCCTCCAGGTAATTATCCTGTTCATAGTCATTAAAACATAAATCCAAACCTCTTTGGAATAACTGCAACGATGCATTTCATATAAGATACCTGATTCATGTCGATAGTTTGAAGTGCTTCGCCACGGGTGAAAATAATCGCATGATTCTGATTCTCAGGCTTTCCTTCGCCTATATCATTTGGACGACCAGGGAGTTTGATGCGATAGATTTCCTAACAGCACAAAAAAATAGGCATCGTAAATAAGGAGAGTAGATCAAAATAAATACTTGAAATTACTAGAATATAAGTTTTTGAGGAAATAACAACACATGTAAAAGGAATTCTGATAAAATATTTCTTACTATATTCATTAGGCATCCTACAACAAGAAGACAGACACCACTCAAAGATTTAATAAAAATGCTAAACAGAAACATTTCAAAATTTGAGATGAATGCTCTTCCAACATGTGATGGCATTCATGAAAATAAGTTCTATAAGCATAGGAAAGTTGCAAAAGACACTATATTACTTGTAGAAAAAAACATAGCTAGAATGAGAATTTAGGAGAATATAGAACTAAAATAATAACAAAAATAAGAAGCAAAAATTAATGAAATATTAATGAAAATAAACGAAAAATATGGTATGTTCAACTTATCACTTGAAGGGATAGAATGGTAACAACCATAAAAACGAAAACCCACAAGCTCTACAGTACACATCTTTTCGGAACACTGGATAGTATTCCAAAAAAGTTCAGTTCTTTTGAAAATTTATAATCCTCATAAAAAAGCTTTGTCAATTTGAAATGATTTTTAGAGGACTTTGAAGCATGGTTTCCTGAATCGCCATCTAAACCTGGTTCAAGGGTTTTCTCAATTCCCTTTCAAATATAGGCGTACTGTAATTATAATCATATCCTACGTTATATTGGTCCCTAATATATAATCATTTGTTACAGTAAATATAACAAGGAAAAGAAAAACATAAGCCTTCTAAACGTTTGGCATGGTACCTCATCTAGCTTTTCACCTCCTTTCACAAGAACCGAATAGTAGACTTTATTCGTAGCCTCCTCTCGCTCATCAATGTAAGCAACACGTAATGATGGATATCTGTGTTTCAGAGAAAACACACAAATTTTCAGCACAACTCCACGTTGAATGAGGAAATTACATCACATGCCGTAGATCTATGGCCACACACCACCAATGTCAATCGTCTATGAGTTTCAGGGTTTGGTTCTTGCACTAAATATCACAGACATTACCAAAATAAAAATTTAATAGCAAGATAAAAAATCCATAAAACTTACGTCAACATAAGGTTAAGAACGTTACGGTAACGATTATAATCACGTCCATCTGTGGATTTCTTTTGCATGCCATAAACCTGACATGAAACCACATATGTGAACTTCATATCAGCCAAGGCTTCAACCTGTGGAATGTGTGTCTTTTCCTCATGATAATATTTCTCTATTCCACCAGTCCTCAGACCACCTGAAGAGCAGAAACATCAAAGGAGAAATCTCAATTCTTGCACTAACTTACCAAGACCTTTTTGGGGGGGAGGAGGGTAGGTTATTTATAATTTGGAATTGGATCTTGGATTGGACCCACTCGTCAAAAACTCAGCTGCCAAGCATACCCGCCCATTAAAAACTCTAATTTTGAGTTAAAATACAATAGCAGGCGAAAACAATAAATTGACTGACAAAATAATGAAGATGTAAACTAAACAGTACAAGCACAGTAAGCAACCTGTGTCATCTAACATGTCAAGGAAACCTTGAAGCTTTATCGCATGTCTATAGTACATCATCCCCCTGACTGGTCGAAGAAAAAGAAAGAACAATTAGGGAACTACAGAAGGCAGTATAAGGCAAGAATACAAACCAGCTAGTAACCTGCAGATTACCTGTTCGGCTAAGCGTCTGTCCTCTATAAGATACCCAGTAGCGGATCTTATCCATGTTCTGCTTCAGTGCCTCTATATCTCCATCTTCCACATCTATACGTTCTAAGAAATTTTTCCATTCATCTACAGATAAGACAAGCAGAGACCCATTAACATTTATATTGGCCCCATTCTAATATAGTAATGAATAAAACAGTTATATTTTACCCGGATATATTTTTTGAAGATAAAATAAAACCGTTATCCCGTCCTCATTTGCCAAGTTAAGATCATCCTCAGAATACAGGACTTCCTCGTTGTAATATGGAGTCAAAACGCTGACGAGGAGAAAATGGTAGCCAATATTAGCTCGTAAAAGAACAAACAGAAAAAAAAAACAAGCTCCTATCAAGAAAGCTGGCTATGGTGACATATGCATTATGCTGACAGACAAACAGAAAATTTCCTGTGGCAAACATCCAAGGAATATGACAATAATCTTGACCGGCTGCTGCCAAATATTTAGTTAATTGAACCAACTACTAAGTCTCTGTCATTTATTCTTCCTACCCTCTACATAAGATCCATAGGCATAAGTCATCCATATTCTTCTCTTGATTGCAGTTAGATTTGCTAAAAAATCTGCCTGTACCTATCCAAGGTCGTCACATTCCACCTGAAATTGAACGTTGCACAATAAACGCATTAGGTGAGCCTGGTTGACAATTCTGACCAAGATATGTCACAGATAGATCCATTATTAACCCTCATCTTCAGACAAAATAGCAGCCAACTTTTGGTGAGCTGTTGACTTTTGAACTGAACAGCAATTGAGGCATGTAAGCAGAATGCTAGCACTAAAGCGCTTATGGTTCTCTGGATTATTATCAAAACTATTAGACCAACTGATATCAAGAATATTTGACCCAGCTATTGGAAATTTACCATTTCAAGCGCATGGCAGACATATTTTGTTAACTGGTTTCATGCTCTTTAATATTTATGAAGTATCTTTCTTTACATTATATTCTGGACACTTTAAAACTGTTTAGATCATCTGAAACCTGCCAATATAATATCCTGGGTCTATTGTAAATTCACTATCAATTGCCATTAGAGCTTCAGATATATCCAAGGCAATTTGGTTAGAATTTACTATACTTATGAATCGCTTTCATGTTGTTTAAGTTATCTGAAGAAAATATTGCATTCAAATCTTAAAAATAGTCCTATGATCTGGTAATCTATCAATCTGATATAGCACTGAATTGATAACAAATATTTATAACAATGAATATTTCGAAAGACATTTATTTACAGCTGAACAAAATTACCGATTCTTGCACATTTTTATTCATTGATTTAATTATATGATTTTCATTCAAGCGTATTTAAAGTATATGACTACAGCATGCCTTCCTTTATAGTCGCATTCCATGACAATGTTCCTTACTGACCAGTGATACCACCTTCTGAGCCACTAGTTCACATTTACTCTATCCCACACATTGCACTAAAAGATGTCAAATTTTGGGTACTAGTTTAAAAATAAGATAAGGTCAGTCAACCAACCAAGCCTCCAATAAAACAACCCATTCCCCTCCCTTGCTAAGAGACCAAAACACTAAGACACGGTCCTTTGCTTTGTAGCACAATGAGCCTCTAACAACCCCACCTCCCCCCCCCCCCGGTCCCCCAACATCTCTCTCGGATTATGTGTACAATGAAGGCGCCGACAACACAAGGTAAACTTTTGAGTAGGTATGAAGAATAGAAGTAAAGAGCCTGGCACGGAGTGAGCTCTCTTTATCCACTTTCCCTACCACCTTTCAGCACCCCCTCTGCAACACCCAGTAGCTATTCTCAACTCAGACAAACAGAAAGTCAAGGTTAACGATTTCTTATAGTCCTACCAGTCGAGGTAGGAGAATGTGGAATTCCCATCAATGCTCTCTCTATCTACCCCTCTCTCTCTCACCCTCCCTCCCAACCTACCTCTCCCTCTCCCTCTCCCTCTCCCTCCCTGCTGCCCTTCTTCACATGCATGCACATCTGCACTCAAATAATTGACAAAAGTCTAAATGTAACTAAAGAATTTGAAAAGTTCAGACATAAAAATTTTATCAGGAAGATTTTAATACATGTACAACAGTAGCATATCTTTTCACAAACGTTTTTTAATAGAATATTTGCGTCGTTCCAATTGAAAATATCTTTCTTCTTATTTACGCCTGAATTCTTTTCAATTTTTGGTCTATTCTAATAATAAAATCATGCATCAATTGTCGAGTGCCATTTGGGAAAGGAACAATAAGGTGCTCAAGAAAAACCTGAAAGAGAGCATGTTGCAGACTTCTGGAGCACGTGGCATGTTCATAAACAACGAATTTGCAAAGAATGTAATGCGCCGACGAGCATCTAAGTTTATCGGCACATCAATTGCAGATTCCTTGATAGTTATCAACAAATGAAGTCTAACAACCTGATATAAAAAGTTCATATTATAAGAAAGAATTAAAAAATAACAAACAAAAATCATATCACCTTTCCTTTCCATAACGGACGTTTCATAAACTCCAAGTTTATATTGGTAAAATTCTGATTTCTTTCTTCTGGTGAATTCTGATTTCTTTCTTCTGGTGAATTCTGAACAATGCTGTCGAAAATCAAACAAATAAAAACCATAGTAATCATCGACCGTAAGCTTTGACTATATACCTAAAAAAGAAAAGGAACTATAATAAATTATCCAAGACCGTGACTTACCCATATCCATTCATCATGATATCCCGTGTGATGATCTCCATGATATCCTGAAGTACATTTATTATATGTGCTCTATAAGAGTCATCTTCCTGATTTCCTTTCTGAGAAACGAATTGGGGCAAATATGATGAGAAACATTACAAGCTTAAAATACACAATAGATATACAGAAACAGAAAGGCCAAAGATTACTGTATTACCAGAATGTTTAAAAATTTATCTAGTTTATTACTGAGCTGTGGCAGTTCACTCATACGAAAGGTCCTCAGAAATCTTCTATCAATTATGCTTTTTTTTACCTCTGAACATATATGTTCTAGAACCCTGGTATATCAGATACAAAGCAATTAGAAACTGTTAAATTTTAAAAATTTATGGAACCCAGGAATCAAACAGGACAGAAACAAAAACATAATTACTCCTTATCCTTTTCTTCAACCAAAAGGTTGAAAAGTATCATTTTCAATGTTTGATAGCACTCTATGACTGCTGACCACATGTATCCATCATTCTTTATCTTCTTAAACAGATATGCATCATCCTTTCTCTTAATATCCTTGGCAATGCCAAGCGCTACAGGTATCTGTTGACAAAGAAAATATCCGCCAAGAACAATTTTTCAGTTCTGAATCAGTGAAAAAGTAAGAATCTAGATAAATTGCAAAGCTAACTAATATGTACCTTGCTGGCGAGCAGAAAGGGTGGCCACTGGAAAACATTTATGCCATCTGAAGTATACGACATAAGCAATAGATCCTTCTCCCTGAAATTGATATGAAAAATCAGAAAAATTTAAATCAAGTGATAGTTACTACTAAAATACAGCCATTTAGGAGCAAGCTCAACTTATTGCTGATTAGGTCCTCAGTCCGTAGCGAATAAATGAATTCATTCCACACTTGCGAAAAAATTGCAAAAATTCTTTGACCAGAAATTGTATCCTGGTTATTCAAAACCAAAAATGTTAGGGGAAGATCAACTGAAGAATAGTTAGTAACAAGTAATGCATGCTCTTCCTTGAGACCATAACTGGTTAGAGATACTACATTATTTATGTTGACTGTGAGATAAAGATGTTCAGAAACTAGAGAGAAATATAGTAAGAAGGTAGTCCACATAATTGGAATTTCTTGGTATCCAATGGATTTCTCACTAACTGACTGAAAATATTACTATCAGATTGAAGGTATGCGAAATGGAGATAAGCTATCAATAAAATTTCTACTTAAAGTTGGGAGTAGCTAAAATGAAAAGCTTAAAAACTGTATAGAGAAACAAGATGAGAGCAAATATTATGTATTCTTAGGTATGTGGCGGAGATAGAAATCAACACGGGTGAAGTTCATGACAGGTATCAAAGATTTACAAAGAAGACCAATATGACTACCAGGTAGAAGCCGGTAACCATTGTTTGTGACAGACATAAAGGAAAAAAGTATACTAATAATAATATGGTCCCTGTATTTGTGCAAATATGGCAATGCTAATGATTGTTTCTGAAGAGTGCCGTCAAATTTTAATTAGGACGGTGTAAATGCTGATGATGGATGAGTATATTTTCAGATACACAATGCTCAACGCTCATTTTGTTGTAGAAAATTCACTCCGTAAAACTAGCCATTGAAGCTTATCATAAACGTAAACAACGAAAGAGTATTACCGGTTGATGACTTTCGTCTTGACCCTGGGTAAGTGGCACAAGAGTTGTAGAAAAAGCTGACGGCAATGTTTCAAATCTGGACCTCAACATACCCAATGTGCGAATCTGCACAGTCTCAAGTTTAGGAAAGATGTAGAAAGAAAAAAAACCATTTCATTTCCTATTAAGAACAGAAGACCCTCAAATATTGTCATTGCTTGCATGACGTGATACACTGGTATCTAATATACAAGCAATAGATTTTCAAAATATTTAGTTTATTATGAGTAATGTTTAATCACCTATGAGAACTATACAGCCTTCAGAGGGTTAAGGTATAAAGTCTCTCACACCTAAATTCATGTACCTCGGTCTTGATTGGTTAATGAAATTCAAAACTTTAAAGGGCTTCAAGAGGGCTAGTTTTCAAGACCCTAGATGAGTTTTGGGAAAAAAAAATTACCTCTTGCCTATATGATGCTAGACAAGGTAACTTTCTCCCTCCAGCTGTCAATTAGTCTTCAGATTTTCTATGGCATACAAAACAGAATTACAGACATGGCATGGACGGGTGACCGAAAATTGTTTCCACTCTCTTTCATATCTGTACGGACTAATGAGTCGTGGCATATTAAGCCTTTGTCATCTAAGAGGATGATGACAAGACAGACGAAAAAGGATATACTCAGGACAAGAAACCACCATATTAGCATATCCATGACTGAAGTTACGTAATTTATCTACTACTAAAATTCTGCTTAATATAATGGATGCGATGTCACAATCATTGGCACTAACCTCACCGAGACGGCTGAAAGCCCCGAGTATACCGCCATATAGAGTAGCAAAAATGGCATACCATATTTGTGCGTCCATGAAATATACCTAGTGACATATCTACAGTGAGTTCAAACCAATAGCCAGATCAAGAAGACACAGAAACAAAACATTCTCCAGATTACATTACCAGGACGATTGGTGCCCATAATGAGATGACAACACCAATGTTATATTTCACTGCATCATTAAAGTAATGATTAAGTACCACAAAAGCGCATGAATTTATCAAAATGAATGAATTATTACCATTTGGGAAAAATTCGTGCCACTCATAATTACTGATTCTCATGTTCATGATAACCTTGGTTGGTTCAATTAAAGGGGAAATCTGTGATAAAAAAAAAATATTAGGGACGGAATTTTTGTTAGTTCTCACAATTCAATTAGTGATAAATAAATAATGTTAACGGTGAAAATAAACTAAAAATTCCATAAATAGCTATAGCATCATCGTTCAAATATGATGTATCCATCAGTTATCGCCACACAAAATGAAGATAAGGGCACATAGCAATCTCAGCATGATGCATATACCAACTTCATTCTAAACAGATAGATTAATCACATGAAGATAGAATGTCTAGTTTTGGATATGCAATACTTAGTATAAGTCAACCAATAAGATCTATTGTATTAAGTGGACAATATTAACTTGCACAACATCAAACTAGATGAATTCAAGAGTTTCATAACTTGCAGAAACATAAAAGGAATTGTGGATAGTCCAGTAGATCTAGACACTTGTTGGCTAAAAGGAGAACAAATCGATAATCCATGCAGGAGAGATATAGAATACCTCAACGTAGTAACTGAATGCAAGTTTGCTGATGAGTAATAGGATCCAAAAGAGAGTGTATCTGTTTTTCCATTTTAGGTAAATATTTTGATCAATGGAAATATCAACTCCAAAATAGTAGAAAATTGAAGCCATAATTAATTTACCTTATGAGTGAAACCGTGTCCTCATGCATGCCCCTTCCGACATATAATTTTGGCTGTAAAAGAGATTATCATCAAATGAATTAAAAGTGAAAATAACCCAATCAATTAATGATTCAAAGAAGTTAATACTTACCCGAGACCACCAGAGGAAAAAAATAACAATACGCCAATTAGAGAGTTCCATTTTTCGCTGTAGTCGTGGAAGCAAGAATAACAAAGCTGACACTATGTTGGGTATGAGGTATAATGCAACAGCAAAACTAAAAAATGTCTGATTTCTCAAATTGCCAAGCCAATTGCTGAAGAACTTGACAAGTCCCGTCGGATTCTTCATGGAGCCTGAATAGCCTATTGGTAGTATTATCAGCCACACAATTGCTACTACCAACTTCAGGAGATATCTAACGATCTGAGTAGAGTGCATGTTGCCCCATGCTTTCCAGCTAAGAACTATATCAAGAGCAGCTGAAATGTTCAAGAAAGTGTAGGAAAGAGTTACCACCGGTAGCACATGGGGGTCATTGACCGAACTCTGAAAGCATACCTCAAAACACATTGAAATTTGATGTTATTGGAAAATAAACATGTTTCCATGTTTCTTTCGGGATGAATATTAGACTAACATTCTATCTCCCCAGTTAAATGTATCTATAAAATGTGATGAGTGGTTTCCATCTATCAAACATCGGTGCCTGCTCCTTTCACAAGAAGACTGAGAAAACTAAATTATGCCAAATGGGACACTTGTAGACTATGCAAGAAAGCTTAAGAAGGGCACCAGAATGAAACACTCACAGAATTTAAGTTTGATATACAAGCATTTTATTCACTTACGGAATACCATTCAAATTGACACGCATGGTCTAGACACAACATAAAAATTCAAAATCTATAAAATAAAATAAATCGTGAATTTTGAAAATAATCTTTAGCCAGAGAAATTTGACCCATGTGACTCTTAGCTGAGCTGGAGTGGCATATCCATTTCCAAATGTACAGATTTACCTATTTTTTCAAAGCACAAACAAGAACATTGTTGTACTGTACCTCAGTCATCATCCAACTCAACAGAATCTACACTAGGTGATATGAAATCCGATTTCCACCCTCGAGCTTCGTCCATACTATTGCCTTTTATGCCTCTTCCGTGAGATTTAAACTGGAAAAAATTTAGAACTACAAACTCCCAAGTTCATGTTTATAGTGAAGACACACAATATGTACCATACACATGTTAGCAACTACATCTGATCGATGAAGATCTTCCATCTCATTGTGAGTTTAAGAATTTTAGTTTTCTCATTTAGTTGTTCATTACTATTTTTTTGTCTATATTTTACATTCACTCGCTACCATGAATAAATAAAATGGGCAGGATCCGTCATTATTTAACATTCCAATAGACGTCTAAAGAATTGAGGAGAAATTACCTTGAATAAAATTGAGTAATGCAGCAGTAATAAAGATACTCAAAACACCTCTAAATACATCTGCATCGAAAATGGCAGAAGGGGATCCCGAGGGACTCCAAGCAACAATCACCATGGCCTAAGAAAAGAACAACTGGATTAGGATTATTCAAATCTTCATGAATGTACCAGCAAACATCTGTCCAAGATCAAAGCGGACAGCACCTGCAATGCCAATATAAAGAATATCCACATGCGATCAAAACTTCGGAAGAGATGCCAAAACGTGCGGATTTCAACAAAATTTGTCTTGGGCTTCCTTCGACCACCACCAAGTCGATCTTGATCCTGCAGTCATTTTCCACGTAAAAAAGAAATAAGATTCCAATAAACTATTAACGTATGCATGTCTATTGTTAAACTTGACTCAGGAGAAAGATTTCGACACTTCATGGAGTTACTGATAAACTAAAAATAAAAATTAGATAAATGGAAAAAGAATTAACATCTCATCTTTGGAGTTCCTTTCTTCTCATTTTTACTTTATAACTAGGCCACAGTAACCAGAAATTATAATTCAAGTCTCACAAGACGTAGATAGGAAATCTCTCCCGGTTAAGGAAAGCCCAGGAATCAAAGATGGGACAAACGTAGACAGTACTATATCTAGTCATCAAGTGTGTAAAATAACTATCAGATGCAGCCTGGTGGGGATGGAATTCTCCATATTCATCGCATAAGTAGACAATGAGAGACCACACAGCTTCATTTCAAAAGGAACCATGTGAGGGAGCACATTACAACTGTCTAGTGACAAATGAGAGCCCACCTTACATCAATTTTAGGGAACACATGGTTACAAAAAGTAGACAAGTGATGACTGAGAAAACAACAGCCTGATGGAGACGAATGGAGAGAGGAAAGCAAAGGCATCATTTATTAATCTATAAAACTTAAATTCGTAAAACTGCTATCTTATAAAAACTAATTGTCATATAACAGAACCTCAAGGGCAATGTTCAAGTTAATGATGAGCATTGTTTTTTTGTTTTCCACAAATTACTTTACTGCCTCCTTGACATGACCTCAAGTGTTCCAATTTTGTATTTAAACTTCACAGATCATAAAAAACTAAGGTACCAACCAGAATATATTCATTCATATTGAAACATGTCTAGGCTTTGGGATTCGAAATGTGTCCAGTTTCAACAAATTCACCCATATTTGAAACATCCCGAGGTACATGCTAGGAACCAGTTGTAATGGAAACCTCTGATAATATTGTTAATCTATGCGCAATGTGTGGAGTAATAGATGGACCTCACATATAAATAATTAAGATCTGGAAATATCAACCAAGCATAAACTATTTTAAAAAATTGTTGAAACCAATGGAACAGAGTACAGAGATGTACCTTGCTAATCAAATGAAAGTAATTCAGTTACATTAAAGAAAAAATAAAGTATGATGTAAACCCAACCTCCATTTTAGAATGTCGATTGCGTGCTTTCGCAAAAAAGTCTCCTTTGGGCTTCAACGGCCAATCCAATTTTAAGCATTCTTCGGACCTGAAACAGGACATTAGTTGCGCATGAGATTTATGGAAACATAGCAAGAGATATAAAAGATTAAAGAGGCACTGACCAAAATAATTCGTTTAAATCATCATAGTTTCTCCACTTTGAATGGCTGGCAGTTCCACGATTATTTCTTTGTGATTCCTTTTTCGACAAAAGAACAGCAACACTGGTGTATGAATTTATAAAAACAGAAAAATAATTAACAATGGAAGAGCATAATTGCCATTACCTTGTGCAGGACATTATATATTGGAGTGATGACTTCTTTCAAAAACCACTCTTCTCCACGCTGCACATTATATTTTTCTCCAGTATCTCTACCCACATCCGGATTTAAAATGCTATATAGCTCTCCTGCCATCTTAATAAGATTGAGCAACGACAATTCAGTGTTGCAGAAAGACAGGAAAGAAGGGCATATCATGAGATCTCGTCTCATAAATAAACTGAAAACAAACATCATGTAACCAAATTGGAGTTTTGGGGAAGGACGGGAAGCATGTCAATCTTTGTCATCCTAAAATGAGAACATTAGGTCATTTTCAAAGTAAAACTTAATCTTATTGCAACATCCGCAGAGCCAATTACTTATACTCCAAAATTAGTAAACAGGTTGAACAATTGATTACCTGAAAAATCCAGGAAAGGATTTTGAGCATGAATAAATCCATCCATGTTATTTCAATTTGTTTTATTCAAATACCTCACCCGTTCAAAATAAAGGTAAGATGTACGTTTGACTAGAAGCATAGGATCTGTCAACTGCAGAGGCCATTTTTCTGTTGTTTCGGGAATTCATTTATGGAGCAAGTCACGTTTGCTAAGAGAACATGATATTCCAGCACACAGCTGACTATTCCAGGATCAAACAGAATAAAACCAAGGGATGATTAAGAGCATCCTTTGGTCTTATTCTTACAATGACAGTCACAGGATTAAAGGTTCAATAGTCATAAAAGAACGAAATACGCTGATTAAGAGCATTATACCAAAACTATAACATCTGAGTACCTTTTAATCGAAACATGGCAACATAAACAAATGTTTCATAGCCAAAAAAAAAAAACGATCGTCAAGTGCAATGTCAAAAACATTCACATGACACCATTCAGGCCAGCTTAATAGGTCTATTTCCTTTAGTAATGCAACAAAGTAGTAAAGCAATAAAAGATTCAAATGCTCTCCAGAATAAAGCAAAAGAACTTACTTTATGAAATATATAGCAAAGACATTCAGGCATGAACCTAATATTTGAGGCTTCACCCCAGATAAGAAAATGCAGTGCAATATAAAGAAGCTCAAACTGTCGATTCTTGGGGTTCTTAGGATACCTGCAAGCCGCATTATAAATGAGAACTTGGCAGGAATAAATGATTTTTTTTATCACATTCAAACACCAAGAAACAATTTTAAACAGCGATTAACTTACTTGATATTAGAATTCTCACGTAAATATGCACACCATGTCTCATAATTTTTAAATACCTTTCCCATTAAACTCTTCACATGATCAATTTCCATCTGTCAAGCAATAGCTAAATTATCAGTTTTATATTTCAACGAAGCGTTAGGTGGCATAAATATTAAAAAAAATTCTACCAAGGTATCATCTTTTTCGCGCTTCATCCGCATCTCAACATTTGCAAGAAGCAAAATTAAGTGCTCCCGTTGGTTTTCCACATTCCCTTTCTACAATTCAAATTTAAGGACAGAGAGACACTATTCAGTAAGGGCATTCTGGTACCAATAAAAGAGTTAATATTTCAAACGACTTGAAGCAGCCCATGCTTCCAATAAACAGAAAACATGGTAACTGGAAGACTATGAATGCAGAGTAATGCAAACATGGAAGGTAAAGCACCTGAAACCCAAAGGTTAACCCAAGCCAGTCGAGTAAATCATGAATAGATCTGTTTTCCCCAGCGAGCATCGAGCTGTTTTCAGATTCATCTTGCTTTTTAGTCGTTAGCTTGGGCGTAGGGAGGTTGCCAGTCTCACACAGGGCATTCACTGCAGCTTTAATCTATTACTCCAAAAAATTAAAACACAAGGAAGTCAGCTAAGTTGTGGAACACAGAAAGAATCAACAATAAAAAATAAAAAAAATATACCCATTGGAAATATAAACCTTACTTCAGAAATTTTCATTATTGCTGGTGGAGTGCCAGAATAACGAATTGGAAGGATATTATACTGGGCATAGTGAACTTTGTTTCGCTCAACTTTGCTAGCATAGCCTTCTATCTGTAAGTGCATTGAAAATCTTGGAAAGGAACCCTCCAATGGATAATTTATAAAACTTTCATGAAATAAGATGAAAAAATCAAACCTCTGTATCAACGTCTCCGGACCTTTTCAGAATATCAAATAATATTGTAGCAACCTGATAGTGTTTTGCCATCTCCTCCCTATTTTTATAAATAAATAAAGAGAGAGGAAATTCTATCACAATCGAAATCTTACTGCTGCCATCTTCTCACTGTTTTTATAAACAAATGAAGCGAGAACAAATTAAAGAGGAATCGGAAAATTATTTTCGATGTATTAGTAACGAAATCTTACGGTTTTCTTCTCACAGGTCCTTCGATAAACGTCTTATAGTAGTATCGATAAAAGTTTATTACTTCCAGCAGATTATTCGTTGCCACCATTCCCATATCTTCCTCAGCCTGCCGATATAAAAAAAATTGAGACAGAAAAATGAATATGGATAATTCTCACATACACAGATGAAAGAAAGCAGAAGAATATCACCATAACTGATTCCACGATAGGACAGATCTGTATACAGGATTTCTGGATATAAACCACAGTTGAAAGTACATTAATCGCTATTATAAATCTCTTCAGGAAAAGAGTAAAGAGTTAAGATGCCAACTTGGACTACGACTTCAAACTAAATGCATCACAATCATCCAAAGTTGATTCACTGATAGACTCGTCATCCATTTTCCCCATACAAAGAAGCAAAAGCATAATACACATTAAGCGGATTTAACATGCAAACTTAGTTTAGACACATACTGTAAATCTGACACAAAAAATAATGTTCTATCGGCTGCAAGGGATTGTCATACGCTGGTACACTAGAACAGGTCCACTTCAGACCATGACGAAGGCTGGTTGAGTACAAGTCAACCTAGCCCATAAATAACCTAGCTCAACTTGAATTGCGTACAGCTCTGACTGTATTACATAGTCACATAACCCGAGCTGATTCCTATCATTTTAATCTAGCTGTGATAGATGAAGACGATTTTGAATGGAAAATGGGCAAAAATATCAAAATGTGCATGCCCACTTCTGTTCAAATTGACCAGGGTTATCTGGCGATACAAATAGAAACCCAATATGTAAATAAAAAATATATTCTAGGGTTCATCTTTATAAGGACACAAAAACAAACTCATAGTTACAAGCTACAGACACAAAAAACAGGACATTATAACGAGTTCTAATAAACATATACTCATAGTATACCAACGAACTACCAAACAGAAAACAAGAATATCACCCTTACGGGAATTTCAAAATGAATACTTTACTTTTTTTAATTTCAGTATCATGTAATTATATACCTGCTTTATCTTATTCATCAAGTATACATATTTCATTTTGTTAATTAATTCTTAATATATTAAAATAGGACTATTGTGATCACCTAAACATTACAATATGGCATCAGTGCTGGATGATTACCTTGGTTCCCTTTAAAAATAAATCCATATTTCAAAATCCAAAAAAATGGAATCACAAGAAATAGGAATGCTTTGTACCAAAATCACTGATATCAACTATTTTAGACAGACAGCGACGACGACTTAAATGACAAAAAAGGACATCCATATAAAATTGGGAACTCAACATATTTGATTACTTCCGGATCAGTTATCACCAGTTAATGGAGAATACAAGGAATTAGGCGATGTCTTGAAAAAATTAAAAAGTTAAGAGCTTTCCGAAAAGTAATCTCTTATACCACAAAAACGGGGGATCCAGATGTTGTTAATTTTTCTGATATATATTATGCGAGATCAAAGACTATTAGAAAATCTAGTGATTATGAGAAAACATTATTGAAGTAAAACTTTCGGTAACTATATATCTGAAACACTCAAGGATGCCAAAGTATAAACTAAACTCCATAAATTGACAAGAGTGTAAAACGTAAGAATTGCACCTTCTCTAACTTATGAAGGAGATAGGTTTTGAATTGACGAACACCACGCCCACTTGAGGTTTTGTCCATGTTGTGAATCCTCTCAAATGCAGCAAAGCGGCCTAAAAATCACAAGGAAGAAGTTTTTGAGATCACAGCAAAATAAGTTAGAAGAATAATCACAAAAAAAAGAATAATCACAGCAAAAAGGTGAATTTTATAACGTAAATTAGTATATTAAATATTTACATACAACGCATTAAAGTAAAAACCGAAAAGAGAATTTACTCAATACCAAAAAAATTGTCCCGTGTTCCAATACTCCAACTGGCCTGTTGCCGTTAATCACAGCAAAGAAGAGTAAAAGGGTATTGCTACATTGTTTATGCCCTATAAACTAGCCATTATCTACGCCAAGAAAACAAACAAGACCAACAGAAATCCAGTCAATCTTTTTCCATTGGTCATCATGTCTACGATCTGTGTAAGACATACAGCAATGAAGATAGAATTATAGCTATAAGATAAGAATTCTCTACTTCTGCATGATTTTGTTAGGATCTAATCGTCCTTGCTCTCGTAGCAACAATATCCCCAATCCAAGAACCAATCTTCCCAAGGAAACCGTGAATTTAAGGAAGTTTAAAGCATAATTAACCTAAAAGCTAAGATAAGGATGTCGAAATGTAAAATATTGATTTAAAGGGACACACTAAATCGCCTCTTTCCTTCAGAGTCTCGCAGCTGATCGCTATGTCAAGCAGCTAGATGCCTAAGTCAGGCCAAGCAATCAGAACCACTGCTTGAAGAATTAAAACTCTATCTAGAGGGATCCTTAGGCTGATTGTTTCCCCAAAGGGATCACAGATTCATTTGTCAAACTGTTTCCACCTTTCATCTTTTGCTAGAGATTTTTAAGAAAACCCAGGGAACACTAGTGTGTCCAATCCGCTGCACTATGAGCGGCATACAAGCAGTGCGGCAGTTGAACTCTAGAGATCAACTGATCTCAATGATTTTCTTTTTACAGGCTCCCCCTCCTTTCAACAATTTTCAGCTACCAACATGACGACACACGATGGAGACATGAGTTGATTCAAATGAAGTCTGTGATGATGTCCTGCCACACACTTGCATCCTTCACTGAATCAACCTGATAATTAAGACAACGACTGTGATATGAAGAATACGTGAACCTGACAAACTCAACTGGAACTACTATGCAAAATGGGTTTGGTTTTCATTGTCTGAAAGCTTTTCCATAACGTAGATTCAACCAGATATTGGCTGTCAGGTAAATAAAACCTTTGTTGGGTCTTCATTTACGAGAGCAAAAAGATTGACGAATCTAATTAGAATGCCAAGACTGAGAGCACGGAGCAGTTACAGAAGTAAGCGATCCGCGGGTACTCCTCCTCCAGTTCATTGGCGACACGAAGGATGGGAGCAATGGAAGAGAGGGAAGAAGGGATGAATTCACTGTCCGCTCCAGCTACATCATCCTCGGGGGCGTCGATCATTGTGGGCAGCCTTGTGATCTTCCTCGACAGAGACTTCCTCGGCACAGGCCCTTTGGTGCCACTGCTGGACGCCATTCCCCTCCCCACGAGCTTAGTTCCTCACTGCGCAGCCCACCCAGGAGAGAAAATAAGGGGATATGGATGATGGCTCTTCTTCTTCACTGCTCCTTGTGTACCTGCCTGTTCAGCGGGAGGTCGGAAGACCGCTTGCCTTCTCTTCTTCCGGCTGCTTTTCTCCCTCCCCCGCTGGAAGGAACACCAGCAGATGGACATGAGAGGGAGCAAGCACGCAATATGAAGCTCCATAGCTTCCCACTTTTCTCTCTCTTTCTCCTTTCCTACCGCCATAAACAGTCAGACTCCCAGGTGGGGTTTCTCTGCTTTTCCTCCTCCCCCACTTTCCGCCGGGGAACGGAGGAAGCAGCGCCAAGCAAGGAATGTAATGGAGCCAATGGAGCCGCTTGCTTCACTGCAAGATCTCTCTCTCTCTCTCTCTCTCTCTCTCTCTCCCTCTCTCTTGCAGTAGCAGTGGGAGAGAAAGGCAGTGCCTTTCGATTACCGAGGATGCAAGCAAGGAATGGAATAGAAAAAGAGCTGCTGCTTACAGTCCCTCTTAACTCTTACTACAAGAACGTGTAGTTAATTAGTTTTATATCCATACCAAGATCATTTATTGCTATAAAACATAGTTTTATTTTAACCCCCATCTTATAACGGTTTATGCCACGTGGCTTCCATCCCGAATAACAACCTCACAACAAATCCCGGCCGTTCTCTTTCCCGCGCGAGAACCATATTTTTGATAAATTACTTTTAATCGCTATAATTAATGTATTTTATTTATATCCCAAAGAAATGACCAGAGCTACTGGGCTTTTGGGCCCCTCTAAATCTTCGTGAAAATAATCCTATAATGACCCATATTTACTCGGCCCAAATCCAATAAGAAGCCCAAAACCCTCACACCCTCTCTCTCTCTCTCCCTCTACTCGGAGAGATTGTGCATAAGGGAGGGCCGGCCCGGAATCTTATGTTCATAGCTCGAAGCCCATTATATGGGCTACGAAAGGCAAAGAGAAAGATCGCCGTAACCGGGGCAGGGCCTGGAACGGGCTGGCCAATGAAAGAAAAAAAGCCCGTCCTTTTTTTCTATCGAGAAGCCTCACCTTCGAGAAAATCGGCGACGCTGCATGCCCCCTCTCGCGAGGGTTGCAGAAGAGGAACCTCCACCTCTCTCCTCCCCTCCCCCGCCGCCTCCCTCCACCCCGCCGCCACCTCCTCCACCTCCTCCTCCAAATCCCCGTACTCGTCGTACCTCGGCGGCTGCGACGCCGGCGACGGCGGCGATGGCGGCGGCGATGGTGCCGATGGTGGCGGAGGGGGATCTTGGAAGGAACTTTCGTCTTCTCCGGGGGGCAAGACGAGTCTCCAGATGTTATCGTCGAGGTGCCATTGGAGGTGATGCCCGAGAGCTGGTCGCCGGTGGGGCATCTTCGGAAGGGGGAGGACTCTGCGGGGGGGCGGCGCCGCCGGTCTCTCTCTCCTCAGTGGGCGATGTGGAGGTGGGGGAGGGGGAGGAGCTTTAGTGGGGAGGAATCGGGCTTGTTTTTTTTCTCTGGCTGGCGAAATGCGACGGCCGTGGGTTTCCAATAATGGCCGTCTCCATCACCGTAGACGGCCAGCTAGGGTCTGATGTGTGGGAGAAGCATGCTGACAGTGTTGGTATCTCAACTCTCTCTCTCTCTCTCTCTCTCTCTCTCTCTCTCTCTATATATATATATATATATATATATATCCTGCAGTTACCTCACGATCATCACTGTGGCAGCTCATCTCTCTCTCTCTCTCGCGGGGTGGGGTGGCGAAGAGTGATGGCCATGGGTATCTGAAAACGGGGGTCTGCGTCGCCATGGATGGGCACCAGCTAGGGACTGATGTGTGGAGAAACAAAAAATTAGGATTGTTTTTTACTACGAAACCAACCCCGAAGTCTCGAAACCCATTCTCTCTCTAACACGTAGCACGTAGCCATCCTACGATCCTTCTCTCTCTCTCTCTCTCTCTCTCTTTCGGTGTGCTGGATTAAGCATGTTCATCCATAAGTAATGTGAGATTTTCAAGTGGTTCGTATTCGTGCCATGTGACTGAGAGCGTCACGTGTTTTTGCCAATTTACTCGTTTTTCTTTGCTTTCCCTTCAATTAAGGGTAGAGAGAGAGAGAGAGAAGAGACGGCGGAGAGAAATAAGAGAGGATGGAGAGAGAGAGAGAGAGAGAGAGAAGAGACGGCGGAGAGAAATAAGAGAGGATGGAGAGAGAAAAAGAAGAGACGGCGGAGAGAAATAAGAGGATGGAGAGAGAGAGAGAGAGAGAGAGAGAAGACGGGAAAGAGAAATAAGAGACAATGGAGAGAGAAAAAGAAAAGACGGCGGAGATAGAGAGAGACGAGACGGCGGAGAGAAATAAGAGAGGATGGAGAGAGAAAAAGAAGAGACGGCGGAGAGAAATAAGAGGATGGAGAGAGAGAGAGAGAGAGAGAGAGAGAAGACGGGAAAGAGAAATAAGAGACAATGGAGAGAGAAAAAGAAGAGACGGCGGAGAGGAAGAAGAGAGGATGAAGAGAGAAAGAGGAGACGGCGGAGAGGATGGAGAGAGAGAGAAAGAGTGAAGAGACGGACGGATAGAAGACAGGGTGGGAAAGGAGAGAGAAAGAGCACGCATGCATGCATGGATTCTTGTCCCCGAGCACCCTGAGAATCTTGTAATAGTGCTGATTTGCAAATAACCACTCATTGAAACTAAACTTATAATTAAACCACAAGTACCACATATTTAGTTCTTTACTCCGGCGACATCTTAACCCCCCCGATGATACCTAAGTTACGTAATATTAATATCATTGGAACGTTTCCATTCCCTAAAACCTTCATTAAAACGTGTCTTGGGTATTTTTTACGCTTTTTTTCTCCGAATAATATGATTTCCATATAGCTAATCATTGTAGTTATGTACAAAGAGAGAGAAAGGGAACGATGCAATTATTCATAGATATATCCCTCTATATTCAAAGAGTGAGCGACTTAGATAGAGAGAGAGAGGGGTGTCTTATTTTGTTACAGTGCCAATATGAAATCTTTGAGGGGGTTTTTAGTCATTTTAGAGGGAAATGGCAAAATGGTTATTATTATTAAAAAAGGTACATGGGATGGGTCATTAGCCATGAAATCGATGAGTTGGGTCTTCCCCACGAGAGAGAGATGGAGAGAAAGGGGACAGACGGCTACAATTATTGGGGGATTGATGGAGGGGGGCTGAGGTGGATGGCCAGGAGGGATGCGTAGGCCCCACCGGGCACTTGGAGGAGCTCCGCGTGGGTCCCCATCTCTACGACCTCCACGTTCCTCAGCACGGCGATGGCGTCGACCCCTCTCACGGTCGACAGGCGGTGAACGACCACCACGGTGGTCCGCCGCGCCGCTGCCACGTCGAGCGCCGCCTGCAGGGCGCGCTCCGTCTCAGCGTCCAGCGCGGCGGAGGGCTCGTCGAGGAGGAGCACCCTGGGGTCCCGCAGCACCGCCCGGGCGATGGCGATCCTCTGCCTCTGGGCGCCGGAGAGCTGCATCCCCCTCGTCCCCCGCCGCCGTCGAGTACCCCACCGGGAGGCCGCAGATGAAGCCGTGCGCGTTGGCCACCGTCGCCGCCGCGGCCACCACCGCCTCCCCGCCCGCCGCGGCGGCGTCGGCGGCGCTGCCGTAGGCGATGTTGGCGTGGATGGTGTCGTTGAAGAGGGCGGGCTCCTGGCTGACCAGGGCCAGCTGCTGCCTGAGCCACGGGAGCCGCAGCTCCCGGGGTCCACCCCGTCGAGGAGGATGCGGCCCGCGGTGGGGTCGTAGAAGCGCTCCAGGAGAGCGAGCACCGTCGACTTGCCGCTCCCGCTCTCCCCCACCAGCGCAACCGTCTGCAACAGCCAGCCGGCAGGAAGAAGGAATAATTAACCAGGAAGAAGGCAGAAGGAAGGAGGAAGAAGGTGCTGGATTTGATCTCAATGTGGACATGAAGAAGAAGAAGGAAGGAGGAAGAGAAGACGGACCTTCCCGGCGCGGATGCTCAGGCAGAGGTCCCTGAGGACGGGGACGTCGGGCCGGGTGGGATAGCTGAAGCTGACGTGTTGGAAGTCAACGTCTCCCCGAACGGCGGTGAGGGTCCGGCCGGCGGCAGCACCGGGGTCGATCTTGGACTCCCTGTCGAGGATAGCGAAGAGGGAGGCCACCGAGTCCCTGGCCTTGTTGGTGTCCGGGCCCACCGCGCTGGTTTGGGACACCCCGATCGCCGCCATGGCCAGCGCGAAGAAGACCTGCGCCAGAAAGCTCCGTCGTGAGTTAAGCTTCTGGAAATGGTTCTCCGGTGGCGCCCGCCCCCGATCTGCCCACCGCCCAGTTCTTCTCTGGCGTCACTCACTCTGAACACCTGCCCAAAGGTGGCCTTCCCGTCCTGCACGAAGCGAGCGCCGGCGTAGAAGATGAGGGCGTAGGCGCAGTAGAGCACCAGGGAGGAGAAGCCGAACCCTAGCCCGCTCGCCACGCCCTGTCGGAGGCTCTGCCTCGCTGGAGCCCTGCACCGGAGGTCGTAGGCCTCCATCACCTTGTCCTCCGCGCAGAAGGCCGCCACCGTCCGGATGCCCCCCACGGCGTCGCTCGCCACCTGGGTCGACTCCTCGAACTTCACCTGCAACAATCGAACTACCGAGGATTAGATCCCGAGGTTGAAGAAGACGACGATCGGGGGGAGGTGGACGACTGGTGGTTACTAACCTTTGCCTCTGTGCTGAATCCCGCGAGGATCTTCATCTGGACGTACCCTTGCAGGCCGACCAGAGGAATCAGCGCAAGGATTATCAGGGCCAGCCTCCAGTTCGCCGCCATGGCGATCACCAGTCCCGCCGCCACCGTCGCCGAGTTCTGGACCACCAGGGCGAGGCTATCTCCGACGAGGCCCCGCACCGCCGCGGCATCAGCTGACAGCCTCGTTGCGATGGCTCCGCTGCAGATAACCCACCCCCGCCGCCTGCTAGTCATTGGGGGAGAAAAAGGAGGGGAGAGGGGGGAACGAGGAGGAGAGATTCCATGGCGAACCTGGAGTTGGAGGGATCGCCGAACCAGCTCATCTCCTGGTTGACAACTTTCTGGAACGACAGGGATCGAATGCGAATGACGAGTTTCCCGCCGGCCAACGCGAAGAGGTACTGCTTCAGTGGCACCGCCACCAGGGAGACGACACCCAGCAGGCAGTGTTGTGAACGGGGAGCCTTGCACGTCTTTTCGCGTAACGGCATAGGCCTTACACGTCTCTAGGCACACCTGCCTAGAGCTGTAAGAGGGCTGTAAGAGGTTGCTTATTGCTTACGGTTATTCCTTTTCCCCCCTTTTTGCTCCCTTATTTAAAGAGGGCTGTAAGAGGTTTTGAATAGCGAGATAGTCTTCCTTGTTCCTCCTGCTGGGTTTTTCCTGTGACTCCGTGGTGATCTCGTCGGCGACGTCTTAACTGCCGTCGTCTCTCCGGCGAGTTTCTAACAGGCAGTACATCAGCGCCCAGAACCTCGACTGCCGCCGGAGCTCCGGCGGAGGCTCGAAGAAGATCCTGATGGTGCTGGAGAACAGCACCCCGAAGGCCGGGAACACCACCCCCTGGACGGCGGCGGCGGCGGCGCCTAGGAGGAGGACCGGGAGCTCCGGTTTGTTCAGGCGAGCCAGACGCTAGATCGGAACACTCCTCCGGGGGCTCACCTGGTCGTCGCCGCCGCCGTTACCTGGAAGAGAGACGACCGCCACCGGGAACCTCTGGCTGCTTCCTCCCATGGAGGAGGCTCTGCTCAGGGGGATTCTCTGGCTGCTTCTTCCCATGGAGGAGCATCTACTGAGCGGGAACCTCTGGCTGCCGGAGTCTCCGCTCGCAGGGCTGCCACCGTCATCCGCCTTCTCCGGCGGCTCGGCGTCCTGGAGGCGTATGAGCCGGGAGTATAGCCCCTCCGGATCCCGCACCAGCTCTGCGTGAGGACCTGCTCGGCCTCGGCGCAAATTCCGTCAGAAATCGCTCTGGAAATCGCAGAGACTGAGGAAACGGGGGCGGGAAGGGGCGTCTGCTCACCCTGCTCGACGATCCTTCCGTTCCGGAGGACGGCGATCACGTCGGCGCTGCGCACCGTGTGAAGGTGGTGGGCGGCGACGATGGTGGTCCGCCCAACCATGACCCGGCTCAGAGCTTCCTGCACCAGGCGCTCCGACTCCCGCGTCCATGGCGCTAGTCGCCTCGTCGAGGAGCAGGATCCTAGGGCTCCTCAGGATTGCCCGCGCTATCGCTATCCTCTGTTTCTGCCCGCCGGAGAGCTGCGCCCTGCGCTCGCCTACCATCGCGTCGATGCCCTGCAAGAGAGCGACGACCGGCAGATCAGAGTCGAAGGAAGAAGAAAGAAGGAAGAAGGAAGCAGGAAGCAGGAAGCAGGAAGAAGCAGGAAAAAGAAGTAGGAGGGAGAAGAACAAGAAGAAAGAAGAAAGAAGCAGGATGAAGAAAGGAGTTCGTTCTGCATGCCTCAGGAATCTTGTCGATGAAGCTGACGGCGTTGGCGAGCTCCACGGCAGCGCTGATCTCTTCGGCGGTGGCGTCGGGTCTGCCGTAGGCGACGTTCTCTCGGATGGTGGTAGAGAAGAGGACGGGCTCCTGGCTGACGAGGCTGATCCTCTCCCTGAGCCACCGCAGCCGGAGCTTCCTGATGTCGACGCCGTCGACGAGGACCTTCCCTTCCTGGGGGTCGTAGAACCGCGCCACCTGGCCGATGACCGTCGACTTTCCGCCGCCGCTCGATCGTCCTGAACATCCTATGCGCCGCCGCCCTCCCCGCTGGGAAGGCGTTGACGCAGGGGGACACCTGGCCCAGCGAAGGCCCAGCGGTCATAATCGCGATGAGGACGTTGACGACCGTCCCGCCGTCGTACCCACCCCCGCCGGTGACGATCAACTTGCCGCCGTACCAGGTGCCCAGGCCGTAGTTGGAGTAGATCATCAGCAGGACGGCTCCGAGGCCCATGCTGGCGGCCAGCCCCTCCTGCACCGTCGATCTTGGAGAGGAGCGGCATGGTAAGATGCAATCCCTATCAAGTACCAATGACAACGCGTCTAAAACTGAGCAAGAGGAGCACGGAGCCGCTGGTGGATGCAACAGTATACAGAAGCATCGTGGGGAGTCTCAGGTACCTGGTCAATACTCGTCCAGACTTGGCATTTGCTATTGGCTATGTGAGTCATTTTCTGGAGGAGCCACGAAAGGATCACTTGGCCACTGTGAAGCAAATTCTCCACTATGTGACGGGAACTAAGAACTGGGGTCTTAGGTATGAAAAAAAGAAGGAAGAGCAGGTCCAGCTGACAGGGTTCAACGATAGTGACTTCGCTGGTGATGTTGATGCTCGGAAGAGCACGACTAAAGTCATTTTCTTTTTGGCCAACAGCCCAATTACTTAGCAGTCGATGAAACAGAAGGTGGTGACTCAGTCTAGCTGCGAGGCAGAGTACATTGCGGCCGCCAATGCTGCCTGCCAAGGTGTGTGGCTCACTCGGGTGCTAGTAGAGGTGCATAGTTCAGCACCAAGTGTGCCGAAGCTGAGGGTGGACAACAAGTCTGTCATTGCGTTGATCAAGAACCCAGTTCTTCATGAACATAGTAAGCACATTGAAGTGAAGTATCATCTTGTCCGAGAATCTGCAGAAAAAGGCCAGATTAACGTGGAGTTCATCAGGAGTGAAGAACAGTTAAGAGACATTTTGACGAAGCCACTCGGAAAAATCAAGTTCCATGAGTTTCGTGTCAAAATTGGCTTCGTTGATGTTCATGGTGAGCACATCAAGGCTCAAGAGGAGATTGTGAATGAGAGCCTTGCACGTGGCCCCCCATGTTTGCATAACGGCATAGTGCGGTTATGTGAGAAGGCGTTGACGTGAACACGTCAACGAACAAAGCGATAATGCGGAATTTTCTGCATGATGCGCGTTATTAGCTAGTTAGTTATTTCTTACGGTTATTTCTTTTTCCTTTGTTTTCTTATTTAAATAGGACTGTAAGAGTTTTCGATAATGAGAGAGATAGTCTTCCTTGTTCCTCCTGCTGGGTTTTTCTTGTGACTCCGTGGTGATCTCGCCGGCGACGTCTTAACTGCCGTCGTCTCTCCGGCGAGTTCCTGACAAGACCTCTGCATTCGAGAAAAAATAAATAAATAATGGACGGCAGTTAGATCTCGCCGGCGCTTAAGAGGGAGGCGAGGGGGTGGGTTCTCTTCACTCACGGAGGAACGCAGCAACGCCGGCCGCAACGGCTACGTAGACGAACTTCAAGACTATCGGGAAATGGTTCGAGAAATCGATCAAATAATTCAGCCCCCTGGGTCAACCACCGCCGCCGAAGAGAATGAGCTGACCTCTGCGGCCAACCCCAGCCTGTTGACTTCTCTAACATCATCGCGACAAGAGGGTTTCTCTTACGATGAGAACACGCTGACTGAAACGGCTGGGATATTTGAAAAGTCAACTTCCCAGAGGTTCCCGGTTCCTTTCTGGAAGTGGACACGAGGAGGAGGAAACCCATGCATAAAGGAGAAGCGGTGGATGTACCTCGGAGACTTGGTGGAGAACGTCGCCGGCGCCGGAAGAGGAGCCGAATGCGTTGATGAGATGCCCGAAGAAGAGCGTCGTCAGCGGCAACGCCACGCCGTTACCCACGGCGGCGGTGTCAGGAACTCGCCGGAGAGACGACGGCAGTTAAGACGTCGCCGGCGAGATCACCTTACGAGTCACAGGAAAAACAGCAGGAGGAACAAGAAAAACTTTCTCACTCTTGAAAACCTCTTACAGCCCTCTTTAAATAAGAAAACAAAGGAGAAAGAAATAACCGTAAGAAATAACTAACTGGCTAGTAACGCGCATCATGCAGAAAATTCCGCATTACCGCTTTGTGCGTTGACGTGTTCACGTCAACGCACTTCTCGCATAACCGCACTATGCCGTTATGCGAGGGGCCACGTGCAAGGCTCCCGTTCACAACAGGCGGCGGCGCCGACGGTCATGAGGGCGACGTCGAGAGCGTCCGCGAAGGCGAATAACCTGCAGAAGGGCACCATGTCTGCCGCGTCCTTTCTCGCCATAACTAGAGAGCTTGAGAAGAACTCGAAGAGCGTTCAACGATGGCCCTCTTGCAGTTCTTCCCTCTGTGCAGGCGTGAAGAAGTAGATCATCTTTCTGTTGAGTCCTTTCTTCAGAGAAAACCAGTGAGATGAACAGGATGGAGAGCCAGTGCAGAGAGGAAGAAATGGCAACAGATCGGATAGGGTTATCAGGAATGGAAAGAGCGAGAGGCTTGGGGAAGGGAAACCATAGATAATCGCCATTAATGTCAGAAGAGACAGAGGTTGGTTTCTGACTTTTTTTGGAGTTTTCCCGCCTCTCTCTCTCTCTCTTTCTCTCTCTTGAAATCCCCCTACGAGGTGGAACCAGCGATGACTTGACGGCGGGGAAATCCTCGCGCTACGAACTCCATTCAATCACCGACAGCATCGCAGGAATAAGCAGTAGAGCGAGGTTAGAAAAGAGGGATCGAGATTCAGAGCACGACTCAAACCCTTCCTTCCCCCTCTCCCCCTCTCCCCCTCTCTCTCTCTCTCGCTTTCTCTCTCTCTCTCTCTCTCTCTCTCTCTCTCTCTCTCTCTCTCTCCACAGGAGCCTCATCCAGAACGACGGATCAAGCAATCTAAATCGAGCTTTGAACTCTTCGGAAGCGTCGGAGTTGAACTGCGACTCGATCTCAGAAACGCATTGCCGGCGGAGAAATCGAGAGGAGAGGAGGAGATCATCGGCCGCGGGAAAGTTACTTGGTTTTATCATTAACAAGCTGATTTAGAGAAATACAACCGCGGTGTTCTTCTCCGGCGGCGAGCTTCAATCCCCGGCGGCCGGCGACGGGGCCTGTCGGAGGTGTCTAATCCAGAACGAAGGATGAAGCAATCTAAATCGGACTGTCAACTCTTTTGAAGCTTCGGAGTTGGACTCCAACTCTACTCTGGAAACAGATCGCCGGCGGGGAAATCGAGAGAAGACGAGGAGATCATCGAGCGCGGGAAGCTTACCTGGTTCTATCATTAACAAGCTGATTTACAGAAATGCAACCGCGGCATTCTTCTCCAACGACGAGCTTCAGTCAACGGCGACTGTCGACGGGACCTGCACAAACACAGCGATAGAGAGAGAGAGGTGGGGCTCCGGCTGAGGAAGTTGGGGTGGTGGGGCTTGTGGGCCCATATGCATTTAAAGGTCGGCCAAAGCTGTGGGATAGGGCTGGGCTGTGGGACCCAATGCATTTAAAGGTGGGCAAAGATCTTGGCTGGGCCCCACAACCGAACCCAGATCAACATAGCTAGAAGCTCCACGTTGTTCGGAGCCGTTTGTGGGCCCCGCATCTGATGACTTGGAGATCTTGTTTTGACTCTCCATGTCTGTGGACACCGCGTCGCGCGGGGGCACGTATTGATGCGGGCCCCACGGCGTGAGAAGCGATTTTTCATGTAATTTCACTGGTATAAAATATCAACATCCAAATAGCAAATTACCGAAATTAACTCTGCCCACAACTTCGTCGTGTATCATGACGTCATCCTTTCAAAACAAGAGCCATCTGAGTAGAGAACGTCTCACACATAGAAAGATTATTAAAATAATTAGCATCTAGATTGTGTGGGAACTTTTGATGTGAAATAGTAGGGCCCCCAGAAAATGCAACCTTAGGTGTCAGGGCCAAGCGAATAACATAAGAAATAGCTTGATGGAGTTGCTTAGGCGGGCCCCCAAGGATCACAACATGTTTTTCTATTAGAAGAGCCAGTACCTAGTTCATAATTTTAACGAGTCACCTACATAGAAAAGGTCATTTTAGTCATAAATATAATTATTTTATTCTCTCTCCTCCAATATTAAGGAACCATTAATTTATTTACTTTGATTTAAATATTTTTATCCTGTTCCATATGCACTCAAGGTATGATCTTGATCCCTAACTTTTTCCACGTTAGCTTTCAATTGATCTAGTACGAAAATTAATAATAATAATTAATCATGGTTTGCGTTGACAATTGTGGTGCAAGTCAACCTAAAGCTAATGTTATCATGTTTATACTTGCCCATTATCTTAAATCACACCCATCTATCATGCATTTGACATTAGTGCAAGTCAAGGAAGAGTTGACTCACTTAAGTCAACCCATTGACGGCTTGGGTCAATTTCCTTTTTTAAGTGAGTTTTATTTCTAAAACATTTTCTTCGTCCTTATCTCATTCTCTTCTTTTTTTTTGGGTGACGATTCTATATGTTCATTTATATATGATAAACATAAATCAAATAATAAGCAAATTTATGTGAATAAGTTAGTATAATAATATAAATAATTATGATCAAATTCTATTTTTTTATTTTATTGTCATTATTATGCAATGTGTGAGGTAGTTATTTAGCATCTCATTCACTTTCTCTATCTGTCTATCTATTTTGTAGATGAAAGGTGGTGGAAAAATTAAGTTCAATGTCAAAGAGGGTGAAGAGGGTTGACATCATCAAAACACATAAACCAACATGGCACATTATCAATTAATAAACCTATGAGATAGCTTAGATTTTTTTTGAGTGGGGGCTGATGTTATGATGATATGAGGGATGAATGGGTCTACACCCTTCTCATCCTTTAGACGTCTCAATCAATTCACCCCCTTCTCAGCCTTTATTTATGATACCATAGGACATGTGGTGGATATATGATTCTTGATTGATGTTATGATGCTCCCAGGCTTTGGTGAGAGGATTTACCTTATGAGCTGTGGCTGATGTTGTGATGCTATGGGGCAAAGTATATGATTCATGATTGTGCCAAGAGACAATTTATGTGGTTAGAGTGAAGCTATTTATGATCCAGAGTAGATGTCATGATGCTATGATATTATGGGTGATGAATGGACCGTTGGGAGTCCTTGGTTTTCTCCTTCCCAAACCCCGGTTTTATTCGATTCCCCTGTTTGCGCTCCGTTGAGGTGTCGCCCGCGCTGCCATGGAGGACGAAACCCTCGCTCTCGATGGGTTCCCCGTCGCCGCCCAGGACGAGGCGGCGGCGGCGGCGGCGGCGGCGGAGCAGCAGCAGGAGGAGGGCGAGATCGAGAAGCTGAGATCGGAGCGCTTCCACCTCCGCAGTGACCTCGACGCGGCCGTCGCCCAGGCGGACATGCTCCGCGCGGCCGTGGAGGAGCTCCGGGGGACGAAGGTCTCGCTGGGGGCGAAGGTGGAGGATCTGGAGGGGAAGATATCGGCCATGGAGGCGGAGAAGGAGGAGGAGGCCGCGAGGGTGGCGGCGGAACGGCGGATGCTGGAGGTTGTCGCGGCGCGGGCGGCGGAGCTGGAAGGGGACGTCTCGCGGCTGCAGCACGATCTTGTCACGGCGATGTCGGGGGGTGAGGAGGCGGCTTCGGAGGCAAAGCTGTTGAAAGACACGGTGGAGAAGTTGCAGGGAGTGGCGATTCAGTCGGAGGCGAGGATCACGGAGGCCGAGAAGTCCGGGGACGAGCTGAAGATTTCCATAGAACGATTGAAGGGTGAGAAGGATGCGTTGGAGATGGAGAAAGTCAAGGCAGAGGCAAAGATTCTGGTGTTTGAAGGGAAGGTGAAATCCTTTCAGAATGAGACGGAGAGGGTCTCAAGTGAGAGGGAAAGTGAGCTGCATAGGATGAAGGTTGCGATCTCGGAGTTAGAGGAGAAGGCGGGGTTTTACGAATTGAAACTGTTGAAGTTGCGCGAGCTGGAGAATGGGGACGAGGATGACGATGCCGATGGCGCTGTGCATACGTTGGCCAAGGGACCTGAGGCATCTCATACAAACTTTCCATGGAAGATTTTGGTGGGATCAACAGCGACTATTGCAGGTGTGACCGTTGTGACGTTTTTTGTGCACTATGCGAGGAAAAGGTGGGGATTTTGTGCCATGGGGATGTTTTGATCTCCCTTGCTTCTTCCTTCTCCCTTGCTTGCTTGGTTCTCGTATTAAAAAAATCTTTCTTTGAAATTTTATTGCAGGTCAACTTAGCATGGTGAAAAGTGGATAAGAGTTTCGACTCGAACTCCGACACATACGTTACATATGTGAGAGGCCCTAAGGAGCCGTTGTTTTGTATTGGTGTAGGATGCGCTCGAATCCTGCCGTTTTTTTTTTTTTGTGTAGGATTAATCTCCTCTTGTTTTTGTGAAGAAGGAGGGGGTCTGGCTGTCTTTTACAGCCAGGGAATAAACCAACAGAGTTTGGTTGGTTAGGAGTTGCCCCTATGGTTTTTGACCTGGAGACGATTTTTTCTCGGTTTACTTCCAAGAAATAAGCAGCTGCATACTCTTGCTTCTTTCATTTTTTTTTTATTTTCCCCTCTTCAGTTTTAAAATGATAATGGGCTCTATTATGAGCAAACATTATGGTCAAGCAGTGGACCTGGAATCTTTGATTATGGTCGTGGATGATGCTAATGACGTTGTATCTCGTGTGGTTAAAAATACCCTGGACTGTTTAAATCTGCAAGCAGCAATTCAATTATATGTCTCAATCATCTGTGTGGCTTTATTCCTGCTAACTGGTTGTAAGATTACAGAGGGTTTTATTATTAAAGATCTGTATTTTTTATGTATTAATTTATTGTTAGTCTTTGTGAGTCTATCGATCCTTGTCCTTGAATAATAAACAACCTTATGATCGATAACATTTGTCATAGTTGTTCTAAGACCAAACTCTCGCCCATGACATTGTGCTATGTTGTACACGTGTGAGAAAATTTTATGATTATACCATGAATGCAGAGTGCTTGATTACCCTTTCGAAAATGTAGGCACTATTCTCTGATGGGCTGGGGATATTCTTGATCCTGTAATTCTGTATGCAGCTTTCAAATATTTCATTTCGCTGGTGTTCTTGGCTCACCTGAATTTTGTTAAAATCATATGCCACGTGTTGTTAGCCTCTGTCATTGCCCATTGTGAGCTTATTTTCTGTCATCCTTCCTCAATAACAACCTGTATGCATTCGATTTATGTGTATTACCCTGGTTAAGTGTTGAGTCGTGTGACTGGTGTCCTTTGGTTCATGCGCAATGTTATGCTGTGCACATTACAGCAATGATATGATTCCGCTGCTGAAATGGCATTAAAGAGCTTAGTATTGTCATTGGAGGAAGGACGAGAGGACAATGATGCACTTGGTGCCACGTGTGTCTTTGGTGCTGCCGCAGCCCATTATTATTTCTGTACTACAGGCATAAAAAGGCATTTGCATGTGATTGGGTCGGATCAGAGGTGCCTTTTTTTTCCATTAAACGGATTTTTCCTTTTTTTTTTTTCCTGAAAACCGTTCTGATTAGTTCTTGTGTTTTTCAATTTCTGTTAAAATGCCTTTATCTGCCATCATTAAACTGTGGAGCTATCACTTTCTAGTTCCTTAGTATCTTCCAAGAGCACTGGAACTAATTCAGTCAACGCAAGTATCAGTTTTCGAATGTAATCCACTGCATGATTCTTAACTTTTGCTCCAATATGATCCCACATTGCATACCTAACATCTCATTTAGATTCTCTTCTATTGTCTTATCACAGCACCTTCTGCAGGGTTTGAGCGTCTAATGCTTCAAGGAAGGAGGGTTTCTCTCTTGAGCTGCACAGTTCCTCTACGTCAGGTGCTCCATGGTGAACCCCTGAACCTCTTGGTTGTTCTGAGAAAAGCAATATCAGAGGAGTGTGATTGAGTTTGAACAAAACCAACTAGTATAATGAACACACAAGGGTTTTGATTGTGATTGCAAGGGTTTCACACGGACAAGAGTGTGCAATATTTGTTGAAGAAATCTCCCCTTCATGGGTTTCAACTGGAATTGATAGGTAGGGTTTTCAATAGATGGAGTAATGAAGATTGATGAAACAATTTTGATGGGTTTCATTCATAGTTGCTGGGGTTTTTGTTGGCACATGAATGGTTTTACATGGATGCACTGGAGGAAAATGGGAGAATATACAACTACATGGGTCTTAAATTTCACATGCCAGGGGTGCTCTAGATTGGGGATTTCATGGGTTCTAAGTGGAATCTATTGGGAGCTGTGATATTCATTCTGAAGTGTGTAGGGCTAAGGCTTGATGTCATGGGGCTGATATAGTGAGGTGAGATTCTTCAAGCAAAATCTCATAGTTGATGAGCAGCATAGAAAACTTGTGCCTTGAATTGCGGCACGATCGGCACACATGGCACAACGTGACATAGAGACCATGTGCACAGCACAATGTGGGATGATGGTAGGTGCATACACGGTACATCACGATGGGCACAAATAGTATAACATGTGCACACAACAAAGTGTGCCATGGCAGGTGCATGCACATCAAAGGTGCGATGTTATGTGTGAAGTCATTTGTGATACTAGAGATGATGTTAGTGGTGAGCCTTAACATGAGTCCCACATCACTTAATCTATGAATGGAGGGGCCAAACCACTAGAATTAGGCACATAGTGTAAGAGGCACTTTGAGTGCCATAGTGCAATATCCTTAGACATTAAATAAAGTAAGAAGTGGTATCACAGTGAAGGCTCTGATGTTCAAGTTAAAGTTGTTACTCTCCTGTTCTTTTTTTATTATAGAGGAGATAGAGTCTTGATCTCTTGGAGGTAGTGGAGCATAACACTAGAGAATTGGAACTCACAAGTGGTGTCTTACTTAGAGGAGCAGACGGCAAGTTTTGTCGTGGTCATGGATGGCCTTGAGGCCTACTTTCAAGCTATTGATGCTTGCTTTGAGCATAGATATTCTTGGTTGGTGTTATTTGCCCACAAGATGTTAGTATGGGGAATGGCTTCACATGCCATTACAGGTGTAGGTCCTCTACCCATGGATGTGGCAAAGCAAGCCATCTTCTCCTCCAAGTGAGCAAGGCACTAGTTGTGAGTTGTGCCCTCTTCCTACTAGCTCCAACACTATCTCTTCTATAACAAAAAGGTGTAAGACAGTAGCAACATGACTTGGATGGAAGAATCTTTGCTCTTAGCTCACTAGTACATGGCTGTTTGTTGAAGTGCTTCAATCGTGTGCCGACATTGGGTGTACTTGTTCCCCTAACTAGCATAACAAAGTGATTTGGAGTTCAAGCTCAAAAAATCATTGCCTTGCATTGCACTATGGAACTCAATGTGTCCATTACATTAGATGCCTAACCCTTTTTACAAAGGGGTTGGGCCCCACTATTCTTGGATTAAACAATGTGGGACCCAGTCTTCTGAAATTATTGGCTCGTGTATTTTCTAGTATTCCTTGAGCATAATTGAATAACTAGGTTCTTCAAATAGATATATATATATATATATATTAAAATAAACAATAATAGATGATATCTTGAGGACATCCCCTGTGATTAAGCACAAGGGTTTATATATTAATCTAGGTGCAAGTCTTCTCAAACGATTGGTCAGTGTATTTTCTAGTATTTCTTTAGCATACTTAATTAAATAACCAGGTTCTTCAAACATATTAATATATATATTAAAAATAAACAACAATAGATGATATCATGAGGACATCCCTTGTGATTAAGCAACAAAACTAAGAAAAGGGTTTATCTACTATTAAAATATGTTAGAGGATGTTCGAACTAGAAAGCCAACCATATAGTCAAACATTGATTGTCAACCATGTTTTGTCTGACTCCGGTATTGAAATTGGCTGAGTTCGGCCCATAATGCGGCTGGCCCATCTGTCGTATTGGGCTTGGGCTTCTAGGAGCTCAGCTTGGAGCCCAATCTGTGGTCTTTATTTGGAAATCTTTTCAACGCGCCGGTCCACAAAACAGTCAGGGGTATAAGCCAAGGAGAGGGAGAAAGGTTGGTTGATTAAATTTACCATTTATTATAGATAATATATATAATTATTAAATGGGATAATTTTTTATTTATTACGTTTACCAACGGCAGCTGCTAACTGCCGGGCTTTGATATTTTCTTTCCTAAACTATATTATATATGGTTTAAAAAAATCGATAATATATATATTTAATGAAATTTGTGAACATATATAATTTTTCTGAATAATAAGAATTGAAATCATTATATATATTTAAAATATAAATTGGTATGACCATGAGTGAGAAAAGCGGTGATTTATTGTAATTCGTAACTTTATTTACCATTTATTATATATAGTATATATTTTAATTACTAAATGGGAGAAATTTTTATTTATCAGATTCAACAACGGCAGCTTCCAACTACCGGGCTTTTATATTTTCTTTCCTAAACTTCATTTTATATGGTTTATAAAATTTGAAAAAAATAAAATATTTAATGAATTATATGAATTTGTGAACATATATAATTTTCTTTGAATATATTATACATATATATTCATAAATATACACTACATACATAAGAATCGAAATCTATCTGTATTTGAATATATGATTTTTTTTAATTTCATATAGTCTGTGAATATGGGAACTTATTATTAGGGGAAGGGGGGGTGGGGCAGTGGGGGCCTGTCAACTCTGGTCGCCCTGTCCCATCCAGTCAGGAAGCTGAGTTGAGGCCGGCACCAACGAAAACGTGCGCGATCAGCCGGAGTACGAGGAAGGTGGGGACAGGGAGGGAGAGAGGGAGGGAGGCAGAGAAGGTTCATCTTCTCTCAGCAGGGCAGTGCGTGGGGCGTTGCGGAGCTCGTGAGGCAGGCAAGAGGTGAGGAGACGCTAGTTCGTTCCCTGTTCACGTCTCTCGCTCTCGCTCTCGCTCTCGTCATCTCTGTGTAGATTTTTAGTAAATCTCTCTGTCTCTGTCTCTCTCTCTTTCTCGATGTATATCTATATTTGTGTGTGTATGTGTGTAACATTATTTTGAACAGTCGCTATCTTTGCAGGCGATCAATTGGGGGAATAAGTGGAGGAAGAGAAGGGGGAACGGATCGGTGAATAGGGCGGACGGGGGTTGAGGATTGGGAGGTGATCCGATGCGGGTCCCCTTGCTGGGATCCGGTCGATTTTTCCTGCCAATTTTCGGTCACGACGAGGAAGCCGACGTGAGGTGCCGTTCGGAATTTCTTTTGATTGTGATTGCTGTTATGCTTCAATCTTTCTCTTTTCTTCTTTCAATTCCTACCTTTTTTGGTTCCCGAATTCCTATTTAACAATGAAACGAAAATGGGAATTGCACTAGAAGAGCCACAGTCCAGAAATTGTCTTTAGCCCCATTAGAATTCATCTGATGCGTATTACAGTGACTCGTTTTTTATTTTATCGGGAGAAAAATATCCCTGATACATTTAGGAGGGCTATTTTTTGTGGGGTGGGGTAGTGCGCGTGTCTGCTGAACTGATGCCCTACTGAGGGTTTGATTGATGAGTTTACGTTGACAGTTAGTCCATCTAATGAAAGTAGGAAAGTTTTTGCATCTCCTGGATAAAAATTACAATTAGTCCATCCATTTGAATAGGAATCTAATCAGGGTTTCACATAGTTTATTCTTCGTTTCTGAGACAGTTACCATTTGAATTTCTATAGAATTTTAGGGAATCCTCGGAATGTTCTGGACGAAATCACCTTTTCTCAGATAATGGGAAAGTTTTGTGTGTTGTATGTGAGGGCAGGAGTACGAGTTTTAAGTGCACTATGTTCTGTTCTGTTTAAAGGATCTACATGATATCAATATTTCTCATTTTGTCTGGTTCGTTCTCTTATGTCGTCCTCCAGTATATTTTCAGTAGTAGAAAAAAAAATCAAATTCATTAATCAGGTGGTTGTTCAAATAAACGGGTGCATATTTACATTATATAATTGTTCGGTCATCTCCGGCACACTGTCCATTCTTTATTTAATTTTTCACTTTAGTTTTTCATTTGCTTTATTGGAATTGACTTGCCAAAGGTTCGATGTGAAGGTTAGCTTCGTTGCTTTATCCCTGAAGGTAGAATGATGAACTTTTTGAATACAGATAGAAACATGGAAGTGCCTATTTGTTTCTGAGGTAAAATGGGGCGAAGTATGCTTTTCTTCAGCTCATGAAGACGTGTCAATGATCATATGCATCCTTTTTTATGATTTTAGGTGTTGTCATACTTTGTTGAAAGTGGTAACGTTATCTGGTTTACTTTGATGCAAATTTGACTCCTTTGGATAGTCCATTTCTAAGCAGGTAAGTGGAAGCGAATGAATGATAAACAGATAGCACCTTTTAACGAATGAATGAATGGAAAAATCCTTTTTGGTGATGCAAAGCATATGGGAAACCTATTTTTCATTCTCGCATGAATATATGTCATTAAATCCAATATGCATACTCGAGTACGAATTTAGGTGCTTATTGAAAGTCAAATTATGATATCATGCAGTTTCATTGGACAAATATTAAGCTCACGTGTTTTGTCTGTTCCTCATTTGGGACATGGAAATTGGAATCCTTTGCCGTTAATCTTTTTTACTTTGGTATAATTGCAAAATGTAGGTTTGTTGATCTTGACATTTTCGATGCCTTTATTCTGTCTTTGAGTTCCTTCTGACTGTGATCCTATTACCGTGTGGCAATAGGTTTAGTGTGTGAAGGACCAAATTGATAATGAAGCGCTTTGTTTACATCAATGACAATGAGGCCTCCCATGATCCTTATTGTGACAATCGCATATCAAATAGGAAGTACACCATATTGAATTTTCTCCCAAAAAACCTCTGGGAGCAATTCAGGTTTGAGTTTAACTTTGTGCCCATTTTTTTCCTTATGCATGTCTATTATTAAAACCTGTTTACTAACATTCTATGACGAACTTTCCAGCGATTTTTGAACTCAGTTTGTTATTTTTTTATTTCATTTCCTCTGTTATTGTCATTTTCGTTAATCTTCAGTTGTTTATGTGGCATATTCATACTGCTTATTATTTATAATTGGTATTGTTGTTGAGAAATCGGCATGCATGTATTAAGCGCACACATAGGCATCTTAAAATAAGCACTCATCAGAAACCCTTGGATAACTTCTAGAGTATGCCACAGAAATTATGGTCTTTATAGAACTTTGAGAGAAGTCTATCATTTTGCTTCATTGTGTGTGCAAGCTTATCATGGGGTGTTCTCTGCATTATGGACTCGGTACTTTATATGAGGATTGCTTTGAAGGCGTTTGAGACATCTGTTCCTTGGCGTATGGCCTTTGGCAGAAGGCGTATGTGTCCAGCTGGTGCATGCAGGGGTGCGCGAGGAGATTCTAGTCCTTTATTGTGGTGACATTCGCAATGAACTGGTCTGTGTGGAATATGCGAGGAAATAGTCTGTTGGGACGTTTCAATAACTGCAACTCCTGGAAGGTCAAGAAGGTATTTACCTAGGAATTGAGAGTGATGAAGAAATTTTGGTTTAACTTGCTGAGGTATGTTTCAGGAAATGGACTTTTGAACTAGTCATAGCTGTCTATAAGAGTGGTTATTCAGGGTCGTCTCCCTTGTGCATCCAGAGTGCATAAATGCCTGCACTACTGGTCACTTTTTAGCAGTTTGTGGCCAGGTGGAAATCAGTTGCCAAGTTCTTGGTGAACTCTGCTTAGGTTAATCTTGAAGGATATTGATACTACCTGAAAACTTTTAGTGCCAGGGAGACCTTTATTTTTTGTTGATAGAAGGGAAATCAGCCTATGGCAGAACGAGTCTTGTGTAAATTATCATGCATTGCCTTTCAATCATGACAATGAGAGAAATAAATCTGCATAAATGGTTCTCAAGTAAAGTAAGTGACAATAGTCTGTTGAGGATTAGCTCAACTTTATGTATGGCTTGATCTCTCTCAGTCTGTAGCATTGGAAGACTAAACTTTTCGTTATTTTTTGGCTTGAGGACATTGTGTAAGCATCAAGTACTTCCATCCTTTTGTTTTGTGAGTTAGCTTATTGTATCCTGCTATTAATTTTGAAGAGGAAATCCTGGAAGGTTATATCGAGACATTTACTCAATAACATATTTGACATTCTAATGAGAGCCTGACTAATGGAAACTTTATTCGTTTTAAATGCTCTCTGAAGCTTCTATGTGAGATTAAGGGTCGCTGAAAAAATTCGGTGTAGGATTGAAATGCATTGATCAGTTAGAAGACAGACAGTTCGGTTGTTTTTGTCTGATTTTTGGTCTGGTAGTTTGTAGGTGCTGGGGTTCTGTTATCTTGTTCTCTGCATTTCCTTGGAGTCTTCTATTAGGCAGTCCTTATAGCACTCCTTCTCCTTGGAGTCTTGATGTACAAGACTTTTCATGGCCGCATTTCTTTAGTTTGGGCAAGTATGATTTTGTTTTGCTAATTTCCCCCATTTCGTTGTAAAACGAATTCGTTTCCTCGGTATCTCACAAATATGATAATAGATTGTTAACTATTCTCGAAACAAGTAATGCTGATGCAGAATAGTTGAATTCCAGTTGGACCCTTTTACATATAGTTCCTGAGAAAGTTTTTTCTATTGGAAGGCTAATTAAAAAAATTATTTAATAGGTAATCTACTGAGTTGTTGAGGCTATTTTAACTTTTTTCCCCGGTATATGTTCTAATCTTAATCTTAGGCTGTAACCTTCTACTTATAGTGTTGAGGTGTCTTTAACTTTTTTTTTTTTCAAGAATTTTTTTTCTTCTTGTACAATTAAATATAAAACTTATAATCAGCACATGTATAGGTTCTGTTTACTAATTTTCTTGTATCTATAGTTCTCTTTTGGTCTATTACTCATAGAACATGGCAACATAAAAAATGAAACATAGGATGCTTTCCTTGATGCTGCAAAATTTTGTAGTTTTACAGGAAAGTGGTGCATTTCCTTCTTAAACTTATATGCCACTAGCCTCTGATTTTGTTCAGAAATCCATTTTAGAAGGCCATCCTTGCAGTCCATGTTGTTGCATTCCGTGAGGGAGCTCTATTCCTTTTGCCATGGCATCCTGACAACAATCTGACATATCATCATGCTACAGTGTTGAAGATCACTCGCGTCTTGTTGTGTGGTCTTCAATGAATGTCAGCTGAGCTCATGTTATTAGAAGAGGAGGAAAACCTGGCAGTCATGCTTTATAGACAAAGGATGCAAGTACAGTCATTGACATACCGTTTCTCCTCATAACTAGTAACGACAGAGTCTATTTCACCTCATACTGTTTCTAATTTTTAGGGTAACACAGGCAGTCTATTTTTGATTAGCAAATCTCAGTCTTTCTGGATACCATGAAGAATATTATCTTTCATGACGGGGGTTTTTTCCATACTGTATTGGTGTAGGTTCATGATATAGAGGGTAAAATGATTAGTGCGCCCAATGGAGAAGTGGCTACTTTCATTTCACATTTTGGTCCTTTTCTTGAATGATTCTTCATCCTCCTTGCTCTGTCTCTGTTTACATTAAGTCTCACTCTCAACAATTGAAAATAACATCTAAAAGAACCTTCAACAAACTTATCTCCAAATCCTGGGTTTCTTATCATCAGTAATCGTAGATTGGCCATAAAGATCTACTGGAAAGAAGGCTGTACATGGCACATGCCTCATTTCTGTGCTCAAGTTCTGTATCTTTTTCTAGCTATTTCTGCCGACTTTAGGATCTCTGTCCAATCATTGAACGAATAATTAGACTTATAAAGTAAGAGTATCCACACCATTCTCCAGGGAGCCCCTTCTTTTTTACTAGTCAGCCACAGCCAATTTATAAGAATGAAAGATTCTTGTCCTTACGGTCTTTATGTGTATGGGCTTCTTGGGAGACTTCTCGTTCAAGGGTTTTCTTCTGAACATTAAGAGTAATTTCCAAAGTCTAAGTGGCTTTCTCTCTTGGGATAGTCACTGGAAATTAGTCATGATGGGTCTAGAAAAGCATTAAACGTTCTTGATAAGCCATGGAGGCGATTATCAGATATTTGTGTAAGCAGTATCATTCTCTTGCAAGAATTATGCTTTTAGGTATCAAGATTTTATTTCTAAAAACTTTTTCGTTTTGTCCCTAACGAGTGAAAATTCGGATTAAGAATTTAAATGAATATCCGCATACTTTCTAATTGATGGCATTGTTTACTCAAGGTTGTTTCCTCGTAACATAACTCGTTTGATAAAAGGTCAGGCTTATTGAGAATATCTTCATCAAAGCCAAATCTGCTTTGTCTTGGCTTCTCTCTCTCTTTCAACGTTCCTATGTTACACTTTGTCAATGGTTAAACGATGGCTTTATTTTTGCCATTATTTTATTCACTGTGCATATATTTGAATAAATTTTCTCTTGTATTTCAGCCGGCTTATGAACCAATACTTCTTGCTGATTGCTTGCCTTCAGCTCTGGCCACTTATTACTCCCGTTAATCCTGCTAGCACATGGGGTCCGCTGATCTTTATTTTTTCTGTCTCTGCATCGAAAGAGGCTTGGGATGACTACAATAGGTACCTTTCTGACAAGCAAGCAAATGAGAAGGAAGTATGGGTTGTAAGAGATGGCATCAGAAAACGTGTACGTTGAATTCATTGATGGCCTGTGATCTTCACTTTGTAATGAGATATCTGTATGGTAACATTATGAACTGATTAGTTTTACTTGGGACTTCTCCAATTATATCTCTATGCAAATGTATGCGTCTATCTTGAGGATAATCATTTTGCCGTGATAAATCGATTGGTAAACTAAACTTTGATGGCCATCTACTAGATGCATTTCTAAATTCCTTTGCTTACGCATTTTTGGCCGGCATGTACCTCTAAAGCTACATTTTTGCATGTGGAACCTCCCTTTAATGAATGCATGTGAACGGCTTAGCCAGAATGTTGAGTCATTCTCCTTCAGTCAGCAGAAGTTGGAAAGAAATATAATGGTAATGTTTGCTTTTGTTTCTCGAGTATACATTAATGATATACCAATACATTGTATGGGAGACAAGTGCAATATTTTTGGCCTTAGCCAGAAAGGTCTGGTTAAATCCAAAATTAGAAATGGCTAAGTCAATAAGGCGCAGGCTTAAACATTGGTTACCTGGATTCTGTATTTCTGTGGCTTGGTCGTGCAGAAATTGAGTTTGTTCTTATTACACTTGGAAATCAAGTTTTTTATGACAGATTTTCAGTAAATACCTTCTTGATCACTTTTCCTTTGATGTTTGTTGGATATGCTTCTGTTATGCTCTACCTGGATGCCCCCTTGTGTCACATCTTGATAATGAATTTACTTGAACTCCATGTCCTGCAACCAGTAGCCACAAAATGAGAGTTGGGCATTTAAAGAAACTCTTTCAAATTCTTTCCCGTCCAGTCGGTTGTTGTTTATGTTTCAGTACTAGATTTGACCTTCTGGGATTTTCATCTGATCTCAGTAAGTACTGGTAAAGGTGACTATGTATTATTGAATTGCACTTTTTCTGTGGGTTCCATGATTTCACACTGATGTGGTAGAAGTACCCTTATTTTCACTCCTAGAATTATCAGCTCCTTCTCCTCTTTTTATAGATACAAGCTCAGGATATTCATGTCGGTAACATAGTTTGGCTTCGGGAAAATGATGAGGTCCCTTGTGATCTACTGCTACTTGGAACTTCTGAACCACAGGGCATCTGTTTTGTTGAGGTCAGTCATTTGCATTTATTTCTTGATATTTTATTCTGTTTATTTTTTTCATATGTTATTATACCCTGTGAATTTTTTACAGCTGTCATTTGATTTATAAAAGCCAGAAATGAATACAGCGAAGCATAAATAATTATAATTACAGAAAAAATTAGGGAAGTTGATAGCCAATTTCATTGATTATATTATTTTTTTAGACGCAAAAAATTATATCTTATGTTCTTATGAGAATTTGATTATTGTATCGTTTAATTCTTAACGCCATGATTAATTGAGCAAATATCCCATGTGGTCTAGTTAGCAACTGTAAGTTGCCCACATGCTATTGTTAGTGCTCTGGATCATGGAGATATTGAGTTAAGTGCTTAGATGTGCATGCTTCTTAATTTTATTTGATAGTTACATACATTAAAATCTCAAGAGGAGCTTTCTGAGTACCTTGTATTTGAAGAGCTCTTAAAGAAGATCAGTTAGCAGTGCTTGCGGTCTCTTGTTCCACTCATGAGGAGATTCCTTATCAACTTTACTTTATACTAGTGAAACAGACCATGTGAGGGCAATGAAACTGACCCCCTCTCAGGGTTTGAAACAGCTTCTAATAGACAAAGCAATTAATAAGCAGGTAGAGAGTAAGAGAAGCAACACATGAGAATTCTCGTGGTATGGCTATGCAATTCTTATATTCGCCGATAGAGATGATGGTATTTCCTGGGAAGACTAGTCTGTCCTCCCTCTCTCCCGATCTCTTGGATGATCTAATGCTTCAAATCTAATAGATTTCAGGAAACACAAACTACTATAATACATGATTTCTTGTCTGTTTTAGACAGTTTCCTATCTGCAACTCTCTAACTGGGATGTGTAAGAGTTTCCACTTATATTTGACTCGTGTACCACATCCCCCAAAAATTTCCGATTTGAATGTCTTTTTCAAATAGGAATAAGCGTCTCCGAATTTTTTTTGAGAGGAAAAACCTGACACCCCGTGGAATTGATAAAATAAAATAATCGTTATCTATAAATAATGTCACTTTCACGTGGATTGGCTGATTCTGATCAGTATTTAGCTTTTATCAGCGGTACAAGTAGGAAGCCAGCAAAGCTGTTTCACCACACTTATTATTCTTATCATATGATGTTCAGAGGCTAAAGCACCATTTGGCGTACTCTTTATTTATCTCTGATGAAACTAATTTTTGACGTCCTGACTTGGCCCTTTGTTGCAGACGGCTGCTTTAGATGGTGAGACCGACCTGAAGACGAGAGTTATACCTACAGCCTGTGCTGGGTTGGCTTCTGAATTGCTATACAAAATTAAGGCAAGTAAATAGTTTTTCTACGATATGAGATTGAAAATATTTTGACTCGGAAATTCGATCCTCTCACCCTGGATGGTTTCAATTTTAATTTACAGGGAGTGATCGAGTGTCCAAATCCAGATAAGGATATTAGAAGATTTGATGCTAATTTGCGGTTGTTTCCTCCGTTTATTGATAATGACTTGTGCCCGTTAACAATTAACAACACGCTGTTGCAGTCATGTTATTTGAGAAATACAGAATGGGCATGTGGAGTAGCTGTATACACAGGTCATACTTTCTTTCCTCAAAGTGTCAAACCCTTGCCTAATTTATTGTGACGTTGTTACCTTCATATACCTACCTTTAATGCATGACTAGGATGGGTATTTTTTTCGTACTTCATATACTTGGAAGTTTCCTTGATTTTGGTCACGGTACAATCCAAAAAATTCAAAACTGAACATTACGTTATGAATAGTATACTCTGCAGTAATATCGACGTAATATACTCTGCAGTAATTCATAAAAAGAAACAGATAAATAGTTAATCCGAGAAAGGTAAAAATTAAAACATATGGAGTTTTAAGGTACAAGTCACGACTTCTTATTTAACTTGGTAAATTTGGATATCTCCTTGATCCATGTGAGTCACATGAGTTTGCTTGATGCCTCTTTTATCATTTTCCAATACTCAATTTAAATCTGAAATCGTTCGTCAATAGTACAAGTGTCACACGAATTGTTTGTATATTGATATCTGATCCAGCTGCCGCTATGACTCTAGCTTAAGGGATGTCCTTCCATACTGTAGAGATTATTACTGATATTGTCAGGTGGAATATCTCACTCGACTTAATTTTCGATTAATTAATCCATGTTACAGTCCATCTTATTACCTCTTATTTTCATCTGCTTTTCCCAATTAGTGAATGAGAGATAACAGTCGAAGCCAACCTAGTGTCTTCTCGACATCTTTGGATGCATTCCCATCCTTTTTACCTCGTACACGAGGTATATCTTGGAGAATGTCGGTGACATTGCATATGTGAGGTGGATGGCCACCTGTTATAGAAGAATAGGTAGGATACAATCCATAAGAGTGGTGCATATTAAATGTCGATGATTCTCGTGAAATCTTATTGCATTTCTTTGCAACTCCATAAAAAGTAAAAAAGTGAAAGGTCTTGGGAGATATGGATCATAGATTTAGTCCAACAGTAAAATTACCTCTGGGATTATGCTCTGATTTTTTCGTATGGCATTATTATTGTTTCCTATTAGCGAGAATAATTGCTACCATGTCAAAATTGGTGGACTATCTAATGGCTGAGTTTCTTATGTTTCTATGTTGATTATTTTACATTCATTTGTCTGCCTAATTTTGTTTTCCTTATTTTAGGTAATGAAACAAAATTAGGAATGAGCAGAGGAATACCTGAACCAAAACTCACTGCAGTTGATGCCATGATTGATAAGTTGATTGGAGCAATATTTTTGTTCCAGATTGTTGTAGTTATTGTTCTAGGGTTTGCTGGGAACATATGGAAAGATACTGAAGGCCAGCAGGTCGGTCACTCTTTTTTTATACCACTTTTTCTTTAACCTTCGAGTTTCATACATTGGCTAGGTCCAGACCATTGACATCACTATGTCGTCTTTTTATCTATTTATATGAGCCAGTCAGGAGGTAGTTTTATATCATTATTGAAGGAATTCTTTTTCTGAACTGTTGTTTCCTAGTTTACATTGATAAATCCCTGCCCAAATTTAAGTGGGAAATCGGATACCTGCTCTGCTTGTCGTCTTTCTCATGATCTTATAATTTATGGCAAAACATACTTTATTTTTGTATTGGTAACAGAGTTCAATGGATAAATGATAATCGGGTGGACTTATTTTGTGTCTTTAAATTCGGGGCTTAGTAATCAGTTATTCAATTGTGTCTATGAAGTGTTTTAGTTTTGGCCTGATTCTTTTTTTTTTTAAGAGTTGGATCAATTACGAGGTTGGGATTTTAGTACCTAAATAAAACCGAAAGACTGCCATCGTGACCTTTTATACCCTCATGAAAGTTACTTAACTGGTGTTTGATTTAATTACATCGTGAGGTTAACTAGGATTTTTGGCTAGTTCACTGTGAGGTATGGTATCTTAAAACCGTTTGTCAATGACAATCATCTCTTCATTTGATGCTTAATTTTACTGTGTAGAAGTCAGGAATATAGATGGCTGGCCATGTAACTCGTTTCCATGCCTTTTACGATTAATTGAGTTTGATATTTGCGAATTTGTGAGGCTCTTCTTGAATAGATTAGCAAATATTCATGCTCTGAACTTATTCTTCATTAATAAATTTCTACATTTACTTTTTATTTTTAGTTTTTGGTTTGATCTCGTAGAATTTCTAGTGGAAATTCTAAGTTGATCGTTAAACACATTTTTTGTGGTATTCCTGTTGTCAGAATCGAGCTTTCATAATTGAATCACGTAATCAGACTAGATGAGCCGTCATGGGGAAGCAATAATGCAATATTCATTGTACAATCTCTTGGATTTTATTTCCAAAAATATCTCAAGAAAAGAGTCAAGTATTTTTTGAACCTCTACAAGACTGCAAGCTTAAAGTCTTTCATGCCTACTACCTTGGTCAAATGCTCCTCTGTCACCTATTATATGTGAGAATGCATCAGCAAATTATCCAGAAGAATGACTGATATATTGATATCCAATAAGCAGTCTTTGTAATGCACAGCATCCATCCCCTATGCTTTCTCTTGGTTGTCAAATCCACTGCATAGCTTTAAACTGTGTCATGTTAATTATCAGGATAAACTAGACATTTACGTTTTCCTTTGCGGTTGTGTTTATTTCGTTTTTATTTGTAAAAGAAGGTCATTAATTCTGATGAAACTTCTAGATTCGAATCTTGTAAAATTGAGTAGATAACATTATGACAACGTGGTTGCTTTCCTGATTCATGACTTATTTTATTTCTTGTAGCAATGGTATGTTATGTACCCAGTTGAAGGGCCATGGTACGAACTCTTGGTTATCCCCCTCCGGTTTGAGCTTTTATGCTCTATTATGATCCCCATATCTATAAAGGTAACAAGCTCCTTAACCTTACTAAGTCTGTTCACTCCTTAAGGCTCCAAATAGCTGTTCACATTTGACAGACTTTGATGTTTACTTTATGAGAGTTGTTCCGTCCTTTCTGTGTATAATTTTTACGAAATTTACGTGCACTTTTTGGTGATTATACTTCCTAAGGTAATTTCATTGCCTAGGAAAGCTTTGAGACGGAATTGTCGTCCTTTTTTATTACTGTGATCTGTTTATGATTCATAATTTTGTATTACCTTTGTTTTGGAGTTATATGGTAAATCTGAGTATAAGTTGGAGAGGAGGATGTTGCTTTATTCAAGATCATGAGATTGGGATTGAATCCAACTAAGGGAGGTCCAATTCCCTTTCAAATCTTTGGCTGGTCCAAATTGAGAAATTTTTAAATGGCATGTGAGAACTGTGTATGTTTTAGGATATTTAACACTGAAACCTTGCGCGAGATGAATAATTTATAAATAGACATTCATGAGGGTGGTAGTTATTGTCAGCAGAGGGTAAAAGTGATGTTCTGGCCGTCTGTAGCAAGCAAAGGCAATGTAATTTTTTCTCTGCTATCAATCCTCATTTTTTGTGTTTTTCTATTTTTTCTGTTCCTTGTAATTTTTCAGAATCAGCCAATCCCTTCTTTGTTTCTTTTTCTCTTCCTCTGATGGAGGTAAAGTCTGTATACAATTGGTTGAACAATGTGGGATTATCTGCTGTCATATCTTTTGTTTTATGTTTTTATTCTGGGCGGTTGTATCCGGACTTGGAGCGTCATAGGGGACCGAGTCCACAATTTTTTTTTTTCTAGAACTGTGCCCTGATTTTAAGCACTACAGTAACCAGAGATTTTTGTGTCTCTTGCCCAGAATGTGTGATTATAACGAATTAAAGGCTCTTTCTCGCTGATATTTGATGTTTACCTTTTACTCACAGATCACTCGAATGATTTGCGTACAAAACGTTTTGAAAACTTTCCTTTGTTTATTGCAGATATCTCTAGATCTCGTAAAGAGTGTGTATGCAAAATTTATTGATTGGGATGAAGAAATGTATGATCAAGATGCTCAATGCCCTTCTCATGCTGCAAAGTACAATTCATAACCCTTTTACCAATAATCGAGTGAAGCTTCTATCATGTTCTCCAATAATGGTGCTCTCTGATTTTGGCAGTACTGCAATCAGTGAGGACTTGGGACAAGTTGAATACATTTTGACTGACAAAACTGGGACTCTCACTGAAAATAAGATGATCTTTAGGAGATGCTGCATCAATGGCACATTTTATGGAAACAATTCCGGGGATGCTTTGAAAGGTTTATATTTTTTCTATGATGCTCTATGACCTTCATTTATCTGTCTCACTTTTAGTTTGACTTTTATCTCAACATTCTATACTAATATAAGAAACCAAGGCAGATTGTCAACCTTGGTTATGTGCCTTGTGATGAAGAACACTGGCAAATGGTTGGAAAGAGATGGAGCCCTGGGAAAAATTCCTAGGGTGGCAGGGCTATACCTTAGGGCATTCGGTGAAAGCCTGGAACACAAAGAGAAACATAGGTTAGGAAGGAGGATATTCCTTCAGGATAAGAGAAAGCTCGGCACACCAGGACAGGTCATCAGTAGGTGAAGGAGGATATTCCTTCAGGGAATAGGAGAAAGCTCGGCAAACCAAGACAAATCGGATATCCTTCTGGGAATAAGAGGAAGCTCGGCACACCAAGACAAATCATCGGAAGGGGAAGGAGGATATTCCTTCAAGGAATAAGAGAAAGCTCGGCACACCAAGACAAATCATCGGAAGGGGAAGGAGAGATAGCTTTGAGCAGTAGGAGAAGGCCTGGAACACTAGGTGAAACGGTCGAAATCAATACCTTTTGCGTAGTAGGAGATAACCCAGAATACCAAGAGGAATCGTTGGATGAGGAGGATGTCTTGAGCAGTGGGACAGACCATGGAATATCAAGAGAGAACATGCTGCAAGAGTTGTGGAAGATGTAGAGATCTGGGCTTGAATCCATAAAGGTCAAATCTAGATGGAGGAATTAATTCTGAATCCACAGAATTGGGGTTTTGACCTTGAATCCACAAAGGGAGACAACCTTGAATCCACGAGATCGAAGATAGGAACTTTGAATTCTCAAGGGGGTGTTTGAATTTACAAGTGAAGAAAACCTCATAGGAGAGAAACTCAAAAATTAGAATTATATGCCTTGAGCATTCTATTTGTGAAAAAAACTCGTCCTTGAGTCAAAAACTTCTGAATCACCATAATACTCATAAATATCACACAAATTGAATGTGGTTGAGATACCAATATCAGCAAGAAGCTCGATGAGGTAAGCATTATCATTGATTCATAATAGCATTCTGAATTGTCCATACTTTTTTGCTTTCAGTTTGTTGTAAGAACCAATCAAAAATCGTTCTTTTCATAAATAAATCATAAGAACTCAGACTTCGAATATCTCCTTCCTTTTTTTCTGATCTACAACTGTCTTGTACTTTCATAATTCATTGATAGATTTCGTTGAAGACCTTCGTGGATTATTTTGATGTAATCCCTTATATTGTTTGCACCAATTATCTTTCTAGTTTGTCATGACAACGCAATAAATCCAAAGAAATCTTTGGAGGAAAATAATAAACTGTAGAAAAGGGAGATTTGTTAGTTGAATTATCAACAATAGAATTATAAGAAAATTCTGCTTGTGCCAGAGTTTAGTCTCATTGTCTTGGTTTTTCTCTTGAAATGCACCAAATTAAATTCCCAAGGGTATTGTTGATGACTTTTGTTTGACCATTAGTGTGTAGGTGGTTGGTATTGCTGAATTTTATAAATGTATCAAATCTGTTCCAAAGTGTTTGCCAAAAGTGAGATAGAAAATTAGGTTCTCTATCATATGTAATTGATTCAAGAACACTATGTAAACTAACAATCTCTTTGAAGAAAAAGGTTTGCTACTTTCATTGCATCATTTGTCTTCTTGGATGCAATGGAATGGACCATTTTAGAAAATCAGTTTACTATTACGAAAACAGAATTTGTTCTTTCTTGTATTCGTAGAATGCCCAAAATAAAATTTCGTAGAATTGGAAGTGGAGTGTACAAATTAGTATTTTGACGCTGTCCTTTGTTGACTTGGCACATGTGACACTTCTGTACAAAAATTTCAACAGCCCCCTTAAGTTGAGGCCAGAAATACTGTTCTTTGACCAAGTGTAAGGTCTTGTCATGGTCCTAATCTTCCAGAGAATAATTCACGAAACAACTTTTCCCTTAATGAGACTTAGGGAATACAAAGCTCTATTCCATGAAATAAGAAATCGTCTTGTATATGAAAACACTTTTGATTTTCTTGACCTGCAAATATCTCAAACTGGTGCAGAATCTTCATCATTATATTGAATTATTTCACATAGTCAAATCTAGTGATTTAATATAGAGGGTCACAAACAGGCTATTTTTCTACTTAATGCATCTGTCACTTGGTTTAGCTTTTTAGGCTTATTCTTGATCACAAAAATAATACGTTGGATGAAAGAAATCCATCTAGCATACATTTTATTAACAAAAGTTCGAGTATTGACTGATTCTAGAGCCTAATAGTCACTGTACAAAATAAACTCATGTTGTATCATATAATGTTCCCAAAAATGTAAAGCTCGAATAGCAACATCAAATTCTAATTCAAATGTCATCTACATTTTTATAACATATGAAAGTTTTTTGCTGTAGAAGGCTATTGCTCAACCCTCCGGGGACAACATAGTTTTAAACCCCACTATAGAAGGATCACGTTCAACTTCAAATAATTTATCAATATTAGGCAGTGCTAAAACTGGAGCATAATATATTTTTTCTTTGATTAGGTCAAAACTTGTACCTACTTCATTAGTCTACTTGAAATTTATTTTTTTCATACACTTTGTGATTGGGACATAATTGCACTGAAATGTTTGATAAAAAGAAGTTAAAACTATGGAAACTTCAGACTTGATAAATGTTCTGTGGTGCTGCTCATTCATTAATTGCCTAAACTTTCTCCTCGTCTGCCTTGATTTCATCTTCACTGACAGCAAAATTTAAAAACACTAAATTGTGAGTCATGAAGTTGCATTTCTTCAAATTTAGGTATAGGTAATTTTACTATAGAACTTGGAACACTACTGTCAAATGACTGACATATTTTTCCTCTATTTTATTGAAGGGCAAAATATCACTCAAATAAATAATAAAAGTTTCAATAAATATTTTCAAAACTTGATTCATTATCCTCATAAATGTGCTTGGTGCATTTGACAAAGCAAATAGCATATAACTTATTTGTATAGACTTACCTTTATCTTAAAAGTAATTTTCTACTCGTCTCCTAGTTGAATTCTTATTTGATGGTATCTACTTTTTTAATCAACTTTTGAAAATATTTTAGACCCAAAAAGCATGTCCAACATGTCATCAATTTGTGGAATGAAAAATATGTACTTAATTATAATTTTCTTGATGGCACGGTTGTCAACATAGATTTGCCAGCTTCCATCCTTTTTGGGCACTAGTAGTGCATGAATTGAGCATGGGCTCATACTTTCTCTAATTGACCCTTTTGTTAGTAACTGTTCAACCTGTTTTTTTAACATTCAATTTTCTTTCAGACTCATTCTGTAGTGGGGCAGGTTTGGTAAACTGGCTGCTGGAGTAAAATCGATCTTATGTTGAATATGATACAGGTCGTAAATGATTATGCATATTTTGCATAGAAGAAAATTCATATAGAACTGTGTGAATAGATTCTAAAATATTTGTGTCAACTTTGAATTCTGACTTTAATTTTTGAACAACAACAAGGAATTCAGACATACCATCTAGATTATTGAAAAACTCCTTTTGATCGATTAGTATAACCTTCTTTTTTTCGTGTATGTCTTTGCCTCTTTATCCTTACTGTTGCAGTTATTGTAAGAAAGAAATGAAGGATAGAAAGAAGTTTTAGTGCTCCCACATTACCTTAGAACTGTCTCACATTTATGGTGTTTTAGTCTATTGCTCTTACTTTGTGGGAGAATGGAGTTGCTCTGTCATTGGTTTCATAGCTAATAGGCCTTGCTTTTGACTTTTTAAATTTCCATAGCATCCGTCATCTAAAAAAAAATCAGGTTTTCCAATTAAGTACGAAATTTAGATTCCGTACACAATAGTCGATCTCTTTTCTGCTGTCCACTATTCATAGCCACTCTTTTTTGTTATATTTTTTTTATAGAAAAGTTGTCCTCGTGATTTAATTTTCATGAGTCAGTCTATTGTGTGATGGTGCCTGCTCGAGGTAAACTTCTCATATACCACATGATGTTATTTACTGTTTTAAAGCGTGCAATATGTTGGATACTAGGGGTTTCAAAAGGTGTGATATGTATTATTCTCCTCATTTGGGTCGGATTATTTCTTTAGACATATGTGTAGAAATATTAATCTCCTCATTTGAGTCAGGTTTTTCTTCAGTTCATGCATTATTTCATAGTTGGAATTGGATAATTTCATCTTACTCCAAATGCTTTATTATTCTAACAAATTTTCTTTTCTAGATAGATGGTGAACTGCTCAATGATGTTGTCAACAATGTCCCTGATGTCGTCAGATTTCTTACAGTCATGTCGATTTGCAACAGTGTTGTGCCAACTAAAAGGTGCTCTTACTCTTTAATAACATAGAACTAGTAAGTGCACCAGAACATCTTTGTTTCTATTGAGTAAGAACATCTTGCTGCTCACAGTCCTAGTGGAGAAATCTCCTACAAAGCCCAGTCTCAAGATGAAGATGCTCTTGTCAATGCTGCTGCTCACTTGCATATGGTTTTTGTAAATAGAAATGGAAATGTTCTCGGTAAGACCTCTGAGGCACAACTTTTCCCTCTGATAGCTCTTTTAAAAGTATTTATTTAATTTATTTCACTTGGATGTGTCATATTATAGATTTTGTTGTTTTAGTTATCTATGGCTCAGGGGGCTTATTATTTAATCTATTGGTTTTACAGAAGTAAATTTCAATGCCTCAGCTGTTCGCTATGAGCTGCTGGATGCTCTAGAGTTCACATCTGATCGTAAGAGAATGTCAGTGGTTGTCAGAGACTGTCAGAACGGGAATATACTTCTCCTGTCTAAAGGAGCAGACGAAGCAATTCTCCCCTTTGCCTCCAATGGTATTTCTTCCTATATACATTCTACTAGCTAGCAAATAATGATGTTTATACACACAGACATACGCATATGTGCGTAATCTGTTAGAGGGCCGTATCTATGGAAATGAGTTGGCGCTTAACCACCTCCCTGATACGGTGCTTCAGCCATCCTCTTGGTAGGATTGGCTTAAAGGCGCAAGTTCCCAAAGTGGCTTAAAGCCCCTGCCTGGGATTCATTGTTGTTGTTTTTGGCTATCCACTTAGATTATAATAATTGTTGATTACGTTTATGATCTAATTATGAGATCCAACAATTGGAATTACCAGTTGTTAGGACATACTGAAGTTCATGCCGTGTACTTCAGACCCTAGCAATGTATTTATTTTCCAACAAAGAAATGCGTGGAGAAGCCTCTACTAATATTTATTACATCTTTCCGAGCCTTGTCCAACCTCCTCTTTGTCATGTGCAAAACAGTGTGTATGAAATTGACTTGAAAGACCACTGCATGTAGCCCATCTTGTCTTCAGGTGCCTTTCAAAGAATTGAGAGGCATTGGGAAGAGACATTTCTGTAGTCTTCTGTATTGTTCACTTCCTTTGTTAATAATTTTTTTTTTGTTTTCCATCATACTAAATGTTGAAATATCTGGTTTCTTATATGCTCCCTTAGATATGCATTATCGCATCCAAGTTGCAGTTTATCTCCTTGCTTAGTTTGAACTCCACAGAGCAGACTGAACAGAGGGGAATGATAACATACGTTGCTGCAAAAATTTTGACACTGATTTCAGATGAGGCTCATAATACATATAGGCCAATAAGGCGTTTGGTTGTTATTGATTCCTGAATAGCATGACTGTGGCTTATGTAATGAAGGAAAATTGTGCAAGGTTAGATTAATCTTCAGTCTAGCTGGGAGTGAAAATGACAGAATAAAGGCTTGCCAGGTATGGGGTAGATGTTACTATATGCTAACGTAGAATTCAGAACACTTCTTTTTCAGCCAATCTTAATCCACAAGTTGAAGTTGTGTTTTGGTGGAAGACCTCTTCTCAGAAGATCCAAAGCTCTTGATTAGTTGATCCACTAAGTCTGAGCACTGTTTGTGGATGCATAATAGATCTGGGGGTACCTCCATCGTTGTCTTTTGAAGTTAAATGCATTTTAAACAGTTTTCTTTGTGATAAAAGTATCATAATAAAAGATTAGTTAGCTAATATAACCACAGGTTGAGATCATCTTGGGTTAATAATATCTGTTGTTACAAAGAGAAAACAGAAAAAAATAGTCAACTCAAAACGCCTACTGGTGATGTTGAAGCCTCATCGTTGTTCAAATTTCCTTGAACATTAACCACAAGTTCCTAGTTAAGTCTTCAGAAATGTTTCCGTATTGGAAGACAGCATTTCTAGCACTGTCAGATGAAGGGAAAGGTTCCTTGTTTTTATTGTTTTTGAGATTTAAGGTTAAGTCACTTTCAAACTGGAATCCAGGTTGTCAATCTGATTCAGCAGGTTGGAGCTCTTTTGTTGTCAAGAGGCGGTGAAAAGGGCAGTATACTGCCAATCAGTGAAGTAATATATGAAATTCCTACACAGATATTTTACCTCATGTGTGAAACTTAGTCAGTCTTCACTCTCCAGCAAAAGTTGTTCTGAGCTTTAATCATTGTCCTTTTTCCATCTTTCTTCACATCTTTGTGATAAATATTTGTGCTTTTTATAGAAATAATTCTCCAGGCACTTGGGTAAATTCTTAATTCAAGCGCTATTAAGTTTTTAGATTCTCATATTGAAGTTGCTGTTTAACTTGTGAGCATCACAGATATTAAACGATAGATATTTACTGGTTGTGACCACATTTTACCAGGTCAACAAATAAGGAGTTTTAGTGATGCTGTTGAACAGTATGCACAATCTGGCTTGCGTACGCTATGTTTGGCCTGGCGTGAGCTAAATGAAGATGAATATACAGAATGGTCTTTGATGTTTAAAGAAGCAAACAGTACACTGGTTGACAGAGAGGTAAAGACAGATAATTCATTCTTAGTTTTGTTAAGAGTTGACAAAAAGGTCCTGTTATTGCCTAACGATTTTCCTATGCAGTGGAAACTAGCTGAGGTATGCCAGAGATTGGAGCACGATCTTGAAATTCTTGGAGTTACAGCGATAGAGGATCATCTTCAGGTCAACATTGGTCTATGTATTGATTCGCTTAATTTTTTTGGAGAAACACTGCTTTCATTATTTCATGTCCCATTTACAACATCTTGCAGGATGGTGTGCCTGAAACTATCGAGACACTTCGAAAAGCAGGAATAAACTTCTGGATGTTGACTGGAGACAAACAGAGCACTGCCATCCAAATTGCACTTTCGTGCAACTTCATTGCACCAGGTTTGTTCAGATTTGTAAACATTTTTTTTGTAAAACATTTATATTTTCCTTGACTAAGGTGCACATTTGATGCGGGACACCATGCATTTGACTGACTTTGAGAGCAATTGGCAAATGTCAATTTAAATGAAGGTTGGCCAACTAAATAAATATCTTCTTTGAATAGTCACAATAGGGATATGGTTGTAATTAGGGCCTCTGCCTTGCTTTCCAACCAGACTTGGATTGTAGGAAGTATGGAAACTTCCTCTGACTAGGGTAATTGTTTATGATATGTTAAGGGCAGATTAGAATTGGAGATAAGGAGGTAGGACCGGTGAGGACTTAGAGACAAGCATAACCATCAATAAAAGTTTTTTGATAGAAAATTAAATGAAAGGCTCAGAATAAGATTTACAATGATTATACCTTGATCCCATGGATGGATATTTTTAACTGACTGTCTCGGAGCAAACTGCCAAACAACTATACCCCTTTTGGAGGTGCATAATTCCCCTACAGCCTATAGGATGCTGGGGATTAAACAAGGACGAATTTACCCTCAGCCTCACACTTTGGGCCCGATTCCACACAAGACCTTCAAAACCCTCTTTGAGAAAGAGCTGGGAGCAAAAAAATTCCCAAAGGACACAAAGGTTAGTCTCCTATTTCTAGGAGCAACATGAGGCCTTTGAATTGGCTCTCTTGGATTTGTCTAGAAATCCCAACAGCTCCCATTTCTAATGAGCTGGAATTTCTGCCTTACAAACGTTAGTAAAAATGGTTAGGATACGCTAGGGTCTTAAATAGACCTAAATACATCTAACTGTTAATATAGTCAAAGATAAACATGGATTGAGTGGCCTACGAAAATTTGCAAAAGAATCCCTAGTATTAGTCAACTAGTCGGGGAATAAACTTCATTCGTGTAAATTTTGACCGGTGCATGTTTTGACTTTCAGTCCTTATCAACATTTTCTGCCTAATAAGGCGGCTATCTTACTGCTTTGAGGCCAGCGGAAAATTATGTGGGATCTATGAATCAAATCTAGATACTGCTAAATGGGGCATTGTTAAAAGTTGGAAGGGTGATAAGTAAAGCCTAACGTATGCATGGTGATTGGGGTTTTGGGTCAAATGAGCTTCTTGATTTGAGGCGATCGTGCTGCTCTCCTTGTCCAGTTGTCCTGGAAAAGGACTGACGAAAGACCATTATTCCTAAAAGCAGTATGGATCACCATGTGATTAAGGCATATGTGTAGATGCATTGGAGCATGCCAGAATTTAAATTTTTTTCCAGAGATTTTTTGGGGTTTTACCAGTGTGCAATCTTATAGAAGTCACTCTGCTTATCAAATTTAAAGAGGGGAAGGCTGTGTAGCCTAAATGTGGAGCTAATTCTATTTTAGTTGCCCTGCCATCATTGCAGAATTGTGCTTTTTGAGTTGTATTTATGATCTCACTTCATTGAAAATTCAGGGAATCCTGGATTATGTTCTTGTTATTTCTGAAATTTTTGTTTTTTATGACATAAGCTATCTTTTGAAGTGATATAGATGTGTGTGTGTGATTGTTTTGATAAAGTTTGCGTCGTAATGTATGTTGGAAATGAAAGATGAAGATCCAAATGAAAAGTACAAAAGAGGAGAGAAAAAGATGGACTCATGTAATGATAAGTCTTATATACATATGTTTGTTTCATTACATGATTAAAGGCCACTTTTCGTGATTTCAGTATTATAGATATTTTACCCAGGCTAAGGGAAGAAAGAGGTTTTTTTTGTGCTACTATCCTTCCAGGGGAAATGCGGTTTTATGGTTATCATGCAGTGAATAGACAAATGTCGTAATTTCTGGTTGTTTTTTTTAAAGAAAATGCTTTCATGGTCATATCGCTGACAGCCCTGTGTCTTTTTTCTGCAGAACCAAAAGGGCAACTTTTGTTGATTAATGGAAGAACTGAAGATGAAGTCCTTAGAAGCTTAGAGAGGGTTTTACTCACTATGAGGATAGCTACTTCAGAGCCTAAGGTTTGTTATTTGCAAAATCATACTCATATCTGTATCTTGTTCTCAGTAAAGAAAATCCTCCCATATCTATTCCCTTGCCTGTATTTTGAATTGCTCGTTTGGAGTTCATCCCATTTGATATGAGGGGTAGAGAATTTCTAACTGTTTCCTTTGATCAGCTTAAACAGAAAAAAGAATGTCAAGGGCCAGTTTTGGATTGTTCTGATAATAGTAGAAACTGATACAATTCCATTTTGTTCCGTCACAAGAGTGCAGTCAATCAATAACTCATCTCAGTCATTGCTGGAAACGCTCATCAAATGATTCAAATATGTGGATCGAACTCATTTTTTTAATGTTTTGTTTTGAAATTGGGAAGTAATTACCCTCTCCAAGATCAATTCATGTATTGGTAAAGAGGAATGAGGATATACATGACGCATGCATTCAATTTTCCAACGGAAAAGAAACCCTTTACAAGATCAGAAAGCGTACTCCTGGACGGTCCATTAAAGAGGAAGGAAACAAGTGATTCACATTCTTCCTTACCTTCATGGATATAGCGGGCCACTCAATAACGAACCGGAAGAAGACAATGTGAGACAGAATTTTACTTTTAAATCAGATAATATACCCCAAACTTAATAATCTGCAGGGTACTTGACGTTGGCACACTGAGAGTGAGATACAATGATCTGACTGAAACTTCGCCTCCATCCCATTTACATGTTTATGAATTTACTTTTGCACTATGGAACAAGTGTCCAGTAAAAAAAGGAGATGTAAAAGTTGCCTTGCCGCGTCATTATGAAGATTTCTTATAAACCTTGGACATCAATTCTTGTGTTATTATTAGGAGCCTCATCTACAATTCTAATAAACCTGCCGTTGGAGTCGTATGCTTCCTTACCACCAATTCTCACAAGATAATGTCTTATGACTGTTACTAAGACCAATCTGCCTCACTGCTGTCTCAGTTTCTCTTACCTTGTGGACTCTCTTCACACCTTGGAGATAATAGTAGAATCTCTCCACACAATATACTTTTTCCATAATACTTCCCAATTTTTTCCTGCCATGATCCCCTTTCCTCTTTCTCAAACCTCGACCATCATCTGCTGAATAGTGGGATATTGAAATCTCAATGTTATTGTACTTCGACCTTCTTTTGCTTTTGTACACTCTCCCCCAATTGATGCTATACTATCCCTTGCAACTGTCCTCATTTTCATACGAGAAGGAAACTTGTTTGCGTTTCCTCTATTCTAATGGATATAATTTATGGGATTTGGAAGGATAACAAGTGACATTTCAGCATATTAATTTGCCCAACCTTATTTAACCATAATCTACTACTGGAGGAAAGAATTTTACCTTTCCAATGCAGTTGACTCTCAAATTTCTACACACAAGACAGCTCGTTCTTGTGGTAAATGACAGCCGTATGAGGTGTGAAAGCATCCCACTTCACACCCCAAAAGTAAGGAAACTCTATGCACTTCCTAATGCTAGTCAGGCCCACTATTATACTTTTCTCATAATTGACTTTCAAAACCTTTGTTTCTTCGGGAATCTTAAACAACTGCCTAGAGACACAGTTGATCTTTCTTTTTGAGCCAAATATTATAATTTCACGTGCATGATGGAAAAAGAAACTTATGTTCACTCTAGTCCTCTCGCCCTCTGCCTCTTTTAGGCAAGTACCTCTGTAACAAGGACAAACATAAGATGGGAAATCAGGGAAATGTTGTCTTTGAAGTTAATTTCCTTATGTAAAGAATATGAACGTATGACTAATTATATATATTTCATTGATATTTTTAATAGAAATGTACCCACTGTGTATAATACCAATGGCTTTTCTATGTTTATTTAAGGTCTAAGTTTGCTCACGTATGAAAAGAAAGGTATTCATTGTGATCAGGTTTTCTATTAATAAGAATTCCAGATTCCTGCTGTCTACTCCTGTCTCCCTAAACATTTTTGAATTAGTCTTTACCAGTCCAGTGGTTTGCACTTAGGTTGTGTGTTCATGTTTACTTGATTTGACATCCAGAATCATAGCACGTGTTTGAATTATATCACCTGGAAACACACGCTTCAAAACAAATGACTCTGGCTTCTTAACTTCTTTGCTTCTTATTTTAGATCTCTAGAAGCCAGAGTCTCTTGGAAAAACATTTTACATAGTATTTACATAGTATTTACATTGATGTTTGCAAGTGATATCATTTTCTAAATATATTAAAAATATTCTTGTGCTATGTCTCCCCAAGTGTTGCATTACTGGGCTGTGTCATTTTGTACAGGAAGTGGCATTTGTGGTGGACGGCTGGGCCCTTGAGATTGCTCTTAGGCATTATAAGGAAATTTTTACTGAGCTGGCGGATCTGTCAAGGACAGCAATTTGTTGTCGTGTGACACCTTCTCAGAAAGCACAGGTAATCAATACGCTTCCTTTTTTTCTCTGCTAAAACTCATTATTTTAAGTTTTATTTTTTCAGAAGACATAATTAGGAACATCTGAAGTTTGTTTATCTATTATACGGTAGTTGGTAAACTATTCAAACTTTATTATTCGACTAGGAAATTAGGATCGTATGCTTGATATTTTTTAAATTACAAGCTTCAAGCTCATTTGAGAAACAGGTTTGAATAAAGTTTCTTTGGCTCATGTGTGGAGGTGATTGACAACAATACTCCCTTTTCATGGCTTGAATCAAAAGTCAGTCCTACACCTGATTGAAGATGTGAAGATCCAAATAATCGTTATTCCATGCTACATGCAACGTCGATCTCTCAGTGGAGGATTATGAAATTTATGAATAATCTCTTGATCTTTCTCTAGTTTTAACTATTGGTCAGAGGATTACCAGTGTAAGATTGTTTGATGGCCTAGTACATTAAATAGTATGACATAAACATGGTCGGGTCACGAATTTTGCACGCGTATCACAGAGTTACTCATCCAAGTTGAAGTTTGATTATCCTTTTAAAAGCAGTTATAAGCTGTAACCGTTAAACGTCTGTGTCCTGCAGTTTCAGGTTTGTTCTGTAATAAGATTGTTTCAGGTTTATGGCCGTGTGGGAAAGAACCACTATTGTGTATCATGAATGGGAGTGAATTATCTGTTTTAAATAGGTAAATATTTACGAAATAGGAGATTATTTTGACCATGGTTTATGTCAGTTACCATTTTATTTCTATGTTAGCTGGCATTAGCGTTTCATTGTTTGGATTCTTCAACATGCTAGTCTGTTCATCCTTCGGTTGAATGACAAATAGGAAACAGTTTGCTCCGGTTGAAATTTGCAATCAAGTGAGCTAACCCGTAGACATACAAAGTTGTGTCAAACACTAGCTTGTTCTCAGCCGATATTTTCCATATGAAGCGAACTTCATCTACTATTGACTTCTAGAATTTCAGAGCTTCTTATCTGTCGACTGTAGTTTGTACGGCTGTGTCCAACTTTGTGAGGACGGGATCAATTTTGCTTCTTTAATATTCAGGGAGCGTTGTGGTATTTCTTTATGTACAGGAAATTTCATCTACTCTGAAATTTGGCGTCAACCTAATCTGTATTTATTGATTTAGATAATTATTTACATTTTTTGCGTAATTACCCAATTTTTTAATTTATCGATGTCAAAATATCATCTTTCAAATGTGTTTCTCTGCAGCTCGTTGAACTCCTCAAATCACGTGAGTATAGAACTTTAGCAATTGGTGATGGGGGAAATGATGTGAGGATGATACAGCAGGCTGATATAGGAGTTGGGATAAGCGGGAGAGAAGGCCTGCAGGCAGCAAGAGCAGCAGATTATAGCATCGGGAGTAAGTCCATTCTGTTGGTGTGACAGATTCACTTTCCCAAAAACATATTGGAGTCATCTTATTCTTTCACCCTGTGTTCAAGACTCAGAGACCAGTTTTCTTACTGTTTAGTTTCTTAACTCTCTATTTTGAATCCTTAATTGTTTGCCAAATTCCTCAATTTAGTTATATATTCGATCGAACTCAGCCTCTATGACAAACTACTTATTTTATGCCTCATGCATCATTTGTTGGATAAAAGAACTGTGGATAAAATACTGTCTTTATTAGATAATCTTTTGGGATGTGGCACCAATTTTCAGAATGAAAATCATAAAACGAACATACTTATCACAGGATATCTATTTTCCCAATTTTCCAGATGAATAATAAATGAAACTTTTCAATCAGTGCATAGTGTTATGGGCCATGCTAACACAAATATGTGCTATGGGGTTGGCATCAGCGGGGTCTTTTCTTGACATAGACCCTGATTTCTTATTTGCGAATGGCAACACAGTATTAGCCAGATGAAAATGAGTAAAATAGAGAAAGAGGAAGAGATCCCTTGTTCACTAGTGCGGCGCACATTAGCACAGGTGGTCAAGGGATGTAGGCAGATAGAAAAAATGGTTTAATATTTTGATTTAAAAAGATGGATAATGGAGGACATATATCCCAAACCTGTCATTTTGAGACATTCAGACACAAAATTGTCGTAACTTCATCTGTTTAGATATGAATTGAGATCGTAACACGAGGTGTTGCTCTTAACTATTATGTATATTTCTCTATATTTTTTCTGTGAATCAATTGGGGTCATTTATCATCAGTTGTAATGGCATGTTACTGACGCATTTGGAAATATCCTTTTAAAGGAAGCCCTAATAATGTATTTACTGTCAGTAATATTTGGTTTCGTTAGAGATCCCATGGCGTTTAATATTTATGGCTGAAAATTTTGTTTATTACTCTCATAATTCATTCTAAAAAGCAACAGGTGAAGTATATTCGGCTTGAAAAAGCATTTGATGGCAGCCAGCCCTACCGAGTCTCCCTAGAGAGGCAAAATGAGAATTTACTCGAGAAGAAATGTCTGGAAAGGCAGTTGCTCTGAGAATCAGGCTGCGCTTCTTGAATTGGTTTCTGCCCACAAAAGATGGATATGAACATTTTCCATAGGGCCCACTTTAGATCTTACTGAATGATTCAATAACAGAGTGACTTTTTACCATTTTCGGTGTTACTTTGACACAAATCTTTATAATAAATATCGATGGCTCTGCCTATTTATTTTTTTTACACATTCGATCTATCTTGTTGGAACTTGTGTCTCTTCATGGTGCAAACTTATTAATATATCCGCTCATCTCTGTACTTTCCTCAACAGAGTTCAGGTTTCTCACAAGATTGATTCTTGTTCACGGGCGGTATTCATACAATCGCACAGCATTCCTTTCACAGTATTCATTTTACAAATCATTGCTGATATGCTTCATACAGATTCTGTAAGTCTTCACCACGTGTACGCTTTCAAATTGTAACAGTGCATATAACTATTTGCCAAACGCTGTTTTCCCTTTTCTTTTCTGGGTTCTCTTTCTCTATATGCCATTCATATATTTGTTAATTCTATTGTCGGATCCACGCAGATTCTCTTTTATTTCGGGCATCTCTGGAACAAGTCTATTCAACTCTGTCAGCTTGATGGCATATAATATTTTCTACACGAGCATCCCTGTTCTCACCAGTGTTCTTGACAAAGACCTCAGTGAAAAAACGGTCATGCAACACCCGCAGATTCTGTTCTACTGTCAAGCTGGAAGGTCATGGAAACTTGTGTTTGCCCTAAGATTCTGATTGTTGGGGCAGCTGTTTCTTCTCCTGATTTTTTTTTCCGTTTTAAAAAAGTAGGCCACAAGTGGCTTTTGATTACCATATTTAATTGTCTGAGACTCTCCGTTCCTCCAACAGGCTACTGAACCCAAGCACATTTGCTGGATGGTTTGGACGATCCTTGTTCCATGTGAGTCCTCAGTCATTCATGCCAAAACTTTCCTTCTTTAGAGTCTCTTACCGATCAATTTGGTCACTTTTTGCTATATTATGTGCTTAAGACTTTCTGAGGGAAAAGGACATTTTCGTCATGATAATTATGGAAAATGATGGATGGTTCTTTCAAATGGCAATTTACCCATGCTGCTTTTAACCGGAGTTGGCAGCATAGAGGCCCTCACAGTAATAGGAATGCTTGGTGCTTTAGGTCTGATCTGCTTCTATTGGATTTTATTTGCTTTAAGATTCATCAAGTGATATTAATATATAAAAGTAATGAAATAATTAATTAGAGAAAATACTTGAACGAGAATTATTTGCTCAAAAAACTTGCCTATTTTTGAACGAATTATTGATTTCTTTATATCTCATATTTTCAGGCGAGTGTGGTGTTCTTAATCACCATCCATTCCTATGCTAATGAAAAGAGCGAGATGGAAGAGCTGTCCATGGTCGCCCTCTCTGGGTGCATATGGCTGCAGGCTTTTGTTGTGACTCTGGAGACGAAGTAAGAAACCAGCCTACACACATTTCTGATTTCTACTTACAGAACATGAATGGTTTGTAATGAATATATACCATTAATACCCGTCTTCCCCATCTCAGCTCCTTCACAGCCCTGCAACATCTGGCTATTTGGGGAAACCTGGCGGCCTTCTACGCCATTAATTGCATCATCAGCATGATACCCTCAGCAGGGATGTACACCATTATGTTCCGACTCTGTGGGCAGCCATCTTATTGGATCACTATGTTTGTGAGTCTCCTCAAAGCCAGGATTACTCTCATTTCCTTAATAATCCTACCAGGCAGCTATCTTCTTTTTGCCATTTCCTCATTTAGTAAATACCATTATGGTTTTGTAGTTTCCTTTTTTTTTTTTTGCTCTTCGTTTTTTTTTTTGGAATTTTCTGATTTCAGTAAGAAATAGGTGTTATTATCAGGAGGGGTTAATTCATCAACAGTAATAAAATCACTGATCTTGTAACTTTTTTCTTTCCCATGCAAACAAATCAGCCCCTCCGTTGCCATTTCCATATTTAGGAAATCAACACAGCAGTGTTATCAAGAACAGCTATTTATATCGTGCCTCATATACTCAGCCAAATCACTGGTTCTGTAGTCTCCTTGCTCGCAGACAATTTTTTTCTGATTTCAGCTGAAAAACATGGTCTTTTTATCCAGCTGATAGTCGCCATTGGGATGGGGCCGGTGTTTGCCCTAAAATACTTCCGGTTCACATACCGATCAAGCGCCATCAACATCCTCCAGCAGGCAGAGCATTCCCGGGCACCCATCTTCAGGGACTTCGAGTCCCCAGTGGAATCATCCGAGAAGGACGGCATCTCCTTGCCCTCCACAGCTCAACCCAAGAGCAGCCGGAGCCCTGTCTACGAGCCTCTGCTGTCTGAGTCAACACCCAACGCCGCCAGAAAGTCTCGGGGTCAGACCACAATTGAGTTCTTTCAGCCCCCACAAAACAGGCTTTCCTATTCGAGAAACTGTAAGAACAATTGATTCCACTCTCCTACATCTCAATACTGTATATTCTACTCAAATATGGAAATATGGGCAGAGATCATGTATGTATGTTCTTCAGTGCGAGGCTTCCCCTCTTTATGAGCATCATCATTACCTCTTGTGGATTGGATTGCCAGGTGTGCCCAAGTATCTGGGAATGGTAAGGGCAAGTCAGGTGCTCAAGCTAGTTAGGTTTGGTATGATATGTCCCACTCTCCTATTCTTGCACGGTTACTGGGTTTTAGATCCCTACAATCCCATTCATAGACCTGACCCATTCATAGACCGTGGTGAGAGAGAGAGAGAGAGAGAGAGAGAGAGAGAGAGAGAGAGAGAGAGAATTCATGTCCAAGAATGGTTTGAAAGGAGGGGTGAGGGCTTGAATCAGAATTGATTGCCAAGATTGCAGAAAAGGTATTCTGGGAACGCATTTCTGTATTGCAGCCAGACACCACCAAGAAATAAACACTACCTCCCTTGAACTCCCATCCCCTCCAAATCTCTACATGTTTCGAGTCAGAGTTCCATCAGAAGATGCCAAAGATGCATACTAAGAATCACCCAGAAGAAACATCTCTCTTCACAGAGAAACCACTGCTACGCGTCCCATTTATTATTCATAACAAAGCACCCGAGCAGTGACAAGCAAGCTGGATAGACAGAGAGAGAGAGAGAGAGAGAGGGGAAGAGGGGGAGCGGGGAGGGGATACCTGGTCGGGGTGCATCCACATAGGCCCTATCTATAGTGGTAGAGGAGGGCTCCTCAGGGCGACAGGTACTTTCCCATCCATGAGCTGAAGCGGGACCATGCCAGCTTCACTGCCTCAGGGTCCTCATCCGCCAGACCCATCCCCTTCCTCCTCTTCACTCCCTCCTCGGACACGTTCAAGAAGGCATGGCTGCAGCCCGGATAAAGGTACACTTCAGAAGGGACACCTGCTGATCTCAGCTTCTCCTCCAGGGCCTCTGCCGCCTGCAAAACCCAAAACTTTAGTAAATCCAATGTGAAGCTGACGCAGGACATCCCCAAGAATGTTGGAATTGCAGAAATGGGAAAGTCAAGAAGTACATAAAGATCTGAATATAAGGGAGGGCAGCTCTTATGAGATCCTCCTTATATAGTCAACAGGCTGACCTCCCAACAAGGTCAACTGCTTACTCAGTTGGAGCCAATAAAAAGACCAGAGTCAATGAGGGAGGCGGTGGGTGGGGGAGAGAATCCATACGGTGATGTCTGAGAAGCCGACGAAGCTGTCGAGCTCTCCGAAGTGGGCCTGAATGGGAGCCTTAGTCAGAGAAGGATCGGCGAGCTCAGGGGGAGGAACCCCATAGAAAGCAACAGCAGCATCCACTGCAGGGACCAGAACTGCACTGGCGATGGACAGAGCACCTCCCATGCAGAACCCCGTCACGCCCACCTGCTCTCCAAGACAATGTCGGACCCTGAATTAGCCATACTGAGATATTGATGCGAAGATGAAGGGAGCAAGGACTACAACTAAAAATGGAAGTAATACAGACAAAAAAGGATTTCATAGAAGCTTCATAACAGCACTCCCAGCAGGTTTCCATCACAAAAAATCAGAGCATCATATTCATATATCACTGGTAAAGGCATCTCATCATCTAAGAAACGAGGCACTCAGCAGCTCGTGCCCGGCGAAGAGAAATCACCTCTTTCTTGAGGGTAGCTCACCAGATCATAGATCCGTCGATCATGATACCAACCTCTTTCCTGGCGCTGCTGGTAAACATTGATGTCATCGCCGAGCCCAATCATCAATTACTCAATGTACCCACAACTGAAGTTGACCACTGATGGGTCTTGCTTTCATGCAATCTTTACCCCCAATGTGAATGTCATGACCAATACTGGTGAAAACGGGGCATTTCTCTCTGATCCTGGGAGTAGATCGGATGGCCTATTTGAGATCTGAGTAGCTTATCCTTGCCCAGATGTGTTTTCCCACGAGTATACATTGCAGAGAGAAGAGCAAACTCCACAACTCTCCTAAAGTTCAGTCAGTTCTCCCATTCACGTTTCAAAATCTTCAAGCAATGTTTGCCAAATCTAAGCTCATGGAGCCTTCGATACCCTCATCTTCAAGCTTCTCTTTGATGCCTTTTCTGGCCCACCATCAGCCTACAGTGTATGAAGGGATGAAACCAATGGCTCCAACAGTGTACGAAGGGAAAGATTTCTCCATCTGACCCATCGGGCAGGCACAGGCGAAGAGTTCAGTCAAACTACAAGCCACCAGCAGCCCAAACATTTGCTTACTATGTTTAGGAACAGAACCCGAGTGTGAAGAAGGCTTACTTTCTGGGAGCCATTTGCCTTGAGCCATTCGGCTGAAGCCTGGATGTCCTTCACAGCACCTTGCCAATCGAGGCCCTCCATCAAATGCTGCGCCTCAGCAACATCCAGGCCAACTTTTCCACGATACAAGCTGTTGTGCAAGGTTTTTTATGAAATAAAAAATAAAAAAAATAAAAAATCAAACGCTGATGAAAGGCAAAGTGAGGCCTAGGCTTAAGAGATGGATCTTGCCAGACAAATTACCAAAACTAGGAAAATAACGAGGGTTAGCAAAAAAAAAAAAAAAAAGAAGGAAAGAGACACTTTATAAATGATCGATCAATATGCCATCAAAGGCACATTTTCTAGCATGGTTGAGAAATTTACTCTAATCGCTTTCTAATCGTTTTGTAGAGGAAGTGCAGATAATCGTTTGCAGTGAGAACTTGAATCTGGGGGGGAGATGGACGTAAAGCCCTGCAAGAGATCTTACTCTGGGATAAGCACTTTGAAACCTGGTTCCAAGCTGGCAATTTTCAGAGCGTTGTTCTTGACCTCAAAGTCAACACCCCACCACTCTTGCAATACAACAATTCCTGGGGCATTTTCCTTCCCAGCCACGTATGCATCAAATGTCTGAAAAAGAAATGAAAAAGGAAAATAAATAAAAATCCCAGCCCACTGCCAGGAAAAGGTGAAATAAGATGGTAAAAAGCTGTTGGATTCTAGAAGATCGACCCACCAAAGCCGAAAATAATGTTTGAGTTTGTAAAAATTAAGAAAACACAAAAGCATCTGCGATCCGTTCTGTTTTTTTCTCTTCCATTTATCTATCCCAGAATAACTTGACAACAATCCAATTCCTCTGATTCCTCATGCCCAATTACAGTAACTCTTGCTACTGCGCACTTTGAATTTAAGCGAGCATCCCACTTTCTACATGGATTTTAATATACTCTTGGACACAATCAACTCCCAAGGAGAAAGAAGGGTAATCAGAAGAAGAAGAAGAAGAAGCAATGGTATCCATGGAATTTCTTTCACCTACATTATAAAAAGTATTAGAAAGTGCTTTGATGCTGATTGAAGAAAAATCTCGCACCCAATCTCAATTCCGACGAGAGAGATAATCAAGATCATCGTGACAGGAAATATCTCTTCCTTTGTACTGTAAACAAAGTCTTTGGCCAGAGAATGGCGAAAAGGAATCCCCAAAAAAAATGATTAAAGCACGATTTCTACCGCAAGTAATCAAGATGAAGATTTTGTTAAAGATGAATGGTTAGAATCAAAATGTAGATTGATTTTTTTTTTAATCCATACACAAACTGGGTCCAGAGAAAATAGTACTCCAAATCGAAAAAATCCTCAAAAGAAGGAAGAAAAAAACCTTCTTGGAGAGTATGATCCTCCACCCAGGTTTCAAACTCAGGCAGCGGAAGCAGCATGTTTCGATATGGCAATGAGGGGAAGAGCATGCCCCGGAGGCGCGCACTAGAAAAAAACATTCAGAACAAGTTCTAATAACCCAAGAACGAAGATCGTCATGCCGGCGAGTGGGAAATGCATGCGACGGTAAGGTCAAACCCAAGAGATCCTTCATATTTCATCCAATCCCCTGCGCAACAAGCATTCAGATCGGCAATGTCGAAACCCTTCCCGGCACACTCTCCAGAGCCGTCCAGGCGAAGAAACGCAGAAACCAGATCCCTCGACAAGCACCGGCGATTGAGAAAACCACTGCCACATAGCAGCGGGACGGAGGAAAAAGTGGGGGCGGACGCTACTCACTGCATCTTCCCTGCGAATCTGGACCTTCTGGAAGCGGGAGTCGGGCACTACAGCAGAGCAGGCCATGGCGCGAGCTCGGAGCCGGGCCGAAGCGATGACCGAAAGGCGGGCGACGGGCTGAGCTGCTGTAATGACTCTACCCAGAACCATCTCCTCCTCCTCCCCTCTTTGACTTAATATAAACCCCACCTCGTCGCCTATTCTTTCCCTGGGGAGCTGACGTCGAGGATTTCTCCCCCCTTGAAGAAGGTTTTTTTAATGGCGGCGTTCTCTTCACCTGCAGAAAAATCGATTTTTTTTGTCTTCCATCAAGATCGGTATTATATTCATCAAAACTTGTTTCCATATGATTAGATCATTAAACCAGGAAGAAGATGAGATTAAAGCATCAAAATTCGAAGATTTTATAAAAAATTGTCTGGGTCTTCGATCAGTCGTAGATTATAAAAATGTGAAGAAGAACACTAATTCTTGCAAGAAAATAAGTCGCGGGAATTATTAAAAATCTATATCAATTATAGCATAGCATTTGCAATGCAATGGAAAATTGACAAGGATCAATAAAACGTTTGAATGATTCTTGTTATGAAATTACCACCTCACCCTTCTTAATTTTGATGTTTATTCACATCTCAGTGCGTTTGACTAAAAGGGAAAGGCATTTATTTAATGGTATAAAAAAATACTTTATTATCCTTTTTGTAGTATCTTTTTATAACTAGTTGACTCGGCTCTTCTCATAAAAAAAAAAAAAGGAAGAAAAAAACCATCTGGGCCTAAGATCAAATGGGAGTATTTTAAAATTATGACATTGTAGGGGCCTAATATGGGGGTCAAAATTGGAAACAAAGAGGGGAATATTTATATCTCACAATCCCTTTAATGATCTTGCAAAATAAGCTAGTTTTCATTGTGATTTGCTATCATCTTGCCTCAAATCTATATACTTGTTGAAGCTTGTGTTCATGGTTTTACTAGTTTTTATTATAATGTTGACCATAATGTCTGGTTTCACCACCACCCATTACATCCCCTTTTGGGTAATGAAAAAGAAATATTTCTCACACTAAATTTGATAAATCCAAAACATTAGTCAATGAAAGCTAATATTGCTTATATTTTTTCCAATTTTATTTGAAACAAAAAATAATAATTTTACCTTGTTAGTTGCTCTTTAGCAGCGCCAGCAAATGGGACCTCACTCAATCAATAGTTGCTTATCCTTCTGATTCATTTATTCATTCTTTTTATATATATGCAATTTTTCTAGAAGTTATTGGATTTTTCAACGACCATTTTAATTTTCTTAAATTGTTCTTTTTCATGATAATGAAGAATTCCAAAATAGAAAAAAATTACTTTCTAAAAATAGAAATAAGCCTAGATTTCCATTCTTTTTCTTGTTCTTCACCATGGTTAACAATCACCTTCTATTACCTCATATCTTATAAAAATACTCTAAAATATAAAATGAATGATGTAAATCATCTTATAGCTTATGCAATATATTTGGGCATGTTTAACCATGACAATAATATTCAATTTAACGTGTGATGTGAAATGACGATTTTGTCCTTGAGTTGGTTCTTCTCAATCTTAAGAATCACCACAAAAGAAAATAAATAGAAAATATCTGATTATTACATTATACTTTAGAAACTTTATCAAATTATCCATTCATACACTGTATTCTATAAATTTATGTATCCGTCTCTCTCTCTATCTCTATAGAGGACGAAGAGGGAGAAAATGGAGACGTGCTAAAAAACTCGCCTTCTAGAACCACCTTCTCCGTCATCAAGCATGTCTCTGCTCTCTTTTTATCTCTCCCCACCGCCACCTCGCTCTCTCTCTCTCTCTCTCTCTCTCTCTCTCTACGTCCCTTTCGTCCTCGGGTCCATGTCGGAGCCAACCCCGTGACTGAGCTGCCTGAGCTCCGCCAGAGGCGTATAGGGCAATCAGATAGGCATTGACCCTCTTGGTCTACGGACCGGGCGCTACGCACCTCGGAGGAGGGCTTGTAGGGGCTAAATGGCGAAAGGAAAAGAAGTATGAATACATTTTCTGTCGGGATTCCGGGTTAAAAGAAAAAATATTTAAACAAGGGGTTCTCATCACAAAAATCCACCAGAGACAGAACGGCCCCACAGTGGGAGTTTTATTAGAGAGAGAGAGTGACCTACCCACAACCGATTTTCAAAAAAGGAAATACACAAATAGATACAAATCGTTTTATAAGTTTTTAAAATTATTAATTCATTTAATTGGGATATATTTTTTTAAATGGTTACTTTTCTAGAAGGTCGAGGCACTTTACGGCAAGTACCTATCCCCCGAGAGCAAATAGCCCAGTCATTGGGTGTATAAAGAAATGAGCACCAAATTAACGGCACCTACAAATAAAAAATAATGAAATCCTTCCCTCTTCTCTTCTCTCTATCTTCTCTCTCTCTCCTCTTCTCTCTCTCTACAGCCAACACATGGATGCGCCTTCTTCCCCGTCGCCAGCTGCGCCAACAAAAAACCACGGTAATGGCAGACAAGGACGAAGAGAAAACCAGCAGCGGGGAGGAAGTCTGGAAGGAAGCGGATGATGCATTCCATGACGGAAGCATCCACCTCGGTCAGTATCTTAATTCCGCTCCCCCCCAGCGAAGCACGCGCAGACTTGCGGAGGAGAGAAGGGGGGAGGTGATAGAGACGGCGGCGAGCGTGCGACGCGTCGCCATTTTATATCGGCGAGCTTCGGGAAGATCGAAGAAGGTATAGATGTCCGCATCGCTCCAAGGCTACGCCGTCTTCCGTCGCCTCTTCTCTTCACGCGTGACCCTGGAGTCGTCTTCGTCATCGTCGCGGCCTCTTCGCTCCGTCAGAAGATCCTTTGTACTCGGCAGACCTTTCTCCGCGATGGCGGCGGCCAAATTCGATGCCCCAGCCGACGGTGGCACGGCGCCGAAGCTCCTGTTCCGGCAGCTCTTCGAGAAGGAGTCCTCTACCTACACCTACTTGCTTGCCGACGTGGGGCATCCAGACAGGCCGGCCTTGGTGAGTTGGTCTGATCGTTCATTTCTCTGTTATCCTCATTCCAGCAAAGTTTCCACTGTTAGGGTGCTTTCATCCTCGTGAGGGTGATATCGTCTCGTAGGATTTTGATTTGAGGAGTTTCTAAGATCTCTCTCTCTCTCTCTCTTTCTCTAAGACTGGTCAGATCTTCTTTTCCTCTAGAAACTCGTCCTGTACGATGTTGCACTCTGGGAATGTGATAGACCCGCGATTCTCAGTACCCCAGCAGCGTCTGGATCTGGGCATGAGATCTATGGTTATTGAAGACTGACGACTCAAGAAGAGGATCCGTCAGCGAAGAGATTTGACGACGTTTTTGGGAATCCTTCAGAGACGAAAGTAGAGGAGAGGCTCCGCGGAATGGGGCATCACGAAACCTCCTTTTTGCTGGGGATGAAGATGATGAGGATTCAAAATACTTCCCAGAAAGAAAGAAGCGGGTGGTCAAGGGGGGGCTTTAAGGAGGGAGGGAAGATTCCAAGGGCCACCCTACTTCTCTCATGGTCCGTGCTCCTCTTGGTGCGGCTGGTTCCGCTTCAGATTACTCGAGTAGAAAACTTGCCCTCTTCTCTGGCATTTACCAGAACGAGATTTATGTATCATTCTTTCCTGAAAATGGCAGAACTAGTGCTCCCTTGGTGGAAGGAGTAGCAGAAATTTATCTCTGAAATGAATCGAGGTGAAAACTAAACATGATGTATGGTTCATCAGTGCCTGTCCTAGCCTCCATTATTTGCGGAAGCAAAATGAAAAAGAATGTAGATAAGAGGCCTAAAGCTTCATATTAGTGTATTGGTAGTTCTTTTATTTTTCCACTCTTTTGTTCAAGGTTGGACTATGACTCCGAGGCAATATTTTTTGCTGGATTTTTTTCTTCGATTGAAGCTTGTTTATGATTTTTCTGCTGATTAGAATAATTTCTTGACAGTTGATCGATCCAGTGGATAAGACTGTGGATAGAGATCTCACTTTGATGAAAGACCTGGGTCTGAAGCTTGTATATGCTATGAACACTCATTGTCATGCTGACCATGTCACTGGAACGGGCCTAATAAAGGTCAGTTACAATTACTCATCTTCTGTCCAGTGGAATGTTCTATTTTAGGCTTCTATATGTTGACATTCTCCCACTTTAAATGTCCGTGTTAAGATAAAAATGCCAGGTGTGAAGTCCATCATTTCCAAATCAAGTGGTGCGATTGCTGATGCTTATATTGAGCATGGTGATAAAGTATATTTTGGTAACCTGTTTCTCGAGGTATGTATATCCTATTGCCTGACTAAATACTTTAGTCTGCTATTTCTTTTTCTTTGGCTTCTTCACTGTAAAATGGCTTTACATTCCGAACGGTCCATCAGGATGAGGAGAAGGGAGTAAAACAGCGTTAATCACCTTCTATTGGATTAGGATACGATGTAATGCAATGATTTGCAATTACAAACAAGGCTTCATTTTTTTTTTTGCTATGGTTCCGAAATGATAAAATTACAAAGCTTACATATATGTGAACTACGATGCAGGATGATACATGATAATTTAGCTATTGATCTTCAGTAGGGTTGCAGGAGAGATGCCAAAAACTCAAATTCTTACTCGTTTATGCCTGAAAGTTTTTGTTTATATGCCCCCAGATCCTCGCATCATACACAATGTGATCTAGATTTGTGCAAACTATGAACTACGTTCCAGTTTAAAATTACTGTTCATTGCGCAGGCACTTTCATCAGTCTAAGTCCACGGTTTCATGAAATAGACAAAAAAATCTTACAGTATGTGGAGACCTGATAAACTCACTGGCCTTTCTCTAGTGCCGTATGTGTCATATCTCGGATGGATCCACAGTTCTCGGCTGCCGACTACATAATGAATCCGACCCTTTTGTTTGAACCTGAAATTTTTTGAGTTATGAATTGGTTTTACCGTGTGCATGATCAGAGTTTCGACCTGATGGAGAACAGTTTGCCACGTTTTATTTTACGACTGGACTGTTAGAACTAACTAATCCTGTAGGGACTTGAATTTCTATAAATAGCAACACAAAGCACGATACAGTCCTGCCACTTTGTCATCCACTTGCTGGGGCTGCTGCCCTGTGCCTGCTGTTGACATTGTCATCCGATGAAACCCCGTCCAGTATCAACTTGTTCTATGCTCCATGAGGAACAAATTTGTCGACCCGCACATAAATCGTTTAAACCCTTAAGTTTCTAGGGGAAAATGGATTATGGGTGAGAAGAAATTCGACAAAAAAAAAAAGAAAAATCTTTCCTCGTTCATGGTGACATATTTGTCCTTGCTGGCAGGTGCGCGCTACCCCTGGTCACACCGCTGGCTGTGTAACATATGTCACAGGCGATGCACCTGACCAGCCCCAGCCGAGGATGGCTTTTACTGGCGACGCCTTGCTGATTCGTGGCTGCGGAAGGACCGACTTTCAGGTGCCCATCTTGACATATCTCTGAAAGATTAAGTAACGGTGCAGCTCTAGAAAAACTCCCATAATAGTTACCAAAACAAGACGGAAATCATGTCAAGTTCTTGAAGGAATAGCCTCTCCTGCACTAACTTCAGCCTATGCTGTCATTTTTCTAATTTATTAATTGTGTTCTGTATTCGGATTTGGAAATCCAGACAATGCATTCTTTTGGAATTAAGTAAATATTATAAAAAAAAGGAACGCCTGCACATTTATAGCACAGAGTGGATTATCCTCGATCTAACCGGGTTGTGGTTTTATGTTAAACATGTTCCGCACAATGCTGATTTGGATTGTTTTTAGAAGTAATTATTAATATAAAAATGACTTTCATGCCGTTGTACGGCCCCCAGAGTTTACTAATTATGGCTAACCCAGGATGAACATTTCGAATGTATCTAAACCGCATCAGTCCAAGATTATGCAGATTTGAATTTTCATGCTGATTTCTTCCTCAATGCCATGATTTTAGTCGATTTTAGCGGTGATTATGCGTTGACCATTGGGTAGTACGGACTTCATGCCTCCGGAGATTTTTTTTTTTTTAATCTTAGAATAAGTTGCCCACGAAGATACCCTAAATTTTCAACATGCATATATGCATACATGCGTACTTATCATGGTGTTCACCCGTGAATGTAATGTGGATCTTTTATGCAGGGAGGGAGCTCAAGCCAGCTCTATCACTCTGTTCATTCACAGGTGAGAGAAGAGAAAATAAAAAAAATAGAAAATAAAGGAGAGAAAAAAAGTATTTTCATATGCTCACTAGTTATTACTGTGATTAATGGCCAGATATTCACCTTGCCCGGAGACACGCTGCTCTATCCCGCTCATGACTACAAGGGCTTCACGGTCAGCCCCAATAATACCCTATGCCCCTTCCTTTTTATTTATTTATTTATTTATTCATTTCAACTGCCCTTCATCTTCTTCCTCGATATTAGGGTTCTTCTTTCCTCCTGCTTAATCTGCTACTCTCTCTCTCTCTCTCTCTACCCAGGTTTCTACGGTGGAGGAGGAGACCAAGTACAACCCGCGTCTGACCAAAGATGAGGTACGCTTCTTGTGGTTGAAATCTTGTGTAGAACGATGGTCCGATTGATGATGCTCGTGGACACTGATCTTGAGTTGGATGGGGATTTCTTCTTCTTCATCTTCCTCTCTCTTCCTTTCCTCTAATGGTGTCACACAGAGAGGGAGAGAGAGAGAGAGAGAGAGAGAGAGAGAGAGAGAGAGAGAGAGAGAGAGTTGAATAAATCTTCTGGCCAGTCCACCCCCTCGAGTCCGTATCATATAAAATGCGCCGTTTCGGATCTCCTTCTTGCTCAGATTGCCATATAAATGCCGTCTCTGATCTCGCTCTTTACATCTGCATGATTTTATATCGTTATCTGTTCATTTAATTGTTCTACTGCATAAATAAATCATTTAGCCTTGAAAATACGGACCCTTAGAAAGAAAATAAAATAAAAGAAAATAATTGATTTTTTAAATCAAGTTGCTAGCTAATTATTTTTTGTTTTTTTTTGTTTTTCGTGTTGGGTTGATGTTCTTTCGCAGGAGGGGTTCAAGAACATCATGGAGAGTAAGTTCCTTTCCCCTCGATGTGCCACGTAGGATTTTTTATATTATCAAAGTGGGCCCCACGAGGAACCTCTCTGATAAGCTTGCTTCCCCCGCAGATCTGAACCTGCCGTACCCGAAGATGATCGACGTGGCCGTGCCGGCAAACCTCGTCTGCGGCCTCCAGGACGTCACCCTCTCCGCCATGTAACGCCCGCCCTCACCGCCAACCCCTTCTCTCTCTCTCTCTCTCTCTCTCTCTCTCTCTCACTCAATCTCTATCTCTATCTGTCTCTCTCTTCCTGTCGGGTTATATTGTGAGAAGCTTCTGGCTTGAAAGAAGGAAGAAGGAAGTTGTTGTTGTGCGAGTATAAAGTGGGCTGGTCGTCTCCGGGTGATGATCTATTCCCTCCTGTGGGGAGTGGGCCGCGACAACCCCTCGTTGTCGGGAAGGAGAAGAACAGCCCCCCCCTGTGTGTGTGTGTCTCTCTCTACCTTTGGGGTGGACGAACCTTCTTGGTATGTGATGTGATCAAGGAATGTTGGGCTTGTGGGAAACGTCACATTCTCGGTTTGCTGCACCAGCAGGTGGTGTGAAAATAAGCCGGGTAGAGAGAGAGAGATTGTTAAACAAGAACAAACGTGGCCAAAAGTAAACAAGAGAGAGAGTGAGTGAGAGTGACAGAGAGAGAGGTATGGTTCGCTTTATAAGCTGTATATAATTTATACCCAAATCCTGACGAATACAGGGTAAGACGTCAAGAAGAGGAAGGAAGAGAGAGAGAGAGCAGCCGAAGGCACGCGAGCAGCAGCTCTTAGCTCTGCTGGGTCTGCGCATGGAGGGAGAAGGGAGGGAGGGAATGTACAAGCTTGGCGGCATTCCTGTTCTTGAGGGCCAGCATGGCCGCGTCAGCAAAGGCCTGGGCTTCCTCCGCCTCCGCCTCTGCCTTCTCCGCCTCCCTCGCCGCCGCCTCTGCCTCTGCTATCGCTGCCTCCGCCTCCGCCACCGCCTGTGCCGCCGCCATGGCCGCCTCCTGCGCCGTCATGTTCCTGATCCTCGCCAGCTCTGCATCCACCTGAGCCTTGGTGATGGCCCTGACCTTCTCCCTCGAAGACTCCGGCCCCGACTCCGGCAGCGGCGCCGCCGCCGCCGATGCACCACCTTCCTTCTCTTCGGGGAAGGAGCTCGGGGCGATCCTGTACTTTCTCTTCACCTTGAACCAACCAGCAATAAAAAAAAATAAAAATAAAAAATAAAATAATCATCAGAGTATTTAAATTTAGTTTTGTTTTTTCCAAATATGGGCTTCCTCTGTTTTTTTTAAGAACACAGCGTCAGATTAATCAGAGAAAGTTACCTTAATCAGCTTCCGACTGGCGGTCAAAGCCTTCAGCTTGGCTGATAGAATCCTCTTGAAATTGGGGGGAGACCAGTATTGATCCTACACGAATCCAAGCAAGAGAAAGAGAAGATCAAGATCATACGCAGAGAAAATGTTGAATCGAACAGGGAATTTCTCCCAACTTTCATAAAAAATATTTTACAATTTTCATTTGATTCGACGAGCAGTTGGCCCAAATAAAATCTGTTCCATCTTTTTCTGGGGCATAATCATGCAATTACTCTTCAAAAAATCAAAGTATAACAAAAAATGAAGATCATGATTGATGGAATAATAATCTACGCAATTTTATCTGACAAAGAGCAAGACTGAGAGCTTAAGGGCGGGCCTAACAGCTTTGATGTTCATCCAAAGCTTCAACCCTAACAACAAAAAGAATAAAAATTGATGAAACAAAGAGAAGACAGATCTTGGATTTGAACATCAGTTTGAACATGCTGCTGAGAGAACTTATCTTGGTAAACTGCTTGGTGGGCAGTCAATTAGTCTCTAGAGTCTAGTCCAAGATCTTGTATCGTATGGGGGTGATGACAATCTGAGTAGAGAATTGAATCCGTGAAATTTCCCCACATGGCCTCTCTTCTTGATCAGAAAGACAAGCTCTGTAGTGCCCATCTGGGAAACTTCACGGATTCAATTCTTTACTCAGATTGTCATCACCCCCATGCGCTACAAGATCTTGGATTAGACTCTAGAGACTAATTGACTGCCCACCAAGCAGTTTACCAAGATAAGTTCTCTCAGCAGCATGTTCAAACTGATGATACAGATTTTGTAACCTAAAAGAATGGACACCAGGTATAACATTGGTTGGAAGATTGTTCTATGTCTGGTTTGTGGACTCTATTCAATACGAGATAAAATCGAAATGCATATATAGATGAGCTTTCCCCAAAATCCTATAAATCTGGCTCAAAACGCCACATAAATAAATTTCCGAGAAATGATAGCTAGACAATGTGTACCAATATGCAGAGATGGCAGTGTCTCAAAAGGGAATCCATGATACTTGGCATTATTAATATTTTAAAATAACTTGAGGATAATTTTTTTGAAAACATTGCTCCCCGAAAAAAAAGAGAAAAAATTGCTTTACATTTTTTTTAACAATGTATGTGTAACCTAGTCATATATTTTTTCAACAATTCGTTGGTAATAGAAAATAGCAAAAGCAAAGGGATCAAAAAATAATCCCCTATTCAGTGATTTAATCAATAAAACAGTTTTAAAGATTAGGCGAAGAAACACCTCTATGTACAAGGCAATCGCAGTCTTGTTAGACCCGGTAGGTTCCTTCAAACTAGTTATAGCTTCCATAATAAGATTTTCTAACCTGCAACAGGAAATAAGCACAAAATGATTTTACTACGAATCCCAAAAAGACAAGAAAGCATACTCATGTTTCAGTGCTGGGTCATCCAACTAAAAATCAACTTGCATGCGGATTAGGCTCATATATCCATATATAGAATATATCCATCATTGACTTTTGTTTACGCCTTCCAATTTAAGCATATTCTAGCATGTTCTACGCATGGAGTTCACTATCAGACTTTTTCATGGAGACAATAGAAAGAAGGTACAAGCCACTGAAGAACAAACCTCAGCTTTAATATCTTGGTAAAGAATTCTGCTACACGATTCAGACTTGCTGACAAGAGAGGGTTCAGGCTCATAAACATAAAATGTTACCTTCCAACATGGAATTATTCCGACTATTAATAGCCTAAAATATAATTCCAATTATTACAGACACCCGAAAATTTCCAACTTAACAAAAAAACTGTGCCTTAAAAGTTTTACAATAGTTAAGTACTGTCATTAACACAATATACGATTTTCCAAGATAAATGCAGTGCACAGGATAAAAACAAATATTTCAAACAGATGATCTAAAGGCAGCTCTAGCAAATCAGGCAATCTTATAATATCCTGAAATGCGCATTATTAGATCTGTTCCTCTTGATCCAACATGGCTAGCAGTAAAATCATAGGTAAATAACAGAGAAGTATATTATAATCAGTAATCTCCTAAACCAACCTCGTGGAAGTTCTCTTTGTGGTCGTAATTCTTTCATTTGAGATCCTAAGAGGCTTGACATCAACTATTCCATCATTATCATCAATGGTGGTGAGGGCCATAGAGTTATCCTCGAGTTTCCGAGCATGGTGACTCCTTTTCAAGACTATCCGACCTCTCTCCCGAGATCCCCAACCATTAGCTGTTACACTCATGTTCCGCCACTTATCCTGTTTGCATGAAGATAGCTTGATGAATCAAAACGAGCATCAAATTGGAACAGAATACAGAAGTTTTACGCATGCATCCTCCCTTAAAGCCACAGAACATCAAGTGAGAGGGGCAATCAGATTAAATCAGATGACGTAGTACCAGATAACATTCGTGTGTCAGCTCATCCACTTCACTTGAAAAGTTTTAAGAAAAAGATCTAATCGCAGCAATAACATTCTAGTAGAATGTCCTTGGGATTGATGTTTTCTAAAAGTTAGGTTGTAGAAGAGAATCTATACCTTGAGATCAACATTAGAGCGAGCATGCAACACATCACTAAACTCAGGGTCCTTAAGTATTGTCCTCCATTTTCCTGCCCCATGTTTGAGAACCCCGGCTTTGAGAGCAGCCTCTTCTTCAGGTCGCCACTTCTGCTTTGGGGCACCCATAGATAAATCTAATACGATCCTTACACGACGATCTGAAGGTGTATACCTATCGACCTGCATAAGCAGAGCCACACAAACAAATGAACATGAGACAAGGTTACATGAGCAAATGCAAAAGGTCAAGTCCATCACACAAACCGATGTCCATCACACAATTTATACATGGTTAAAATAACATCAGTATGACACAGAAAGTGCCCCCATATACTTTAAAAAATGCCATCTTTCAATAAAAACATCATAAACCAAATACTTTCAAGAAAAAATCTTGAATATTGAAAGGACGACGCACATGTATACACATGTTGATCACTTCAACTCAGGTCAATAGAACAAAATACTCAGAAAAGTTGGATTGAAGACAAAATGAACAAGAGTATGGTGCCAAAACAGACTCCATCCATAAGTTCGATGAGAACAGTTGACATGTCCTTTTGCCCAGGTAGCAGGACCAAACCTTGACAGTATCCTTTTTAAATATCCTGGGACGCTGGAAAGTCCTTGCTTGGTAAAAAATTCACATAGTTTCCGCTTTTAGTTAATAACTCAGATACTTTCTATACACCATCTATTCCAACATCATACCATTTCCCTTTATAAATTATGTAATTCTCCTCGATACTTATTAGGAGATTATTTTTTCATTTTTAATTTTTCCTCACTGAAGCAGTCCATAACATTATGCAAAGGGCCAATTACGAGTGGAATGTCATCATATGATATCTTTATGCTCCTGAATCAAAAAGACTCATCGACTGATACGAGAAAGGGAAGAGTGAAAATAAAATATCAGTACAAAATGAGTGCCTTTAAATCCACCTCTTCTGAACTTCATTGTGACTAGATGTGATCGAATGAGCACCGAGGGGGCCTAAACATACCCTTTGACTTTTAATACGTCCTCAGGAGATTGGCTTTTAAATTTGGGAAACCAGCGCTTCATTTATCATTTTCCTTTTCCTTTGTGGATGCCTATATGTGTGTGCGTCTGTGCGTGTGTCTGCAGTAAGGAGGAGATGAAATAAATTTTCCCATCTGCAAATCAAATAACCCACAATCCATGTCTGGATCTAAGTCTGAGAATATGCCACCTAGAAGTTACTAACAAAAAGGCGATACTACCTAGCTTTTGATCGAAATCACGTGATACCCTCTTTTAGATGGGAATCATTTTCAAAGACAAAGTAAATGTGATATTCGCTCGTGAACAGACCAAATCATTCCTCACTAATGATTTTTTGTTTGGGTTACACAGGTGCGTGATTTTTCTGTCTGAGAACACTCAAGCGATTCCCTGTTTCGATTCATTTTTGGAGCCCTAAGAAGGAATTTGTCGAATCGAACGTATTCTGGAAACCCATACCCAAGTAATTTATCAGACCCGACAGCAAGGTCGCAGTGATGAGTAACGTAATTAGAATCACACCTTCAAACACTGGGCCGGGAAGGGTGAGGGATCAGAATTCTTAAAAGAAGATTCTTAAAATTTCTTCAAAAATAAGAAAGTTCTTCAAAAGAGTTATATAGAAGGGAATAACGACACAGATCAAAAGGTGACATCGAAGGCACAGAGAGAAATACCGTTAAATTAGATCAGATTCTTGAGATTAATCTGGGCCGACGCAAATCACATGAACTTGACCACACGATCGCCGGACGTCGTGGATATCCCCAACGAAAGAGGAGCAAAAATTGCGGGAGCGAAACCGCATAGAGCAAATCCCTTCCTACTGAAAACGAATACGAGGGTCCCTTTCCGTTATGCCTTCACCAGATCCCCGCAGATCCAAGTCGAATGGCCCGGAAACCCTAAGGCGGAGAAGACGCAGAACATCTCAAAAATGCCGTCAGCACCAAACGAGGGTTCCCCCGAAGCCAGCCATGCAGGGGAAAAACCAGAGGCCGATGCAGATGATTCCACAGAGGAAGATCAACCGCCCTCCCCCACCAGCAGTTCGCAAGCTCAGAGACGCCGCCGTCGTGCGGGGGCGCCGTCGTCAATGGCGGCGATGGAAGGGGGCGGTAGCGGCGGCGTTGGGGAGGGCACGCAGAGATCATAGGATACTAAAGAGGGAGAGGCCCATTAAAGGTCCATTTTCCCCAAGTCATACAACCATGAAAAACGTCTCTAATTATTGCATTAATATATGACATCAATATATTACTTATAATATGATATATTATAAATATAATAAAAATTATTATGGAAAAATAAAATATCGAATAATATCCCCTTTGTTATCAATATTTTTTATTATTTATTTCGATAGAATGGCATATACCCTCAATATAAATTTAAGCCAAATCGTGATTTCATCACTTTAATTTAATTATTTTTATAATAATTATGATGAAATTAGCCCGCGCATAAAATATTGTAAACTTTATTTAAATATATATAAATTAGCCACCCAAAATATTGTAATAATAATAACATATAAATGATAAAACAGCTAATATATATATATATATATAGAAAAATCAATTTTGGATTTCTTTTGCGGAAGGACGTTGGGTGGGTAGATGAACGCTGGCGCGCAACGGCTATAATCCCTTCGGACCAGAAAGCGGACCGTTAGTTCTCAACCTGGCCGAGAAATTCGAACGCCTTATCACCAGAGCGGAGGAGACCCATCGCGGTGTAGCGCCGCCGCTGAGCGGAGCTGCTCTCTTCCTCGCCGGCGCCGGCGGAGGAGAAACTTGCAGAGAAGAAGACGAGAGACGATGTGTTCTTTCGCGGCGCCGTCGGCCCATCTTCTCCGTGGCGATGGGCCCTGCTCCGTTTGCCCATCACCTGTTCGACCTCTGGTGATTCACAGACTGGGCATTTCCGGGGGATGTAGGCGCAGGGGTTCATCTGGGTGGCGATGGCGGTGCTCGTCTTCGGAGCAGAAGCAGAAGAAGCCGAACAGGAGAAGAAGTGAACAGGTGGGGACGGGAGATGACGTCGAAGGTGCCGGTGGGCCGACCGTCGATCCCGTTGGGTTCCTAAAAAGGATGAGGATATCCAACAAGGTCTTCGCCCAGTTTCTCCGCGAACGGTAACTCCTCTTCCCCCTATCATCATCGTCATCATCATCATCATCATCACCATCATCCAGGGATTTATTTCACGGAATATAAGCTGGTTTGTGAGAAGCTGACGCTGCGGTCATGTTTCTAGCTACAAGGCGTTGAAGGACCGGAAGGCAGAGATACTCACCCGTTTTGCGGAGCTCCCGGAAATTGCGGCTGGGTCTGTTTCCTCCATTCGAGTGTCTCTAGTGGAGCACCCGCCACTATACTGCTGTCTTTTTGGTTTTCTCACCTGAGCTTGTGTTGTGGTTGATTCTAGATTTGAGCTACTAGGGATGCACCGCCACAGGCAACATAGAGTGGATTTCATGGAGTGGGCACCAGGTGTAATGATTTTACTATTCTCTGCCTCGTCCGCTTCCTGCTCCATCATCTTCTTCTTTTTCGTCCTCATTTCTCTATGAACTCGAGTTGGTGTCCAAGAACAGTAGAACACAACTCTTCTTTCACGTAATCTTTGGTACCTTAGCCTTTACGTGACAATGAATTACTAATGATTCCTCCATCTCGAGGGAATTTGTCGCTGTGTTTAAAAGGAAGATCATCATCACCACCCTACTCTGTTAAGTCACTGCATGTGCAATTATGAACCAAGGTCAACTCCTTTGGTAGCACTCACTGTTGCAGAAGTTGACTAGTCCTATCGCAATGACCCCCATTTGGACGTTGAAATTGTGTCAATGGAAGTTCAGAGAGAAAGGAGAATTATCCCTATGAGGATCTCCTTTTTTAATGAAATTCACCAATAGTCACACTCCCATGTTACTAATGAAATTAAAACCAATTTCGTTTTATTGTTGTAAACTTTTGTGAAGGAATAGGGGAATCGAAGAGAGCTTTCCTGGGTTGCTATGAAAGGCTCGGATCTTGGGTGCACAGCTGTTTCTGTTTGGGTCATTTGAGATGCTGAACATCCATATGCTTGAATGCATGATAAGAGATAGCAGTGAGCAGCCTTTTTCATTAGGCCCCCACCTCGAATCTTAAAAAGCTGGTGATAACGGATATTGTGTACATTTTGAAGAATGTGTATGCAAATAATATCATCTAGTTATGATGCTAAAGATCAAGTTTTTGGATGGATTTACTCCCTAGAGACTAAATGCGCTGGGAGTGTGTGAAGTATAGGAGTGTGAGCCTGCATACCTTGATAAATTAGATAAGTTTAACGTGATGTAATATATGATGCAGCCATTATAGTCTTATAGTGCTTAGTATAACCCTACATTAATCTTATTTTAATTTCATATTAGACTGCATATCCCCTGATAATTCATTCTATTTGAGGGCACTCTTTTTGAGCTTTTTCCTCACCCATTAAGTTCTCTTTCTGCAGGGTTCTGTGTTAGGTGGGATGCTTTTTATAGACACCTCTGAAATTAACTTTAATGTGATGTGCGCTAGAGATGAAAGCAGAGCTGCATTATGTTTCTAAATTAAAAGATTATGTCAAATCGATGACATGTGGAATGACTCAAATCTGTGTCAGAGATATTCTGTAGAGTCAATCCTTCTCAAAATTTCCTTTAGGAGCTTTAAGCAGAAAATTTTGTAAGCTTTAAGCTCAAAATATTCTATATGGTCAATCCTACATTAAACTGCAGTTATTTCTCCCTATCTTTGGAATCACCCTGACTTGATTGGCTGATTCAGGTGCATCTTTGGAATGGTCTGATGTCGATTAGAACTGCATATATCTGTATATTTTACGAATTGTATTTTTTAATGCATTTAACTTAAGTTTTTGGTCGTGATACATCGTGGTGAAAGACACCAGATTTGAATACCATTTGAACGGTGGTATCGTTGATTTGTGCAGTGATTTACTCTCATAGTTTTCTATTTTATAATCTCAGAGATTTGTGTACCTGTCCAATTTGTACCCCAAAAAGTATTCTACTTTATCATTTTATGTCATAATTATGTCTAGTATATATGCAATGACAGGTGCTCGATATTGTTCTATTATTGGGGATTTTAATGAATGGTCACCAACAGAAAATAGTGCTCGAGATGGACACTTTGGTCATGATGATTTTGGCTATTGGCTAATCATTCTTGAAGATAAGCTTAGAGAGGGGCAAGAAGCAGATGAGTACTTTTTTCAGGAATACAATTACGTAGACGATTATGATAAGGGTGATAATGGTGTAAGTGTTGATGAGTTGCTCAAAAGAGTCAGTGATGAGTACTGGAAACCAGGAGAAGATCACTATAAAAGGACTCGCTTCGAGGTACCAGCTAAGTTGTATGAGATGATATTTGGCCCTAATGGCCCTCAGACAGAAGAAGAGCTAGGTGAGATACTTGATGCCGAAACACGATACAAAATGTGGAAAGAAAGTAACGAGGGTGATCCATCCAGCAACCTTTCTCGTTTTGATGTCATGGATACTGGGAAAGAGTATGACATTTATAATATTGTTGAAGATCCTCTCTCTAGGGAGAAGTTTCGTTCAAGGAAGCCTCCACTTGCATATTGGATAGAAATGAGAAAAGGACGAAAAGCATGGTTGAAGAAGTATCTTCCTGCCATTCCACATGGAAGCAAGTATAGATTATACTTTAACACTCCTGATGGTGCTTTGGAGAGGATTCCTGCTTGGGCTACACGTGTATTTCCAGGTATCTTCTGTTCTGTAAGAAAAAGATGCTTACTAGAAGAATAGATTTGATATGTTCTTTTTCTTATTATATATGCAGTGTAATTTAATCTCGGTTTTTATTCCTCTATAGTTTCGCCATCTCCAGCATGGTATTAAAAACAGGTTTCAGAGCATTATTTTATTTTTCTCTCCTGAAGTTAGAATGTGCATTCGAATGGCATTTACAAATCTGATACAATGGTTTTCTTTCTATGTTTCCACTAGTTTTGGGAGAAAGGATGAATGCCACCAATTTTAAACGTGAGGAATCGTTGGAGGCCTTAAATGAAAAAGATTTCTGGCCAGAACTTGGGGCATATTTCACTGTGTACCTATTGGGAAACCCAGTCGATCAGAAATTGTTGTGCATTAGATCCTTTGTGTACCTTGTTAATGTTTTATGATTTGTAAATGTCTAGCATAACAATTGAGACTTTCACCTGGGATCAATGAGATAAATTTCCGTATGAAAATAAGAATGATTGTGTGGTATTTTTGGGCTTTGAAGAAGCTGACGCCAACATCTGTTGCAACCATCTCAAATGGAAATCAACTTAACAGGAATAGAAAGAAAAATTGAGCTATAATAAGATAACATAAACTTGTGACATCTGAGTTATGACTTTCACTTTTAAAAAAAACATATGTGTATGTCAGAGACATGTGAAGCCAGTCTGGAGTTACTATTGGTTATTACTTGCTTAGATGTCATTATAATCAGGTCATTACTAATGTATATGTTAGTAGGGAAACTTTGAAGTTTGTTTCCCTTCCTTCCCTTCTCACCAGGTGACATGAGGAAAAGAACATCACAGCTAAACATTCTCTGAGAGCAATACTTCGTATTTTCATTCTCTGAACGTAATTTCCTCTGATGTTTGATGATTTTGTGGTGTACATGGGATGCTAGTTTCACTTTTATGACGTATTCTTTTTTTTAACATTTTTCTCATCAATTGTTAATCTGCGATTCTCAGGTGCTGATGGAAAACAACCTTATGCAGTTCATTGGGAACCACCTCCTGAGCAAATATACAAATGGAAAAATAAACGCCCAAAAACTCCGAGCACTCTGCGTATCTATGAATGCCACATTGGAATAAGTGGATCTCAGCAGAATATATCATCTTTTAAGGAATTTACTGCAAATGTAAATTATATATGGCGTTATTTTTTTCCTTATTATTTTTCTTCAATACTCCTTTAATTTTATGAGGTTTTTTCATTTTTTTTATGCTTGTACTTTGTCTAGGTCCTTCCACATATTAAAGAGGCTGGATATAATGTAATAAAGTTGATTGGGATTGCAGAGCACAAAGACTATTCTTCTGTTGGCTTTAAAGTGAGTTTGAGTTTCATTTCTTGAGCTTCTGTGAAGAGATTATGATATGGATTCAGGCCTGCAGGCTGTGCAGAAACTTCGTGGAACCTTATGTTCCACTATTTTTGTACACAAGCAGTGAAGGTTTCTTGTAACTTAAAGATTGAAACCATTTATATTAGTGTATTAGCTTAAAAATGGAAAGCTATTTTTCTCACGAAAATGTTATATTAGTGTATTAGCTATAATCATTTTATTCTTGAAACCAGTTTAGGCTAGGATAAAGATGATTAAGCTTCTTTTCACTTCTTTTTGGATGCTAAAATTTTTCTTGCCTTTCAGGTTACAAACTTTTTTGCAGTCAGCAGTAGATTTGGGACACCTGATGACTTCAAGCATTTGGTTGACGAGGCACATGGTTAGTATGATATTTTCATTTACGTTACTTCATATGTTTATCAGATAATGTAGGACTTACAAAAGATGCTCTTCAACTTATAAAATGTAGCCATTTCCCATATTACTGTGCTCATTATGGATATTAAATGTCTTCTTGATGTTTCATTTTACTATCTAATACTTACGATATGAGGTTTGAATTTCCTTGCCAATGTGTAAATGCACTTGGTGTGTTTTTGCATGGTTTCGTTTTATTTCCTATCTGATAGTTTACCTCACTTTGGGGCCTTTTTACGCAAAGTTGCATGCTAATACCATGAATTATTTGAAATTATATTTTCAGAAATAGGAAAATAATATGAAATTAACATTGGTTGGGTCATGTATTCTGCACTCCAAATAACATTTAGTAATATGGTAGTTCTTGTACTTGAGAATCTTTATGTTATTTATTTTCAAACTCTATATGTTTCTATTTTAACATTCAAACGTTGATGGCAAAAGAAGCTCTTTTGCTCTTCTCTTGTAATTTATGATGCAGCTTGTGGAACAGAGGCCTGGGAGCATGAAGATTCGAGTTGGCCCAATAACAAATTTAACCCATAATAAAATGTGTCTTAAATGGATATAAATTTATCTTTTCTATTTTTGATTTTCATTTTTCTTTTTAAGCTTGTAGAAATGAAGAGAAACCTGTCATGGAGGACAGAGGGGAGAACAGTGGAAACTACCTCAAGTTCCATTCAACACTTACAACATCTATACAGGGAGGAAACTTAGACAATTTTTCAAAGACACTCTCAGTCTTTTACATTATTTCCCCATGACCTATAACTTCCGCCCCTCTCCCTTAAAATGAAATTTGGAGAAGTTCATCTTCACTAAGTTGTTCACGAGCATTCACTTGTTGGTGATGATGACGATCCATTGTGGCATCGACTCCCCTTGTGATGGTTGTCAAAGATGACACTACCGAGGTCATGAATTCACTGACACATTTGTCTCCTCTGAGGGTTGTTACGCCTTAGAAACAGCTCCATAGAATAATGATGCCTTTTGATGTTGGACTGCTTGAGATGTTGCCTAACTGTGCGGATTGTGGAAGATTCTAGTAGCTAGACTAGGGAAGATGTCAAATTGAGGCAGATTGGGGAGGCAGAGGACAACACTGGAACTAAGACAATACTTTAAAGATGATTACATAGGGATAAATTGAAAAGATACTAGGCAGAGGCGAAAGACCTCACCAGAAAAATAGTTGGTAGAGGCGGAAGGCCTCATTGAAAAGATAGTTGGCAGAGGTGGAAGACCTCGTCGGAAAGCAACAAAAGCAACATGGCTAGAGGTAAAAACCCTCACCAGAAAAGTACTCACTAGAGGCAGAAGACTTTGCCGGAAAACTACTTGGCAGAGGTGGAAGGCCTTGCCAGAATGTCAGCAAAGGCAGAAAGCTCTGCTAGAAGGTAGCACACAGTGCCAATTGCAGCATGTTGGCAGATGGTGGTAGAAAACATCGGTGACAATGGCAGATAGGAAACATCGGATACTCTCAGACTTTGGTGGTGGCGGCGATGGTGCTCCCGCAGACAAGAGACGTTTGTCAGAGCAAAAGAAACCTTTGCATACCTCCGTTACCTTTTGGGAGGCCTACGCCCCAGAGAAAAATAATTGGAGAAAAGAAAGGGATTTGAACTCCAAGTCTTAAATGAAATGATTGGCGGACCAACCTGGCTCTGACACTGTAGAAAATGGGGAGAAACCTCAGTCATGGAGGACGAAGGGGATAATGGTGGAAACTGCCTCAAATTCCATTTAACTCTTACATCCCTTAATATAGGGAGGAACCTTAGACAATTTTTCATAACACCCTCAGTCTTTTACATTATTTCCAACAAAACTATTTCAAATTTATTTTAATTGGTCAAAATTTAAAATTTAGGCGCCTAAAACAATAGAGTCCTCAATTTTTAGAAGCATTTGATCTGATTTTTGGCCTATTTAAAGCCCCCCCTTTATAGCCCAAGAGACATTCAATCAATTACGCAAATTTTCTCTCTTCTAAGGGTCTGTATCTAATGCGTGAATTCACAAGAAAAATGATTCATGTGAAGATTCTCAATATCCACAAAACGAAGAAACTCAGGCCTTCAAATCCACAAGAGTTTTGTCTCGAGTCCACAAGATTGAAATAGTTCTCTTGAATCCACAAAGGAGCAGCTAAAATCCTCTAACAGAGGAACAGAGCATCAGAAGAGGGAAAAAACTTGTAATATTGATGGGCCTAGTAGGGGGGCCTTTAAAGAGGCTGAAATTTGATTAGGATGTTCTAAATAATAGGGGATTCTATTTTTGGGCACTCAGAGTTTGAATTCCGGCCAATTCAAACTAATTTGAAATGATTGGGAGAAACAGAAATAAAAGAAGGAATATTAAATTTAGACATGTTTAAGACACGATTTATTATGGGCCAAATTTGTTGTTGGGCCAACTTGAGCTATAAATGAGCCAACGCCTTTGCTACCTTGAGTTGGGTTCTGAACTGGCAATAGATCATTCTCCCCAATTTCAAAAGAACAGTCTTCATGTATTTCTAGGTAATAGTCATATAACTCCATAATATTGAAGGTAGAATATATATATCCTCATTGTCTCTAATAAGTCAATGACGAAAGTATTGTCATTAGTATTGTCCATACTTGGGACTGAGCTTGTTATAATTTCCATATAGTAGTCTTTCTTTTCTCAAAACAAATCACCAATTTGGAAATTCTTTTTCCTCTTCTTTTATAATTTTTTTTAATAGAAATAAGTTATACATTCTATGAAACTTGGTAGGTGAAAATTTTATTTTTTTATTACATACAAGAGGATTATCATGACTTTGGGTCATGACAAAACTTTTTAATTGATAGAGACATTATTTTTTGCCCCAGTTTAAGAAAGGTCGTGAAATTTTGTGGAAAGATGTCAAAGTTGTCAAGTGAATGAAGGAAAATGTCAAAATACAAGAGTTGTAGACTCCAAAATGACCACAAGTTGATATCACTATAAATTTCTTTTTGGGACTTGATGCAGCAAAAGTTGATGAAATGAAGATTTGATGGAGGTAAATCAACCTAAGTGTTTTAGAGTCAAAACCACGTCAATGAATCCATGAAGAATGTGATTTTCTTAAAGAACTATCACCTTAAATCCACAAGGGTTTGATCTTTAGTCTGCTAGATTAAAAAGATTGTCTAAATCCATAGGGGGTGTTGGAATACAACAGTAGAGGAAGAAAACCTCAAAAGAAGGAACCAATTTATAGAATTGATTGAATGCCCCTTGGGCTTGACATAGGGGAATATGCTGAAAATTAGTTCTAACACTTCTAAAAATAGGGGGTTCAATTATTGGGAGCTAAAAAATTTGAATTTCGGCTGATTCAAATAAATTCAAAATGGCTGAAAAGGATAAACGAAAATAAAAGCAGGAAAATTAAATCTAGAAGTGTTTAAAGCTGCAATTTTATTGACCCGTAATTGATAGTGGGCTAATTTCAGGTTTACTGAGCCAAACTCATGTCTTCAAGTTTCTTGGGCCACAGTCCACTTCATTTGGGCTCTAAACTGGTTGCATCAGAACTACCATGAACTCAAAGAGGGGTGCCATTTTTCAAAAAATGACACTTTCATTGGATGCAAGAAGACATACAAATGAGTCAATTCATTTTTTAAAGAAATAGTTTGCCTGCATAGTTTCCTAGAATCAATCACATCCAATCAAGATTTCAAATTTTGTTTTGTTACATTTTTCTGATGGACTATTTGAAACAAATTTGATTCTTATTTAAAATTCAGTATTACCAGTCATCTTCAAACAGATGGACAAGCAGAAGTGGTCAGGAGAATAAGTTGCTCGATTCATTGTATTTCATGATAAAAATCAAAATAGTGAAATTTTGCCTTGGCTCAGATAAAATTTGCTTATAACTCTATAGTAAATTACTCAATCTCTATTTTCTATTTTTTATTACTTTCTCTTCTAAATGTAGTAGATTTTACCAACACAGTCTGAAATAAACATAGTAGCAAACAAGATGGCAGAGTATATTACTGCTAGTACATTGACGTGTTAGGAAATATCTTTTAGTCAATTATGCCAACTATAAGGAGAAGGCTAATAAGAAGAGATTTTTTTTTTTCCAAGTTGGTGATTTGATTATGATATATTTGTGAAAATAAAGACTATCATTTGAAATTTTTAAGAAACTTAATTCAAAGAAATATAGACCATACAAAGTCCTCTATAAAATTAATGGCAATGCTTACCTCATTAAATTATGTCTTCATCAAATTATCTTCTACCTTCAATGTTATGGATTTGTATGGCTATTATCGTGAAATACATTTCTTTTAAAATGAGAGATTGATGTAACCTATTTAGAGATCAACTCAAGTGGACTAGAGGTTCAGGAAAGATGAAGACATAAGTTGGTTCATTTATAGCTCGAGTTGGCCCAACAATAAAGCATATTTAAATGCATCCAAGTTTAATTTTCCCATTTTTATTTTTTTTCTGCCTTTTAGCCATTTCGAATTTATTTGAACGAGCCAAAATTCAAAATCTTGGCTTCCAATAATATAACTCCTTCATTTTAAGGAGCGTTTAAGTGATTTTTGAGTTATTTAAAGCCTCCACTCCTTGTAGCACTAAAGACATTCAATCAATGACATGAAATTTTTTTATCTCTTTTGAAGTTTTGTCTCCCTGCTGGTAGATTTTGACAACTCCTCTGTGGATTCAAGGGAACCTTTGTGATCTTGTGGATTGAAGATCAATCCCTTGTGGATTTAAGGGTTGAAATTTCTAAGTTTGTGGATTGGCAAGGAGTCTTCAACTAAATCTCAGTTCTTATGGATTCAAGAACAAGATATCAACTCAACACTATTCAAGTTGTGTCAATTTATTATGCAATAGCCTTATTCTTTATGCAGATATGACGTCCATCATCTTATATAGGCATGAATCTAATTTACTTTCATTAGTAGTGGGCATGGCCTTCATATATAAATACAACCAGTGTACCTCAATTTTTGCTTTTGAAAGCTTCTATGAATATTTATCCATCTCCTGGCCCATAGTTTCATAATTATGTACTAGGGTTGCATTTTAGTGAAAATATTTTCTTCCTTGATAATTTGTGAACACAAATGATAATTCTTATTTTCCATGTGGTAACTCTGCAATATCAGGGAAATGGTTTACTTCCATTGGAAGTTTACTCAAATTTTTTTACTTGTCATACGTTTTGTAAGATGCCCATGCTTAAACATTGCTGAAACAAAGCAATTGCCAATATGAGTGAAAAAATGAGTACATAAATTATTTTCATCTGCAAGATTTATGAAGACTATGTCATATTGTTTACATCCAAGCTTGGGAAATTGGTTGAGATGAGATTCAAATTATATTAGTTACCATTAATATCTCTGATTTCCTGTTTGATTGTTTAACTTTTCTTTGTCGATTTCTGAACTTGAGCATCTCTGACACTGGTTTTCTCTTGTGGGATACAGTTCAAATTTTCTGTCATGAGAAAATTACCTTCAATGTTTTGTCTAGGATTTACTTAAAAAATATTATTTTAATTTTCATTAGGTCGGGTGACCACTTTCTCTTTTTTGTCTTCAAATAACATCATAATTTTCTTCTTAACAGGCATTGGGCTTCTAGTATTCCTGGATATCGTTCACTCCTATGCTGCAGCAGATGAGTTGGTTGGACTGTCGCATTTTGATGGATCAAACGATTGTTTTTTTCACAGTGGTACCCAACTTAAACAAACCATTCTATACTTTGATAGAGGGATAGATATCAGTAACGTCTTATAGTGCATTATTAATAAGAAACTGATTGGACTGCGTTAGTAAAGATTCAGTAAAAGCAATATCGAAGTTATTTGGTGATGGTTCTGCCTGCATGAAGATATGTTGCAGTTTTCGAAATGTTGAGTGTCAGTCTGCATGTTTTCTGTGAAGGTGGCTTACAGTCCCCTTAACGATGCAAATATTTTGACTCATTCTTTAAACTGCATCTAGAATTGTGAAATTTATGGTTCGTGTTATCTTTCACTGGCATATTTTGTCTCTCTGGAGATGACTTTACTCATTTTTTTCTGTCTTTCTTTTGAGAAAAAAACATGCAAGTCTTTCGGCCTTGTGCTTCCTAGTGTCCCAGACAAGCGTCTTGAGATGTCTCAAAGTGCTTGAGATGTCCAGAGTGTCCCAGTGTCCCAGTGTCCTCGTAGGGTTGAAATTTTATTTATTGGTTATGATGAATGTGTTTTTGTGGAGTCATTGCTAGGACCATTTCTAAAATAACTTTAAAACACCCAACGAGGATTTGAGCAAAGCACCCAAACAAGGTTTTGACTAACCAAAATCACATCATGATGAATATTTTTTATTTAAGACCATTGTTTTGGTGCATCTCCTTGGGATAAGAAGTTTTAAGAAGTCAAAGAGTTCTGATGCCTACGAGGGCTGATTAAAAGGTGTTTCCTTGGGTCATTTTATCACCTTTTTTTTCTTTCTTTTAACCGTCATTATTCGGCCCTCATCCAGTAAAACTGAGGATTAACATAATATAATGCAGTTATAGATCTGAAACTTATTAATTTTTTTGATGAAAAGTTGTGTGCTAAGTAAAAGTAACAATGGCAAAAGATTGTATAAAGATATGTTTTTCACATAATCTTTGAGGTCAACAATCTAATATGATCACCTTCCATAAACTAGGATTATCGATATAAAGTAGCTTCGTTCTAAGAGTTATACCACTGACAGCTATTAGATAATCTCTTCCTTGCTGCTTGAAGATTCACAGCCCAGTTCTTGCATAATATGCCTTTAGAGCAAGGAAGTAGCTTAGTTCTTGAGTTGTTTAGACCTCATTCTATTAGAGGAGTGATTCTATGCTACACCTTAGAAACCCTGGGTTGTCTCCGGCTTTGAAATCTCTCCTCAAATAACTATCCTGGTTCACCAAGCGCAATAACCCTCTTTTTGAGAATGATGTATCAATAACGAAACTGGACTTGATCAATTGCAGTCATTCCTTGTCCTAGGCGACATATGATATCACAGGATTCTTGAACCTCCTATAACCTGCCATATAATGTCTTCTGTTTTATGTTGCAAAATTATTTTCTCAGGTATCTGAGCCCTCCTTCTGGCTCTTTCATACTACAACAATTAAGAGAAACAAATCTCATATTCATATATCTCTGTACGGGATTAATGAGGCTCACTCTCAGTTTTTACCAGTGTCACTTTCTATCTTGACCACTGTGCAAGCCACTGAGACTTCCCCCATTTATTCAGCTACGTAACTTTGGAAGCCACTGAGATCCTTTCCATGCCCTCGTAATGATAAGTATCACTGGGATTTATAACATGCAATATGCTCTTATCACTGTAACTCTACTTTCCTTGCTGATCGCTCCCCCTCACACTTCAATCCCTCTTCCTCATGCATCACGATTATAGGTGACTCTGTACACAAATTTCATTTAAATATTGTATTGATTGATAAATCAATTAGCTTGTACTCTATCAACGTCTATGCAATTAGGTTTTCTCTGTATTATTGTCATACTTGCCAATGTGCTTCTGGAGTGTTTGGTTTTCTGACTGTGAGCTCGTCTGCTTTTTGACTGGTGATTGCTTTTGTTTGTAGGCAAGCGTGGGCATCATAAGTTCTGGGGTACAAGAATGTTCAAGTATGGGGATATCGATGTATTACACTTCCTTTTATCAAATTTGAAATGGTAATGCTTAAACCATATTAGGTATACTTTGTTTCCCTCTTTGTTGATGGGGAATTTGGAGCTTTTGTTTTAGTACCATTTTGTTCATGGAAGATCTTCTATTTTTTATAGGTGGGTTGTGGAGTATCAAATCGATGGCTTCCAGTTTCATTCACTCTCATCAATGCTGTACACGCATAATGGATTTGCCACTTTTTCTGGTGATATCGAAGAGTAAATATCTTCTTCATTTTGACTAACCATACTATAATGATGTCTACTATATCTTTCTCTTTCCTTTCTTGTCTTCTCTGCTCAATAGAAGGGACAAGCATATTTAATCCTTAGAAGTCCACAGTCTGTGTACATTTACCAGTCATGCTCGTAAAACCGTTGAAACAAACTAAACTAGAAGCCTAATCTCAACTGTCAACTCTCTTCTACTTCCTATATTACGCCTGTGTATTTTCAAAAAAAGGCATCTTACTTATTTATTCTTCTTATAAGCCAAGCATGATTCCACAAGTGCTGCTGCTTTTTGGAAGGAGTCTGTACTTGCTGATAAATAGTTGCTCAGAATATAGATCTGTTTCTCATTTAGTACAGTTGTTTTAATGGTGAACAATATGCTCAATATTGTCCTTAGTTGATACCTTCTGCATGAAGAGGAGGAAGAAAGCTGGATGAACATTTGGCATGAAAAGCTTAATAAATTGTGTCAAATTTTGAATAAACAACTAATGTATCTGAAAGAAGCAACTGTCTTTACTGGCAGAGGACTGGTCTTCTATCATTGTTTGTCGCGAAAGTTTATTTGGCAGAAATATATTAGACTTATTGAACCTCAAATAACCATCTGGTCATCAGAAGATAAACTACCTCTAATGTTTCTCACTTAAGCAGATCCAACAATTTCTTTTTCATGACTCCATTTCCTTCCACATATCAGAATTGGATTGAACATACCTAAGATCATCTTGAAAGTAAATGAAAATACGGGATTAGTGGTTGTTCAAGCTGCCAACACATTGGAGATGTACCCACTGAATGCACAAGGGTGATTCTATATATCCTCATACCAAAGTAAGATATTGTTGGTAGATCATATACATGATGAGATCTGGCACTTTTATCTTCAAAATTCCAAAGGAAGAGTATATGAGCAAATAGGATGCTATTTTTATATTTTTCTGGTGAGGTTTTCCACCTCTGCTATGCTTCTTTTCAGTGAGGTATTTTGTCTCTACCGAGCATCTATCTAGCAAGGGTCCTCCACCGGTTCTCCACCAGCCTTCTTGGCATCCTTCATTGATGTCTTCCGCAACCATATTCGATGTTCTCTATCGATTCTCTGTTGGCATCTTTGACATTTGTGGACATCTTTGGCTTTCACTAGTCAGCAGTCAATAGCCAATGGCCAATAGTCAAACTTTACAATATGATAGAATAACTAAAAGTCACTCTTCCAAGTGTTCTTCCACTTATTATGTAGTGTCTCTTTATGACAAATCACACGTTTGACTGAAAATAATTATCATCATTGGTAGAGATCAATGATAATTTATTTTAAATGACAAGGAAAGATCAACCATTTATTGAAAGTGTGACATCTGATCCTAATCTTCATGTGTAGTGGGTGCAACAAGATATGATCCATTTAAATATATTATGAAATTATATAGAAACTCATATTGAAAATTTGGTGAGTAATTTGGACACATGTAAGGCAATGTGAGATCATCTTGCACTGATGTACTCCAACAACCTCACAGATCTATGGTATGAATGTAGAGTATTATGGATTGAAACAAGGTGAAACAGATCTAAGTCAAGATCTCGACTCCTTCTATCATCTATTGATTTCAAAGTGATGCAGAAACAACTAGATCAGCTAGCAGTGGTCAAATTTCTTCGTGGGCTTCATCTTGAGTATGATGGAGTTCGCAACCAAATCTTACTAGAATGAGTTGCTGACACTTGTTGAAGCCTATCAACGTGTCTCTCATTCTTTTCTAGATCAAGGCATTCCAATGACCATACCTATTGTCACACGAAAGTTCTATAGGGTCAGGAAGAAGAAGTTTGAGTTCTTCTAAGATGTGGTATGCGCCATTGCTCTATACCTAAGCTTTGCATTAAATTATGAGACCACTAGCTGTTTCTTGCTCTTCTAAGAAATAAGATTACTGTCAAGTAAAATGTAATAACCAGTTGTTAGTTGTCTGTACTGTCAATCCAATCTACATTAGAAAAACCTTACATGACCATAGTGCTTGTACAATAATCCTTGGCCTAGATTTTCCTTCACGTAGATGCTAATGTTGTGTTCTTCACAATAGGTGTGGTCATTGGAATGCCTTGATCTAAAAAACCAGGAGAGACATATTGATAGGCTTCAACAAGTGTCGAGAAATCATTCTATGATAGGATTTGGTTGTGAACTCCATCATACTTAAGATGAAGCCCAATTGGAATGACCCATTATATTTAGCAGTATCCCTACAGTCCCTTCATTGTACATGATGTTATCCAACATATTTATTAATATCGTTCTTCATTACTTCCATTCATTTCCTTTTCCTTGTTTAAGGTCAAAAACCTTAAAAAAATGTTTATAATTCAAAACAAGTGCTGTGTTTGGTATTCTTTCTGTTAGCCACTATCTCAAAGAACATTTTTTGAATTAATTTCTGGTCAGCTCCACATCTACCTTCTCTTTAACTGAGTGATTTGTTAAATGATCTGGGTCTTTCCTCGCCTCTAGGGTTATTTGAATCCCTGTATTTATTGTCATTTATCCCTCTCTTACTTCTTTCTGGAAATGATGACATTTGACCTATTCTAGTTACCTTTGTTTACGGTCATTCTGAATTTTGACCGTCAATTCATCACTTACAACGAAAAAAATATATGCACTGAAGCCTACAATGATTGAAAAATCACAATGCTCTTTGAAAACCAATAATTGTCACATTAGTCCCATATATTGTGCACATATATTGTAACCAATTCATTATTGTGCACATATATTTAAAATATTTATACAACATCCTTGGTGTCCTGTTCTTTCTTCGTATCAACCAAATGACATCAACCAAATGGCTGGTAGTAACTAAGTGAATGCAGTCTCCATCGCATTCTTTCTTCAAGTCGGTAGCTCCAGGATCTTTTACCATTGTACAGTGTTTTGACTCATATTTGGTTTTCTTGTAATAAATCAAGTTCATTCTTTGTCATCATAATCAAAGTTGTAGAGATTTATACGAGAAGCAACCTCAAATAGCATAGAGCTTTGGATATTTTATTACCTTTTTCTCCATTGTCTATCGAACTCACGATGTAAGGGCTTAGATCCGTGGCTTTATCACTTATTTGTCCTTTAGTAACTAAGTGAGTTGCTCAGTGTACTATTTTGAGATTATTCAAGCTCAAATTTTCTGGGAAGTTCAGTTGCATGACGTTCCTGAAGAATACTTCCTGGGACATTTAATAGCAATGAAATTCAGTCAGTTTTGGTTTACAGAGGATCATAAAAGTGGATGAATTTATAATGTACTTGAGTTTTTAGACAGTTTGTACTGCTACATCAATTACTTGTTTGCACTTAACCCCATCCATTGTTATATAGCAGGTACTAAATGTGATCATGATGCTCGATGATTTTGTGCAAAAAAAATCATGCAGATGGTGCTGACCTTTTAAGGATGTTTTCATGATTACCTTTTCCATCGTTATTTGTGTCTTGCTCAGTGTTGGAGACCTTTTTCAATTATCCATTGATGTTAGAAATAGTTGTTTTATAAATATTTTTATTATGTATATTTTTCCTTTACACTTGATGTCATGAAAAAATCAGTTATAATTAATTTCTCCACTTCGATGTAGGTACTCTAATCAGTATGTTGACAAGGATGCCCTCATATATCTCATCATGGCAAACGAGATGCTGCATGATCTTCATCCTGATATCATTACAATTGCAGAAGACGTAATTATTAACTTAGTATCTTTAATGAATACAAAATATGTTCATGCGCTGTTTTTCATCTTCACTTCCATTACAACCTGGTTGACTTTGTATGAATGAAAGAAAACTTGTCGCATATATATACATCGGCATATATATATATCTATATACATTCCTACATCAAATTATTTTCTCGTTCAGACATCAAATTAATGTGGTCAATATTGTCAACAAGTTCTTTTAGGTTGAAAACATGAATACCCTTTCCCGCATATGGTTCCTTCAACCTTCTTCCAATTAACTCTAAAGTTCGTTATCTTGAAGAATGGATTCAAAGCATCATTAGGTGCTTCAAAAAGTTCAAGAGGATCATTACTCTATCTCCAAATGTTGTCCTTGTTATGAAATTTCCTCTTCATGTACATACTTTTGGGATATGATTCTGCTTAAAATGAAGTAAAACTACTACCCTTGTGAAACCCATACTGTATATTTTCTGTGGTAAGGGACTAATTGCCTGTAGAATCCAGCAACTTTATACAAAAGGGGAACTTTTTTTGTGTCCATTCGTGAAAAGTCTGAACTCAATTTTTTTCTATCATGCTCGTCGAAAGGCCTTTAATAACCATCCTAACCCAGTTGCAACGCAATTTACATATGATTAAAATATCGTTTTCTTGCAAGAGTGGGAAAATTGTTCATTTCAAACTGTAATTTAAGATTAGAGGCAATAATAGTAAGATTCTTATGCCTTGTTGTGGTGTTAGGTTCAGAGGATGACATGATATATCCTACAGGAAATGACATGAAAGCCTGAAAGGAACTGTAGAATTTGAGTGGAGTAGCTCTATGGTTATAAGTGTTGGGAAGAGATACAGTAGGAGAACTAGAATATGGAACTTACAGCCTTACACTAGAGTCAATGTCTATAGGAAGTGTCTATTATCCAAATGGGAATGAGAAGGTGAGGCAAACGACCGCATTAGTCCCCAGTGACTTTCCAAGTCTGGGGTTCAGGCCTGAGAACGTTAGGATAATGCACAACTTCCGTCCTGTGATCAGTTTTGCTACTTTAAATGGACAAAATTCAGACAATTTTATGCGTCATTAGCTGGGGCTGTCATTATTGGATAATGTATTCTCATAAACATTTTAGTATAAGCAACTGTATTACATTTTGTACGTTCAGATTCCAAAAGGGCATTCAAAAGGATATTTTTAGAAATTCTTCATAAAATAGGTCACAGATATTGCCATTGGCATGCGTGTGTGATGTTATAGGAGTTCCAAGATTCAGATTTTATGGAGATTGCATCTGGATCCTCTCAGAAAACTTTCATGCTTATCAGCAAGAGCACTTCAATATTGTATGGGTATTTCTCGTTATTTAGTCAAAGGGAAGCCTTTGAATGCTCACACATGGATGTCCACAATATGGGAATGTTTATTTTCCACATGTTAAAGCCTAGAGGTATGAACAATGTTTCAAGTCATATTTTTATTTGTAAAGATTTAACTTTTTACGTTCTCCTCAGTCTGATGAACATATGAGATCTGGATTTACTATGCATTCTATGTAAATTCATTTCTATCCCAGGGAAGACATCTGTTAGGGATATTGAAACTCTATACTGCACTACATAGAGGATACATACTGCATTACATGTGTATAGAAGTTACATAGAGAGACTAAAATGGTGTTAAGGAATTCTTGCTTTTCTTGTGGGAAGTGTGATTTTCGAGGGGTTCATGGGAGGATCGTTGGTATAAAAAATTTTAATTTTCAAAATATGTTGTTTGGTTAGAAATCTATACCCTTAAGTCCTTTTTATTTTCTATAATTTTTGCCTAAATATTTTCCCCTGGATCAACTGACATGACATCTATTTTCTATGGTATTTGTTGTGATATTGTTTTTCATAAAATCTATTCATTCCTATGTCTGGTACGTAATTTTCATACTTGTTTTTAATGCAGGCAACCTTTTATCCTGGATTATGTGAGCCAACTAATGAAGGTGGTCTGGGATTTGATTATTTTGTAAATATGTCGGTCTCTGAGATGTGGCTCTGGTTCCTTGAGAACCTTCCTGATCAAAATTGGAGCATGAATAAGGTCACTCTTCCTTCAATTTTGATACAAAGCATTTTGGAAATTGAACTTTTCAATCAGTTGAATATTATTTCTCTGGACTTGCCATTATTTTTTCAAGGATAGGGACCCCACCTGATAGATTGGGATTGGGGGTAGAGGATCATATGCCAATTGACATTACGAGTTCAACTGCATGTCAAGCATACTTCAGAGCCCAAGAAAAATAAGTGGGTTGAAGATTTACAGCCTCAGGGTTGGATGTCCTCTTCTATGCTTTTCTTCTTACCATGCTTGTGAAGATTTAGTCTTCTTTCCCATAGTTTCCATATTTCATTGTCTCAGGAGGAACAAGGGTGAGATTTGGATTAGATGCGAAGAAAGTTGCAATTAGAGAAACATGAGCTGTCTTGAATTGTAACAGGAGGAACAAGGGTGAGATTTTTCTCACTCATGCCAAAAATGGCCCCCTTGAAGCCCATCCCATTTTAATCGACAGTCCATTCCCTGCTCTTCACTGAGCTTTCCTCTCATGAAAGAGATGAAAATACAAAAGTCCCTGTCCAACCTGATGAAAATGCATTCAATTTGGTTTTCTAGGCATTGATATGAATCAATGTCTGGAATGACCTTGAATTCCTGTCATCATCATACAAGGTGAAATCATCAAAGCCGTCTCCTTTTCAAATAATGATGAATGTGTACGTAAGGTGGACTTTATGGTTCAAGAAGCAACTTTGCCTCCACTTAACCATAGTTTGCTGTGTAAATGTTAATCATCCCATACTAAAAATTAATCTAGGTTTTCGCATAATTTTTAGCAGTCCCATTGTTAGTGATCTGCTGTTAGAAGGTAGTGGTATTTTATTGCTTTATTACAGAAATTTTATGCTTTTTCCTCCCTGAGGCCAAGCGCTATTCCTAGTATATGGAGTGTACAATTTGTAGCATCCAACTGTATTTGTAGAACTCCTTTCATAACAGTGAATCTTGTATTGCGCATTCTACGTATATGAGTAGGTATGTTCTCAATATCCTGGGGATTTGTTATGATCATACTTTTTTTTCATCTCCAGTTTTTTTGCACATTTCAATATGCTTATAATATTATGGAATGACTGCAGATTGTGGCTGGGCTTGTAGGTAACGAACAAAACCTGCAGAAGATGCTCATATATGTTGAAAATCACAATCAGGTTAAATTCAAAATCCTACTTCATAATAGGTATTTGTGTTTCGTGTATTCTACAAGATAGTCCTGTCCAGATATCAAATATGCATGTAAATTATTGAAAAAAAATCTTCAATAACTGTTGCCCTGATGATTATTCTAGGCACTTAGTTGAGTTTTTGTTTAAGTATTTAGACTGCACTTTATGAGCTGTTTTAAATTTGTGCCTGGCTATTGGGATTAAAAGTTTAGGGGTATGTGGTTGCATCTATTTGAGGTTGAACCTATTGAAGTTCTTAATCATACCGTTTGTTGGTTGGGGGTGGGGGGGGGAGGTGGAAGTGATATTGTAAGAGTCTGATGACATTTTGGGAAAGATCATGTAGGATTCCCTCCCTATTTAAGGGGGGATAAAGGTCAATGAATCTTCAGGCAGCTGCCCAACACGATGTAGAATGCTACGAGTCTACTAGAGATGACACTGCAGGATTTGGGAAAGCTCCAGGGGGAAAGAAGGTTGTTGCTTCCTCTGGACTGTGGACATATATGTGCATTTTGAGTTGGAAAGTAGTTGCTTGGGGATTTACACCCAGATTCTACTCTTTCAACAATGCTCTATTTTTTGTTGCAACTCTCCTTTTTTCGGTCCACATAGCATAGAAAATGATCATGGCAGGGCCTAAATGAGCTATTAGGTATGAAAGAAATATAGATGGGAGAAACAAATGTACTTTAGTAAAGTTTACTAGAGTTTAGTAGACTTTTTTTTTCCCTAGCTTAGATGGGAAGACTGTTTAACAGAGTAACAACTTGGAAGTTGTGGCAGCACGGTGTGCTGAGGTGTGTGGTTGATTGGGGAAATATATGGCTAGAAAAGAAATAACTCCACTGTCGCTGCCCCTCTGATCACATGAGTAGATGTGATAGGATAAATCGAAGTCTCTCTCTGGCTCGATATATATATATATATATTATATATACATATATATACACATATCTGGCTCGATATATATATATGCCAATCACTAATACGTCACCTTCAAGTGTGCATGGCTAGTGGGCCCCTGTGCCTAATGAGAAGGCCAACACCATGTATTTAAGCAGTTCATCGAAACCTTTGAAATAATTGAGGTTAATACTTGATGATGCATGCATTCGGTCCCCTACTTTCCTTGTGACAAAATGAAGAGTGACTCTTTAAAGGACTTTAACAGTTGGTACTACTTGTGAACATCTTTTTATCTATTTTTTATATAGTACAACAAGAGTCATAAAACATTTATGCACTATGAACTGATGGAAATTTCAGACTGTAGTACTAGAAGCATGTGAACTCATGTTCCAAGAAGATTTATTTTATTTATTTATTGATTTCGTGGTTTTTTTTATTTGAATCTTTTCTTGTAGTCTATCTCTGGAGGAAAGTCATTTGCAGAGATATTGCTAACCAGAAATCATGAAGTTCACACTGATTCTGATAATGCATTGGCTAGAAGAAGATCGTCATTGTATAAGGTATGTCAGGATCCTAGCAATCCAAGAATCCGCTAACCTTATTCCACATTGTGATATTTGGTTTTACTTTCTGGTTGGTGGATGGCAATCCACTATTAGAAAATGCATGCATCAAGTATTGTGTTTAGGGTATGCTCCCTAACAACTAACACGTGAAGATCCAGAAAGAGCCCCTACAAAGGCCCTATCTTGGTGTGTCGTAGAAATATAACCAGAAGAAATAAAATTCTTGGGGGAAAACAAATTTTCTTAATCATTTGTGAGCCAGGTGAGTCTGTGTAATTTCCAGGTTAACTCTGAAAGCTAAATTTTCTCCCTTTAGCCAAATGCGATATGTTTATCTCCTTGGGTTGATTCCTTAGGATTCTGTGTTTATCTCCTTGGATTGTAGTATTAATGAACACCTTTCTTCTTCAGATCTTGGGGCTCGTGCGTAGCCTACCACCCCATTATGGAAACCATAAAAGTTGTGCCACTGTAATTACAAAGATCTTGTGAGCATATTTTGACCATGGTATTTTTATTGGATATTCTTTTCCCAAAGGAACTAGGCCAATGAAGATCTTGATGTGTATTTATATCTTGACTGAACGTGCTCCTCCTTTCTTCAGCAGATAATATCTCCTTTAGTTTAATAAGGACTTTTCCCATTTCTGTTGGGCCCATTCCAGATAGGAACTTCTAATTCCTTCAGTCATCAATGTGGTGCTCAATAATTTGGAAAAAAATATATTTATTGCAGATATGCGAAGCAAAACTTTACTACAGGCTAGGATCAGCATTTCCCTTGCCTGACCTATACCCTTTTTTCATGTGTTAATAGACCTGTCATAGTCCTAATCATTCCCTCAGATAAAGGGATACCTAAAATATTGGATAAATAACTATGTTTTTTATTGACCAAGAGCTTAGTTGTTTTTCTATCTCGTTACAATAAATCTCCGTTCTCACCTTTTCTTACTTATATAATGTTGTTGACTCCAGTGTCATATCCATCTCCATTTAAAGTAATATTTTTTTTCTGGATTCCATTTTATCTACATTTTGACACGCTGTTCTGGGCTTCTGCCTTAGCAGTACTATGATGCTGGTAGATTTTAGATCTCTTTTTTTTTAGCTCTGGAAGAAATTTAAGGGTCTCAGTGGTGATCCAGCGTATCCACTGCTGTTGTAGTCCAAAAAAGAAAGAGAAATTTATGGCAGATCGCTTTGCCATACATTTTAAAGTCTGATTTACAGATGATGGCTTTTTTCCCCTCTTTTCATGTTGAATCTCCGTAGGGAAACTAAAAATCCATGTGACATAAAGGCTGTGTGATTATTGTCTACAGACTTAAACTAGTTCGTTTCCACTCATTTCCCAATCCTTATTAATATCTAATAGCGACAGTTTAAGAATGCTGACGGGTCTGTAATCTTAAATTTGATCAGCTCCTTTCTTTGGAGAGGGACACATTAATAAAATTAAAGTTTATCATGGGCAATGGATTTCCCGAAAATAAAACCCACAGAGAACGTATCTGAGTCATAAGGTTTGCTCACGTCTGAATTGAGAGGAAAAAAAATGGAGTATGAAAGCACAAAATTAAGAACTAAATCTTAGAATGATTTTAACTTTTCACTGATATGATTATGGTAATGCAACTTAAGCATATTATTAGGGTCACAAAAATGATATTTAGGCATACTGTGCCAGAAAAGCAAAACAAAATGATAATAAGAGTTGAGGAGTGTCCTAATTTTTTAGTGTTTGTTTAAATAGAAGATACCCACTTCCAATGAAAAAGTGCACCCTCCTAATATATATGTTTTGAGTTATTTTGAGGATGATCCCTAAAGTATAAGCTGTCAGGCCCCTCTTGTTCTTCTTCTTGGAACATCAGTGACGACCAAAAATGATTTCAACGATCATGAAAGCATGTCGTCATCAGTTAAGTACATTTGTTGAACATTCAACTTGAATGATGTCTTAATTTCTGAATTAGCGCTTAAAAGTTGTAAAAATCGTATATATATGTATTTATAAATTTTAGTCCATGTATCCAAATATATTCATAATATGGTCGAGCTTGGAATTTCTAATTTCCACTGTGGAGGATTAATTTTAGTCCGTGATGCAGATGATTGTGCAGGCCAATAGCTTGATAAATTCTGAGGGCCAATGTTTAAGAAGAAAGTTAATGTGTAAGACAGATATAATGGAAATACCGTTTTTGAACATTGGACTTGAATGATAGTTAAATTTCGCTTTAGATCTGAAAACCAGAGGTATAAATCCATTTCTTTTTAGACAAATTGTCCATGTTTTAATACAACTCTGCTTCGTAATTGGAATATGTTGTAGAGGATTGACATTAGGCTGTGATGTAGAGGATTGTTGGCCTAGGATCATTTTAAATAGATAAACCAAGGCTAAATCAGTGATGTGTAACACATCCCAATAGATTGAGTACAGTTAAAAAGTACCTTGATAAGTTATTTTATCTGACTGGTTGGTCTTGATTAGTCATCATATCTGAGTGTTTTTGGTCATTTCGCCAGGGTTTGAAGGGGATTATGTCCTCATCATCACAAACTTTGGCATCTTTTATTTTGTTACCAGCACAACTCTTGTCTTCTCCTTTTGTGGAGTTTTATGCCCTTTGAGCTTTTTGCCCACCTGTTTAGATTTATTCGCCATTCTTCTAGCTAAGGTTTCATGCCATGCATTTTAAAGATTCAAGGAGTGTATCTTAAGGATTCTTGTGTACTCTTCATTTCAGCTGATGAAACTTATAACATTCACCATCTGTGGACGTGCTTACTTAAACTTCATGGGTAATGAATTTGGACATCCAAATGTAAGATTATTAACTATTTATATTATTTGTGGAAGCTTACATTTGTCTCCTTTCTCCTTCAAAAATTTCAACCTTTCCTTTCGTTGCTTGTTAATGACATTTATGAGTCTTTTTTTTTTTCTAGAGGGTCGAGTTCCCAATGTCAACGAACAACGACTCATTTTCATTGGCTAATCGCCAGTGGGATTTACTGAAAGATGAAGGACTTCATAGCAATATTTTCAATTTTGATAAGGTCTGAATTCTATCATGCTTGTTCTTGTAAGACTGTATTGGCATTTTAATGATTAAATGATCTAAAAAAATTATGTACTCTACTCAACTAGGCTTGCTTATAATTGTCATTGACCCTATTATGCGTTGATTTCCATAAACGCCTGTGAAATGGCTTCTTAATTCCTTTAAGGGTCTTATGACGTTCTTGTTATTGTCTATCTTTATTCTGTTCATTTCTGTGGGGTACAAGCCATAATTTTCCCTTCATTGCCATTCTAATTGTAATAAATCTAGTAAGCTATTTCAACACTTTTTTTCCAAGCGATTCGATGATGGGAATGCATATACTCTTCCACTATGTTGTATGCTACCTTGACTGTGCAAACCATTGGAGATAGCAACACATCTTTCCCACCTTAGGATGCACAGTAAGAAGCAGTTCATACAGCCAGAAGGTGCAGTAACCCTCTTCCAGGTTTCATGATAGCCTTTGCTGCCGACTGTGTCTTCTTCTTAACAGTTCCTTATAACAATCCTACGCATGCCTTCTATATCTCATGGAGCTTAATGATATAGTCTCCACATATAGGCTCAACCCAAAGTAGAATATGCTTCAGCCAATCAGTTCCTGAAATCACATATCTTCTATGCACATTGTGATATCCTTCCTGGTGTTTATCTTCAGAAACATAGGATTTTTCGTGGAAACTAATTCAGTGCCGAAGCATATTGTTCTTAGATGATCAGGGCAGTAACTGATTTATTCAGCGGAGTCGACTATCTCCTGCACATTTGATTTTGATTGATGCCACAACGCTTGCTGTCGTGTATCACTTTCTCAACTCTTATTGTTGCTGCTTGTTTTGACGATCACGTGTTCCTTCTGTTCTCCCCGCATATTAGCATACTGCAGACAGATAGTGTGGATAGGAATGCTGCATCAAGATGAAATAGAAAAATCTATCTTCTTGAAAGGTGTATCAAATCATATCAGTTTTCGATGGTCATGTTCTACAGGTTATTACAGGGTATAGAATAGTAAAGGGAGCTGATGCAAAATTGGCATCAATAGGGAGAGAGAAGGAAGAAATAAGAGAAACAACTAAAGTTGTGGGGAACACGGCTACGGGTGGTTCTCAGGTTACGTTGAAAATGGACTCTGACATATTGGAGTGGATATATGCTTACATACAACCCTTAAGAATGCGTGAACAGAACAACGTTAGTGACGTCCTGTATGTGCATATCTTAGTGTTTAATATTTAAGTTTTTATGCATTAACAGATTTGGTCATAGTTCTTTCATTAATTTTTCTATTCGAAAATTTTCTTTTGAAGCTTTTAGGGTGATATTTTTGAGGAATTTCAGGAGTTAGATAATGTTCCATAGTAGTTTCTGCTTATTATGGAGGATCCTTAATTCAACTTCTTTCTTTTTAGGATATGATGAAGTTGGATGAACATGAAAAAATACTTTCCAGAGGTTCTCCTAGCATTCACCATGTAAATGACTCTACCATGGTAAGGACATTTAAACGCTCATCTGTTACCAGTGTTCTTCTTCGTTATCTATTTTTTCGGATATTTGATGGATTCTTGAAAACCCTGCCTGTCAATGGCATTCTCCTTTATCAGATTTTTTTTTATGTTCAACGGTACCTTGGGTTGTGCTATAAGGTTTATAAATGAGATTGAAAATGGATAGAAACGGTTGAAATTCCCTACTGAAGTACAAGCTAAGCAATTATTCTCTAGATAGGCAGATTCAGTATGCTTCTTGCCTAGAAAAAGCTCTACATATTCGAAGATTCCTTCAATTTCTAATATTATCATCTTCAACAGATTTGATCGTTCCACTCTTATTCCATCAATTCAATTTTAAGTGAGTGCTTGATTTTTCTTTTGTACCTGAGTCATTTCGATTCTGTTGCTGACAAAACTTCTCTATTGCCTTGTATTTGCGCGTCGTAAATGACTTCCACCCCACGAAAATTCCATGTACTCCATTTAGTTATCATATTTCTTAAGCTTCATCACTTAGAAGGGTAGAAACAAAGCTATTCGCCAGTGGCCTAGAATTTGTTTTCTGGTTCAACCATGACTGATGAAAGTAATTGGACATATATGACTCTTCTGCATATTTTGATCACACCATGTTTTAAGATATTAGCAGACAAGGCCTTGGAGATCAAACTATGGGGAAGAATTTCACCCATAAGTTACTGCTTATAATGTGGGGGTATTATGCTTGGTGGCCGGTTGATGGAGGGAATGTGGGCTAAAAATCCGAAATTTTCTTCAGAAGGTTCCGATCAGAGGACAATCTGAGAGTCTTTTTTTCTTTCATATTCTCAAAACGAGTTGATCATCGCTTTGTTTATTATGGGATTCCAAAGCCTCTTTTGGCAAATACTTTTCTGAATTAGCATAATACAACCCTCTATTTCTGTGCTTAGCAGATGTCTGCCATGGAGTCAATAACTCATGGAGTCTTCAAAATAGAGTGATTTTATTTTATAAAATGCCCACGAGATGTTTTCCCTGAATAACATGAGAAATTTTTCCGCACCCTTATTCGTTTTGTGATTAAATATAAAAACTGGTTTTCTCATGCAGACAACGAACGGCAAACAATACATTGTTATTTAGGTACCCGGAAAATCTGGCCCTTTCCGCCTTAATCCATGGAGCCACCTTGGAATCCCGATTATTTTCCTCCGGTTTTCATTCAAGCATTTGTTTTATTGGATTTTTAAATGCAAGCATCGTCATTATGCCAAAATCGTCATTTGTCTAAATAATTATCCAGCTGTTCTAGTTCATGAACGTTCACCACACTGTTCATTTCATACCTTCAACCAAAATTTTCTCTGTAGAAACGTGTGATAATTTAGATCTACCTGTGGATCATTTACATCTACCTGTGGACAATTTTCTACTTTTCTCTGTAGAAGTGTCTTGATGCTATTATTAAAAATTTCTAAATATCCATATGGATGGTACACTGATGTTGATTTTTTTTTGGTGAAATATCACAGGTCATCTGCTACGAAAGAGGACAATTTCTGTTTGTATTTAATTTCCATCCTGAGAATTCATATGAAAATTATATCGTAGGAGTAGAAGAAGGTGGGGAGTACCAAGTAAGACTCTAGTATCAATCTGTTGAAATTTTCTTTGCTTATAGATCTCTTTCTGCTGTTCTAATTAAATGTATTTTTATTGCAATGGTCATTGGGTTCTTAATACACCCATCACACTCGTCTTTTATTATTTTCCCAGTACAGATGTTTTGTCATAAGGAATACGGGAAAATCAAACAAATAAATTACAAAGCCGTCTGTTAAAGCCAGAAAAATTAATTAAATGCATTTGAGTCTTCATGGATCGTGATGCAAAGCTTCAACATGTGAAATGATCTAGAACTCAAATCATGAAGAACTTAGAATCTCTGTCTTTTGTTGTTTTTATCTAGGTTTTTTTCTCACAATCACATCCTATTTATATGCTTTGAGGGAGAGTTTGGTCGTGGCTTGAGAAAACACCAGGTTGATAAGGAAATCTTGAATCTCTTTATGTTCCACAACTTTTTCCGGCTTCTTGCACTGCCAGTGTCAGCACTTGATGAAGCATCGAAGCATCATACTGTTCTGTAGATAGATACCTTTGGTCAACGCCTGAGTTGACCTTTTTTTTCCTTCTGGAGTCATTATGTCAATATGATTGGTGACTGTTGGCAGTGAGTCACTGTAATTTGACACTTCCATTTTGGATTGAATCTCTACACATAAGTTAGCTTATTTTTTGCATAAGTTGGCCTACTACTTTCAGTGATAAACCCTTATCACATCATCATTTTAGAACATTTCGGACTTCTAAAACCTGCCACTTGGTGTTTAATCAGCCAGTTATTCAAAAATTTGTTCTCTAGACCTTGACCTGGTTTGGATGGCTAGAGGATGGATATCAATGGATATACTGTTTACTGGTGAAAACTGATTTAAATTATTATTCGACAGGTGATATTGAACAGTGATGAAGTTCAGTACGGTGGAGGTGGACAGCTCAAGGATTTCCAGTACACTCAGAGAACTAGTAATAAAAGGTGCTGCCAAGCTTCATAAATCTATACTTCCCTCATGAAACTTTACCCTAAAAGGTTTCACAAATTGACTGAGATTTTTTCTAATGATGCCTGGTACAATGTTGGCCCTATTCAACGTATTTTTCAGGGCAGATGGACTCCGTAACTCTCTGGCGCTGTCGATGCCTGCCCGAAGTGCTCAGGTATGCTATATCTTTGAATCTCTCCATAGAGTCAGTCAGTCGCCCATGGCCATTCCATTCCATTCCATTCCATTCCATTCCATTCCATTCCATTCCATTCCATTTTTAGATAATCTTCAAAGAAACCTCATTCTCTCACGGCTTTCAGGTCTACAAGCTGACTAGAATATTAAGAGTATGAACCATCCCAGGGCTAAGAAGAGTGATATATGGAGATTTAGAGCATCAGGGGTCCCTGGAGATGACTCCCTTACCACTTTTTCAAAAGGGATTCAGAGAAGTTCTCCAGGTACCAACCAATGCACCCAATGAAAATTCCGATCAGAAAAACATCGACAAGTAAGTTTCCAATGCTCCTATCCATTGAAATATGGAGCCCCCGGCGTTCTGGACATCACTTTTCTGGACTGGCCTTGTGCCATCAAGACTTGGAGACATCGATCGAGCACTTATCACTCGCTCCAAGTTTGATTTTCTTGAAGGGACGAGCTTAACAAGATCAAAAATGGTGAAGTAGAACTGCGGTTGTGCAAAGGCTTGAGGTATATATCTGGCTGATTCATTGAGCCAGCTGTTCTCTTAAATGGTTAATAGAAAATAATGTGGTTGTATGAAGCATACTGAGTGTGAGCCGTAGTTTTCTACTCTTGTTCCATATACTGGTGATAGTTTTCTACTTTTGTGTCCATTTTTTTTTTTTAATATCACGTTGAAAAGTCAATGGTGACAACCCCACTATTATGTTCGTATATTTGTGAATATTTAGTATGATGTGTTCTATACTCCTCTCTCCTCTCTGTATATGAATTGATGAGGAGAGGCTCACAAAGGAAGCCCCAACCCCACCAATTTCGTAATCCCTTTGTTTTCAACAGTAACAAGCATAGTGAAAATGTGAGTTTCTCTTCCCCTTATTATTCGGAGAACATTAATTTAAAGGAAACTAATCTCTGATCCTCCTAAATAGAAGTATTCTTTTCAAGTTGTGATGCATTAACGTCTCCATGCATGAATTTATGCCAAACGTTAATTGGAGTATGTTTTAACCGAGTTTAATCTTTAATTAACGTAAATTAAGTATTCCATTCTCTTCTTTTTTTGCAAAATTAACAATGCATTAAAGATAAATGTTTTAGTAAATCCCTTTCGTATTAATTGGTCTACACATTAGATAAGTTGGGGAACATTAGTAAATCTCTACTTGGGTCAACAATTTTTCCCTTTTTTCTGGGATTAAAGATGAATATTTGATCTTTCTCAATCTGTAGATTGAGCTTCATATCACGATGCATAAAATCTCCATGCAATTTCTCCCTGCAGTATGAACTCGTGTTAGTTTGTAGATCAATTGGCATATGGTTAACTGAGTTTTAACTTTGATTCTTTAAAAAATTAGCTTTTATGTTTTAATCTGATCAAGTTTCAAGCATATCATAAGATAGTTATTTTGATCTTATTTTCTTTAAGCGCATTTAAGGAATGATGAAGATATAGTCCCTCTCAAGAGCTATTATGCTTCAAAAAAATGAATCCTCTGAGTTGGAATTTATGCTTGATATTACAATGACTAGGTAAGACAAAATCTTAGTGAAGTTGAGCATGACCCAGTTCGATTTTAATCAAGTATTGATATTATTCTTTCATGGGTTTAGTCTTAACAGATGATCATTGTCCTAAAACATTTGCCAATAATTAAGCCCTCCCAAAGTCTAATTGTAGTAAAGAGGATAATCGTGTAACGTCATGAGCTTCAATGATACAAATATAGAATGGTTAGTGACTCTATATTTTTACATCATTGGAAATGATGGTATGTATGCCTTGGCATTTTCCATATTCATTAGAATGGTGCATGTACGTCTTATTTTTCATTTATGGTAATTTTTCCAAATATATTCCATTTTTCATTAATCTATTTAATAATACTATTTGCCATAATATTAATGCTTCTTTATTACTACAAGTCGTGAACACGATGTATATGACATTGTGAATTTGCATCATCTATATATACCCTATCATTAAAGTCAAACGTTTTATGATATTATTTATGATAATAATTACCCTCCATATGATTTATCTTCTAAACTGAAAATGGTCAAAATCTCTATAATCTCATATAATTAAGAAGCACTACAAACTTTTGCTAACTAGAACGTGAAATGCAAGGCTAGTTCTTCTAAATGCCTTTGCAATAGGTACCTAAAATCCAAATATGTTGAAGAATAAAAGGCACCATTAAACAAGAATAATTCTACAAGGTTATCAAAAATCATTCAGAGGCACAAACTTTCCCAGGGTGGGAGTGAAAGATTATCAAGCATCCAATGACTATTTTCAAGCTTTTCTTCAAAATATGGCTACATTGGGAGTTGCTAAACATCTTTGAATTTATGTTATATTTGGCAAATCAACACCCCAACCTTTCAACGTTATGTTCTTTCTGATTTATTTATGTATTAAAAACTTTCTAATTTCTGCCTTTTGCCATTTAGTTTCTTGGAGTGCAAAGTCAAAACTACTGAGCAAAAGGGGATGGGTAGGGTGACGTTGACCTTGAAATCTAGCCCACAGGTAATAAGTAGGACCATGTTCTCATCTAGGGTTTAGGCTATACCTTGAAGGAGTTTGACTATCAAAATGCCATTTGAAATATGACAGGTGAAGCCAGGTGGAGCCCAATGCAGTGGGCCCATTTTGGGCACCCCCGTATAAACACTCATTGGGACTCAACTCCATTCATCCCTATTCCTTAGTACAAGTCATTGAAACTGGTAGAAAGAAGAAAATAAAATAAGATCACATAGCAACACAACTTATGAATCATGTTTACATCATCCACATAGTCATACGAATAAACCAGCTCCACAGATGGGTAGATAGTGGGGGCGACTGAAGGAAGAGGGGCTGCAGCTGGACCAATGAGGGGAAGGCATGACCAATAATTGCATGGGGGAATGTATACCCAGGCTCGATAGGTTTTGAGCAGGGCCTCTACATCTCCACAGACCAGAAAAGTGGGGAATGTCAATCAGAAAGTGACCTGATCAGCGTCACTATCAAGAGAGAGAGGGAGAGACGGAGAGAGAGAGAGAGAGAGAGAGAGAGAGGTCCATTCAGTGGCGCCACTGCATTGAATTTAAATCTAATCAAGTACCATAATTACAAGATAAGTTCGATATATATTCATCAATAGCAGATAAGGTCTCCGCCACATATTACCCATCCCCCATGATGCATTTTACAGCTTCCAGTCACACAAAATATTAAAAAAAAAAAAAAAAAAGAAGCCGTCAAAACCAGCGAAGTTATTGAATCAATAATGACCACAGGAAGGTTGGGTGTGCCCAGCAAGACTGTTATCTATTCAAATTTTTTGATCAAAGACAGGTCGCGCAGCATTTTATCGATTGCATCATCATCTTGAAACCGCCCTTTGGACTGTAAAAATAAATAAGTAAATAAAATTATAAATTAAATAAAACTAACCACCAAGTATGCATGTTTCACATTTTGCACAGAAACCCAGAAATTACAAACTCTTGATCTGATGAACAGAGCCACAAAATATATTTTATGGAAAGACTCCTCAGTCGCAAAGCAGACATCCCCTCTATTACTTACAAGACCAAAAAATGATATATTTTTTTGAATAATATTCTGAGGATGGCTCACAGGGCATGCCAACAGGTCGAGTAAGCCAGGAAGGCCAGGCTTGAGCCTTAAAATCAACCCCAAAGAGAGAGAAAGTCAAAGGCCAGTGTCTGGTCGAGTCCTGTGCATTTTTTTCCTTAACACTACTGACAAGATGAAGGTTTATCCCATACAAAGTTCTATTAGCTTCCAATTAATTACCCATTTCCAATATCACACCAACAAACCGGAAAGTACGATAACTAGAAAAGAAGTACATTTAACTGGCAAGATCAGCGACACAGGCACATGGAAGAGATTGTCGAGTCAAAGGTTACATATCTATAAAAATATGATTAAACTAATGCGAGTGGCTGCTATGTGTTTCTAAATCGGAATGTACCTTGATGGTGGGAACCATTGCAATAGCTTCCTCAACAGTTTCTGGGCAAAGATTGCCTAGCACACAGAGCTGAAAAGTGAATGCACATCAGTTAGTAACTTTACAAAATTCAAGATTTTTCACTTTCATGTAAGCACATGCATACCTCAAATTCAGCCAACCGGTTCCTACTGAGAACTCTGAACAAATGTGTTAAGAATCACACAAAAATGCCACATAACCTCCACATATCAAAGTAGAACAGTCATGTCTAATAAACGTCTACGATCATGATCGTTCACTTTTTTGGCATTAAAATGGATTCCGATACTAAAATGACCTTTTTTAACTTGCCATGAGGGAATACACGTTATTTTTATGGAAATTATTTTCCTCACACCTGTTCGTGCACCGTCTTTGAATGAATAGGATTGCATCTCCCTCTTGTGCTAGTGTAATCAAAAGGTTATTTAAGAACAAATGCGTCCCAGAAAACAATGGAAAAAAATCGACAATTTTGGCTCAGCTCATGGACGAGACGAATCTTTTCTCATTATGTTCCTATAGAGAAAAAACGAAAGCATTATCATCTTTAGTTTTAGTTAAACAAAAAAGACACGAGTTGTACAGCGCTTCAGATTATCAGGTTATTCTATTAGTCATCCCATATAAAGTCTCTAAAAAACGGATACTCTCGAACTTGCTTCACGGTCTCTGAGTTTTTGTACCGACTGAAGCGCTTCACATACTGCAGTGACTTTTCAAACACCCTATCATAAAAAGAGGAGATCATTAGATCCCCCTAATTTGTTCAAATGGTTTTAGAAACTTTGTTGAGCGACACTTACTGAGAAGTCTGGCTCAGAGGGTCATCAGACATATTTTGAAGTTGCTCATACTTTTTGTCAAGAATTAGTGACACTTCACAGTTCATCAGACACTTGGCCTTCAAAAACTCTGTGAGTAAAATAGAGAAAATACAAGCGCTCTTTTAGGTAAGTAAAACATGTAAGAACAATGAAAGAGCAGTTACAGAGGGGAAAGAAACGTGAATATTGTATCAAAAAGACATAGAGGTATGAAAAAAGCTATTGTGACCAGATCCATAGGAATGATATCATAAATCCCATAAGGGTGAGTTCATGAAGGACGAAATTCCAGACAAGAGAAGAGCTTGTCCCTTTCTTCTTCTTCACACTTTCAGATCATTAATAAAAATAATTTTTCATCATTCTTTTACGAGTCTGTCACTGATATTCGCAATACATAATGGAAAAAAAGAACCTGAAGCCATTTTTTTTGTGCGACAGTAACAATTTACAGTGTAGTATGGGCACAAAGTTATCATAGCACACAACTGTAGGGTCTCCTTTACGAAACCACAGACAAGGAAAATAATGGTGACTACCACGGAATTCGACAATCCTATCACCTTGAATTTTTTTATTTTGTATCCATTATCCTTCTCTTATGATTTTGATAAAGCGTAAATGTTCAAGACGCAATTTATCCGAGACTAGGAGTCTTTCTAGCAAACCCACCGAGTTTAGTAAAAATGATTACAATCTAAATCAGCTCAAGACTGACCAATTCAGCATCTCAAATTAACTGATCAAAGAGCCACCTGAAAAACTTGAGGCTCTAACAATATCTGGCAACCATAAAGCTCTAAATTCTGCATCTCAGAACCTTGAGGCCCTAAATTTACCACGCCACAACCTCGAGGCTCTAAATTACCCGTCTCAAAGAAAATGCATACCCGATTTCATAAATGGAACAACACGCGAGGGAAAAATAAAAAATAAAAAATATGCAAGACAAATAGTAACCGACCTTCACCAATCTTGAGTTCTGCGGCATTTTCTTCCTCCTCAGCAGACATTTCTAATCTATAACAGGGCAGTTACGAGTCTATGGTAGGGGGAGGAGTTATGCTACCTGAAAAGAGTAAAAAGAATGATCAGCTCACCATGAGGACTCCATACTGCACTCCAGGGAGAGGAGTCGATAAAAAAAGCACTCCGATACATGGAAAGGGTGCGAAAATGGGATCAATAAAAATCTTCTTGTCTAGTAAAAAAAAAAGGAACCCTAGCGACAGAAGAAATCAGGACATAGAGGAGAACAGCATCGGTCGGCTGGAGCGAGAGGAGCCTTCTTCCCCCTGACGGCAGAGGGGCCAACAGCCGGCTAACGGACGCCAGCAGCGAACTTTCCAGTAGAGAAACCCTCAGACCAGAGCCAGCGGCAAGATGGCCGGAGTCAACATCGCTGGCGGTGAAATCTCCTGTAGACCGACGGTGCGGTGGTGGTGGCGCGGGGCTTTATAGCTGACAGGGGAGGGGAGCCCTTCTCCGGTTTTGTCGAAGGACCTCGACTGGGCTCAAAGCCCACTTTCAAGACTAACAGGGCCAATTACAGTCCAATAAAGGCCAAAAATGGCCACTCGAGCTCGCATCTGCCACCTGTCCCCCACTTTCAGAACAGGATCTCATTTTAAAATTTTTTTTTTAAATAATTCCCCTATATACCCAAAAAATTTCCATGAATAGACTCTTATCCTAGATAACTCAAAGCTATGAGGACCCTCGATTGTTTTCAGATAAAATTGTCCTGCGAATTTTTATTGATTTTTTTTCTGTGTAAATTGGTATTTTTTATTAATTAAAAATAATTAATTGGCAGTAATTTCTGACTACGGCCCTTGATTGGCTCCTTATAATCGAGAGAGAGAGAGAGAGAGAGGGGGTTATCTCTTTATTTAAATAAATGTGATGCCTTTTGGGACAAAAGCAAAGATGATGAGGCCTTTTGGGAGCTACGAGGCGACGTGGAAAGATGATGAGTTGTCCATAATTAGGCTAAGTTATAAGGATCTCGAAGAAAAAATCCATTTTTTTATTGACTTGGAATATTCATTATGTCACTTTTGAGAAATGACCTCCGCACTCCGTGGTCAAGAGAGCGACGGTGTCTTCGCATCGGAGGGGAGGCCTCCTTTTGCGAAGAAGAAAATGAGACCCGATGTCTATAAACATAATTTTATCACTTTAAGGGGGCTTTGAGTACTTTTTGGGGGTATAAGTCCAAAACTATTGACATGTATGTGTTTCTGAAACTGAAAATCGGAACTTGCGAACCCCCGGAATTGAACTCCGTAGGCCTCTCTCTCTCATTCTGTCTTCTCTCTCTCTCTCTCTCTCTCTCTCTTTCTTTCTCTCTCTTCTTCGTCAGCATCGACCCTGTCTACAGCGCGCGACGTCTACCATGCCGGGTACAGCGTCTGGTGCGTCGCCTCTGCCGTCCGAGCCTCGCTCTGTCGCCATCCGTCGCAGGTATCTCCGTCTGGTTGAGGAGCGTCGGCAGATCTGAGCGGCTGCCGGCTGGTTGAAGGCGTTAGCCATTACAGGGGGGCAGCGGCGGACTCACTCTCCAATAAGGTACCCACGTTGGAGTTTGTATCCTCTCTTTGGGCTTGTTCCACGGCAAATTTTAGAAGGTTTCCCCGCGATTCTGGAACGAACCGAATTGTCTCACGTCTGTTCACGATTCGATGCAACTATGCTACTATGCCCTGGGTTCTCACAAGTCATCGGTTGTTTACTGCTAATTTCTCCGTGTCCTTTTGTTATGACGTACGTAACTACGGGGGAATTCTGACCCGTGTCTTGTTTTTACCTTGTACATGACAGCTGCTCCAGATTTATTCAAACATTTGGATCAACAAATGAGCTCCGATAAGAGCGGAGGAATTTTTGACGGGCTGCCTATTTCGGCAGAGAAGTCCGTAAGTATCTAATGCACCTTTTCTGTAATCGTTTTCTCTGATTTACATACAATTTATGTCTAGCTAGTGGGTTTAATTTTAAATATTTTGGGCATTTTATTTTATTTTAACAGCAAGCCATGTGCTAGCATCAACTTTCATTTTTTGACATGAAAAAGGAAATTCAATGTCCCCATTCTTACATTAATGTTTTCAACATGACTGGGATATTTCCCAGATCATGGAAAAGATGATCTCTATCTTCCCTTCATTCCAGTCCCACAGATATTTGTATAAGTTTCGGTTTTAGTAGTTTGAGAAAAAAGTAAAGCTATTCTGTCATTTAAAAAAAATTTATGATTCCTTGATGATAAAAAGCCAAGCCACATGCCTAGAATTCCTTTGCACAAATACAAATGTGGTTCTTGCAATATCTTTAATGAGATATCTTTTGCATGAGTAGTGATGTCCTGCGATGATAAGCTACAGACCTCTGTGGCAATGACGTCAACATATTGTGTGGGCCCAAATAGAGGGTAAATTTTTCAATGAAAGGTCAGGGCTCACACCACCTGTCTTCTAGAACTAGGTCATTTATCCATTGTATATACAAATGACTACATTGTCCATTATGAAATATGCCGCATTTGTCACATCACCTCATGTTTTTTCCCATTTCTGGGAAACTATTGCTGGCATTCGTGGATTTATAATGATTAAAAAAAAAGAATTTCAGTCATATAGTCAAGTTTTTCAAGTTTCCCACCTCTAATATGCTGACTGTTCTTGTCTTTCAATGACAATCTCCGAGTAGCTGTCCTATCTGATTAGAATGGTTATGCTAGGTGTGCACACAAAGACAAGAATTACTGAGTGCAATGGTGATATTATATTCTTCAGTTGGTGGTTTCCATGTGTTCTCCCTACAGATACTGCTCACATCATAGGTAATATAGGACAATTGTGTTTAAATTAGAAAGAATAATGACAAGATGGAAAGATGAGGGCCTGTCCTACGAGGGGCATGTGCTGTGTAGGGCTGTGTGATCTAGAACTTCCCATTTGGTATTCATCTCTGTTCAGAATTACATAGGTCCTGGCCAAGAAGTTGAAATCGATTCAAGCTGGTTTTTTTTGACAATACAATGGTAACAGGAGTAATGTATGATGAAGTATCAATTGGGATAGAATTATCAAGCATAAGGTGGATTTAAAACTTTTTATCGTTAATATCTGGGATTTTAATTCATATTTTAATAGCAAGTGTTTATGGAAATGTGATGGCAAAGATGATGGGCTCTAAGCTTGAATCCGTCAAAGGCCTGTCTTCTGTCAAATTGACTCTGGGTGATGTCTAAATAAGGCTTTTCATCTCATTCTGTTATAGTCCTCTCAAAATCCAGGTTGAGTATCAAGCCCTCCCTTTGTTAATTCTTGATAGCATGAAGTGGTTCATAAATCACCCAAAAACTTTCTGGAATTTAGTCACAAGGGATAAAGGCACTCTTCAATGGACCTTTGTTTCTGTACCCTGACTTTTGGTTTCATCATCAGAGTCAACCCTAAAAGTTTTGTTAAGACACCTCCAATGAGTCTTAGCTTCTTTAAACTATTTTGTATCATTCATAAAATCCTGATTCATTGCGTCCCATGAGCCTTGGTAGAATACTAGAGAAAACCTATCAGGACTTGGAGCCTTCTCCCATGCCAAATTAAATGCAGGTTCTTTTACATCTCTTATTGTTATCATACATATCGATACTCTTGGTTTCTGTCCATGCTTGTGAGCTGTGAGCTGTGAGCTGTAAGCTGTATGCAATCTCCTTAAAGAGAGCAGTTTTTATGCCATCTTCGTATTCTTATTGAGTTTATGCTTCTTACTTGTTTGCAGCACCTGAGAGAAGACCTTTTGAGAATAGATGAAAGTTGGGCGGCAGCACGTTTTGATTCTTTGCCTCATGTTGTCCATATACTGACTTCAAAGGACCGTGATGCTGAGATTCAGTTCTTGAAAGAACAAGGTGATGTGATTGAGGAAGTTGTAGACGAAGTTGTTCATGCATATCATAGCGGTTTCAACAAAGCAATTCAAAACTATTCACAAGTATGTTTGAGAGCTTGATGACATTTGTTTACACTTTTTAATTAATATCTTATTTTTACGAGTATGTGATTTCCAATAACAAGCAGTGCGAAGTCTTCACTTGTTTTCTTCCTCCACTACTGCTTTTATTGATTGAAATATACTTGTAATTATTATTTCTTGCTCTGTATGTTTGTGATGGGCTTCTCTTTGTTTTAGATATTAAGATTCTTCAGTGAGTCAGCACAAAGCATATCCTCCTTGAAGACACATTTAGCTGAAACAAAGAATTTTGTTGGTTCACGTAATAAGCAATTGCGCCAGTTGTGGTATCGATCTCTTACATTACGCCATATAATCTCTCTGCTGGATCAGATTGAGGCTGTTGCAAAGGTTAGTCTTTCAATGTCTCTCCATCGTTTGATTTATGCTGTTATTCTTTCTTGCCTCAATTTTTCCGTTTCTCTTTTCTTATCATAGGTTACAGCAATTTCATTATCATCCATAATGCATGATTAGATGTGCATTGACTCGTCCTTGTTACATCTTATTTCATTATCATCCATAATGCATGATTAGATATCCATAGTCCATTTCTGCATCTTATTTAAGTATGATTACATCTCTCTATTTTTTTTTAGCGTAAAGAAAGTCTTTTTGTTCTATTCCTCAAGTTGCTGTTGTTTCTCGTGTAAAATTTTTATTTGTTTAAGGCAACATCAAGATTTTCTTCTTCAGTGTAGATGCGGATTCATATTACAAAGTATTCAGTTGGCTCCAGGATAACAGCCTAATGCCTTTTCATTGACTCGTCCTTGTTACATCCTGTCTTTTGAATTTTGTAATTTGTGTACACATTTAATATATTGCATGCTAACTTGAACATTAAATGTGTGTAGGTTCCTGCTCGCATTGAGAATCTTATTTCTGAAAAGCAGTTATATGCTGCAGTCCAATTGCATGTTCAATCGAGCCTGATGCTTGAAAGAGAAGGCCTCCAAGCGGTAGCTAATTACCCTTTCAATCAATGGGGGATGAATTTATATCCTTTATTTATAATATAACGCATGTTTGTTATTTCAGTTTTTATAACATATTCAGAGTAAGAATACTGGTCCTGTGTCAGAATGATATTCACTAAAATCTAAAGATTTGCATCTCATAAGGATTTTCTTTTCTATGCCCTTTGGCCTTTGTTGTAAAAAGTTTCTTTATCGGGCACAGTTGTTTCACGTAATATTGTGGGAAATGACATATATTTAGTAGCTCGGCTCTTAGTTGGTCGGTTTCCTATTTTGCAGCTTCTTATTTTATTTATCTCGTGACCCTTGTATATAACTAGCTGCCAACGATGTGAATAATAAGCAGATTTTATTTTCAAATGTATACCGTCCTGGGGTTTGTATCACTGTATAGTTTTCAACGTGGTATCAGAGCGTGGTTTGTAGTATCTGGCTTCTAGGGAACCTAGGGTTTGATTCCTGCCTTTTGCCGCAACCTATGGTTTCCTCAGATTAGTACTTTGATTAGTTGAGAGTTGCTTTGTTCAAGCAACCATGAGGATCTTATCATTCTGGGCACTCGAATGCTGGGGAGAAGAACCGATGACAGGACCGAAGGTAGGGATGGGTACTACCAGATTAATGCTGGGTTCGTGCCTTGTAACTGAAGAATAGTATAGTTCTTGTAATGCTGGGTGCGTGCCTTGTAATTATTGCTGTCACAGTGTATCTTCATAACTGGAACAAAACTCTATTGTGACAGCAAGTTTGTAATTAATGCAGCTCACAACTTTGTGTAACATGATCGAATAAAACACATTGATATTGATAGACATTTTATCAATGAAAGTCGGAGAGCAAATTGATTTGTACACCTTATGTCTCTACACATGGATAACTTATACTGTGTAAATACTGCGTTAGCTGTTGTATCACATGCTTTACTTTACAATATCATGTTTAATGTCTTTACTATAATATAACTTCTTTGAAAACATTGACAGTTATATTAGTTTCAGTGTGGTTTTGTCAGCAAATTGCATCATGACCATCATCTGTACTTGATCTTTCTCAAGGTTGGTGCCATGCAAGATGTTCGATCAGAATTGACGAAGCTGCGGGGTGTCCTCTTCTACAAGGTTTTGGATGATCTGCATAGTCACCTTTACAACAAGGGGGAGTATAGGTAGGCTTCTTTCTCTCTATTACCATACTTAAATGAATTAGCCCATCTAGTCTTATTTTGTTGCTCTATTTGCTTCAGTAATGAACTTGATTTCTTGAACTAAGCTACGATAGTCTTGATTTACAGCTCAGCAAATTTGAGGTTATCAGATGGAGATGAAGCATTGCTGACTACTGTGGCTGTTGCATTGTCAACAAACAACATGCATTCTTTATCTAGAAGAACCAGATCTATAAAAGGAGATGGCCATTTGGGTACTTTGGCTTTTGGAGATGGATATTATAGACCTTCTATTGATGGGAGGTAGGTTTTCATCTAGAGCGGACACCCTTGACTTGAGCTTTACTCACCTTTTCTAACGGTTCAATTTTGAACTGGATATGCTTCCCTTGAAAAACTTTCCATAGATACCTTCTATCATGAATGTTTAGCACTTTGAGATTACCGTCTCTCATCTACTAGATGATTCATTATTTACCCTTACAGGTCTGCTCATTTCTTGCCTCTGAAACTTGTTACGGCTAAATCCTTTCAATGTGGCATTATTCTGAAACCACATATCTTTCAGTCATCTGGGGTTCTTTTTAGACTTGTTGTTATGTGTCTCATGTACTGATGTTAAAGTTCCCATATTTGCCATTTTCACTTTTTTGATGCAAATGTTAAAGAGAACTTACGTTGTAAACTCACAAGGTGTCAATTTTGTCCATGTTACACCCCACTAGCAACTTTCCTCGCATTCATCCACCGGAATCTTGTTCCCTTGAGCAGAGATCGCCTTAATCTTTTTGTCACATATCTGTTCTCTGATCTCTCTGATATCGTCGTTACCCTACATTTTCAGACCATTTTAGTAGATTTGTTGATGTTTGTACAAGAGGATTTTGTTCCCTATCTTATTACCTTTTGTGAATGCCTTATTGTTGTATTCACTGGCCTTATCTAAGTATAACTCTTGTTTTCAGTTCAACTTTGGATGGCCTTGACGATGAGGGTACTTTGGAGACAGTTGATGGGGCTACATCTGATGGTTTGCTGTCATCAGCAAGGCATGGTTCTGGTGGCGGTCATGTAAAGGAGGCCAAGGCTACTTCTCACCGAATTCCAATGTGGCTTTCACGTTCTACGCCAGACGAATTTATTGTATGTTCTTTGGACAGTTGAAAATATTACTGAGAAAATGTTATACTTTGTTTTTCCTTATGAGTTATTGACAATTGATTCTGCATCATGAATTGAAATTTATTAGTTTTCATATTGCATTACTGCATTCTATAAATCCATGTATCATACTTCCTCATCAGGGTGTTTTCTGTTTGGACAATTCTTGAAGTATATAGTCAGAGCTCCCACTCCATTTTGTAGCCAATTCTTCTTTGAAGTTTTTTTTCTTTCAATTCTTTTTTTGTTGCCCAGGATGTCATCCTTTTTTTCTTGGCTGTAGGAAAATATGAAAAAAAATGATGCTTCTCTCAATGTGAAGTACCTGCAGACGTTAGTGGAGTGTCTTTGCATGCTTGGAAAAGTTGCTGCCGCAGGGGCAATAATATGGTATTCTTGTGATCTTTGGTCACTGGTTTTTTTTTTTCCCGCTTTTATTTCTAGACAAAAATATAATCCACTTGTTATTGTAGCCGAAAAATGATATAGCTGAAGTTTTTGGCTGGTGCGCTTCCATGATCATGCTCTCATTCTTTATTGCTAAAAGTGGATTTATTTCGTATATTATTTGATTTGATTATTTTTCTGATGAAGTTTCTTTCATAAATGTTGTGTTTTTAAACTTGATTAGTCTTTATAAATATAATGACTTGGGGGGTGTATTGGAGTTAACTTCCTTCACATTGTTATCTTGGAAAGAAAACATCATCTTATTCAGTTCTTGGGTTTAATAAAACCGTTGTTGGTCATTGGTATAAATGTTTTTATATGATGGGGAGAATTTATTAAGTGGAAACTTTTTGCCTGTTACTGGATAGAAAGTATGCGACTGGGGAGAATCTTCTGGTTTACTTTAGGTTACTGTTTAACTTCTGTTTCAGTGAGATTATGTTGGGTTTTTTTATTCCAGGCGACAGATATTGATTATTTAGTTTTTTTTGTCTCAAAACAGTCAGAGATTGCGGCCCACCATCCACGAGATCATCACATCCAAAATTAAGGTCTTTGGATCTGTTCATAGTTCATCATATACTAGTCAGAATGGAAAAAGTGTGGCGTCTACATTTTATTCTTCAAAAGGATTGGTAGAAAGGCACCCAACTCTAAAAAAGAAGGGGAAGGGTGGAACATCCTTCATTACAACACAGATGGCTGTTAGCCCTGTCTCACCAACAATGACACCCATGGGAACCGCACAGTCTGCAGCAAGAGAGCTGCTTGGTTCCGTACTGGATTCAATTGTTCAAATACTTGGTGAGTAAAGTACTGAGTTTTATCATTTATTTCTGTGTACATTTACTTTCTATTGTTGATAGTGAAGAATGTCATGATCAGAGAACCATGCTACTGTTGGTGAGCTTTTGGAGTCAAAATTAGTACAACAGAGTGACAATCCATATACATTGAAGTCTGCAAATGGTGGTACGAACTGGAATGCTGACACTGAAGTTTCTCAAATTACTGGAGGCTTTAGTTTGGGTTTCTCAATGTCAGTCATACAGGTAATTTTTGGTATTAATTTTATCGTCTAGGTTTAGGTTTCTTTACGGGAAGGGAAAACTACTTTGTGTTGGAAAACTCAAATATTCATTTGGAAAAAAAAGAAAAAAGCTACTTCTTGCTGATTTGTTGTTTTGATTTTTCGAACATTTTCTTCATGATTCTTTATTTATTTACCCGGGAACTTAATGATGACATGAAATCTGAGAATGTTTCTTTGGTTTACTGTTATGGACAGAGCGAATGTCAACAACTGATATGTGAGATTTTGAGGGCAACACCAGAAGCTGCATCTGCAGATGCTGCTGTGCAACAAATGTATGCTGTCTGAGTGAAATATACTTTTATTTTATTGTTTATGAGACGGAGAATGATAGTCAATCTTGTTTCTTGCTGTTGAATTGCAGAGATGGATTTGATGGTCTTTCTTTTGCATTCCGATTTACAGATACAACAATTCCTTTGCCAAACCAAGGTATATGTGAAAGAAAATAAATCTTCGAAATTTTATTTGTTCGTTAATTTCGTTCCTTGAAAACTTTGGAGATGAACTCTATTCAAGACTCTGCTGATGGAATCTCAAATTAGGGTCACTGAAGAGAGGCATGCCTGTTTAAATAGGCGCAATCGCAAATCCTCCAATGATTTATCATGGTATCATTGTCTTTTATCAGTAGTGGCTACATTTGGCAACCTCTGTTCTTTGAGCATTTCAGGACAACTTATGAGTGTTCTATTTTCTTAATTTAGTATAATTCCGTGAAACTCCAAACATCCTTTCAGATCCTAAAGCCAAGAGAAGGAAACTTTAAGGCATTATTTCTACGCAGCGCCTTTGAATCTATTTTTGACAAATAGTTAATCTCCTGCGTATAATACTTTGTGTAGCACAACAGTGACTTGTCATCCAGTACAGTACATAATGGATTTACAGATTACTTATCTCCTCCATAGAAAAACGGTGAAGCGCCAGAGTGACATGTCTCAGCCAATACAGTATACTGGTAGTATTTACAGGTAATTCGTTTGGAAGCTGGCAGTATGGAAATTCAGTATTAAAATTTATCTGTGGATAGGGGACACGTAAAGCTTATATCCCCAAAAATGTCACATAATATCACTTCTAGGGACGTTTTTCATCACCAGTTGGAGAATGTCCTCTTTCCCTAGACCATAATACGCAAGATTGGATTGAGATCAGGTCTTCTTCATTGGGCAATCCATGAGAATGGGAGTCAGTCTAAAAAGTCAAAGGGACACATCCATTGTTATAGATAATATATCTTTAAATTATTTGATAGGGATATCAATACAGTATGTCCATTAAATGAGTGCTAAGTACACATTTCTACAAAGAACCTTCTGCTCATTTCATGGATTTGAGATGGCACAGATCAGCTGCAGCAGTTGTGTGTCTGTTGGGGAGACGGTGTTGATTGGACAGTGGTCAGCACAATGAAGCTAAAGGAGGGAGTCAGACTCTGGCTACCACTTTCTTTGGGTATTAGAATCCACCCCAAAATCATGATGAAAAATCAAGATTACCTGATTCTTCAAACTCTTCTCAATACAGAATCACTTCTGAACTGATAGTTTTCATATTCAGAATTTCAGATTTCCTTGTATTCTCAAACCGCAACATGTAATCCATAGTACATTCATGGATAAAACCAAAATGGCCATGATTGTGAGGTATAAAATGAGCAACATTCCATGGAAGATTTTTCGCAGTCACCAGTAGTAAACCTTGAATAAATCATTCTCACACGCATCATCAAAATTTTGTTTGAACTGGGTACAGATTATTCATGATGTACCTAACAAAACAACTACTTGCATGATTCGTTTCAGGGTGTTTATAATAACTAAATGGAATTGTCTCTCTTACCCAACTTCCGTTATGGGGTTCTGATAACACTGCGGATTTGATTTACTGGCCAGTGAAAGGGCCAATTCCACAGTCCTATGTTCAGAATATTTTTCCAGCTATAATGTGATCTTTTTCACGAAACCTTTGGCAGCGCTTGACATTTGGCTTTCTTGGGCTTCAACTGAGAACTATTTTGCACTTTGTCTGGTTTTCTTTCATCTATTGTAAGTCAACATGATACTACAAAATCGATTGGAAGGTGGGAGTAGTAACTTTTCATTTATTGCAAAACGATTTATGACAGATCACAAAATGTCTTTCACCTTACATTCTGAAAATACAGATGAATGAGTCGTAAAAGTATATTGTTGCGGGTGAATATGCCCGAACGAAATGAACATGAATTGGAAATATCGAAATACCTGTCTGATCATACATTTAACATTTTCCGTCTTAGAATTTATTAATTAATTCTGGGTTTTAATCTTCTAGATTAGATATTAAAATCCAGTCTTCAAGGAGCATTGCTTTCTTCAATCTCCTTTCATATGGCATCTAAGTATATTGCAACTCTATTTCATAAAGTCAATATGGAAAGCTGTAAGCCTATTTCCACACTGGAAAACATGGAAAATAAAATAGTTAAATGCAGCCGGATAGTCACTAGTAAGAAGGCTCATTATTGGATACTTCAAAGAAGGATACTGGAGATAATAACATATTATTTGAAAAGGATGAACAGAGAATTGCCTAGTAGAGGTGAAGGAAGAAAAAGAACGTAGGAGAGGATTGATCAAGAACATGAAGACAGGTGAAAAAAATAAAATGACTACTGAAGTGCTGCCTAAAGCTATTCACTGCCCCAACCACTTCTTTTTACCCTGGGCTGATCTTTTTCGGAAATCAGCAAACTTGGCTTACGTGATTGGAATTCAATCTGTTCCAGTCGACCGCATGATGGGGACTTGGCTTATTACATGAGTACCATTGGCATCCAGGCTGCAAATAATAAAATCATGCTGACATGATGGGAACTTGCTTTGTTGTTTTTCCACTGGTCATTGATTTTGACTGGCGGAAGGTTGCATTGCTGAAGATAATATATGCGTGATTTTGGTTCGAATGAACACTTAAAAGTTGATTTTTCTTGGTCATCGATTCATTATGGTTATGATAATAATGCATATTGTTTCATATATAAGAAAGGTGATTGTAATAATAATTCATAGAGTTTATGGGCTTCCTCATTCTGCATGAAGAGAATGTAGGTATTATTCTTCTTTGAATCTGAAGTATCAGAACCTCTGTTGCCTTGTCATTGAAACGCAGAAGTATGTGAGAAGTTTGTTATCATTGAGAAATCATTGTTTTTGAACTTTACTTTTTATGAAGTGAAAGACTATCTCATCAATTATTTACTTTAGGAGTGGGCCAAGGTTGGCGCAATCGTCCAAATGTACTACAAGAAGGGTATGGGACGGCAGCTGTCCTCCCTGAACAAGGACTATATCTGGCGGCATCAATTTACCGGCCTATTCTTCAGGTATAGTCCACATTTAGTTCTGTATGATGTATGATGTAGATTTATGATTGATGGCTTTATGTGGTTATTTTCCAGTTTGCAGATAAAGTTTCATTGATTCTGCCACAAAAGTATTCACAGCACGGGTATGTATTGGGAATTCTCAAACTGTTTCGTTTTCTTCCCTGAATATCATGTTATGATCCATAAATGTTTCAAGTTACTTGTTATTTTTCTTCATATGTAGATAAAAAATCTAGCTTGCTTGATTGTTCGGATCTTTATGGAGAATGATTTCTCTGTTTTTTGTTAATAGTCATTGTCTTTGACACAATCGAATATCTAAGATATTGGATAACCTTGCAATGCCATAGCATAGTTTCTTTTTCTCCAATTTTATATGAATTATACAGTTCTTGGTTTTTTCCCTCTTCTTATATTAGCTAAATCATCAAACTGGAATATTGCAGCTGTATAACCACAATAATTTTGTCATAAACGTCACTGGTTTTCAATCAGACTGAAGTTTCCAAGTAAATACTTACTAAACATGGATAATGGATTTTGGTGGCAATTAGTAGACACCTTTACTTGCTTTATCTCTACATTTTAATAGACAAGACCTTTCTGTGTCATGGCTTGGGGTACTGTTGTACTTAGACAACGTTAAAAAGAGAGGATAAGTCTTTGTTATTAACTGGTGTAATACGATACTGCCTTACCTTTGGTCTGTACTGAGTTTTTAAGTCCTCCATGTAACAACTACTGTGCACCAAAGCAGAGGAAGTTCAACTGTTCATCCAGAGTAGTCTTTTTTTGGATAGTGGTAAATTAGTTTAAAAGAGCAATTTCTCCTTGAAAACTGTAGGTTTGTCATCAATCTGATAGCTGTTTCAGAAATTTACTTGGATACGTAAGGAAAGCAATCCTAACACATAGGGAAAGCTCAGAGAAAAATAACTCAAAAGAGGAGAAAGTAGCAAAATCTATTAATGATAAGGCAAGAAAAGATCTAGATTGGGGCATAAAGTCCTATATTCCTTAAAGACTAGCATAATTATCAAATTGTCCTCTTGTACTGTTCGTTCAAGTGTAATTACGTAGAATATAAGAAAAACGGTCAAAGCAGACGTCGAAGGCAATTGCAAGACTATTTTAGTTGCTATACAGCTGTAGCCAGCTGTCTTATATATATACTGCTTTTCCTTAGGTTAGGATGGAAATAGTTTATTGAGATATGGGGCTGCCCCATAGCTCTCTAAATCTGATCGGTGTAGTTTGGATTTTTGAGTATTTGGTGTTTTCATTGAATGCTGTTTTAAACATTTTTGATCATTCACCTGCAATGAGCTAGTGGTTCTATTCATTGGTGTAAACTTGTTATTTCTGTAAAGAAAACTTAGTTCCGTTCTGACTCTTTGCGTACTTTTGTATCTTTTCATTCATTGGTCTCCTGCTCTCATTTGATAAAGTGCCAACTTATGATGTCTTGCATGCCTTGAGCTAATGTGCTTTTGATTTTGTGTAATCTTCAGGAATGATGGCTTATTGGCATTTGTGGAAAAATTCGTTAAGGACCATTTCTTGCCAGCGATGTTTGTAGATTATCGGAAGGGTGTTCAGCAGGCTCTATCAAGCAAGTTCTTATTCCGAGTTCTTATTTTCATAATTAATTATTCAGTTTAAGCGTAGTATTTTCTCCCATTAGCTTAGCTGAATTGCTCCCTTTATTTGGTGACTCTAAAAACAAACTGGCTTACATACTTCATTATGGAGTAGCAGATATATCATTTATTTATAGTACTTACCAGCTTAGGTGTATTGGTTCAGGTCCAGCTGCATTCCGGCCTCGTGCACATGCAACTACAGTCTATGATTCATTGGTTGAGAAGGGACGTCCAGTTCTACAGGGACTATTGGCTATTGATTTCTTGGCAAAAGAGGTTCCTCTTTTTGCTGCTTCTATTCCTTTGTTTCTTGTTCTGCTTACATATCATGCATTCAAAATTTCGATGCTTATTCTCAGGTTATTGAATGGGCACAAGCAATTCCAAAGTATGCTGGTGAACTTGTTGAGTATGTGCATACCTTTTTAGAGCGTACATACGAAAGGTGCCGGACATCATATATGGAGGTAGGATGCCTAGTGCTTCATAAAAATAAAAACATATGTTTTTCATCTTTGGGCAATCTCACATATGCATACCTGTCTTTATCATAAAGAAATAAAACTCATTGTATCATATGTACATTCAGTATCCATAAGAGAGTTGCTTGATTGTATACGATTTGCATTATGTGATCAGTGAACTAAATCATGAAAATAAAAAACCGAAAACTACGTATGAGACCAAGCATTTTGGCAGGCAGGAAGTTGCAGGAGCTAGAGGGGGCGACTCCCTCTCTACCCCTACCTTTCCTGAAGCCTTGAACATTTGGGGATCAGATCACTGCAGTGGGAAATAGCCAATAATTTTTTCAGTTTGTAATTTGTGCTTTGTGTGAAATTGCTTTGCGATTGATGCTTTTAGAAATTACTGTTTTTCATTACTTGTTCTAGTCTAGAAGTTGTAGAAATTTTGCTGATCTTCAGTTCTAGCAAGTACTGATTTGAGCCAGCCAGATACTCATGATCCAATCCTGTAATTTCGTCATGTCGCCTGGAAGTAGAGACAGTAGATAGTAGCTTGCTACCACACATTTACTGTACAGTTAGTCAAAAATCTCCTCTCAAGTACAGTTTGCTTTATATGACTGTACTTACACGTCTGTGCTGTAGATTGGATTTAAGTCAGTTAAAAATCTCCTCATAAGTACAGTTTGCTGTCATGCTGATGCCACTATACATTTACTCTCTGTCGAATTGTTTCTTTTCTATACTTTTACAATGGCTGAATGTCATTAAATTTTCCTTTTGAGATGGACAGGCTGTGTTAGGAAAACAGAGTTACATGCTCATTGGAAGGCACGACTTTGAAACATTGATGCGCCAGGATCCAGCAAGTGCATGTTTGCCAAGTGCAACTCACCAAGTTCCGCAGAAGAATGTTTCAGATGAAGAAATCGTTGAAGTAGAGCAAAAAATGAGTAACCTATTACTAGGCTTGCGTCCAATCAAGCAGGTGTACTTTCTGAGACTAACCTTGGATGGTTACTTCACTTTCTTTCTAAATGAAGGCTACTAAATTGTTTGTCATCTCTTTGTTACTCATATCAAGTGAAAATATGTTTTTATATGACAATTTAATCTTGATTACAATTTTACTTATTTCCATATCATACAGGAGAATCTAATCCATGACGACCACAAGCTCATTTTGTTGGCATCACTTAGTGACTCTTTGGAGTATGTTGTGGACTCGATAGAAAGGTAATCATCATCCTTTAATTGTGAAATTACTTTTTTTTAATGGATTTTTTTTTATCTTAGTCTCCTTAGGCTGAAAATTTATCATATTTTCACATGTTCATGATGGTACATATATAATTTAGTGTGCATCAAGGAGTATAATTTCGATTCATTAATTCATCAGATTGAATGTTGTATATTTTTCTTGAATGTGAAGGCCGTCGTGATTTACTTATATGTAAAGTCTTATTATAATTTCACAATCATATGGTTTCATCCCATGCATGGGGTTCTAAAAATTATTAACTGATCGTGGTGGCAACCTTGCTTGGGATGAAGTGCTACTCTAGCAGATTCAGATGGTGGAAGGAAAAATGCAAGTAACCACAAGAGAAACTTTAGAAATTGAGAATGGCAGAAAGGGTGCTGATGCTGATCTAGTACAGAAAATGTTTGGTGTGAGCCATAGTACGACCTGTTAATTCAGATCCTGTCAAATATTGACACTATTTCGCCCCAACCTTTTGGTGGTTTGGATTTATATTTTATTTATTTTTTTACCAGACATAGAACGTTCTATTAAGTTACCGTACATCTGTTTTGCTGGAATGAGTTCTAGCTTGACTTTGATGGTTCACCATCCATTTACCCTACTGTAACCGGTTTCTGTGGTAGTTCATACCCCTCACTGTGTGTTTGTTACCCATGTTCATAAATACTCTTGTACACGACGTGCAACACCTAGAGATCAGGGGACCAAAATGCATTAAACAGGTAGAATAAAAAAACTGTCTTTTACTAAATACAATTTCACAGTCGCATGGCTATTCTCACAAACAACAATGGGCTATCTCTCTCATCTTCTGCTTCAGTCAAATTAAGAGTGATATGGCTTGTCTACATCTTATTCCATTCAGCAGAACACGATGAGCATGCCCTGGTTGGCTGCCGGGTACGTGGTGCATGTTCCCGGTGACATGTCTGACTAAAATGTGTGTATGACTGGAAGGGATGGCACGGAAAGACTGGTGTAGGCAAGAGGACATGAAGTGCATGCCCCATAGGACGTGGGCACTCTGGCATGCAAGGACAGCCACACAAGACCTGACAGAGAAATTTGGTGGCTTTGCACAGGGAACAGAGTGTGACTGGTTGTGGAACTTCACATCCATGGGAAAGACATGCAACCTAAGCTCATCAGTGGTAGCATGGTGTGGAGCAGGGTACAAGGCATTGACGCTCATCAGAAACCCCTGCCACACATAGCCCTATCACAGAGCAGCATTTTGGGCCCAGGGCATGTTTCACAGTGATGTATAGGAGTTGGCTGTAGCCTCGGTGGATGCTGCTAAAAAGGACTGATTCATGTTTGGTTCACATGACAGATGGTTCTTTGCATAATCTAGGAACTTCCTTGTTCCATGTGGTGCAAAAGATCAAGTAGCCTTTGCAGGTGCATACGTTAGGGTCTTCAGCAAAATGTTTGCAGGGTGAGCATGACTTCTTATGATGGATATCAGATGAATGCCTGTATCCTAGGTATAAACCTCAGCAGGTATGCTTGACATCATAAAAGTGAATAGGATTCTTTACTGCATGCACAGTTTGCTCTGGATTGTGTAGTATGACATGCATACGAAATAGAACATGATTTACAGATAAGCAAACCCCTACTCGGTCCATCTTCCATTCCATTGTATTGTTTTCATAGAGACTCTCTGTTGGAAGTTCTAGGTCATAAGGAAATAATGTAAAAGGTTGAGGGTATTTTGCAACAGTTGTATGAGGTTCTTCCCTATAAAAAAGGAGTTACATGTGAATGAAGAGTGAGGCAGTTGTACGCCGTTCTCCCCTCTGTCTACTGTGACAGAGGTTATTCTCCCTGTTCCTATGATTCTCTACATGGTATCAAAGCAGTCTTAGGGTTTCAAACCCTTTTTTGGCATCATTGTAGGCTGATGCTGCCATTGTCGACATTCTCGGCCGCCATCTGCTAAAGTTATTAGTGTCGTGCTGCTTTTCAGCGAGGTCTTTTGCCTCTGTTGAGTATCTTTCCGGCAAGGGTTTCTACCTTTGCTTTGGTGTTTTCCAGCGAGGTCTTCTTCCTCTGCCAAGTATCATTCTGGCAAAGGTCAATGGCTTTATTAGTGCTCTCATACAACTAGCATCTAATTGGATTACAATCAGTCATGTATTCTTGGTGGCTACGAGCACAAAGGTCAACTAGTGGATGATCAACCACCATGCATGCTAAGCTAAGATCTAGGTGTATGCTGCCAAGGTTGCTTGCATGGTCTTTAAGGTCTCCAAGTTAGTTGAGCTTCATTGAGGCTTGGTGATATGCATCTATTAGGTGAGACACTTTGTGATCATCAAGTTAGTCCTTATTGCATGGCTCGAGTCAAAGGTTGGTGCCAATATCGCAATGTCTCACATCTTTTAGGTTGACCTCACTAGGGTCCCAGCCATGTGCTAAGAACTAACTTGGTGCTCCCAAAGTGCCCCAATTGGTGGATGCATGTCTCGATGGAGGTCATCTAGCTTGGAGACCCTAAAAACTATGTAAGCAACCTGGGCAGCATACGCTTGGATCTCAACTTAGCCAATATGGTGGTTGATCATCCACCAGTTGACCTTTGTACTCATAGGCACTAAGAGTGTATGGCTGACTGCAGTCCCATTATATGCTAGTTGCATGAGACCACTGATACGATCATTGACCTTGTCTGTAATTGACCCCACCATCTTGGTCAGCCCATTGACCTCTGTTATGTCCGCATCATGGTCAGTCTTCTGTGTCAAGCTTAAGGCCATATAGCTTGACTTTGACAATTAATGCAATGGCTAGATCTAGGAAAGTGCACTGAAGGGTAGTGACATTGTCAGGCCACTCGATATAGCTATGTGCACATAGCAGCTTTGTCTCCCATTTGGCATTGACTACATGATTGAGCACTCGCACATGGTCATTGAGGGCCAATGTAGCGTCAGCACCAGCTGCAATGCCAATGATGTCAAGGTCATTGAGGATGATGACAGGCAAAGAGTAAGATCTGAATGTGCACATTCAGCCCCACCATCTTGGTTGGCCCATTGACCTCTCCTTTTGTCGAACATTCTCCCTAGTATGGTGACCAAAATTTCCCACAGTCCGTGTCGCTACTATGTTATCTGGCACTGTCCTTCATCTGATGTCATCCTTCCTTTGTTCAGCATAGTTCTCTGTTTGGTGCCATCTCAAGCATGTCAAGGTCATCATGTGGAATCCCGTGCAGTCTGGCACCATCTCGTATGGTCAAACGTCATAAGGCACCATTGTCTTACGAAGCAGCCCTGCAACATCACAACCCAGCAGAAGAAAGAGAAATTCGACACCGTCACAAGGGGAGTTGCTGCCACAACGGGTCATCTTTGTGACAAGTGAATGCTTGTCAACAACTTAGTTAAGAGAAACTTTAGAAAAGTTTATCTTGAGGGAGAGTGTTGTAAGTTCTGGGTCGTAAAGAAATAATATAAAAGATTGAAGGCATTTTGAGTTAATTGTCTAGGGTTCCTCCTTATATTAAGGGTGTACAGGTGAATGAAGAGTGAGGTGGTTGGCTGCCGTTCTCCCCTTTGTCCTCTGTGATAGAGGTTATTCTCCCTGTTCCTATGATTCTCTACAGAAACCCTAGTGACAAGTCATTTGTTGGCAAAGAGATCATCCATTTGCATTCATTGGCGGTAGAGGAGTTGATCATCCTTGGGTGATATCCACCGAAAACCTTGATAGTTTTTGGTAGAACATTGATTCAAGTTAGTACCCTGTGACACCATCATATTGAAGAGCTAAATATGAACTTCAAGTCCCTAACCTAACGAACAGCTTGCTGGGTGACATATCCAAACTCATCTCAGTCAAACCTATCCTCAGCGTGGAAGGAGAATAGGGATCACACCTGCTACATGGCCTTGAAAGAAAAATAACATCTCCTCATGTGGGAAATAATCGCAATCTGCAAAATCATTTTTTCCATAACAATCTCCTATGGAGTTTGCAATAATCTAAAGTAATTATACTGGACAAACTAATTGATTGTATGCCTGTCAAGACTCTTGGAACATACTCTGTGCTCTATTCAACTATCATGGAACTTAAGCATGTTCCCTTCGGAGAGTATTCACTTGCTGGATATTGCCGAATGAGGTGACTTGCCAAATGGCTATGGGGGAATGCGTATTCATCTAAACTAATTAGGTGAGCTACAGGGGAATGAGGTGACTTGGCTAAACTAATGTCAACCCTCCCAAAACACTTCTGGGCACCAACACCATCTCAATTACATTTTAGAGAACTAAAAATTTCTAACATGGAGAGGAAATTTTTGTAGATGAAATTTCAAAGACTACTTTCATGTTATGATGAATTAAGCTTTCATGTTATGAAATTTCATTTTGAGAGGTATTAGATATGATGGTAGCAGGAGTTCATTGATTTTTTTTGCTCTTGCCAAACATTTGGCGCTGAACGTTTTCTTTATTTGAAAATAATGAATTTGTTCTGGAATTGGACAGTAGGTGTGCATGCGACAGTGGATCATGCTGCTTAACGAGTGCAGCCTCTTTTGTTTTTTGTTTGTTCAAGGATATGCTCCATGAAAATCTAATTCCTACATTTGGGAGAAGAAAAGGAAAAGTCATCCATGAAACTCTAATTTCTACTTTTCTGTTGGTTGTGAGAATGTGCTTGATATTGGCTGGTCCTCTGATCTAGGAAAGCTGATAACCTTGTTTTTTTGCGACAACTTTGACAAGAATTATCTGTGGAAGGAGTGACATTCATGCTATGTGGTTTAAATTTACTCATTATAGCCTCACAACTGAATGAGAAGAAGCATGGTACGAACGGAAAGGACATCATTTCGTTCCAAGAGCAGTGATCCTTTTCATCCCCTTACCAATCTTCTGGGGAGCGTTCACCCTTAGTCTTGATATTGGCCTTTTTACCATGTAGATTTCCGAAACTAGCGAGGTAAATTCGTCAACGATATGCATGGAGCACATTTCCACAGTTAGCCATAAAACGTGGTCCACTCTAGTTCTCAGTTGAGCACTCTATTCTAGGCAGAAGCTGACTGTGGACATATTCAATGTCGACCTTAGTTGGAATAGCATTGCTGGTGATCATTCTAAAAACGGAATGAACTTTTTCCGATTGGAATTCCTCCCATTTTCTGGATACGCACTTTTGTGTTGAACGTATGGAGTATGAATCTAGGTTTAGTGGGTTCAGAGGGTAGTATGGTCTCTCTCTGTACACTTTTGATTAATGGAACGTCACTTTATCTTGACAATTTTTGCAACTAACAAAACTAAGAACACAATTTCATATTATTTTCCTCCTGATCATTCCATTTAAACTGGTCTAAAGCATTGGCTTGTCACCTGCCCTTAAAATGAGTAAATATAATGGAGCGTGTGTTTTTCAACTGCCGTTGACCTTCTACTGTGTTTTTCAACTGCTGCTGCCCTTAAATGTTGTGGTTCCTTTTTTACGGGTTTTCCTTGTGTGAGAGACATTTGATGCACATACATTTTTGAGTATGAGTTTTACTCCCTTTGTTTCATTGCCTGTGAAACTTGTCATCATGTCAGGTGTTTAGCTAGTTATGGAGCTGAATTCCTTTACCTTTTCCTCTTTACTATTGTTCTTTCCTAACATAACTATGTATAGTTCTCGTTCACTATCTTAAAAAAACCTTACTGACATCAAATATCTAAGTACTAGACTTTTAACTTTTATTCATGACTAGGCTGGCAGAGTGTGCTCCTCAACCTGTACAGAGCACAAGCACACCAGCAAGGGATCTTACGTCCCTTGCTGCCGAATATAGAAGACTTGCAGTTGATTGTCTCAAGGTTTTGAGGGTGGAGATGCAGCTAGAGACTGTCTTCCATATACAGGTTCAGGGGTTAAATTTTTTGTTGTGTGCTTAATAAATGACGTTGTCCGTTTCAATGGCATATCTGACATACCTGGGCACAAACAGGAAATGATCAGCAGGGAATACATGGAAGATCAAGATGCAGAAGAGCCAGATGATTACATTATTTCACTCACAACACAGGTCAGCGTTGTATGCTAGTGAATTTGTTCCATTTGTTTTTTGAAACCCTAGTCATTTCCATGATTATCTGCAGTTGCTTCTCTATCTAATAATGCAATCTTGGGAACCTTGCAATGCTGAGCTTAAACTACAAAGTTAGTTTTGCTCTACAAAGTATAGATGATGACAGCCTTATATGCTCTATGAATTTAAACAATCGAAAATAGCCCAATTTATACGCTTAGGAACTGGAAAAAATGCATACAAATCCTTGCACATGAGGTTGATATGTACCTAATGAAAGGGCATTATGGCATCATGGCTATTTATGTGTATATCCATATTTTATCTTTCTATGGGAAAAAACATTAGTTCGTGTTCCAAAATGTGAAACTAATGCAAAAAAAGCACATATCCAACTTTTTGCACTTCTCACTCACAACAAATCAAACCCCCTCCCCCCTCACAAAATATGAAGAAAGGGAGTTCATGGGGGATCAGGCAACTAGTAAGACCTAACTGAGAACTATTTCAGGTAGGAAGTGATGAGGACTTCACCACCTGTCCTTGAAACGAAATATAAGTTGACGGAATGAGACCAAGAGCATACTTGATAATCTGAAAGGGCTGACCTTTCAGTGACGAGGATGAATATTTTTTCAAGTAACTTCATCCATTTAACCGTATCAATGATTGGCCATATAGTTGTGAAAGACACTTTTTTTCTCACGTGAAATCAGATTCTTGACCCAGTTGTATAATCTTGAAGCACTGAGGCAGATTTGACAGAAAGCGCTAGTGTATTTTAGTTCTACTGAATGATAAAATGTATCACTATGATGAATCGTGGGTACACCAATAAGGTGCTGACAAGATGAATGTTAAACGAGATTGGGCTGACAAGTACTAAGATATAGTGACTTGAGCAGCTGGGGTTTCAAGAAGTATGAATTTTAAGATGTTGCTTCGTCTTTATAGACCATCCATGAATGCCAATTACACTATTGAATGAGTAAAGAGGTGCCTCGTGAAAGTCAAGAAGATAGCATTGGTTCCAAAACTAGATAGGAAAGACTACAGCTGAAGGACTTGCTTGAGGTGAGCATCGTATGAACATCATCACGAGCAATGATCATGCCTCCAAACCGTAACATTGGATGTTATTATCTGAGTTAGTGTTTCTGAGCATAAGCATATCCTGGTAGGCTTGATAAATGTGAACATCAAAGGACCAAAGACAATCTCATGGTGGCTCTTAGTGAACGTAAACATCAAGAAGACCAAAGAGCATATTACCTGTCGCAACAAAGAAAATGGTGCTTGTTTGAGCTTATAAGAGCGTGGTGAATATGACGCTTACGCCAGGATGATACTTGTTGTTATGAATGGAAATGCAGACAGACCATCCATCTAAGAGAGTGACAAATTTCTTTTAAATCCATCAAACGATTAAAGGGGATTTGATCCAAAGTTTTAGTGGAAAGGGGTGCAACTTCCTCGTCACCATCAATGGTTCTCATGGGTAAAGCCACACAAGACATCGCAACTTTGCATCTCTTCTCGCTGTGATCTTATAGCTGTGGTTTCATTTTATAAAAGCAAATGATAAATAGCTTGCTTGAGGTGGAGTCTTGGCATAGCTTGTTTCTCCTCAGAGGGCTTCATTGTCTTAAGGATGGCTGCAAAAAGAGAAAGAAAACTAGGAAAGTAATGATTGCAGAGGCACAAAGTTACACCACCTCTGTGAAACTTGGGGTTTGCTTGCCAACATGGAAAGTGGGTTCTGTATATGTTTCCTAAGAGGTAAGATGTGACTGTTTGATTTAGATTACTTTGGTTCCGTATGATGAGTTGGACAGATATGTGTTGGAGATCATCTATAACCGTCTTAATTTCTGATTTCTGTGCTCTTGATTCTTGATTTTTTTATATTTGAATCATGATTTTCATGGGCTTGAAGAGCCAAGACTTCTAAGATCCTCTCACAAAAAAATTGTAAGGGAGTCTGAGAATTTCTTCAGTGGAAGGGTCTTTGCTTTTTCTTCCCTCTCTTCCAAAGGAGTTTCTGATTAAAAAAGATTTTTTGTTTTTGTTTTTTTGGTTCTGAAATTTAATGATTCTTTATTATGGATTGATCTTTTCTAACTTTTTGTATATTTATGATTGTTTATCCTAAAGATAATGCGTCGTGATGAGCAAATGGCACCCTTTGTTTCTGACCTGAAGAGGAGTTATATATTTGGCGCCATATCAAGTGTTGCAGCATATGCATCGATTAAGGTTTAGCATATTTTACTTTTTAATTTTCTTAAAAATAAATCCCATCTCTTGTTTTGAAAATAAAAGGTTTTTTCGAGATTATTTACAAAGTTAGGAGGTGCTAATTACTAATACTGTGGTTATAATATTTATACTCAGGCCCTGACAGAGATGAAATCCATCAATCTTTTGGGTGTCCAACAGATCTGCAGGAATTCTATTGCCCTTGAGCAGGTGAGTTTGGCATGCAGGAATTTTCTTCTTTTCGAAATGCTCATCATTAACTTCCTAAATTCAATTCCATCGGATTTCTTGATGCAAACATCTCCTCCGTTCTATCGGCATCAATCAATTATTGGTACAAATTCCGAGAAAGGAAAATTGATGAGGCTCTTCCCCCATTATTCTGATAACCAAATAGCTCTGGCCAGTCGGTTTGTGAACAGGACATATACATTGAAGGCTCTGGAGAGGAGAGTGAGAGAGAGAGAGAGAGAGATAGAGAGAGAGATAGAGAGAGAGAGAGAGAGATCTGATTTAGAGGTGGAGAAAGAAGGCTCATGGAGTGGGTGGGGCCTACCGGCTTAGTGGACTTGTGAGTCAGCCATTTATGACTAGGTGGTGTAAGGCAAGTCGCATGGAGGGGGAACGGAATCAGTGTTTTGACTTTCCTGTTTTGGAATGGTTGACCCAGAACTCGACAGAAACTAATGTGATTGTCAAAGTGGAGGACTCCCATTTGGTCTTTAAAAGGGTTGCAGTTCAGGATTCTCACTACCAGCAGAGCTGATCCGGACTGAATTTTCCATTAATCAATACTGATTAGGGTGGGGGTTCAATACTTATTTTCTGAATAATTGCGGATGTCTGTGGTTTGATTATGATTTCTAGGAAAAAAAATAAAATTATTTAGTTCGAGAGAACTGGATTGACGGCTCTAAAGTTATCACAGCCATGAGAATGTGTTTTGGTTCAGTATGGGTAATCTAACGTTGTAGAATCCCCCCCAATTCAGTATCTTGTTCGTGGTTCAAACTAAAATTAGGGTTCTTAGTTGATGAAAGCTATTGGGTCCAAATCAATCCAGAGTAGGAACCCGTCATCGACAGAGCTTGGCCAGATATTTTTAAGCGATTGCCATATTCAGACATCACTAACGTACATATGTAGAGTCCAAGTGGCCACATCTACCTGAATCAAGCACAAAAGTTTGAAATTGTTACAGAGAGAGAGAGAGAGAGAGAGAGAGAGAGAGACTCCTTCCTGTACAGATGTTGGGTATAGCTTATTAATCTCTGTGGCTCATTCTATGGGCATTCTTCTCAACAATCTCGCTCAACATTCCCCAGGCGGTGGCAGCTGTCCCTGCCATGGACAACGAAGCCGTGCAGCAGAGGTTGGACCGTGTCCGGACCTACTACGAGCTCCTCAACCTGCCCTTCGATGTGAGTGACCACTCCCTTAGCCGTGCCACCCCCCATCTTTCCAATTATGGAAACCCTCTCTCACTGACCACCCTGATCTTCTTCCTTCTTCTTGCTTCCTCCTTCCTTGTTCGAAGGCACTGCTGGCCTTCATATTGGAGCACGAGTTCCTGTTCACATCGTCGGAGTAAGAATCCGCCAAGTGGCAGCCACCCATTTCGTTTCCACGTATATTGGAGGGCTTGGCTGACGTGGAGCTGACTTGGCAGGTACTTGACCCTCCTGAGAATCAGGGTCCCGGGGAGGGAGATCCCAGATGATGCCGAGAAGCGGGTCGCCGAGATCTTGACCGCTGAATAAGATATTTCCTCCACCAGGTGCTTCAGTTGACGTCTCTCTCTCTCTCTCTCTCTCTCTCTCTCTCTCATCATTTGCCCATTTCTTTATTCTTTCTCTCTCTCTTCCCCTGTTTGAAAGGGGGAGGGGAGGTGTCTGCCCTGTTTCCCTCCTGTTGCTGAGAACCACGGCTGGCTTGTTTTGTATTATTGTGACTGGGATTTGGCTTTTCCTTGTTCTAATAGAGAAGCTTCTCTCTATGGAATTAGAGTTCGATAGAGAGAGAAAGAGAGAGAGAGAGAGAGAGAGAGAGGTTGGTCGTCTTGTGACGTTGTGGAACCCACCAGCCACGTGTACCATTATGGGTAAGGAAAAAGGAAAACTGGGGCCTTTTTTTCTTCAGGCTTGATTTTTAAGGCCAACCTGAAAAAACCAGGCATAGCCTGGGGAAGGGAGAGTGTGTGTGTGTGTGTGTGTGAGAGAGAGAGAGAGAGAGAGAGAGAGCCATGTGTATAATTATGTGCGGCCACGTAGTAACAAAAATAAGGGCTACCCCTGCCACGTGTTTCTTTCAGCGTTTATTTTTGAGTCCCAGAAACCAGGATACATTTGCTATACATATTTGACAGAGACACAAGAAGGACATGGATTGCCACGTTTGATTTTGCTAGAGCCACATCAGCACCCGTGTCAGCTCGCCTCATCCTACGTATGCATTAAATCATTTTAAATAATAATAATAATAATTAGTTGGCGTCCTAGTTGGAAGATGCTTGCGAGTTATTTCCTTACGAAGGTCAAAGGAGGGGATGACTGGTCGTTGAGGGGCATTTCAAGTCTGATGTGGCCCATCCCCACCTCTTCGTCTCCAACGACCATTCCAAGATATTTCTTTTCAGAAAAAAATATTCAAATTTCTTCTTTCGAAAAATTAATTCCAGAGACTGAAAATTCTGAATACTATTTTATCATTCCCATCCAAAATAAATAAATAAATAAATAGTTTTTTTCCAAATTACGCGTAGATCTTAAAAAATTTAAGATCTGGGCCACCCGAGCCGGCCCAAATAGTCGAAAGCCCATAAAATAATTGGGCCTCATAATCTGCATGAATTTTTCTTTTTGTTTGGAAAAAAAGGAGTAATTGTTTGAGCTCTAGTCACATAATTGTTCCAAGAGGATCCATATAGCTTTCTCTCTCTATCTCTCTCTTTCTCTCTCTATAAGTAAATATGTAGAGTTGAATTGACCCTAGCTTTTGTAGGGTCTACGCTTGTTGCACACCTGTGTTTAGCTTTTTTTAATGATTTTTAATTTTTTTACCTATTAAATGTATGATTAATTATATTTTTTTCCTCATTGTCTACCTCCGAAGTGAGAGAGAGAGAGAGAGAGAGAGAGAGAGAGAGAGAGAGAGAGAGAGAGAGGAGCACAAGCCAACGTCATCAGATGGTCGAATGACGGATCTGCTGGAACGTATTTCAATTATTCTCCACATTTTTTCCCAGGCGGCCGCAGGAAGGTGGGGAGGGGGAAGAGAGAGAGAGAGAGAGAGAGAGAGGGAAGCAGAGAGACAGAGAAACAGATCAAAACCACGGAGAGGGAGAAGAGACGGGCTGGAGAGAGGGAGGGAGGGAGAGAGAGGTAAAGAGAGGGAGAGAAGGAATTGAAGGATGCTGGCAGAAGTGGGGAGGGAGGACGAGGAGAAATGGCTGGCAGAAGGGATCGCAGGCCTTCAACAAAACGCGTATTATATGGGCCGAGCCCTGGTATGGATCTCGCCTGCCCTACCCTTCTCTCTCTCTCTCTCTCTCTCTCTCTCTCTCTCTCTCTCTCTGATAGTTCCGGTGGGCGGCTTGGTGAAGGATACCAATAACTTGAGGGACGCACTCAAATACTCGGCCCAGATGCTCTCCGAGCTTCGAACTTCCAAGCTCTCCCCGCACAAGTACTACGAACTCTGTGAGTGTGATTCCCACCTCGCCAATTCGGCAGATTCTCTTCTCGATGTTATCTGTGAGAATGTCAATTTCTGAACGTTCATTACCCTTCCGTGTGTGATCGCCCTTGATCTGCATCGGCCTTTCTGTGTTGGGCAATTTGTCTCCGTCGATTTGGAATAATTTCTCAGAGTCGACTGTTTTTATGTTATGGTAGATATGAGGGCATTTGATGAGCTGAGGAAGCTGGAGATGTACTTCAAGGAGGAGACAAGGCGCGGTGTCTCCATCACAGACCTTTATGAGCTCGTGCAGCATGCTGGCAATGTCCTTCCCAGATTGTAAGCCACGAATGTCCCCTTTCTTTTTGGTTCACAATTTGTGAGTTCTTATAACAACTCTTCATGTCGGACAATCTTGGACTTGAATTTTTGTCTGGTAGAAATAAAATTTCAAAGGAAGCATTAATGGAATCACCGTACCAACTCATTCTTTATTTCACAAAAAATACTCATTTAAATCATGGTTTTAATATTTTCAACGATGAAAAACCCAATGTGGTTAACGGTTTGTTTCTTCCTAGGGCATGAGATATTTCACATGTTGACCTCGTTAACAAATTTAGTCGCTTGATTACGCATTCTGTTGATGATCACATTTGGCTTCATGCTTCTGCAGAATCCATTACGTTTTGAGTTGATTTAGAAACCCTGCAGTGCTGCCTGCTCGCCAAATTTATTTAATCAGAATCACTGATCTTATAGAGAAAATTAGTGAATGAGAAAATGAGGAATGCATTTCTTTGATCTAATTTTATGCTATCTATCAACTAAGAAGATTTTAATTTACTTAGCTAAAATAGTTAGTGTTCGCTCTACTTGTTCTTTTGGACAGCCGCAAGCCTATAATATTATGTCGTTTGAAGAGTTTCTTGGTTTTCTCTTTGCTATGAATTTATTTTATCGGTGAATTCCTGGGGTTTCCCCTCTCTTTTTCCCTTTGACGTAGGTCTCTGGTTCATGACTTAGAGAACTTGTAAAGAGATAGAAGGATGAACAGTATTTTCCTTGCAACCTTACCTTAATATCTATGTGGTTTGTTATCCAGCCGGCATATTTTCCTTGCAACCGTGTTCTCTCTCCCTTTCTTGCTTTCTTGATCTTGGATAAAATGGAAGCTTCATTCTTCTCACAAAGGATGAAGTTGTATCAGTAGGGAGAGCATATGAAAGTAGCAAAATATGTATGTACTTTACAGATGTTTCATTACTTAATATTGCATTTCACGGTGTATGTATGCAGAGGAAATTGAGATTGGGTGGTCTATCTTCATGACTGCGTGAGCTGACAGGTTTTTTCCAGAAAAAAACCGCAGAGAAAGCAAGACTGTCCTGTTGAAAAATAAATAGCCAGTATGATAGTTCATTGAGTCTCCGTGGGGAAGTGGCTTGAGGCTCTTGGCAGTGGTCATGGAACTTCCAGATAACGTTTGTAGCGTTTGATCATTCCCAGGTGGATGGGATATAAGTATCCCGGTTACTGGTTCTTTATGAAGATCAGTACAGTTGTCTATAGAATCACTGGTTTTTGATTCAAAGTCCCTAGATAAGTTGAAAGAGCATATTTATCTCATATTCCATTATTTTCAGGCTTGCTGATTTTGCCTTCTGACATGATAAGGAAACCAAAAGTTTTTCCTCAAGGAAATATTCCTCTAACATGTTTTCTAAAATATTCATCTAGGAAAACATCATTCCTCAGGGAAACCAAAAATCTTCTGTTATCTGAACCTATCCTTAGGTTACTACATGCAAGATACTGATTTCACAACTGAAGATTGCAACGTGTGACATTTCAGGTACCTACTATGCACTGTGGGCTCTGTATACATCACATCGAAAGAAGCTCCAGCTAAAGATGTGCTTAAAGACCTTGTGGAAATGTGCCGTGCTATACAGAATCCTGTTTCTGGGCTTTTCCTTAGGAGTTATCTTTCTCAAATTAGCAGGGACAAGTTGCCTGACATCGGTTCTGAGTATGAAGGGTAAATTCTGTCTACAATTTCCTCATGGTGAAGCTTTTTTTCCCCAATAATCTATACACTTTTTCTCTTTGCTGTTTTGTAACACACTTTTAAATTCGCGTGTTACTTCCTCAAGCTATGCATCTTTTGCTAGGAGGTGCATTTATTGCGAACTTTCATAAGTTTTGTGCCATCAGATCTGCTTTCATCATGGCTTGGGAAATACCTCTCTGGCATTAAAATATGCTATAGTATTTAACTTCGTGAAGTTATTCCTTGCCTCAGATTTGAAATCTTGACTTATTTAAAATTTCATTCTGTCATAGGGACTCCTAAATTAGCTGTCCTCAATCATTCATTGATCAGATGGTTATTATGATCTATTGTTTCTTAGAAGAGATCAATCAAATCTACGAGAAAAACTGCTGCTTAGCTTGCTGACTGACAAACGCCTGTAGGACTAAGATCAGATCCTTGTTTGGAAACAGTTTTCACCCACCTTCTAACGAATGTGATTCTAGGAATGAAACTCGGAGATGTCATCATACTAGCGAGGCTTGATCTCAATCCAATATCATTGCATCAGAAGGTGGATGCTCTTTCGAGGGCTACTACGGAAGCTATCTGGGTTCCAGGAATGACAACTAGGTTGTCTTGATACTTTTTAGGGGAGAAGGGGATGTATTGTCGAAGAGGGAACCAATGGCCTCGGTGGAGATAGATCTCAGGAGATGTGGCAACAGTAAATAAACCCGAGTAACCTGATCCTTGTCTTTATGGTGCCAGACTTCAGGTGAGTGAGGTTTCCACTGCTCAATAACAAGAGATATTTGCGATAGTTTGAGGAGACATGCCTCTCTGGTGGAACTGAGTTAGAGGTATTGAGAGAAGAAGTGAATATTGGCATCCAGTCTGAGTACCGGAGCACCTTTTTTGTTTATAAAAGCTTATAATATTGTCTTTTTGCGAGGAGTCTTGTTGGTTCGTTTAGTGGAACTATCGATCAGAATTCTGTTTCAGTTAATCGATCAATTTTTATTTGTGAAAATGTTAAGCATGTTGCTAGTCTAAGAAGAATAAAGTTGAATTTTCCGTATGTAGGGATGCTGACAGTGTGATTGATGCGGTAGACTTTGTGCTCCAGAACTTCACAGAGATGAATAAACTATGGGTTCGAATGCAATATCAGGTCAGTTTCATGACAAGTCATTTGTTTCAGGATATGGTTGACAGGCAAACAGAGAAATGTACGTGTCATTTACTGTTCTAGGAACTGTAGGTATTGTTTGGTGAAGACTTAATATTGTTTGCTGATCTGAGTTGTTGCCTCGAATTGGGCTCTGGTCTGCAGGGACATGTCCATGAGAGAGAGAAACGGGAGAAAGAAAGGAACGAACTCCGAGATCTGGTAATGTTTAAAGTTCCGAAAACGATGTTGATTAAAACATACAAAGTTAGCATATATTTGACATTTTGCAGATGACCTTTTAAAAAAATTATCCTCTTAGGTTGGCAAGAATTTACATGTCCTCAGTCAACTAGAATCTGTGGATCTGGTTATGTACAAAGAAACTGTGCTTCCAAGGATCTTGGAGCAGGTATGACCTATTATGCTTTTGCATTCTACAAATGAGGATATTACATGGCACATGCAGTGATCAATTTGCAATTGGTTTGACAGGTTGTAAACTGTAAAGATGATTTAGCCCAGTATTATTTGATGGATTGTATAATCCAAGTCTTCCCAGATGAGTACCATTTACAGACCCTTGAAACATTGTTGGGTGCATGCCCCCAGCTTCAGGTAGATAGTTCAATTTGCATCTCATTTCTGCCTAAAGGATGCTATTAATATGTTTTCCCTTCAAAGTTGTGTAGTTATTAATAACATCCAATGTTGAATGTAAAACATTTCTCTTGTTATGAGTCCTGGCATGTGAATGAAGATTTTTCTCTTTTATTTTCTGTAGAATCAATATGGTTATTGAGGTTGCTGAGTTGATCTTTTTTTGTTTTTTTTCAAAAGTTTTGTTTTCTGATGGCTTATTCCAGGCATGTACCACCTGGGACTACTTTACCTGTTGTTTGATGCGAGAGTGATTTATTTTTTTTGCAATTTCCGTCAAAAGTAGATTCTTCCAGATTAGACATATTAAGACGCTTGATATGGGAGTGAATTTAAGGCCCAACTTCCTCTGCACTCCCTCTGCTTCTTGTGATGTGGTTTTATAAGAATACAATGAGCCTTTCAACCAGCTTGCTATATCAGCGTCAGATGTGGGGCAATGCCGTTCAGCTGTCATTCTCTAGTCGATTGATGCTGCCTAGAAGGTTTTGATGTCCGGGGTAATTGAGAATGGCAATTCACTCGCTGGAAAGTTTGCTGGGTCATTGAGTCTGCAAGCCACTCATCCTGGTCCAGGCTCTGACCCAACATTTTCATCACCCTGGGGTGCCACTTTCATTCTGACTGATAGTTATTGCTCCATAAAATTTATAACAAAACCATAAGTTGAAGACTATTACAGTTTTAACAGTTTTGAACCGGAATGAGTGCTAAACTTCTAATGGAAAGAGTCTCAATTATTGTAACATTCAAATTATAAAGGCAGTTTGAAACATCTGATAGGTTCTTCTAGAAGTGTCGAGTTTGAGACATGTAATCATTACAGTGGATTAGTGAAGGTCTAGACTCTTATCTAATGTAAAACTAAGTGGTGGCTTGCTTGCAGCCGTGATGGGGAGGAGATAGAATATTGTTATAGAAAGGCATTTGAAGTTTCCATCAAACCCACTTGTATTGAAAGGGCGAAAGGAAAAATTGTCACATAGTGGGGGTGGACAGGTAAATCATCCTGCAATGTAGGAGCATTTCGAGTGTTTTGAAAGTAGCTGTATCCATCAACTATATGCCTTTGGGCAAATCGTTCATGCATTGAACGGAGTTTTGACTAAAAGCTGTCAATATAATCTAGGTTGGGCCAAGCATTCAATCTTGCAGGGGTTATTGATATCTTCTTTATCCCCCAGGCCATGATGCTTAATTTTTTTGCATTGTGATACTAGTGGTGGGGGGGAGAGGCAACGAATATCTCTCTTTAAATCACTGCTTGGTTCTTAAGTTTATTTGTTTCTTTTTAACAGCCCACTGTTGACATCAAGACAGTGCTGGGTCGATTAATGGACCGGTTGTCGAATTATGCTGCCTCAAGTGGCGAAGTAAGTTTGCAACAAGCAACTTTCCTGGATGTAGATTGAAAGTTCTCTTAGAGATCACACACTCCTGCACACTCCATATTTAAGGTTTATGTAAAACTACCCAGTTTAGAAACGAAATTGTAAGTTTTCTTTCTCATTGTTGAACTTCTAGGTTTTGCCAGAATTCCTCCAAGTCGAAGCTTTTTCCAAGTTGAGTACTGCAATTGGGAAGGTAACTCTTTTTGTTTCCTTTGACGAGTTCCTATTGATATTCATCTTTTGTCCTGTATATTGGCTATTTCCATCGGCAGCGGGTCGTAGTATTGAAACACTGAGAATTTGTATTATTATTTTCTTTTATTTTCAACTCTTAAAAAATGATTTCATGTACAATTTCTTCAGTTTGTAAAATTTCAGAAGCCTACAAATCTCTCAACTAAGAATCATTTGTAGCTCTTGATGAGACTTATATAGCCATCTATTACAGATAGTAAAGACTATAAACATAGAGAGGTAAAACCTATTGATTATGCTATTGAGGTAGATCACATTTTTTGAAGCTTGTGATTTTTCTTTCAGTGATTATCTCAGGTTGAAGAAATCCTGCAGCTCAATAATTTGTTTGGTCTTAACGCCATTTTCAGATTATAGATATTCTGTTCACCAATTGAATGGTTCTTTTCTTCTATTTCTTCCATTCTACTGAGTCTGATCATGACTTCATCATTATTATGAGCATCTTTCTTTAAATTTTGATTTCGTTTGGTTCAGTGTTCGTTACTGCCTTCTGACAGGTTATAGAAGCACAAGTTGATATGCCTATAGTTGGAGCAATAACTTTATACGTCTCTCTCCTCACATTTACTCTTCGCGTCCATCCTGATAGGCTTGACTATGTGGATCAAGTACTGGTAAGGCTGGATAAGATTTCGTTGAAACATTTATGTTACTCTTGGAAGGTGTCCAAAATGATGATTTTTTAATGATAGAGCAAATTCCATGGGCCACAAAAATCAAATCAAGAGAATTCCACAAAAATTCCATGTTATATAAATGCAAGTGATAGAGACATGCTAGTATAATCGTACTTGTCCCTGTGTTTCTGCATTTTTTACATTTCAAGGGAAGCAGTTAGTGTTTGTAATTTGTTGAATTAGTTACTTCTTTGTTTGGTGGAAAATACTTCCGGCTTTACGCCATAGCAGATGTCATGCGTGAAAAGCAGAGTTAGGAGTTTTCGTCAAAAAGAAAGAAAGATAAAGAATAGTATTAATTATTGTATTCAACAAGAATGAATAGAAAATGAGGCAAATCAAATAATAGAATGCAGAAGAAGCAGCTCTGTATCTATCACATGTTGTTAACATGCTGCAGGTTGAATCGTAATTTGAGAATGGCAGAGCCAATTGTTTGACTCTTTATTAAATAACAATTTTTTTGTGTTTGATTTTGAACAGGGAGCATGTGTCAAGAAACTTTCCGGTAAAGCAAAGCTTGAGGACAGCAAAGCCACCAAACAAATTGTTGCACTTTTAAGCGCACCTCTAGAGAAATACAATGATATTGTTACTGCGCTGAAGCTTCCAAACTATCCACGAGTAATGGATCACCTAGATAATGAAACGAACAAAATCATGGCGGTTGTTATTATTCAAAGTATCATGAAGAACAACACTTGTATATCAACAGCTGATAAAGTAAGAATTCCTTTTTATGACCTGATTGCTTTAGGTTTTGTTTTCATAATAGTGCATTATCTGTTTTTCAGGTTGAAGCGTTATTTGAACTGATAAAGGGGCTAATAAGGGATACGGATGGGGGTGCATTCGATGAGGTTTGGCATTATCGTCTCGTTTTCTTCCCAATGAAACATATATTCTTTTCCGTTTCTCTCTGAGTCAGTGATGTCAACATTCACCTTAATGTGGATTATGCTTGACAATTTAAATCTATCCTTTAAGTGAATATCCTCTTTCACTTGAACTTTTTTGTAGGTTGATGAGGAGGATTTCAAGGAGGAACAAAACTCCGTTGCCCGTCTTATTCATATGCTGCACAATGACGACCCAGCGGAGATGTTGCAGGTACATCATGTGTCTCTGATTTTCGTTAATGTATGGTGTAGCTCTTTGCCGTTGTGTTTCAACTAGCTGGTTTTAGAGGAAAGTTGATAACTTATTTCAGAATTGTTTGTCTTAAGTCTTCCTCAACTTGTATTCCAGTTTGACCATAGATCTACCTCGAATCTCTCTCATTGATTTAGCTCTCGAAAAGGTAAAAATGAAGGCTATTTTTCTGTGTTGTGGATGTAGCATGTATCAATGGCAACCTTTTGAACTGCCAATAAAAGGTACCCTGGCCTGCTGAAGTAATGCCTTGATTCCTGTGTGTTCCCCTGGCCAACTAGAATTTTCTCCTTCGTGTAGTGTTCAGCTAGGCTATCCTAATGTGGAGTATAGCGGGGGCAGATTGGAGCCAACGTTGTGAGGAATCATATGCATACCTTTTGAGTAACAAGGAAAAACCCTAGCTTCGCAGGGGAAATCCATTAGGTCCTCCAACCTGCATATCCCACCAGACCACTCCCTCCCCCTTCCACCCTCCCCCAACCCCAAAGTGTCATTCAAAACCTTCACAAAATGTTCACATGTTCTTCTGAACATGTAGTAACTTGGTTGACTTGGTTCTGTAAAATGTCATTGGGATAAACGGTGGGTAGAAGTGGCCGATGTGGAGTCATCTTTTATTTTTTAAAAGACTATTGTGATTTATTTCTCTTTAGCCTGTTTGTTTATCCATCACAATACCAATAAGGTTCGATTAGAAAACTTGGGAATGGTGTGACTTACTTCATAAGGTGAAATATTCTAGGAGCTCGCTGAGTTACGGGTTTATTTCACATCATTTTGGTATCCATGTTTTACAGGCAGCGGCTTGAAGAAAATGCTTTGAAAGATCTCATCGAAGATATTGGGGTAATCATGATTCTAAAATTAGTGCAAGGATGTCTTGAATTTGTGAAACGGGCGTGTTGGTGACTAATGAAGACATCCGAATAGAAACTTCTACTTGCTTTACAAGTTTGACAGCTGTTCTTATGGCCGTTCTTGTTCTCACATGCGTGGAGTGTTGTTTTCTTGCTTGGTTCCTTAGTCCATTCTTCCTCTTTTTCCTCCAATGTCGAAAAATATTAAATTAAAAAATGATACTACTCTTACTGGATAATGGATGATAAATACCTTATTTTGATGGCATAACATCCAGTTTGAAGTTCAAGCTTCTACCTTTTCTATTGCGGATTGAATTTTCCCATTGCTTCTACCGTTAGATGCCAATGATGATTCTGGCATTCCAGCCTGCTTGCTGAGTTTCAAATGCACACTTGGGATGGGAGATTTAATTTTCCTCCATGAAGATTGGTTTCCAAATTCATGTTTTTTTTACTGTTTACTATATTGTACAGGTTAGAATGATGTTACTCTTATTTGATGATTTGATTCTGCATGGTTTTCAGATTATAAGTACAGTAAGGAAGCATATTCTTCTTGGAGGATCCAAACGACTTCCATTTACCGTACCCCCATTAATATTCTCTGCGCTTAAGGTTTGCCTTTGTCCATTTAGACTTGAATATTAAATGCAGAATATGAATGAACCCTGCCATAAATGCGAAGTGTATTACCACCTTCTCTGCTGTGCATGTCCTCAATTACTCTCCATCTGTGCTTTTACCTCAGCTTTTTAAAGCTATGTGAAATACTGCTAATATTGATGTGCACTTGCCGATATTCTATCCTGTAGACATGTGATCGATGATAATTTATTATTTTTTTCGTGTCAATATCTTTAGAGATAGTTCTCAGCTGGCCATTGGCTAGTTCAGGGACAGAGGTTCTGGATTCAATATCTATGGGTATCCAGAACTGCAGGATGTAGGTGTATAGACAAGTCATCACGTACAGTATATCTCGGAGTTCATTGAAAATCAACAGGTTTCTTTATCATGTCGAAAAATAAATAGTGATTATCCCTCTAAGCGTCCTAGCTGTTATTTTTGTAAAGAGTTCTGACGCTGAGCCGGATGCATCACACTATGACATTAAAAAATTTCATCGAATTGAACTTTGTTCTAAATTTTATTGAACATGTTGGCATCTATTTTCTACTTGTTGGGAAGGTCTAGGACGCTGTAGTTATTCAAATCTGGCTGGGATATTTTTTTATTGTTAAAAATTCTTGTTATCATCCTAGACTTCCAAGTTGTCAAACGTATGTCCAAAACCTACCACTTGCTCACTCCCTTCTGTGCTCAACTAGAACGAAACTCTTATTCCTTTATCGGCCCCTGTTTTCAGTGCATTTTTAGTTGTATTATGCTTTCTCCTTAATCTAAGCTGGCTTCTTTCCTTAATATTCTGTCCTTGTTGCATTCAATGAAGCCAATGGGAATGATCTATCGTGTCCTTATAGGGAAGATTTTTCTTTTTAATTCGTTGTTTTCCGACCACTATAAATGGTTATATCACGTGCTAATGAATACGCGTCTTGAGACAGATCCTTCAATGACGATTTTAAGTAAACTTCTGAAATTAAAAGATCATGACAGCTGGACATGTATGTGCTGCCATAGCGTTATTAAATGTCATATCTTCAACTTTTTTCGAATGATTGTGGTAAAGAAAGTTTCTCACTGATTTTTTTTTTATAATGGTTAATGTTTCTCCGTTGTTTTTCTCTGGTTTTTTTTGTGGTGATATTTTAGCTTCTTGATTGGATTACTAGTCCATAACATCTAAAGAACGTCGTCACATAACAAAGAAATCATACTAATGCCTGACACATTACTTGTTTTATGAATATTTATATTTGTTATATGTTTTCTGAGTCATCCTATTTACGTTTCTGCTAACAAATGCTGTTGTGTCCGACACTGCCTTTCATCGTATACATCATTTCAATGATGACAATCTCACATTTCCTCATGATATTTTCAGTTATAGCAGTCTAAGATTTTTGTCCAGATTCCAGAGTTTCTCCCATGTCATTCAGTTTATGCTCGCGAATGCTTCAGCTAATGAACTGGTTTTCTTATTTATTATATCATGTCCAAACTTTGCATATTCAATAATGTAGGTATTGTTTTAGCTCCCACTTTTTAATGGTATCTTATCTCTTTTTGGTTGTGGTGGACAATTCTGCTCTACAGTTGGTCAGACGGTTGCAAATTCAGGCCGGAGATGTTGGAGAGGATGCTCCTACAACACCAAAGAAAATATTTCTGATTTTGAACCAGGTGAAAGTCTTATGTACTTGATCCCATAATTTACCTCTATTGATACAAATTCATCATCTTCATGAAGCAATTTGTGAAGCGATTCTTTACTTGACATCTTTTTAGTATGCATTTATTAACTGGGGATAGTGCCACCAATGTATATTTACTAAATATTGTCGATTCAGTCCAGCTCATGCATGCCTTAATCAAGACCCAAATTGATCTTTTTCAGTGAATTTTGCTTCCATAAGCACACTTCTTCTCATGTGTACACGTTTTAGTTTTATTCTTCGAGTGATCTTCAAAATTGGATTTTCCTCTCCATCTTAGCCTCAATGGAAGCAAGCTTATACATCCTCTAGGTCTCTAATTTTTCTTTTCTTGTTTTGGAAATTGTGTTTGTTTTCAAATGCAAAAGAAGACTTATATATCTTTCTTGTATTCATCACTTTACTTTCATTTTTGCCATCTCAGACAATTGAGGCCTTATCAGCTGTTCCATCTCCAGAGCTTGCTTTAAGGTTATACTTGCAATGTGCAGAGGTAGGCCACGGTTTGTTTTGAGTTCCTCTTTTGGTTCCTATCAACCACCAACTCTCCTCATTGTTCCTTTCTTACGTTTAACGTTTGAGCTTTCCTTTTCAGGCTGCAAACGACTGTGATCTCGAACCTGTTGCATATGAGTTCTTTACTCAAGCATTTATATTATACGAGGAAGAAGTTGCAGTAAGCATATGGAGTTCATTAATCACCATGAACATGATTCATTCCAAACGATGGAAGATAATATGATGATTGATTTCCGTACTATTTGGTTCATCTGCATTGTGTTTGCCTTCTGAAGTCGAGATCTTCTCCCTCCAGGACTCAAAGGCACAGGTCACCGCAATACACTTGATAATTGGAACGCTCCAGAGGATGAATGTTTTTGGCGTTGAAAATAGAGATACATTGACACACAAGGCCACAGGGGTAACACCATTGCTGCCTTTTATGCATCTTCAAACTGCCCAGAAGACATGCAATGGAAGTTGTTTCTCACTCTACGTTTTTTCAGTACTCTGCGAAGCTTTTGAAGAAGCCAGATCAGTGCAGAGCAGTCTATGCATGCTCACATCTCTTCTCAGTCGACGATCAGGATGGCATAAAGGATGGAGAAAGGTACTGGCACGTGTTAAATGAGGGGGGGGGGGGGGGGGGTTATTTGCATATTATGATAAATTGAATGAGACCATGTCCATTCTATACAAGCACGGACGTCAACCTTCTCAATCTCCAAGGTCTCTGAGCTTCTGAGCTCGGCTTCTCCTCTGGGCATATTATCTAGCAGCATTCTGTGTAATCTAAGATCACACCTTCGTTTTATTTTCTTCTGATCATCCTTGCATATACATGACTAAATTGAGACTTATTCTTGGTTGTGCTTCTCAATGAAAGGAAAAAAAGGAGTTTTTTTACTATAACCCATTATGGGCTAGAAGAAGAAGTTAGGGAAGTAGGTCGTATTAGGAAAGTATATCATCAGTTGAATTAGGCTCCACAAAATCTGTTGTACTTTCTTGCAGATTTTGACGAAGTGCTACGAAATTTCTGTTTTCCAGTAATTCACGAGAAACTTCTTACTGAAGTTGAAACACCCATGTTTGATGCCTAATTTGGGATTCAATGTCGTCTGTTAAATTTCGTGATCTCCTCATCCTCGGTCTCTTCCCTCACTATGGAAAAGGAAATGATTGCCTATGCATGCATCGCTCTGGGAGACGTTCGTTCTTCTCTTATATTCCCTCCTATGAAGATCACCATCCCCTCTCTGTGCAATTTCTTCATGCCAGGGTTCTCCTCTGCCTCAAGCGTGCCCTGAGGATTGCAAACGCCGCCCAGCAGATGGCTAACGTGACACGAGGCGGCAGCGGGCCCGTCACGCTCTTCATTGAGATTCTGAACAAGTAAATGAGTCAACTCCTCGCTGAAGAATGATTACTCTCAAACCATTGGCAAGAATATAGAGAACCCAATTCAAGCGCGCCGCTTCTGATGTTTCAGGTACTTGTACTTTTTTGAGAACGGGAACCCCCAGATCACAAGTTCAGTGATCCAAGACCTCATCGAGCTGATCATGACCGAGACCCAGAGTGAGAGCACGGCTGCCGACCCATCAGCCATCGCCTTCTTCAACAGCACACAGCGGTACATCCGGTTTCAGAAGCAGAAGGGTGGGGCGCTGGGCGAGAAGTACGAGCCAATCAGAGTCTAGAGTCTTCTTTCACTGGAGATGTGTAAAGTAGAGGGCTTGGAAGCTCTTTGGAAAGGCTGCAGGATTTCTAGATGAGCTTCCTGGCTTCTTCATCTCCTCCACACCCCCCCTTGAGGCTGTTCATCCTTCTCCCTCCCCTGCTTGAGCATCTGATCACATCGTCTTCTTCTTTCTTCTTGAATATTTGAAAGGCACCAAGATCAGATCCCTATATGCTGCTTCTCCCATCGGTCCACATCAAATATATTATTTGGTTTGGATGGACTCAAACCTACTGGAATCAGTCGATTTTGGTTTTTTAGAATAATGGGTTTTCCAAAATAAGTATTTTTCCTTGTCCCCCTCTCCTCTAGAAAAGTGAATAAAAAAAAAAGGGGATCAGATTGGGCAGTGAGTGATGGTTCACATGAGCTCTGAATGAAGAGATGCCTGGCATTCACGAGGAGAAGATCTTGTAATCTTTGGTGGCTTCCGTCAAAGAGCGTTTTGAGTACCACGTTCAGTACATTATTTCTACTTGTGAATGAATTGGTAGATAAATAGAGAGGAGAAAGCATATATTGGCACTGAGAGTCACAAGATGCTGGATTAACTTGAGAAGGACCACTGGGAGGTCTAGCGCATGCTTCTTCCTCAGCTGGGTCATTGGTGGAAGAATCCCAAAAATCTGGTCATTTCATCTGTGATTTGTGGGTGCTTCTTTAAGGAGTTTGAGTGAGATCTCTGAAAATAAATGTTATCTGTCATTGGTTCTTAAGTAGGAGGATACGGTCATCTGAATGAGGGGCTTTGAATAGTTTTGACACCCTTTAATATCTATCATTTTACTAATTTTCATTTATTTTTGTAGTTAAGTATAAATAACTAATGATGATGCTTGAAGTATTAAGTACAATCCAAAGATCAAATATTTAAAGAAAGGATAAATAAAAAAAATGTACATAATTTTTTAATGGTTTTGACATCCTTTAAAATCTATCATTTTGCTCATTTTATTTCTTTTGTATTTCATTAATATATAATTAATGATGATGTTTGAAGTACGAAGTACCATCCAAAGATCAAATACATAAAGAAAGGACAGCTAACAAAATATGTACATCATTTTTTAATTGTTTTGACATCCTTTAATATCTATCATTTTACTAATTTTTAATTTTAATTATATTTCTATAATATGTATGAAGTACCATGCAATAATCAACTCTAAGAAAGGAAAAATAAGAAATATGTACATCATTTTATAAAGGAAGCATGGAAAAAATGCTGGGACATCTAATCTAACTGCTAAGAGATTGGAACCATTTAGGATTAGTTGAAGTCCACTCTCAAAGAAGGTCAGGGCCCATTTTTGGTGGCTTAAGATCCTTGTTACTGATGAACCCAAGCCCATTTTAGTGGTGGAACCAAACAGTTAGATATTAACCTCTCTCTTTCTTTCTCTCTCTCGCTGTCCTACAATGGTGCGTTTGTGACGGTCAGTTCACTGGTCCCTTCCTAGTCATAAAGCCCAGGTCGTCAGAGGCTTCTTGGTTCCCAAACCAATCCGTATCCAACGTATGAAAAATGCCTTTGTCTATGCAATGGTTGCACCACATTGCTCTTGAGATTCAAAACTACATACAATGGACGGCCCAAGTTCTCTCTCTCTCTCTCTCTCTCTCTCTCTCCCTCTCTTTCTCTAATAAAGATCACTAGAAAAAGAGCCTCACCGGACCCATATATTTAATGGTTATTTAAAGCATTCACCAAGGTTTTTAGTCTAAAGCCCCCATAAAATTGTTCAATGATGAAAAGTCAAAGTGAGCTTCCATTAAATCACGCCATGTAGCCAGCCCCCTTAATTCATCGCCCTCCTTAACTAACAAGGATAGCAAAATAATGAAGAGCGCGCTCACAACCCTTGTAGATGGATTTTTTAGGTTTAGGTCCTCACAACTTATTGAAATGACGAGTATGCATTCAGAACCTGCAACTCAAAAACGTTAAATATAGGAGCAAATTTGTCGTTTCAGAAGTTTTCCAGAGGATCGACACAAAAAAGATGCCTCACATTATATCCGTCATACACGCCACGTGTCATGTGGGCAGGCCGTTTACCTGTCAGCGTGCTCACAAACTTATTGAGAATGATGAATGGGGGTACTCATCATGGAAACAAGGCCGAAAAAAAGGGTAGTGACCCAAAACCTAAAAATACAAGGGCGAATCACATATTTAAGAAGTTAGAGAGGACTTGGACACAAAAAAAATCCCCATATGATACATAAACACTCCATAATACACGGCATATTTCATGGAGGTAAGCTCTTTCAGTTTTAGGTCCTCTTAAATTTACCGAATGATGATCATGGGGTCTTTGGAGAGACCAAAACATCAGATATAGGAGAGCATTTTTCAAATTTAAGAAGTTTGAGAGGACTCGGACACAAAAAAAAATGAAAAAAGGAAAAAAAGAAGAAGAAAACCCATCTTGTACACACCCTAGGATACAGGCCATATACATGCCATGTACATGCCATACAAGAGAGATGGGCAAATAGATCATAATAAGTGGCAATAAGGTAAATAGATGCCATTCTAATTCCAAAAAAAATGCGAGGAGATTTGGCTGTGATGATGTGGATGATCGAGAGAAGGAGAAATCAGGGGCTGCTGGGAACAGCTAAGCGGAGCTTCTCAGGACGAGAGAGATGACGCAGCCGAGAACCGCTCCAGCAACGACCTGCATTAGCCACAGGATTCCTCAAATGGGCCAAATCTAGAGAGCATTCAAGAAGCAGAGGTGTTTCCATCGGATCGGAAACCCATTTGAGGAGTGAATTAGCCACAAAATCTCTCTTATATCTACAGAACATTTTAACCATCATAAGCTTCCGCGTAATGTTTACTCTGATGATTGAAAGATTCATGCAAGTTTCACTCTATGGTCATCAAGGATATTCTCTTCTATGAAGCCTGGCCCTGGTCGATATGGACCTATTTAAGAGAGAGAGAGAGAGAGAGATGGGCTGCCATATCATGTAGGAAGAAAAAATGGGTGCTAAGCCTCTGGATGGATCCTATCACATTTCCATTCCGAGCCTGGATTTCAAGGAGCCAAGTTTATTAATTGGCAAGCAGTTAACTCTGGGAATTACAGGTATCATACAGAGAAAGTAAGCTTTTCAGGAAGACTCTGAAAAGGGATTAGTCTGCCGGAGGGTCTCCCATATTACCCGTTAGAATAGAAACCCATTATTCACAGCTCATAGAAGGAAGAGATCCCTGATTCATGACACTTGCCAAGCTGCCAAGTCTAAGAATTACATCTCTTAGTCAGAGAAAGTAAGGTTTTTTTTTACTGATATCACAGAAAGAAGAGTGCATTGATTCACTAGGCCTGACAAAATCTGAAGCCTGAGACTACATCTGTTATTCTGCCAAATTAACCCATTTTGGAGGAGATTTATCAGCTAGACGGCACCCCATACTACCCACAAAACCCCCCATCTCTCGATTTGTCTCATAAATCCGTTAACAAGTGTCCTTTATGTTCCATGTAAAACATGAAATTACCGACTGTCAAGCATGAAGTTAGAGAAAAAAAGAAAAAAAAGATGACCATTTAAATATTTAGGATCCTGAGACTTTGTTGAGCAACAAGAAAAGGTCAATACTATCCTTTCCTTTCCTTTCCAAAGAAATGACAGATGTGCCCCCAATTCTCAATGCCCAAGGTGTTATTGTTCCCCCAGATGACTGAAATTCCTCACCAGAAACTGGTCTCTAGGAAGTATGCTACCACAAAGACAAGTGAAAGAAGAAGAGAATGATGCCGTAATCCAGTTTGTTTCGGGTGTAGGAGGAAATATACAGCATATACATATAAAAGGTGCTCGTCCCAGCATGGCATATGCAGACAGTATCCTCTTTGGGGTTAAAATAATATCAAAAATATTACGAGGCCATAAAACATTTAAATTCGGTTTGATTGGAAATTCACAGAAGGATTCAACCCCAGAATAAGGCTGCATGATACCTGAAATGGTGTGTGGCCAAGGGGTTCTCGTAAAGGTCTGACATTTGACAGGGGGTGCTCTGGAGGGAACTCGCATACTATTTGATTCAGCAGCTGTTACAGCCATAAATTTAAAAAAAAGCCCATCAACATACAGTCTACATAGTTGGCTTGCTTAGAAGAACAAGTTAGGAAGAGAATTCGCAGGATCCAGAAAAAGAAAAAGCAATACCCCATAGCGTATGAGGTTTTTTTTTAACAGGTATCAAGAAAAGATCAAACGTCCCAACCAGGTTCGAACCAAAATATTTTCACTCAAGTGATAGCATATCATCTCCAAGGTTTACGATGTGATTGATTCATTGCCCACGGCTAAATGGCACAACAGTATCCTAAGATCACTCCGGAAAACTATTAGCACATAAAGATTTGGGTATCACAAAGTTTGTTCATGCACAAGAATCACGATAAAGGAGCCAGTCTCTCACAGACACTTCCAGAAATTCAAAACTAGTAGAATCGGCGGTTAACATTGGCTGGTTGATAATATAAGGTACATCAGCTTTCTTTTTTACTCCTCCAACCACCTCCTCCCAACTCTTTTTCATATAATGATGAAATTACTTTGCACAGAAGTAACACACATTCCAGAAAATGGCAATACCTCAGCCTGGCGACCTGCATGCAGCCGAATCCCCGATGCATCGTACATAACCTGTATGTTACATTCTCCAAGAGGTCAAATACAACTGTCATTGCGAGAGAAACACTAAAATTTATAAGATTACTGGAGAGGATAGAAATGACAGTCAGCATCTATGGCAACAAAACCGTTCACCACGGTATGGATATTCATTCAAGATCGTCAAACCTGTAAATGAGATACTGATCTTCTGTCATAATTTTAGGATATCAGAGATCAGTGCTATGTGAAGCATTCAGAGTTGAACCCGTATCAAAACACAGGCAACATAGTCTGACATCCGAAGTCGCTGAATAATCAATTAAACTCTCCAGGATGAAATGATCTAACTAAACAATTCATAGTGAGTAATGAAACGACACATTGATCTCACAGACTCCTTGTAAAAGTTTTCATAAAAGTTTTCTTATAATTTGTAAACGGGATAGTATAATTCCGAACGTAGTTTATAAAGGTATCATAGCAACTGAATGCTTTTGTGGATATGCTTCGACATAGGTTGCATTTATAACTTCGCCAACCAATCAGATCTTCTCAATTTCACATTCTTCTCAATTAATAAAGGAAAACAAGAGCATTTCCACACCCAGAGGAAAAAAGGCAAAAGGTCTCTCATTTCAACAAGAATGACGAGCTCAAAACCAGGACCATATACACTTTTATGGGATAAAGAATGGTCGCCACTAATTATTTCAAGTTTATTACAGAATGAAGAAATTACTAACGGGGGTTAGATACTCACAATACTGAGTTCTAGCTAGTTAGACATGCAATAGGGTAGATTTTTTGGTTCTAGTTGATAGGTTGTACTATTCGGTTCTAGTTGATATGCGATACTTCAGATTGTCAGATAAGGTATAGAAGAGCATCACCTGAAATGCATGACTAGCACAACATTGTTTCCCACTATATGGTAAGGAATAGACCAATAATTCAACTGATTACGCAAAACTGCACAACATTGACAAGAATGGTAATATTAAACAAAATAAAATAAGGTCATTTATTGGTAAAGCACATACAATGACAGAAAGAACCACTGCAAGGGCAAATGAAGACGCCCCAACCCCGTCCCGGAGGCCTATTGCTACAGCGAGTGCTGCCACAGTCGCTGAATGTGATGATGGCATTCCACCTGATGCAATCAATCGTTTGGAATCCCATCTCTTCTCCTTGTACCTGCATGTCTAGGATGAAGACATTAAACGTGAGAGATGAGGAGGGTGGAAGCAATCACGTAGTAAATCTCAAAGAAGGTATAGCATAAAATACGAGGATAACAGGCTGAGGATCTAAGGAATTTTATTTCATTATCGAGAAAGTAATAATACGATAAGGCAGATAACTAAAGCCTTGCACTATAGCAAAATGAAGGAAGACACAGACGAGAATATTCTTTCTGAGTGCCACTGATGTACATTAAAAAACAACTGCAAGATAGAACTAAATGAAGAAAAATTGTGTAAAACACAATATCAAATTGAATTAAAGTAATCGGTAAAAACGCTGGATCGCTTAGCAACTGATTTAATGCTAAAATTTATTAGCATCATCCAAACGCAAGAACCGACAGATCAGAATGAAAGAGCATACTTATGTCTACTTTTGCGATCATTACACTTAGAAGGATGAAATTAAAAGCACTAAACTTCATAATAATATACAAAAAATTATAAATTGTCCTACATATTCCAAAGGTGACTCAGATGACAAGATCCGTTTCAATGACAAAAGTTCACTTGAAAGAAATTTGGGAAAGAGGGGAAAAGAGATGCAGGAATGAGACAAACAGAGTCAGGCTGGTAATTGATTATTGCCGGGGACATAGGTCAGGTGGGTTAAAGCCAAATAAATAATGTGCAGTTTGCGTAATTGGCAACAGTAAAACATCCTCTGAAAAGAATGAGGATGTTCCACCAATGAAGAAATAAGATTAGTATATACTATACTAGCAGTGTGAGATACTTCCACCATCATTAAATAAACTGGAATAAAAATAAAAGGATACCGAGACATGTTACTAGGGTTCAAGGGATCTTTTTAATCAGTGAAAAGAAAATAAATGATCAAAGAGGCGAAGAACTCCGCATGACTGTCATGAAAAATGATAAAAAAGAATGAAATATTACCCCAATTTCTACACAGAATCAGGGCTCAATCCAAACATCAAAACTTTCAGGGATGTCTATTGCCGTTGAATATCTCAAAACTAGAAAAGGATAACATAACATTACAGATAAAAAAAGGAGACGTTGACACTGGAAAATAGATTTATGCCCAGATCAGTGTGCAGATATAAGGAATTTAGAAAAATAAAAATCCAAGACCAGTCCCCAGCATCATCTGCGAGGACAAAAATAAGAAAGAGAGAGGGAGAGAGAGGGAGGGAATAATGGGAGAGCGCACCATGTTGTAAAGACCTTGAGGAACTGGGCCACCGCGAACGCAAGGAAGGCCGAGAGAAGAGGGAGGTTCGTCGGCAGGGACGTGCCTCCCCTCGGCGCGGCGGAGGAAGACGACGACGAGGCCATGTCCGCTGCCGTCAACACCTCGTTCATCCCCAACGCTCTCGCCACAAAGGAGATCTTCCTGCTTCCTCCCTCCTTCCTCTCCTTCTCTTTCCTCTTCCACGCCGAAGATCTCTGTCCGATCTTTCTCTCTCTCTCTCTCTCTCCTCCTGTCTCTCCTGAGACCATCGCATTTATTGCATTCATAGGAAGTGCTCAAAATGAATAAAATTTCAAAGAAAAATAAATATAATATTTTCTGTTCGTTGAAGCTTCGAATCTGATCCCGTGCTGACTCGGACCTCTCTCTCCAGCCCATGCGACTTACTCCACGGGATGACGAATCCGCCATTCGCTTCACGACACGTGGCATACTCCCCTGGCTTCCTTGACCTGGCAATCCCACCTATCGGCTGCCCTCTTCCGCCAGCTTGGTCTCTTCGTTGGTTAGCCGACGTGGGTGAAAAAAGCGGGGCCCAATTTCGGGCCCCACCATTTAAAATTAAGGCTTCTCACATTGACGTCACCCGGGTAAGTGAGAGAGAGAGCAAGGGCGGCCCATTCGTATGCCTCGGTAGGTCTTCAGAACCTGAAGAACACAGCTTGAGGAAAGCTTTCCTTGTCAAATTTAGACTTCACTCCAATAAGAGAAGGGGGGGAGAGATGAGAGAGAAATGGGGGAGAGAGAGAGAGCATTCGTAACATAATACCCCTAGTGGGCTTTCAGAAACCCTAGAATTTCTATTTTTTTTGCCTTTTTTGGCATTTGGTCGTCATCACCAAGCTCTTCCGGTGTCGATCCATTCCAGCTGCAACTCCACCTCGCCACATTCGACGTCTCTGAGCCTCAGAATCATGTCCTGGATCACCTTCCCATTGCAGAGCCGGATCTTGCTCTCGCTCACCAGCGCGCTGTTTGACTCGGGAGTCACGACCCTTATCACTCCCGAAGGGTCAACGCCACCCCTCCTCGCCGCCACCGTGGCTTCAATGAGAGGCCCAATGTCAACGTCTGCCCTCCCCATGGGGTCGTCTTGGGAGAAGGTGTCCTTGTCGAAGACCTCCTAAAGTCGTCAAGAAGACAGAAGGAACGCGCCCAGAAGATCAAATGTCGTCAACTGATCATGAAATCGCTCATTAAAGGAAAAGGAAAAAAACACACATCGATTATTTCTAGATTAGGAAAGGTCAACGAGCACAGAAGATCACAGCCGATGGGAACATACCAGCCTGACGGGATCAGTCGTATCCTGTACGTACAGGCTCAAATCCTCGTTCCACTCTGGGTTCACGTCTTTTTTAATAACCCGCGACTTTACTCTCTGACATTAAAAGAAAGACAAAGATAGAAGAGAAAAGTCAACGTTTCTGAACAAATAGTTCTTGAGGTCACCGCCCATTTGTGGAAATGTGACGGTAGAAAATATCAGCTGGTAATATTCTACTTGCCATGGAAACTTTCTCGAGAAAAATGCATGACTTGGTTTTCTGTGTTTAGATTATTTATGCTTGTTCTATATGTAATCAGACTTGGGTCAACACAAGTTGGCCTAGGTCAACACCCAGGTTGACTTAATTGAGTCCGCACCGGTATTCATCATAACGAGAAGGACTGTGAGATTTATAGTGGTTTGACTTTATCTCCACCTACGTCCAGTTTCTAATGGATACCATCCCAGGATTTATTTTTTTTAAGAAAATGTATGTGAGAATAATCAGATCTTTAGAAATATTTGATAGAAATTATGATCTGATACACTGTGCGTGCAGATTGTGGGCACCTGATTAGTCGTCGGGCCACTTCACCGGGTTGACTTTGTCCCCTTGAAAGCAATCCCAAGGGTTGACCACTGCTAGCGTGGGTCTTAAGGCCACTCGAGGCTCTACTATATAGAGTTTCTACAGGTGGATTCCCACGGAATCCGGGCATCAGATCTTATTAATTCGACCTACCCCTTGAGCTCAGACGTCTAAACGACTCTCTCTCTCTCTCTCTCTCTCCCTCCTTTCTCTCTTCCCTCTCTGTCTCTGTCTCTGTCTGTCTGTCTGTCTGTCTGTCTGTCTCTCTCTCTCTCTCTCTCTCTCTCTCTCTCTCTCTCTCTCTCTCTATCTATTTTTATTATACCTGGCATTCAATCCCATGTCCTCATATTGAGACTCTTCTATGCGCCCCAATAACCCGAGTCAGGTCAGTACGGGCTGACTTGGGATTACCAGGTCCCATCTAAGCCCAATCATTCTCTCTTTCTCTCTCGCTCGCTCGGTGTTAATCTCCGCCAGAGTCCGCCCATCCTCTTCCCTTCAATTAGTCATTCGATTTCTCCGCCAATCCCTCCTGTCTGTGATCGAAAGGATCGGATGAGGCCGTGCCGGCGGTGCTCAATCTGATCGGAATCTGTAGGCTGCGCAGCACGGGGCAGGATATTCCGCCGCGGCAGGGAAGTAGGGTTTGCAACGGAGAGGAGCCTATCTTCCTCCCTCTCGCATCCCTAGAAATTGGATCGGAGGCCGCCTATCCGACCCCCGATCTGCCGCCTCCGAGCACTGATCCTTCGTCCTTCTCCTTCTTCCCCCCTCCGTCCTCCATCGCGGCCATACTCCAGCAGATTCAAAGCAACAATCGACGCCATGGATGGATATAGGGATGGAGAGAGAGAAAGAGAGAGAGAGAGAGAGAGAGAGGAGAATAACCTTGTTCCTGGTGCTGAGGATGACGTAGGGATCACTGCCTCGGACGTCTCGCATGGCGAGGTTCCTCCCCCTGATCACCCGGATATTCAACAATCCGGCCGTCGCTCGCCCTCTTCTCATCGTCTTCCTCTTCCTCCCCGCTTCCAGCCGGTGGTCTCCCGGCGGGTGGGAATAGAATCTGGTATGAACGCATCCCGTGGTGTAAGTCAATGGAAGGTACATATAAGGACAGTCATGACCAATCCCAACTTGACACGCGATCCTTCCTCCTCTTCACACGCCCCCCCTTCTCTCTCTCTCTCTCTCTCTCTCTCTTTCTTTCTAAGGAGCACGCGGAATGGATTATCCCTCTGCTTTCTATCTGTAGTCCACTGCATATTCTCTCTCTATGTGCTTTCTAAGGAGCACGGGGAGTGGTAGAGAGAGAGAACATGGATCACACATACATTTGTACAGTCATGTTGTTTAGGAGAGCGTCAGCCATGGCCTAGTTATCTTTACAGGCCCCATAGAAAACCAAATTAACCGTTCTAGGAAAAGATCTAAAGATGGCGGCTGGCCCCACGGTAAGATCAGACAGCTATCACTACCACTTTTTTATAAACCGAGTCTTCATGGGGAAATATTTCCGCTTCTTCCATACACAGCAATCCTGTTGTCAAAATTTTCTCCAACCTCTACAAACCGACCGAATGCCACCCAAACCACCCCTCCCCAACTACCTCCATTCAGAAAATACTGACGGGGAAGTGATGCACAAAGAGAGAGAGAGAGAGAGAGAGAGAGAGAGAGAGAGAGAGAAAGCTGGCTAATCAAGAAAACTTTGAAAATTTTGAAACCCTAGGTTGCCTTAGTTGTCACCAACCTATTCCACATAAACCCCAAGATTGCTTCTATGACTACTCCACTATATAGGCAGATCTTGCTCACACCTACCAAGTAGTTATTTTGGCTGTGTTTCAGAATCCTAATTTATGTGATTCTTCTACAAAGTTTTTCTTTATTGAATGGTATAGGTAATAATCAAATGGATACAAGTAATTCAGATGGCTCATGAGATCACCTAATAATTTACATGGTTACTAATGTTGCACAAAAATCTAGTTTAATTCTATGAGGTTCTCTAACAATTCTATGACTAATCTAGTTCAAATTTCTAATAATCTACAAAAGTTAGCATAACTGGGATATGAGAGGTGTTGATTAAATTTAGACAACATTAGGAATCAAGAAGGAGTTGAAGTAATCTTTTATTGATTATTAATAATTTGATAATAATTTCCTAAATTTTATTCACACAAAATTTATAATCGTTCAATCAACTTGACCTTCTCTATTATCTAAGGTAAATTTCCTTAAAATCCACTAAGAAAATGATTTATATTTAATACAAAGACTTAACCATACTAGTAATTTGATTTAATAATCTTGAGGCAACTCGAGTATTTATTCTTGAGACTTTATAGATTCAGAACTCTTTGTTAGGTAAACAAAATTGATATCCTCCTAATCTCTTTCTAGGTTTACAACTAAGTCAAATAAAAGTAGATAGTGATCTGATGTGAAATAAAAAATAATATGGGCAACAATTAACTAAAGGGAGGTGGGGTGCTAGAGGGTGTTCCTAAATTGTTCTAACAATATTGAATTGAGGTTAGTGTCAATCTTGTTAATAAATACTATAAAAAGGAACATCATCTTCTTAGATAGGTGGTTAGAGGCTCCACTTTGATGGATAAAAGGGTGAGAGATCAATAGATAAATTAGGGAGTCAAAAGAAGGTTTTGAGTGGTTATTATGGTAGAATTAGGATTAGTTATCATAGTAAGAGAGGTTATGTTAAATTTTAGGATGCATTTTGATCAAGAAATAGAGAGGGTTATGCTGATTGATCCTAATCTTGAATTATGCTCAATTTTATAAAATTATTTGAGCTCCTTTCTCTAATTCTAATCTTAGAAGATAGCCTAGATATACCCTTGTTTGGATTATGAGTTTTATAATAGGTCAACCCTATTATAATTCCACTTTCTATAAACATCATGTTTGTGTTCTCCTAAATCATTTTGTTTAGTAGTAAATACTAATTATCAAGTTTACTCACAGATTTTCACCCCAAAAATTCTCTTCAAGATTCTTGGTTATAGGAGGTCCACTACCAATCATAGTAATCAGCTCCTAGAGTGATTAACTCAATATTTAGTCACAACTTTTTTCCTCAAAAAATAAAAATATATTTTATTGTAAGAATTTTCTAGTTGTTGGCGTTTTGGATATTTGACAAAGGGGATACTGAATTTTGCTTGATTTTATCTCTTCTTAAAGTAGGGAAGGTTTGTGAATATGAAAGACAATGGCATTTAAATTAGGTCAAGAATGATCTTATTTAACTGAATATTGCTCTTAAACTCATTGTATTCTTGTTGTTTGATAAAAAATATTTAATTCACATGTAATTCTAGGCAAAAAATGTTAGAAAGGTTCTCATGATGGTAGAGAGATGAAGGATGACCATTGTGAACTACTTAGCTATTGAAAAGAGGCTGAATTTATAGATATATATTTTTTCATTGTTCTTAATGATAAATTATAAATTAGTTAATCTGAATGGTCAGATATCAATATAACATTTTCTCCCAGGTTAATATATCATCTAAGAGGAATAGAATGAGTCAACATGATTTGTCTTAAACATCTTCAACAACTAAGAACTAACATATATATCCTAAGCACATCAATTCAAATGAGTTTGTAATAATTTGCTTCAGTTAAAATAGAATTGAGATTAAAAATCAAAATAAAGTATTTATTTTGCATTCAAAATTAATTCAAATCACCTCAAAGAAATCATGGATATAAAGTAGACATACTAAAGCATTAATATTTAATTAATATTAAAAAATATTCTTAAAATCTTATGTGACTATTAACGTGACTTATCATTGTAAAGTAAATCACATAAATTTAAAATTTATAAAACTAGAAAATACTAATTTTTAAATATTTAGAAGTATTTTTAAACAAATAAATCAATTATAATTCAATAAAAATTCTAAAAATAGTAAAAATTTTCTAGGTCAATCATAGTGATGTAATATAATATATGGTAATATTTTAGAATTTTTAAAAAATAATATAAGTTTTTATAAATTTTAGACTATGAAATAAAGATAAAATATATTTAAAATTTATGAAAAAGGGAAATAAGGGTGCGGACTTCAAAATAACATCAACACTCGACGAATGTGCATGGGATGAAAATAGAATTTTATCTGATGATTCTTACATAAGTAATTATAGATGATTTAGTTAGTCAAATTAGATTTATAAAAACAAGAATAATTATATTGAATGAAGAGTAGTTTGGAAAATTTAAATCACATAAATTATCTTTAAATGAAATAAAAATTAAGTCAAAAATAGGAAAAGTAGAGTTCTAGCCTCACGATAGCAATTACTAGAATTCAACATGTTCAAGAGGGTCATCGAACAATATCTATAACTTTAACGGCTCTCCTTGGACATAGACGATTTGAGCATTTATTAGATCTTTTTTCAAAGTCTAGAAAATGATGGTGGAAGTTAAAATAATTAAAAAATAAAATAAATTTCTAATGTCATGGGAGCGATACGTCGGTGATACACCAAAATCTTGAGCATTCAAGAAGATTGTTGTGTAGTGTCTATGGCATCGAAGGCTTTTATTGGACAAAGACAATGTGGGTAATTTTCAGATCTTCTTGCGAAGTTAAAAGATCAATGAAATGAGTCATCAAATCATCTCTAATGATTGTCACTCAACAGAGTAGAAAAATGACAACTTTGCAGCTCTCTAATGATTGTCACCCGACAAAGAAGAGTTGGAGGAAGGTAAGGCGCATGTCAAGAAGCTTCATCCTCAGATTTACATAGCAAGAGGAGGCTCTTCATTACATCTACTATACTCTTAGGAGGTGGTGATTCATCTTTTGATGGATCGTCCTCTTTCCGACAACGGGTTGTTTATTGATTAATAAGAGATGATTTACTTAATAGATTCATAATCCTTTTATTGTAAATTGTTTAAAAAATTTAGTAATAATACTTCGTGAATCGTATTGATGAGATTTTCACTAATGATTAAGTGATTCTGGTGACTTAATCCTTCACTAGTGATTTATAGAAAAGCTATGATTTAATTAGATAAAAATATGTCTTTTGGTTCTAGTAAGATTCAAACCTATGCCAGTTGCCCGCCTACATGAGAGAGAGGGAATAAGTTCTCGAATACCCTTATATAATGACATCATCATGATATCTCATTATTATAAATAAGGGGTATTTTTGATATTTAAAATCATAAAATCATTTTGGAGAAGGTTTGACATGGGTTTAATCCCACATTGATTGTATGCCAAAGTTTTGGATGAATATATAGTAATATCAAATTTACAAGTAATGAATTTTTTTCTCGTGTGTATAACTACTCTTTGCCTCACAGTTGATTGGCTACTAGTGACATAAAAAGGGATGGCAAACACATGCCTCATTGGTCTATAGCCGCTCGAGTCTTTACTTGTGACTTTGCCCTAACTATGCTTTCGACCCACTTGCAAGCCCCATTGGTCAACAAGTCCATCCCTTTTTCTATCTTTTTATTTTATTTTATTTTTCTTCATTTATCTTAAAAATAAGAACATAAAATTATATAAATTCACATAAAATCATATATATAGTAAAAAAAATCACGTTAATCAATTGAAAACTACTTTTTATAATTTAACACAAATATAAGTCTATTTATCATGAGTTAAAGCTAAAACTATATTATTTATTAATTATTAACTCATGATAATAAAGATTTATCACACCCCTCGACTTAAGTCATTAATAATCCCTTAGTAATAGAATTATAAAAATAAAAATTCACAAATATCAAACATCATATTTCAATACATAAAAGAAAAATATAATTATAAATAATACACCTTTAAACACTTTGGGCTCTTATATCAAATATTTAAGAATGATATCAATCACTTAAATATTTAAGCATTCTTTGAAATAATAATCTAAACTTCAATTCTTCTATTCACATTTTTATCACTTCTTCACTCATAGATATAATTCACAAGATATTA